GTGCAGCGTCCGACCACTCAAGAAGAGCTATCTGTAATTACGATCAAGAACCGCTATGAGACGCAGAATACATGCCATCATACCTTGGCGTCCTTGAAGGACACTAATAAACGATCTAGTTGGTCGTCATAAGTTGACATAATGCGCACGCTCTCCATGCCAGTGACAGTGCCATGCAGAGTATGCTCTCGCACAAAGTGAAAGCGTGACACCATTGAAGGATCTTTCTTTGCAGTAGCCTGTAATGCAACTAAGCTACCCTCCCCAAATTCAGGCTAGGTATTCACCTTTACAGAGCCCATATTGACCCACCCTTCTCCACCCTCATCCATCTCCACTTCGCCTTCCACAGCCTCAGTGCCTTTTCGTACATGAGCCCTTCGCTCTCGCTCATTTTCAATGTAAGTTGAGATTTGCGGAGGTTGCTCCCACACTTCGAAAATGCGCAAGAGGTTGGATCTTGAAACAACAACATTGGTAAGAACGCGTGGTAGCTTTTCTTGGCTGGAAGATCCAGTGATAGTTGAGGGCGTTAGTTTGAGTGTCGTTGCGAACTCAACACCACTAGGGGGGAGTATGTCGTGTCTCAAGGCATGCATTTCTCCCTCAGCGACAAGTGCACCCCGGTCTGATCAAAATTGTGAATTTGTTTGTTTCTAAAGGTCTTGCCAAACAACCTCTTTTAATTGATTATGTAACTAGGAAATCGATGCACTCGGCCACTCCGCTTTCATGGCAGCCGCTTACCCCGAATATGTTGCGTGCTTTGAGGCCAGTCCACGGGCATTCTTTTCTGGCGAGCCCCCTGCCGGCCAGCTTCTTTTTGCACTCCCAGAGGTTGCGAACTTCACTGCTTCCTTGTTCGCCAACATCGCAAAGACCCTCCCTTCGCACTATTTCAGAGAATCAGCACCGGCGGCGATGAAATTAACAAGAACTGTTACGCCGATGACTACCCCACGCAACAGCAGCTTAAGAGGACTGGCATGACGCTGACGGTGCTCTTGACACGTTCACACAGACCACTCATGGTGCACTGACTGCCCAGGGAAAGACGTGTATATATAAGCCCAGTATCTTGACTGGAATTCTGAAAATAGCAGGTACCAACACCCGTCCCACGCAGGCAATATTTTTCTAATATATATAAGCACAGGAGTGATCACAGGTACCTCACTCATCACCGTGGCTCTCCTAAGTTCTCTCCTTTTCCAAGCATCTAACATATCATAGCGCTTGATCCCACGGAAACAATTCGCGTCTACCCCACATGCATGCTCCACCTGAGTGCCACCTGCAATCTTTGTGTCTCCTACATCTACTACTGTAATTCACGATAGAAAACGTCCGAAGGCGATCGGAACGCTTGTATAATTATAATACTCAGTAGTTTCTTATGAAGCAATGCTTGTGATTCTCGATGCCACAGCTGGGACCCGTTCAATTTGATCTATTTGAGTAACTTCGCCGGTCTTTACTGCTATCCCAACAGAACAACCTTCTGCTCCCCTGTCGAGTTCCGCCAAGCATGTTCAAATATAACCCCAACCCCAACTCGCTCCATGCGTTTTTCATCCTGCATCTTCTGCACCGCCATCACATACAACATGCATCCGAAATATCGTTTCCCCAGTGTGTCCTCATCGTACAACCCTTTGGTTTGATTTGTGCGAAACAGAACAATAAATTCACATGAAGTCGGTGAATGGGTGGAACGCGGAAGGATGACGCGCCCTACTAACGTTGATGGTCGAGGAACGTCAGATAGTATGGAATATGTGGCGTAGTTAGCCTTGGGATCAGCACCGGCGACATCGTCCGCTTTCGTAACGTTGAAATGAGCTGAACGAGTTCTGAATACTAACGTCCCAGGTTGCAGGGGCGCATTCTCTGTAATCAGAGTTTGTGTATCGATATCGCCTTTCGGGATGATGTATGGACTGGAGTTTGCTTCTTCAACAGATCCTGCCATCCGACCAGTACGTCTAACATCCTGGGGAACAAGCTGACCATCACCATCTACCATGTGCCATTGCTCCACCAGCGACTGGGTTATACACGGAGAAACGCCCCCATTCTGTGCATCGACGAACAAGCTCACTTCGCTATACTGGACAGCACCCCGCCACGCAGCCCATGACCAGGATGGCCATAGCGTCATATTTCCATCCCCAGTCGCGCGCCGCACACATGATGCATTGGGCGTTGGCTGCCACACTAACGCAAGTTCTAGGTCAACGATGGGCATCCCAAAACGGAACGCTCGACCAGGGTTACCACCAGCGAGCTTGAACCCCTTGGCCATAGCATTGATGAGCGCCGTAACAGCGTTCACGATGTCTGACTCCATAGTAAGCCTGCGTCGCGTATACTTTCCGATGATGCTCATGTAGTGGCTCATATATGCAGAGCTCGTCCCCTGCAGTGGAGCACGCGCGAACGTGAAACTACCTGTACCGCCGTACTTCAGGGGGTGCGATGCCCAGGGGAGGTTGATACGCTCTGCAATCACATCTTCGCTCCATATATCCTTTCCGCATTCAAAGTGCACGTGATGGGGGGTCAAGAAGATGCGGCGGCGCGAGAGCATGACTTCTTGATATGTCCAGCCACGTGTGTCCCATGCAGAACTTGCTATGGCCTCACAGGGGAGAATGAGGGGGACGGCGAGGTGAAGACCTTGTATTTTAGCTATTTGTTGTTTGGGATCCCTGGTCCCTGGGCGGATGCCTGGGAGAGGATCATGCGCGGAGGTGCCGCCCGCAGCGAAGATTGTGAACGCGGAGCTGCCGTAGATAAGCTCCATCACACCGATCTGCACTGTTTTGTCCTTAGGGTCATCCTGCACAATACACAACGCGTCAATCCAAAGGTATCGCTCGCCGAGCTGACGGACGAGTTGGATGGTGTCTAAGATCGTGGATGGTAGCACTGATACATCAAGGCCGCCTTGTGCTCTGCGCTGCTTGATATTTGCCCGTGTCGTCCAGTACTCTTCTCCCGTACCTCCCCAGAGGTAGCTAAGAGCGACGAAACGGCAGGATGGCGGAGCGCGAACCACAGCCATTCGAGTTACATCCACGACTCTCACACTCTTCGGAAGAACATCTCCAGTGCCCCTCCACCATACTGTTTCACACAGCTCCCCATGCTCGTGTTCACAGATGTGGATCCATCTCTTCAACAGGGCGATATCAACATTCTGACCAACCCTCCTGCCATGAAGTTCTTTCGTCCTCCCAACTTTGGAAGCATCTTCTCCCAGGAGCTGGATTTCCAGCAAGAGGTTTGACCGCGCGGCGACCATGGCAGCTGTGACATCCCGAGGTCTATCAAAAGTCTGAATATGCAGCCGATGACAGATATTCATGAGTGCAGGAGAGATATAACTTGGAATGTTCGGATACCCGCACTCCATTGTATGCAGCGCACAGGTAATATCAGAAATGTCGATATCAGGCAGCTTATCCAGGTTCCACGCGCGACGGATGACAATAGCTATGAGGTTGCACAGTCCGCATTGGTTGGATTTATTGAGGATGTCTGTGAGATTACCAATGGGGATTGCGTGTTCTCGTGGGACGCCGTCGTGAAGGATTGCATGGAGGTCGAGGGATGAGCATGTTGAGCAGAGGGGTGCGTCGTTTTCTGGTGGGATTTCTGGGGTATGGTTGCTTGGAATAGGATGCGAGATGGAGTCTTTCGTGCGAATCTTTCGTCAGCGCCTGTGCGAGCAGAACATGGGAAGACGGAGACCCAGCAAGGGAACACTGTCTGTGCCTGTATTGTTATCGCTCGATGATATCAATGTCCTCGCCAAGAAAGCCACCCTGAATCCTCGAAGGTACCACTCACCTTGAGTAAACGGAGCTTGCACGATGGATGCTGTAGACTCTTGGACCTGTCAATAGACCTGTGGGCTCCGATCCAGGGTCGTGGTTCTTCAATTTGAGGTATAATATGTAAATGTAATTCTGGGACAGCGTTTCAGCTAGATATTAGTGGCCTTCTACAAGCAGCACATAGACCAATATTTGAAGACAGTCATTACTTACATTACCATTGGGAAAGCCGTACTAATGCGTGCCGCAGTTGGTCCGGGCTGGTGAACATGATGCATGGTCGTGGCCAAGCGGTGGCTGTGACGTATATATTCAACATCTTACTCAATCGCAACTTGGACGGCCTAGCTAGTACTACTTGCTTTTCATTCTCTTCGAAAGTCTTTGTGAGTATCACCTGTGCTTCACTAGGAGTAAAGAGACCTAAGAAGTTTACGATCTCAGCGCTCAGCATACACGCATTTCACTTGTACTTCTGTGAGTGCCCAAAGGGCCTCATTCATCCAGCGCAACGCCACTCATGAAATGTGCATGTACAGAGTTCAGCGCTCAGTCTTGTAGATTTATAAAAACCGCATAGAACGTTTGAGTCCTGACTCTACCGTACCAGTGATCAATGCATCAGGCTTTACTTGTTCCTGAAATTCTTCTAGAGATATTCGCCTATGTGAATACAATACCATCTACATCGACCCAGAAATTGCTTGCAGCGCTTGCAAGGACATGCAAAATCTTCCATGGGCCTGCGATGGATTTGCTGTGGACTGATCAATCCATGGGTTAGAACCACTGCTAGGCTGTGTAACAAGGTTGCATCCACTGATATATCGTAGGGGTACAAGGGTCAGTGCACGACTTCATTACGCTTTGTTCGTTTATTTTCGGCTGACCCTTCTTCCGGCGCTGGTTTATTTCCTCGTCTGCACCATACATTTTCTCTCTTCAGCAGAGACCTAAACCTGCTCATGTCTAGTGTCGCGTACCAGACAAGGGGGGAAGCGCTGCGCCATATTCATGGTAGACTTTTTTTTTGAGTCCTTGTTTATTGTCCGTGGGCGAAGCCCTATGACAGACATCTATGGTACTCTATGTTCATTTTCGGCATGGGAGTCCTGTAAAATCCTGATCCAGGCTTTCGCGAGGGCGATCAATGCCGTCTTAAGGCGATTGGGGGAAGTAGATGGCTAAGCACTTATCGCATCTGTTGGGTTCGCTTCTACATCTTTGGGGGGCACCGAAGGTATTTTTCAGGCATTTCGTGCGAGCGATGTACTTGAGAACTGACTTAACGCTTTTCCCGTCGTTCAGGAGGCCTTTTAGGCTTTGCGCTCGCATTCCCAGCTCGGCCTTCAAGGATGCTCTGTGTCTTGCGTATGCCGGGCATGATAATACGAAATGATGTACTGATTCCTCTCGTTCTTCGCAGGCCGGACATATCGGAGGGGGGGGGGGGGGGGTTGATCTCGATATTCTGTGGAGGTATTTGTTCAGGGGGAGGGGGGATATGTCTGTGCGAAGTTGGACGAGCAGAGATGGTAGACTTGTAAGTTGAAACCTTAGTCTGGAACACTGATCGGGGCACCGCGTTCCATGTTCATGCTGGACGCCAGGCTGCTAAATTTTGAAGAGATGCGTCAGCTTTATTTCAGTTCTAAGGAACACTGCACTTTCGTTAGTCACACGCGGCTTCACTGAGGACATGTAGGAAATGTCCAATCTGTATCAAGTTTGCGCAGACTCTGCCAAAGTCTGGTGGTCGGAAAGTTCCGAGCGTTCAATTTGAGGTCTGTCTGCATTACCGTAACCACTCTGCCGTCTATGTCACATCATGTCAATATCGTCATTTTTGTCAGACTCCAAACCATCGGCGGTGTGTAGAGTCTCGTGTTAGTACATTCCGAATACAATACATTTTTTAAACCCCGCACCTCAATTCAAACACCGCAACTTTTGGACTCTACACACCTAGCCGACTGGCACAACTTGTTGTGGCGTCAAGTTTGCCACTGTTTGAATTCCTTCCGAACGATGGATCAAGCCGTCAGGTACACCGGGAAGCTTATTAGTACAACGGCAGGTGTGACAAGGTAATATTTAGATTATATTTATATTATATATATTCATATTATATAATTATATTTCTAAATAACCAGTACAGCAGAATCATGCACAACATCGTGCAAAACATGAGGTGAGGAGTACAAAATGAATACAGTACCACTCCAGAGTCCACTGTGCACCCCCAGAATGAGCCTCGAACTTCGACTGACGAATGTCCTGCGGTGCCTGCAGCAAAACAACCTGTCGGCAGCGGGATTCGTCAGTGCAATATTGGACAGCAGATATACCGCTCACGCTGCCAGCCAAGACTCGCTGACAATGAACGCAGCTCACATTTGTGCGCAGTTATACGATAATGAGAACTCACATACATCGGTTTTTTCCTGGGCAGCAGGAACACTACGCAGAGAGCTGTGTAAGGAGGTTGCTGAGCTATCGCTCGAGCACCACGGCCTCCACTTCAAGGCCACCTCCGCGACTGTGGAGCAGCTGGAAACGACTTTTATGAGTCAGCTCGCCGTAACGATGCAAGGAGTTGCTCCAAACGTTTGGAACCTTGTCTCAGCTTTACTCGACAGCAGAGAATACCGCCGTCGAAAAATGCCGCACCCTGCTGGCCACGTTCCAGCACCCGAAGATACCCCTTCACAGAATGAGATGGACTTGGGCGAGTTGGGTGGAGATGAGCCACATTTTGAAGACGATGATGACGGGGATGAAGAGGACGATGGGGAGTTTGACAAACGATCCAAGGAAACGGCAGCGTCGTGCGGGTGAAAGGAATGTAGCGCTACAACACATCGTGAGCGAGTTTCGATCTCCGGTACCTAAGTGCGGCCGCTAACTGTAACTAGAAAACAATAGTGATAATCAGCATATGCCTGCAAAATACGAACGAAAGATGCAACTGCTTACAGGGCTGGATGGGCTTTTTCATGAAGTCAACAGGCGTCCCTGAGAAGGTCATTGAGGTCATGGCACACGCAGGGCTATCCGTCAGCCTGTCCACCATATATAACATGGTGACATCTATTTCGAAGGAGATCAGCCGTGACATCAAAAGGGAAGTCCGCACGCTCCGTGCAGCATTCGCATACGACAATTTTGATATCGCCTTCAACGTTGCCCAGCCAACACTCGAAAACCGCTCCTCCTTTGTCAGTGCAACATCCGCCACTGTGATTCCACTATATGGTGTTGATGAAAGTAACGAGGAGGCGTTGCGGAGCTCGGCAAAGTTGTGGGCCTCTGATCCAAAGAATCCGTCACCATCATTATTCCCGCTGATGAACGAAAGCAGAAGCTTTTTAATGCTTCACAAAAAGGACACCTACAATCGGCAAACGAATCCAACACAGCTGAGTGGACGAGAGGAGGCTTTTGCATGGCATATTCGCGCCATCCTTGTCCAACACAATCAAAACTTCAAGCACTTTGCAGACAAACTTGATGAGCCTGAAACCATCCAGAGGATACCTATACACAAGACCAATCAGATTCCCTGCCGCTCGATGAATATCAAGCAGTCTACCACAGACGGAAACGTTGAAGTCTTGGAGAACTTGTTTCACCAGGGAGGTATCGGGGACAAGAGCGAGGTCAACTTCGATGCAGAACACGATGTTGACATGACAGAACATGTAATTCTGGTTCATGGAGACCTATTAACAAAGGAGCGTGTCGACAGCGTGCGGAACAGCCGAAAAATCGAGCACACACCGAAAAATCGTCTCCAGTACGTTGTATTCCTCCCAGGACTCTTTCACTACAAGATGGCGTGTGCGGATGCATTGTGGCGCACGTACATTCATCCAAAGGAAGGGCGCGAGGATGAGAATAGCCTCTATCAGCACATTGGGATCCTTCGACCTGATGAAACAGGAAAGATGGTCAGTAAACCTGGATTTCGGCGTGTCCACGATGTTGTTCACCACGACATCTGGGCATCAATGCTTGACTGCTGGCGTCTTGAAGCAGAGAGCCGAAATACTGAATGGTCGACATTGGAAAGATTCGCCACGTCAAAGCCAGTCTGGGAAGATATAATCAATATGTCCCGTGTCATCGTGAAAAAGTTCATTGCGACGACCCAAGATCTGGACGCAGCACGGGAACAGCCACCACTACAACGAGACAAGCGTTTCGAGAACCAGACCCTGCGTAATCGTGACGAGCTCTTGTACGTTGACCTTTGTCAAGCCATGAACACCGGAGATATCGGTTGTGTCGAAGCATCGTTTCTCCCTTGGATTCATATGTTCAAAGCTACTGGAAAGCATAAATATGCGTCACAGATGTCAAGGTTCCTGACGAACCTTCAATTCAATTATCCAGCGGCTTTGAGGTGAGGAATTCTGTCTTGCTGAGAATAGAGGTCATCAATATATTTGACACAGTAATATAGTGCGGATGAACTTACTATGCAACCCAACCGGCAAGCCATTTGCTTTTCGTGCAGTTGACTGGGTTGTCGAGCGCAACAATTTGTATACAAAGGTTAGCGAACGTAACGGTCGATGTCAAGAAACCAAAAGTAATGATTGACAGGTCATATTTCGTGGCGGCGGTCCAAACGGCACACTGGATCACATCATCAAAGAATCGCCTCTCATTGAAGTATACCGAAACTGCCACGTAACGATGGAAAACGCATTCCATCTTCAGCACCGCACAATCCGACACGCTGCACCTGACATGACGAAGACAATTCAGAAATTGGCAGCGCGAATCAAACAAAAAAACCCACATACCAAGAAGGAAGGCCGAAGTGCGCTACATTCGATCCCAGATCAAATCGCTGTGGGTATGGCACTGATACAAGAGCAAAAGGTAGTCAGCGAAGAAGATGCAGGGACGTTTGAACTAGATGCAGATGATTTTATTGACTGACCTTACAGTACTAGGTCCTGCCGCTGGCTCGTTCTCTGCGTTCGAGTTCTTTGTGCGAGATGATTTTGGTTTCGGGATGTACTTCGGACAGAGTCTATTAGAAGCTATTGGTGTGTTGATTAAGGTTGGCAAGTAGTGTCAAGAGCACGTACCTATGTGAAGATTACTCCCACATGCTCTGCATTTCCGCGCTGCTCGCTGCTTAGCGCTGCTACCAGCTATATCAGTGGTGGACGTTGTGGGTTGTGCGTGAGAGGCTGGCATTGGTATAGCGGGGTGAGGCTGGTTTATCGTTATCGAGGATCCAAGGACTGCCAATGGCGCAGGAAGTGGTGGATGCACTGACGGTGGTGGTGGTGGTGGTGGTGGTGGTGGTGGTGGAGGAGGAGGAGGAGGAGGAAAGAATGACTTGATAAGCTCGATGATTTGTTGGCCATATTCTAGGGAATAGCACCAGCCGGTTTGCTCTAGCAATGATGCGGGGGAGGTTAGCTTTGCGTAGTGAGCAAGGTCAATAATGCGGTTGAGAGTTTTGTTTGACATAATAAGCTGCGGGCCGAAAAAAATGTCCCCATCGAGATCTTCTTCAACCATCTTAAAATCTCTCCATTGAAGTAGCGCAGCTCGTAGATCGCGTTCTCTGTTGGTCATTTCGTATGGTTTGCACTTGTATTTAGGTTTTGCACGAGTTGACAGAAAGGTTTGTAGCGGAAGGATGTGTGATGTGATTAGCGCGGGAGTACATATGTCACAGCAGTCACCAGACGGTGCCTCACTGCATCGTTCACAGCATACTGCTTGGTCTGGATTTAGAGCTGTGAGTCAATTTAATTTGTGTTTAAAAACTGCTTACTTTTTGGATTATTGAAGTATTCGTTAGCCACCCGACGTCGACAGAATCCACGATGCCTCGCGTTGATAAAGGCGTACATTGCGAAGCGCTCACAGGCAGTGTTATCAAGATTATCGGGGATGAGCTGCACGTGAGCTGATGGGATTACGGTCGTTTCTGATGGACGAGACGATGACGGCAACGAGCCCGAGCCAACGGCGTGTAAATCCTCCTGTAAGCCCTCTCTCCCATGACCATCATGATCTCTGAAGCCATCATCACCTCCCTCAAACTCACTGTCAACATCTTCCTCTCTACTATCATTCTCGACGCCTGCTCGTGAGTTTGATCCCTTTTTCTTTTTATTTTGCCGACTATCTTCCTCAACCGCGGGCCTCTTGCGCTTCCCTTTGTAGGTATCAAAGTATATTGGCTCAACAAGATAAATTCCCACCGCCGTTAGCGAGGGATCTCTGGCGCCACGACCAAGCCTTTGCATGAGAGCGCACAGTGAGGAAGTGTAACCCCATTGTACAATGATTTTAATATCACGCAGGTCGAGTCCCTTTTTTTCAAGTTGAGTACATTAGTGCGCGCATTAAGACTAATGTGATAGTCACTGACCATTCCTGCTGCGTCGGTGCAGCAAATTCCCCACAGTTCACCTGCTTGAAGCTGGTTCATCACATCGACGCGGAATTCCATCGACATCCCAGAATGAAACCAGACGATCTTTCCCTGCCGATGTCCAGGCACATCTGACCGCAAGCGGTTGCAAGTCATCTCTGCCGAAATCCGAGAATTCGTGAAGATCATGAACTTTGGCGGTGGATTCACGTCTCCGAGCCTCATATCCAAGACTCGGGTTAGATCATGCATGGTATTACGCGGGAACTTCATCTCTTCAACAATAATGCTGATGTTCGGACGGTTGTTAGACCTGGTGACCCTCGCAACATTATGTGAGCGGATGCGGAGCGTTGAAGTGACATCGGCCAAAATGTGAGGTGGCATGGTTGCCGATACGACATGAACTGATACATGGTCCGGCAAATACCATCTAATGTTCCCCAGCTGACTGTATAGCGGCCTGAAGTCCGCGCCCCATTCACTTATGCAGTGCCCTTCGTCGAACGTTATATTGAATATCTTCTCAGTGAACTTCTTCGACTTCCATAACGCCTGAAAACGTGAGTCGCTGAGTAACCGTTCTGGGCTGACCGTAATGACGCGATATTTAAGCTTCTCAATGTCCTGCGCAACATTAATGATGAAGAGATTATCAGAATTTTGTTACATACCTTGAATGCCTGATCCGAGGCAGTCTCTTTACACAGATTGATGGCGGGGAAACCCAATGCCTCTGCCTCCTTTTGATTCTTTTCTCCTAATATATTCAGCGGCGTCACGATAATGATAATCCCACCTGCGTTAAATAGGAGAGGAATCCAAAATGTCAATGTTTTTCCGGAGCCGGTTGGGGAGATCGTGATAACATCCTTGCTGTTGAGCTGATATTGAGCTGCCTGAAGCTGCCAGGTGCAGGGAGACAAGCCAAACTTCTCTTGGACAGTTTGCTTCATGTTCGCGAAGCTTGGGACATCGAAACGACGAGGAGACATTCTGAGTATGGTAAATGTTAACACTTAACAGAAATGAATCCAAAATGGGATTGCATCAGTCACGTCACGCAAATTGACCTCCAGGGTGCCGTCTGTCCGGTGTACCTGACGGCTTGATCCATCGTTCGGAAGGAATTCAAACAGTGGCAAACTTGACGCCACAACAAGTTGTGCCAGTCGGCTAGGTGTGTAGAGTCCAAAAGTTGCGGTGTTTGAATTGAGGTGCGGGGTTTAAAAAATGTATTGTATTCGGAATGTACTAACACGAGACTCTACACACCGCCGATGGTTTGGAGTCTGCATTTTTGTCAGCTTGCCGTCACGACTCTGGTCACCTGCAGGGAGGACATAGCAGCCGTAGACCGGGAGCTGCGGGCAATGGCATTATGTGGTAAAGATCCTGATGGCGGGTAGGCAGGATATAGTGACATCGTGCGGTGGCCTTGACAGACTTCCCGACACTTTCTGAATCTGAGAAACTCACTGGCCAGGGCAGGACACCCGTTTGCATAGATCTCACACAGACCGGCCAAAATTCGCACTTTCTGGCTTCCCTGGACTAAACATTCAAGTTTTCCTCAGCGCCACTTTACCTAAGACTATCATATGTTGAAGACTCAGTGCGCGTTTATTTTTCTCATTGTATGGTACACGGCGCAAGGGCTACTTCAAGGATCCAGAACTGCGCGGAAGCGCTAGATGGGATCGTTCTCAAGGCCACGAGATCAACTAGGAATATATGGGCGAGACCATGGGACAAGAAGGGTTTCCTGCGAGGGATCAAATATTTGATTGTCCGACATCAATGCATCACCCAAGATACACAGCAACGTTGTCCATTAACAGTAATATGTCATGCATGTAGCACAGGGATCTAAACGGGGGTAACGATGGTGTGTACCTATAGGAGAACAAAAGAATATTAGAGAACTGCGACTGAGTCATGAATTTGACTTCTTTTCTTTGTGTGGAACATGGCGCGAGCGTCGTACTCCGCTCTACAATCCCAAAATCAAAATTCTTAGAAGAACTTCTGTTGATCATTACCGAGAGCAAGATGTATGTGCACGTAGATAGTGGAGTTCCTTTCAGCATGCAAAAACATGACCTCCCTGGCGCGCGGCAGCCCATCTGAATTGACAGTACTAGAGTATTACATTATGCATATGGATCTCTAATATTAATGACTGGACTTGACTGAAATCGATTTCAAGAACTCAGAGAAATAAGTCAGGGTCACGTGCGTGAGTTGATGGGAACGCGTCGTCGGAGTCACGAATTAACCTGCAAGTCCACAACCGCCACATCTACATCAGATTAATGATCGATGGTCCATCACATTTGCGCCACATTCGTCGACCGGATATAAGGCAAGCAGAAAGCAGACGTTTTCCTTGTCCTCTTACTTTTCTCTCCCTCAACTAGCTCTGCTCACAACACTCAGTCAGCGCAATCATTGAACACCTAGCGTCATGTCCCCTGCTGGCGAGACAGGCACATCGTCTACTCCGCCACGCGCTAATGCATCAAATCAAGGTGGTAGTAAACTAGAGTCTACCCCAAACAGCCGTGGGGCTTCGGTCGTCAGCGAGAACATCAGCTTGGTCGGTGTCCAGTACGTACCTTTCTTGTTCTTATGGAGTAGCACCTGACGTTCCCATCAAGGGTTAAGGAGGTCCGGCCGTGGATTCAGCGGGACATCGAGCAGGCCAAGCAGTGCAAGGTAGATGCCATGCTGCAAGCCCTCCTACAGCGCGCATCCTGCGCGCCGGAGACGAAACAGCCCGAGCTCCTGCAAAAGTGCCTGAAGGGAGTTCTTCCGGTTTGCAATGGACAGGTCTCCGCTGGTGGCATATCGTCTTCGGGCATCGGGACAGCGCTGAAAGAATAGTGAGTGCTCCTTCGCCGATCGGACTTTTGTTGCGTTTACGATGATCGCAAAGCGTATCTCCTGGAGTAGAAAACAACCTCTACGGCCCTTTTATTGAGGCCACGAACATCGCACTCGCTTGTCTTGATGAGATCAAGGTCGACGGAATGGGTGTTCCTGTTACCACCGTGGACATGATCTGTCAACAAAACGATATGCCCATGTACCAAACCCACCAGAAGCTGAAATCAACTCGGAAGCCAGACGCTTTGATACTTCCCTTAAACAGTGCATGCGCCCCATTTAAGGATGAGAAGGGCGGAAAGAAGAGTAAACAGAAGAGCAAACAGAAAGACAACGAGAAGGGTAACACGAAGTACGACGAGAAGCACGATACAAAGCGCAAGGCTCATATGGTCAAGGATGCAAAGGAAAAGCCGCCAACGCCATTCCTCTGGGCAGATGTCCTAGCTTGCATCGAGTTCAAGAGAAAGACAAAAGGGATTAAAGCACCACCCTCTGCGTATACAGCGGCAGACTATGTCCCTACCAAACCAGAATATCTGCCGGTGGATCATCTTAAGGCTCAATCCCCTGCGCCAGACCCTTCGCAGACCCCAGCAACACAACCTGCGTCCGACACTGCACGTAAGCGATTTCATTTTTGATTCCAAAATCAAACTAAATTAGCCTAGCAGCAGTTAGATCTTCTGGCTTTGCTGCTGCACAGACTTCCAAGGGCGGGTCCAGCTCCAAGCGCAAAGCCGCAGACACTTTGCAATCCGCCGCAAAAAAACCAAAGGTCAACCCCGACGAGCCAGATGTGACGGTCCAGACTGGTCTGTACGCTGCCGAAATGTTTGCGGCTAATCTTGCCGTTCATCATCTGATCAATTTTATTATCATCGGTGGGTTCGTTCATCTGTCGACATTGGTCGCGCTCTTACCACCGCTTTTTAGACGATGTGATCTGGACCTGGTATTATGATCGCCAGGGCACCGTTCAAAGCTCTGGCATCAACTTCATTCAAGACCTCCCGCGATTCATGGTTCTGCTGTATGCGTTACAACGCTTCAAGGTTCACGATTGGGGCCGAGACAAGGACTTTCTCCCAGTTGAAGTTGAGGGAAAACAATGCCACGAATTCAAAATCAAGGACGAAGATCTTGGAACAGTGGATCTGCTGCTTCATAGCAGCCACGATGATAGAGTGACGCACTACGGGCTACAAGGACGGGCCACCAATGTGGTCCCTGTCACTAGCGAAGCGCTCACTAAGAAATACGGCAATTTACAGGATGGGATGGTTGCCAAGATATTTTGGGGAGAGGCGGATCGTACTAGCGAACCGGAGATCCTGAAAAAGGTCGAGGAGATCGCTAAGAGGCACGCAACTGTCCAAGGCCATGTTCCTCAGCTGCTCTGGCACCACGCATTCACGAATCCCACGTCCGCCATCCGAGAAGCGCTCGGCGTTCTGGAACCTACCACGGGCAGTCGCGTGCTCTATATTCTCGTATTCCGTAAGCTCAAGCCAATCACGGAGCTCCATGACAACGAGCTTTTCGACGTGTGGTACCAGTGTATTTTATGTACGTGTTTTAGACTCATTTATGAAGCTCTTCGTTGATATTATCTGCAGGTCATCTCACTCTGTGGAAGGAAGGGGTCTATCATCGTGATGTTAGCCCTGGTAACTTGATGTGGTACCGGAAAGACGGGAAGCTGTTCGGTGTCTTAAATGACTACGATCTATCTTCATTGGCGGATGACCCGGGTCCGCGGGGCAATGAGCGTACGGGCACGGTACCGTTTATGGCCCTCGATCTTCTCACCGAACAGGCTCAACGAGGCGAAGTCAAACACTTATATCGCCATGATCTGGAGTCGTTTGTGTGGGTTTTTACCTGGATTTCCCTGCGTTACGACAACGGAAAGCTTCTACCTGGATCGCACCCCATTGATGCATGGGCAACTTTCGACGCTGTGACGTGTGGCGAGAAGAAGCAGGCATTCTTGAATTATCTCCAACATTTCAGACCCTCTCACAAGAAGTCAGTCATTTGGCGTTTTATTGTAGCTTGTTTCCATGTGCTTGACACAGAAGCTTACAATCGACGTAAACAATGGCGAGAATTGCTTATCCAGGCAGACGACTCAGACGAGGAGACCGACGATGAGGAATCAGCATCAAATATGGATGATTTGCTAGGCAAATTCACAGGCAACATAGCCTGGGTTAAGCTCAGCAACGCTTTCCGTTCACAGTGATTTTCTTTAGTTGTTACATACTGCTTTCCGCATTTCGCTACCTGCGTCAGTTACTCATGGAATAGATAGACTCTGGGTATCCTTTGTGTCGCCGTCGTCCCAAACTGGTCATATATCTCGAACCTTTATGTAAGCTTTACCTGGACCGGCTACACAGGGAAGTGACACATACCTTATTTTTCTCCATTCCATCCTCAGACATTGATATTTCAGCAAGCTATCTCTTTGGACCAGGATGTTTCTGTCCGTACCGTGGTACGTTGCCCATGTTGCCAAAAGATTTACTGCGTCCGAGATTCCGAATCGTAGTTCACACTAATACCGTATCGACGTGCTCTCATTCTGAGATCACGGCGCGCGGCCCTCACTGCGACTCAAGCAAGAAATCGCAAAATGCCATATTCCTTGCACGTTCAGAAATCTCTCATCTGCGGCAGCCCGAAAAGCACTTGGCGTTCCAGATTCCAGAACAACTAAGGGTAGCGCATGCTCTATATCCTCGTTGCGGTATTCGCAGTTCTGACCTATCACGGAAATTCATGGTCAAAACCTTTGCAACGTGTAGCATCAATTCGTGTTACGTATGTGGTTCATTGCGTCCAGTATGCGACTACATGTTAAATTGCGTTGCAGACCACTATGATATCTGGAACGGAGGGGTCTGACATCGAGATGTCAGCCCTGATAACATGATAGATTACTGAACAAAAGTTGAAAACAACATTTTGTTGGGCATCTTCAGTGACTATGATCTGTTGACTGCGGCGGGCGAGCGCAATGAGCGCACGGGCACAGTGCCATTTGCGGCCCTCAATCTATCACTCCAGAGAGCCAAAGAGGTCAAGTCAATCACATCCATCGTCACAATCTCGAGTCATTCGTCTGCATTTTTACCGTGTTCTCCCTGTGTTACTAGGATGACATTCTCTAGTCGACGTCAACGGAGTCTCACCTCCTCCATCTATGATAACTGCAGGTGCTGTCGCATATAGCCGCAAGAAAGCATCAGTTTTGAATGACTTTTTGACATCAAATGTCGTTCAGGCTGCATCCATAGATCTAACCCCGGAAGTCGGTGGTGGAGTGCTCGCATGGTGCACTGATTGCCCAGGGAGGCGGCCAAGACGCCTATCGTGTGGGAAGGTATGCGTTGCCCTTTATTTGAATGACAGTATCAAATGAAGATGGTCGGTCATTCAGAAATGGCTCTCGACTGGAATATTCCACTCTCAAACGAGACTACTGTGATGTAAGTATGATACTTATCATGATCTGACTCCGCTGATTCGTCTGTGTTGAAATGGTTTGGATTTCTTCTGCAGATGCTGCAGCAGTGGTAGAAAAGGGTTTCAGGATCATCCAAGCACCATTAAATTACTTCTACTTGGTCAGTTGACGAGTTTTTCTACAGAACACGATGTCCTTATTATTCCAGTCTTCTGGTGCTGGTGAGTGGCCCAACTGGGTTAGTCTTCATATTGTCGAATGTACTCGATCTGACCAGGCATCCCTTGGGAGAACAGAAGTAGCGGTCCTTTCAGAACCTGGTCCGAGGTAAGTATGAATGTCGAAGATGGCCACGCATCTCACAATGTTTCGTTAGGCATATACCTTTGATCCGTTGGCAAACTTGACCGAGGCGCAGTACGAACTTGTTCTCGGAGGCAAACACGATCTAGTCTCGAGGTTAAATCGATCTTTCTGAGCAATCTGCAGGCGAGAAAATTCTATGGAGTGAACAGTCTGGTCCCCAAAATATCGACCCGATCGTGTGGCAACGCGCTGCATCATCAGCAGAAATTTTCTGGAATGGGAAGCAGCCCACTGGCGCTGCACTCAACGTCACCGAAGCACTTCCTCGTTTGCATGCAAGTAGTTCTTCTTGATGTGGAAGTACTTAATGATACAGGACGTCAGGTACAGGATGGTACAGCGCGGCGTCAATGCCATCCATCCCACTCCAGCCGCAGTGGTGTGCGTTTCGACTGGACGCATGCGATATGTACGCTTGATTCAGAACTTGATCCGAACTCTAGGTCTTTTCACAATTGGTTTTGGTGTTATTGAGTCTGCACCGTTGCTTGCAAGATGTGTACAGCTCTCGTTCACCAAAAACTAACTTATATCGAGAAATTTGTGCCTCGGCTCTGCAAGAAGTCACGCGGCAAAATGGAAGTTGACGAAATGTTCGAGTGATGAATGCATTGAACGATGATTAATGATTCATGAAGTATCCACATTTTTATGGCTTGTTTTTGGCAATGAATTGTATCCATAGTACTATAGCTACGTGTATATAGCCCACATCGATATCTTGACTGGAATTCTGAAAATAGCAGGTAACAACACCCGTCCCACGCAGGCAATATTTTTAGATTTACATAAAACCTAGAACGTTTGAGTCCTCAGTGACTCCTGACTAGTCCTACCGTACCAGTGATGCATCAGGCTTTACTTGTTCCTGAAATTCTTCTAGAAATATTCGCCTATGTGAATACAAAACCATCTACATCGACCCAGAAATTGCTTGCAGCGCTTGCAAGGACATGCAAAATCTTCCATGAGCCCGCGATGGATTTGCTGTGGACTGAAATCCATGGGTTAGAACCATTGCTAGGCTGTGTAACAAGGTTACATCCACTGATATATCGTAGTGGTACAAGGGTCAGTGCACGACTTCATTACGCTCTGTTCGTTTATTTTCGGCTGACCGAGCGTCCGCATAACAGCTGCAGTCGGACGAGCGTATTTTCTGGGCGAAAGGCGTCAAGCCACTATCTGCCCATGAGGCCCGTCAATTTCTGCGTCACTCCTCCCGTATACGCACATTGAACATACGAGGTGCCCATTCCCACCTTCTCTCTATCATTCCCGCCGAGGCATGCGTATTTCCGAGGCTGAGGTCGTTAAGTCTTTCAACCGCATATTTGAACCTCTTTCTGCCTCACACGTTTCACCAATGTCATCTATTGACTGTCGACGAGGGTCTGAAATCTTTCGTGACACGTTGCATTGCTTTGGAGCATTTGTACATCTACACCGACTTCTTCTATAACAGCACAAGTCAGCGGTCCCTGCTATCCGATAGGATTCGTTGGTGCACGCGGCTTGTAACTCTGTCTTGTCCAACGCTCGATTTGGCAACATGGAAGCATCTCTCCTGCCTCCCTACTCTTCTTAAATTGGAAATTGATCAGTCACGGTGGTACGGTGATCCTCCTTCGCCATCAGAACAGGATATCATGAATATATCACCATTCCTTAATATCACAACTCTTTCCTTTGGACGGCTGTTCTATGTTGTAGACATCATCATGGTCATGCAACACTCACAATTTCCCTCGCTGAAAGAGTTCAGGTTTGAAGCCGACCATCTGTCTTCAGAAGAGGCCGAGGAACTCTTTCATGCTCTGTCCCGCTGTAAAGCGTGTCGGACTCTAGAAGAAATCATCATTTGTTCTCCTGATGACTGTGGCCTTGCACCCATAAACAACGAGCCTTTGAAATCAATTCCACATTTCCTTTGCTTTACACAGCTTCGAACCCTGCGGCTCATGTTTTGCAATCCCTACATCTACCTGGACAATGACATTCTCTTGCAAGCTATGTCTAGTTGGCCGCACATCCGCACTCTGGAAATCAACTACTTAGACGGCCATCTTTCTTCTTCCGAAGTCTCCCTCCATGGATTATTCACAGCGCTCAGTCTATGTCCACAATTGCATACACTACGCATTCCAATCAATATTCCAAATATCGACGTTTATCCTGATGCTGAGCCAATACAACATACCTCCCTACGAACTTTGGAACTTTTGGATATATCCCAGTCTCAAATAGAAGATGCTGAAACTCTCGCTCGCATCATTTCCGCCTGGCTCCCTTGTGTCGACGAAGTTGAAAGCATGGATGGGAGTTGGGATGAAGTCAACAAGCATCTCAAATCTTCGACAGCGGCTACTGCGCTGTATGTCGCGGGAGCCTCCTAGAATAGTTAAGTTTGGAATACCTTCACGTCTGGGAATGTTGTTACACACCTTTGAGTTCTTTCGTTCCTTCGTTGTCGTTATCGTCGCCGTCGACTGTAGTTATAAACTGTATTACCTCAACATACTTAATCGCCAAAAATCCACCGGTTCACTGATTAGTATGATTTCCAACACGATTATTGGCGTCAGGTGGGGGTCAATTCATCTTCTGGCAGTCTGACTGCTTTCTTCATCATATATTATTCAAGCGATCCGATCACCTTCGGACGTTTCCTATCGTCAATTACGGTAAAAACCGTTTTCTCTCCTCCAAAGTGTAAGGAGTAGCATTTTGGATGCCTACTACGCCGTGAACACTGAAAAGAGCACGCAGAGGCCATGATGGTAGACGAATAGGAGAGAAAAGGGCGGCTGAAGGAGACACCAGGATCGGGAGCGCAGGAGCAATATGTTAGATAAGGATGGATGCTCGGCGCTCGAGTCTCAAGTCTGAGTCCAGAAGCAAAATTTATCTTCACAGATGGTCATATTGGACCGCATAAATCGGTGCACACAACTTGAATTATTTCCGCTCCCTGATCCCACTCTTCCCCCTCTGTTCACCTTGGATTGCTTTCTCCCTTTCCCTTGCTTCCCTGATCATCTCACCTTCCTGTCTCCACTCTTTACGCTCAAATGCATCCCACTGTTCACGAGCATCTACCCAACGTTCTTGTACATCCCCCACGCTACCTGCCATTGGGCCTGCAGCAGATGAGAACAATGAAAAGGTGTTGGGCCTCATCGATGTAGGGACGGACGAAGCTTCAAGTGTCCCTTCTGGTGCCGGGGCGTCGTGTGGTGGTACGAATACGTATCCTGTAGCTCTATCGATAGCGCGTGTTAAGTGGAGCATAGAGGCTTTATCCTGCGCGAAAAAGTAAGTCAATATTGGGACTGCGTAGCAAGAAATCCCATCACATACCTCTACGGCTAACGTTTCGAATTCTACAAGTCCGTAGTCCTCGATTACAGAGCACAGTTCCTTGGTGAGAGCAGTGTACCGCGGTGATGAAGTGTTTAGTGCGTTCTCCAAATAGGAAAGATCCTGAACCTCCGTGTAAAAATTGAGACTGAAATCTGCAAGAAAGGTAAGTGACGCTGGTATGTTGCATGGTCACCAATACGCACCCAGGTCTCCATATTGAGCTATCAAATCAACCTTTGACAAAACATTGACATGTGGCAGTTCCAAGTGTAGCATAGTTCGGAGGGACAGGAGAAGTACGGAAACATATTTTGCGGCATCGGTCACATAGTGCGCATCACAGAGATGAACGGCAGCTAGCTAGCGTTGTTCAATGAATCCTGACAGAACCAACATAATAGAACGTACCCTAAACCCGATCTTCGTCAATCGTTGCACTATGTATCTCAGCGCCTCGTGATGTGTGCTGAGCTCGACCTGACCGGGTATGTCGAATAGTACATATCCGTCGGATCCCAGCTCTTGCAGCCGTGCCTCGAGCCAATCGAAGTTGGCGTATAGGTACTCCATACAGAATAGGATGCCTCCGTTGGGGCCAAGGCCGTGCTCGTCCATGACATCCTGGAGGGTGATTAAAGAAGTTATATTGATGGCACATGGATAAGGTATGTTGTCGTTAGCTGGGTCAAGGTTGACAATGGATATTGGGCGATTCAAAGCAGTAAATAACTGGTACTTTCCATGGCAGTAGGTCGATTTACCGCTTCCTGGCGCTCCACACACTACTTCACCAAATGGCATAGTAGGAAAGTATAAGGGACCATGTGATCATGATCATGATGCGGTCAAAAGTTCTATGTTTATGTGTATTTTGAGGCGTTCCTGACTTGGGGTTGGCCTGCAGCAATCACGTTCTCTACCAAATCATCCGTGGGAAAGCCAACCCGTGGACTATCAGGCTGGTGTCTGCTTCGATTGTATTTAAGCGTCGCGTTCTAGCCTCTCGTCCTGCTTTTCACCCTCATTTGTTTTTTGAGCCGGTTGTTATCTATCTCATCGCTTCATCGTAGGCTCTCTGTTGACATGTCAAGTCCTTGACGCACAGATTTGCAGCCCTCGAATGTTCGCGATGAATGAGATCCACAGAAATCCGTACCAACGTGTTGAGATATAGCCTGTCGCAAATCTTCCATAGGGGTTCCGACTATATGTTTCCCATAGTGTAGTGATTTAAGCTCGTGACGTACACCACAAAAAATAAGCGCCGGTATTATCTTTGGTTCTTTTCTCGTGTTTAAAACATCGCGTCGAAGTTCGACACAGAACGAGTCCGAGGAAAACGGTGTACCTTGACAGGGTCCTCATACTGTAGTTGACATGAGCGCAGAACATGAGCTTCGTTATCAAAATTTGACACCCACCACCCAGAATGGTATATCTGATACGACAACCTCTGCACCCTTCATTCTACATTTCGCCTTCAATATCTCATAATCTCCAACCAGCTGCTCTGCGTTCTTGTCACACGTCAGGACTTTAAGGCTTGGGAGCGCATCCACTGCTTCGATGATAGGCTGGAGCGTGTTGCGGTAAACGTGATTGGGATTTCTGAAAGAAAGGTGTTCGATAGTGGGCGGAAGGTCGGGTGCTAGTGGAAAATGTGTGGGCACATGGTAAATTACTAGCTCTTCGAGAGCAGTGCACATACGGAGCAGAGCAGCAGAATAGATATTGTAGTACCCGAGACGGAGGGAACGAAGTCGCGGCGCGTGCAAAGAAAGAATACTTCGATGCGTGGGTCCTGGTATATCTCGCAGCTCTAGGATACGGAGGGAGTCGGTGGATGATTCAAGCAACCAGGTTAAAACATCTGGTGTTGGAAACCTCGACAGGGCAAGCTCATACAAGCAGACCTCTGCACCAGGTCGGTGTGCCAACTCGTCAGCGTCGGTATTCATCCGCAGAACCGGCGTAGTGGGAGTGCGCCATGGCCACGCCGCAATCTCCTTTTCAATTTTGAGAAATTGGATGTTATTCCATATCTTGAGCAATTGGAAAAGGATGGGCGATTGAAGTCCACACTGCACCAATGTAAGCGCTTTTAATTTCCTCCCTACATCTCCCAGCTTCTTTAGTATCTCCTCCTCGAATTCGTGTAATCCGGTGATGCTCAGCGCGAGCTCGTACAACTGAGGGCAAGCTTGCAGAAGGATTACAAAGTCATCCGCACTGCATCCCCCTTTCGAAGTTTCCCCAATCGATATTTCAAGGATTCGTACGCATTCACCTAAGGCTTTCCCCCGGCCTGGCGAAGAGAGTAGTGCTGCACGAAATATGGGGATATTGTGTTGCTCAAGTTTTGTGGCGCAACGAAAGAGTAAGGTTTGTGCAGGTCCTGACCAGGTCTTGCACACCAGCGCAGCAGCTTTGAGGAGGGTATAGTTTGGGTTGCGTAGCGAGGTGTAGTACCCGTGTTCTAAGATGCATAAGACAAGTTCAGGAGGAACGAAAGACATCTGGAGAGTTTATCAGCTGAGATCTGAATTGCTAGACTCCGATCTGCAGTACGTCACCACCACTTGTTTTCAATTGTTCGAATCAGATATTTATGCGATGATTGGATTGCAGGTTTCTGGATATATGTGATGGTGATGGACCAGTATTGCTTGTCGCAGGGGCCAGTTAGAGGTTCAACGTTCAGAGTCGTCGAACTCGCAGTCAATAATACCCGGTTATCCGCCGTACAGTCATCCGATTTAAAGGCACAACTTATCTGACGTACTGCAGCGTCTGGCCCAAGCCTCCTTGCATGTCGCAACAATAAGGATGATTTGGTTCCAACTTGCATGTTCACAAGTTTCAGCGCAAAAGGATAAGAAACCATCCAGCTTGGAGTTACCTATACCACTTATTACCACTAACACTCAGGAAACTTAACATTACTGAATCAACAATTTCCGACACCATCAATCTAAATAGTCCTGTGGATAGTAAAACAACACATTTCAAGCTGACTCGTAACAAACTTTTACATGCGAATAATGAGCTGCTTGATCGCCGACATCCACAAGCCAATGTCGTCTGTCTGTGAGCCACGAGTGAGAAGGTCGACATGTATAGACAATGCAGCATCTCGGTCATGCGCCTCCATGGCTGTCAAGCAACCCTCGAATCAGGATTGCTCAAGCATATTGATGGGGAACACGTACCTCTGGCCAAAACAAGCAACTGGTCAACGACAGGCTTGGATAACGTTTCACAATTCAAAGCATCAAATAGAGGATTGATTCGGCGCTCAAGGTCATCGGCCATTCGTCTTTGTTGGGGCTATGGAACATTGTCAACAGAAGACCTTCAATCACAGAAGACAATCACGTACTTGCGTCGTCTGCTTCATCCGTGTGAGTTGCTCGTTGATGATATTGAAGATGGGCAACGCAGACTCGGGGATATGAGCCCGGTCTCCAGGGGCTAGAATTACTAATCAATTACGTGTCTGCTGCATCATTGAGAAGACGTACGATATTTTGGTGGCGGTGGACCTTGTCGAGAACGTGGAGGCTGCGTGTTGCTGGTACCTCCGGCTGATGCAACTCCAGGAGGTCCCTGCTGAGGAGGTAGACCGGCAAGCGGATGTGGTGCGGGAGGCACTCGCAGTGGACCCTGAGGAATTCCACGGGGCTGCTGCTGCTGCTGGACTTGGCCAGGAGGAAGTGCGTATGGACCTGGTGGTGGTTGCTGAGCTTGGCCGGAAGAAGGTGCATAGGGACCTGGCGGCGGTGCCAGAGGACCAGCCTGTCCTGGTGGAGGTGCTGCGTATGGTCCAGGCGGGCCGAGTGGCTGTCCAGGGCCACGTAGAGGACCAGGTGGTGGAGTAGCACGCGCGTACGGCCCAGGAGGCTGCAACTGAGCGGGCTGCATGGACGGCGAGTATGGACCAGGAACAGAAGGAAGAGGAGCATGCTGTTGGGCGGGAGACATCAACCGATTTGAGGGTGGTTGCATGCCCTGTGGATGAGCAGGAGGCCCAGAGGGAGGTCGAGTCTGAGAGGGAGGTGGTGGGTGCATCATCCGCTGTGCCACCCGACTTTGCACACTTGTTGGTCGTGGCGGAGGGGGAAGAGGAGCGTTCTGACCATGTCCACCCGCATGTGGGGAGCCAAGTGCAGGAGGGGACGCAATTCTGGGAGAAGGAGCATTGGGGAAGGGAGACACTATAGCCAGGGGCTTCTGAAGATTCAGTGAAGATGAGGCGCGACGATCATTGGTCACAACGGGAGCATCATTCCAGCCACCGTTTGGCATACGTTTCGGTGGTGCAGAAGGTATAGGACCACGGGACGGTGGCAAATGTTGGTGTTGGGCTTGGGCTGACTGTGGAACTGAAGTGGGGTGGATCGGCCTGGTAGCAGCGGGTACAGCATATGGATCGTAGGATGGCTGAGAGATGGATTGAACAGGCGCATATGTCTGAGCAGGGACAGGTGGCGGGTAGCTGGCGTAGCCAAATGATGCGGGGGGGATAGTAGACGTAAGGTCCGATTGAATGGCAGCACGGCTGGTGCCTGCTGCAGGAGCAACTGGGTTCACCTTGCGCTCTCCAGAAGCAATCAATAGACGCTCCCTGATTCCTGCACAGTCCAATGCAGACCCTATGTAATCTGTCGGCGTTAACTTCAAAAAGGTAACAGCCTCCTTCACCAAACCCTGAGTACTGAGCACGTCTGCATACTCAAAGTATCGATCGTACAACGCGGCGAGTTTGTACGTCTTGGCACCGGCGTCTTCACCTGGTACCTGTGCCAGATCGCCGTCCACATACTTGGTAGCATCGCGGAATACGGTCACCTTCTCTATGAAAGTGTGTAAAGCGAAGGCATGGGCTGCATACCGCGAATTGTTCAGTTGATCTTGATCATCCAATAACAAAATCTCCTCTTCGGCGAGCTCCTCGATCCAGATGTTTAAGAGTCTCTCCAGCTTTCCTGCAGCTAGATATGTCAAAGTCGCCGTCTTCCTCAACTCAAGGGAATCGTCCTCGTTCTCTGCACTGCCTTCATGCATCAGACTGCTCTGGAATTCCAGCCTACTCCCAAGTTGCTCCGCAAGGTTCGAAAACTCCTCCTGGCTCGCAAAGGTACACAGCACCACAAATATCTCCTGCCATTCTCGCAGATCGGCATTCTGTACGATGTCCGAGAGATCATTGGTAACAATGCTCTGGAATAAACGAAGATAGGGATATGAGGTGGTACGCCGTTCGAAGTAAGCCTTCTGGGTGCGTTGAAGAAGATCTTCGCCACCCTTGATCGCGAGTAAGATAGCGTCCGCATAGCGTTCGGCAGAAAGACACAACGAAACAGCAGACTCGAAGTCGCCGAGCACCAGTGCTTTCGTCACCAGCCCATCCGTCTCACTCTCGTCGGAGGGGTAGATCTTGAACGTGTTCTTCAGGTTCTCACTTGCTATACTCGAGGGACCAGACCCAATGGTAGCAGCGACACTTGAATCAAGACCGTAGTTATGATGAGGCACCTCGAGTTCGGGCGCAGCACCAATTGTGCTGAAGAAGTCAGCACCCGCATCCATCTGGGGTGTACCAAGGGCACCTTCATCACCAAAGAGACTTGGAGCAGTAGTCGTGGATTCACCATCTGTGACCTGGACGGCGTCGGATGCAACGCTGGCGCTTACCTCCGAAGGCGTCTTTTCGACACCCATTGTCGACAAATCCTCTTCACTGCCATCGTATTGTGCTTCTGGTTCTGCAAAGGACACCACTGGCTCGTGGGGTTTCGCTAGGTCCGCGCCAGCTTCATCCACGCTATAGCTGGACGTGTTGACTGATACAACTTCCTTCAGCTTCGCAACCGCTTCCTCGACACGCCCCTTGATCTCCTCTTTAGAGTAACCTAACAGCGTGACAAGTTCGTCCCTCGAATTCGCACGGAACAAACTAAGGAGGGCCTTCCAGCCATCTTCACCAGCTTTCTCCAGGCGTACTCGCTCTTCTGCGAATGTGCTCAAGGTATTGGTCTCCACAGCTTGTTGTAACTTTTGCGCCCGGTCGACAATATCTGTCTCTGTGATAACTTTTCGGATGTGCACTACGCTGCTCTGGTTTTTCCCTGAGGCTGCAGGTAAATTACCAACGCTGACGAGCTGCCCGCCGAACCCAAACGAACAGGAAGATGGGCGGCGAAGCCACTTGGGTGGTTGTTTAAGACTGAGCGTCGGAGCCGTGGTACGGGAGTAACCTGGCACGTCAAACACATCTGCACCATCGAGTTTTGGGGTCACAGGGGGGACTGTAGCATCATTTGTAGACTGGATAGAGTGAATCCCAACCGTGCCATCGAAGAAAGCGGTAGCCAGAAGATCAGGATTTCGTGGGCACCATTCCACTTGGAAAGCCCAATTACCCGCAGAAGGAAGCTAGTTAAAGACAAAGTTAGAACATTAGACTTCAATAAATCGAGCCATACCTCGCCGATGATCTCAGATGTCTGCGGGTTCCAACACAGGGCGCGGTTGTCCTTTCCACACGAAAGCAAGAGGTCTGCATCATGCTTGCACCACGAGAGCGACAAAACACCCTTCTCGTGCCCCGTAAGGATCTGAGAACAACACGGGGCACATTAACAGTGAACGAATGGATATATTAAAAGCGTACTTTTTCCGGTGCGCGTGCGTTTCGAAGATCCCAAACCATGATGACGGGAGACAAGTCATCCTCGGAAGCTGTAACAAGACGAGTTGCCTGAATTGAAATCCCAATTAGTTCCCGTGGCATAACTGTTAGAATTGTGAGCGCCTACATTGTCAGGGTGCCACGCAATCGCACTCATGCCGCGTCTGCCGCCAACGGCCATTCCACTACCAACGCCACTTTGGCCTGCAAGCGTGCCCGCACCACCGCCGTAAGCAAGGGCGACTACCTCACGTTTCCCTCGCAGATCCCATACTACAGTATAGCCCGTACTGCTAGCGCCTGCAAGCACGTATTGTACTTGTTGGTTCCAAGCAACAGAAGTGATTTCATCAAGCTTTGTGCTCCTCGTGCCCGGCGTAGGAGAGTACGGCTTCGACGGGTCATTGAGATCCCAGATATAAACCTATATTGCGACAAACGTGTTAGGGGGAGAATGATTTGCGATTTGCAGAGGAGAGTCTGCGCACCTCGCCGTTGATGGCACCAGAAGCCAGAAGGTTTGTTTGTATGGGGTTGAAATCAAGGCCACGGACAGGACCAGTATGACTGGTGTTGCGAAGGATCAAAGATTCACAGACGCTGGGTACGCTAGTCAGCTGATGAAACCTCGTAAGAAAATGTACGTACTCGGCATTATCAATAATTTTTGCTGGGTCCCACAGGGCAAGTTCGCCGTTCTCCATACCAGCTGCAATGACCCCACGTGAGCGGTCTCTATGCACTTGACCCCATGCAAGACGGTTGAACCTATGACGATCATTTTCATGGACTTCTATTGTTGCACGCGACTAGCACGCTCACCTTGAGCTGTCGGTGACCGCGCCCTTTGGGGCAGGCAAACCATCTCCTCCGAGATCATATTCGTTCTTGTCCATGAAATCAGGTTGCCATATCTCGAGCTGAGATTCATTCGAAAAAGACTCGTCGAGTGCGCCAGCAACCGAGCCAGTCGCAATGAGGGGGAGCGACGCGGTCGGTGACCACGCAAAAGTGGACGTCCTGTAGATTTCTTTAAGCTTCATGACGGATGTTTGGGTCAAGCCCTTCAAGACGTGTCAATATCTACGAAAACTTGTCCGCAGTTTTCGTACAAAGTCTACTAAACGTGGTTCGTTATCTACCAAATATGTATATAACAGTTTGTGCTAAATTTGTCACCCTGGTAACTATTCTGGTATTTGCACTCTTCGACCTGTAGTGCCTCGGACAATTCAGAATAACATTGACCAACACCATGATGGACACTACTTCCTGTACTTCCGAGAAAAGTTTCAACTCGTGGAGGATGATGCTGTACTTGCGACAACATCATACTTTCCTCAGGACTTTGGCTTGTCAAATATGTACACCTATTGGTGTACTAGTTGGGACAAAACCAACCACTCTCCCGAAAGTCACTGTTATCATACACGGAATTTATACTGCCTCACGTCACCCTTGCACTCCGTAGTCAACGGATAACCACTTCGCTGTGCATCGAACATGCCCAAGACTGAACGCCTTCGTCTGCCATGCTCCGGCTTGACCAATACGAGCTGTGGAATACGAGGTGTGGGCAGTTTGCAGAGGCTTTCTATTGATAATTTCATCATGTCAGTCTTCTATCGCGCTAACTTGCATTCTAAGCCATCTTGATCGGCACTCTGCGATGCCGGCTCATTTGTTCGATCGCGAGGAGATTGACTGAGATGCTGTGTATTTTCGCTCTGATTCGTCGGAAATGTCGCCCTTTGACCCTGTAGTGGCTCTGTTAGGTCCTGCCCTGTTTCAAAATTTCATTGGTGATTAGTGAAGACGGTGAGAACTATGGAGAAGTTCGGCAGTATTCGCTTAATCGACACCGAAGTCTCCGCAAGCTCAGAACGTTCACGTTTGTCTCCTCCTTCGCTTCGTTTCCATAGTATGGTGATTTCCTCAGTCATGTTTAATCAATCATTGATTTGACGTCTTACTTCAAAGTCACGCTTTACTCAATATGACGATCAACTCCCCGACACGCTGGCCTCTACCCTGGCACTGAAATCATGACAATAAGGTTTGCACGCTCTCAAGCTCCGGAGCAAGGCAAAGTCATGAGCAAGGCAAGGTCCTCATGAGAGGACATGACTCCAAGAGCGCCGTACATCTGTTGACTTCCACTTTCATACGAGCGTCAAGGATAGTTGAACCTGCTTTTGCTTTTGGCCAGACTGCCGCTCAATCACTGGCCAGCCTGTATTCGCCAACTATATGCTTACACTCACACTATGTATTGCCCATCGTCCACAGGTAAACTGGATCTCATTTCTCGCGTACGCATCAGACCGCGTGTTTTACAACCTGTTTGTCTCGTGTACAATGCCTCATGGTCGCCAATAGTCCTCTTATGTGTTTCCCGGTTTAAAAGCTGCGTTCACAAATCACCCATGTAAGAGCCTCACCCGCTCACAATGTTTGCTTCCTCCTTCAATCCCGCTGTCCGACCTCCCACCCGTTGTGGAGCAGCCAAAGTACGAGATGTGTTTGTTACCCATATGCCTCACGCTGATCACGTTGTGCTGTGCAGAATTATTTCCTCCCGGTCCCGTCGGGCTTCTCTCTCCAGGTTTTCAAGGCCCCGACGATGTCTGCACGTCCGTATGCAGCGAAAGTGGACTTAGACTACCGTCCTATGGCACGGGCGGACTCTCAGTCGAGACAACAGTCCGGACACGTTCCTCGCCAGCAGGAACCCACGAGGAAGCTATTAAAGGCTCCTCCGCCTGAGGAGACAGGCTTTGCTAAGCGATCGTACGAGCACAAGCCAAGCTCCGGGAGATACGCTATTCACGCCGGACCTGTGCCCGACACATACATTTATGAGCGCTCAATATCGTCCAAGGTTCCATACCCCTACTCGCCTTCTGACGTAACGAGCGAATGCGACTCTATATTCTCAGTGAACACACAGATCTCTTCCGGCTCATCGAGCAGCAGCAGCGTCACGGATAGCCCCCCAAACACGCGGATGCTTCAGATCAGAGCTGCTTCACCGAGCTCTGAGCAAACACATTCGCGTTCACCCCATTCGTACCACCCCAGGGGTATGTCGACTTTCCCACAAGGGCATTCATGCCCTTCATGTGGTGAGGCGAGTTCTCCGCCAAGAACTTCATCTATGGCTGGCAATAAGGGGAACTACGCCCCTTATCCTTCACGTCCACTCCCCACACCCCCAGTGAGCGCTAGAGTACGTAAGGACAGCATTCTCCTAGCAAGCGAGCGCTCTATTATGTCATATGACACCCGTCAGCACTCGACATCACTCAAGCATGGTGAACGCGTGCCATTCCTGGCTCCACCGGTAGTTGAGCAAGGGAGAAATAATATGGGAATGCAGCTGTCGCGCTCATCGTCCCTCAAGGGAAACCTCTCCATTAGTATCCCACCACCTCCGGGTTTGGATTTGGTCCCTGGTGGTCATTACGAGTACCCTCCTGTTCAGGGACCCGTACAGGACACTGAACCAAATTTCCGACCGCCTAGCGCACCGCATCGCCGGAATTTTGATGGCGATCACATCCAAACCTTGCAACAGCAGCCGGGGTGCCTCGCACGGTCTGTGCGGTGGTGCGATGATTTGATATGTCCATCGCCTATATTCCCGAATCAGAGAAGGAAGGGATGGTTTAATCGCAGAGGGTGTGTCGCACTTTGTTGATGTGTATGAAGGCTAACCCGTAATTCTTTAGAGACCAGCTCTGGCGAAACGATGGTTCCTACCGGGCACCAGCACCAGGAGACGCGTACCCTCCTGACCTTGAGGGCTATCCAGAGCCCGGAGGGGGATGGCAGAACGAGGAAGGAACTCGCATTGACATCAATCATCGTTTGATACCCAAACCTCCGCTGCGCTCTGTATTGAAGCCAACGAATTATAAGTGTCAGGATGGTATTATTGCTGGTTACCTCACCGCTGTCCCCTCGCCGACATCTGACGACGAGTGACAATCGGATGCATCACGAGTCCGCTTCCCCACTTCATCATTATCTAGCACGCACGCACGCACTCTCCAATCAACTTTTCGCTTTCGATGTTTTATTCGTTCAGGTGTTCTCCGCCACATTTTATCGGAGCTGGTATACTGTCTCTAGCATTATGACGGTGATAAGTTACATCCTTGCATGTTTGTACATTAGTCTGATGAGAGAGATATGACCTCATATTCATCCCCGCTCGTCCTTGTATTTAATCTGGCGGGAATTCCCTTCGCCTGCCTTTCACTCTTTCGCCGTTTCTTGGTTGGTTGAGGCGGCCTAAGCGAGTAAGCCCAATCTGCATCGTCATCATCGTCATCATCCGACTCCTCGGCATCAACCATCTTTATCTGGCTCGTAAAATCTTCTCCGTCAATTTCGTCTGGGTCCGATACATCTTCATATACCCTTTTCTTTCTTGGTTGGGCTGGTTTCCGAATTCGTGACGGGCCAGCAGCGGTGCTGTCTTGAAGATCCAGCATATCAGGAGATTGCCCGTTAATAGCAGCCTTCTTGCTCTTTACTTTACGCCCATGTCTCCTGAAGGAGCATTGGATTCTGGGCCCGCCTCCGTTAACGATATCTTCGCGAGCGAAGCGGGTGAGCCGGAGCGCTTGATTACCGGGTGCGACGTAAACATTCACAGTGTATGCCGTGGACGAAAAGACCTCCTCGAGGTACCGCAACACAAGCATCTGCACAATTAGCGACTCCATATCCTTTCACATCAGATCAGATCAGATCAAACTCGACATGGGAAATAAGAACTCACGTCTTTTGACAGCCTCACTTTACCCCCAGCCACAGAATCATAATCAATCTGTATCTTCTCTTTAGCATTCCGGCGCTTTCCGCCGCCACCAGTTTCGAATGAACCACCACCCAAACCGCGCGCCAGGTCACTGAGGCCAGAAATAGTCAACCGCCCGCCGCTACCTTCTACAGCTTCGAGTATCTTTAGAATCTGCCACGTTTCAACTGTAGCGTCCTTGTGTTCCACGTTGGCAGGAAGTCTTGTGCAGTTATCGCAATGGCCACATCGGTCCATTGCATCTGATTCGTTCGTGGTCCATGAGGCCATAGAGAGATCGGATGATTCCGAAAAGTATCTATAACGATCGCCGGACGTTCTTGTGACACAAGCACGGATTAGGCTTACCTTGCAAATAAGATCTTGCGGCATTCTTGCATATCTTGCGCGAAACGTAATATATCATGCACTAAGGGGGACATGGGGTAGTCTTTCATGATGGTTCATATTCAAATATGGAGATGACTCACATTTCACCATGCCGTCCTGATCACTGCAAGTAATGGAAGCCTGACGAGTAGCATCCTGTGGACGATAGTACAACACGCAGTCTGCATCTTGGCCATCTCGCCCAGCACGCCCAGACTCCTGATAATACCCGTCGAGAGACTTCTGTGAAATGGCGAGCACTCGGTGAATACGCAGAACACTGCTTTGAGGCTTCACGAACCGATATCTTGGGTGCCATTTTAGCAACTGAATTGCAGAAAACACCTGAAATGAAAGACGCACTGTATGGTGGAGCACGAATCTAACATTGCCCTTGTCAATCCCTAGGCCAAAAGCTACCCCAGAGGTCATCAAGACCCGAAGTCCATGTGATGTGACACATGAGGCGGACCTATTGTAGCGCAAACTACCTGAACTTTCCCTTCCCTCCATTGCATGTGAAGCCTTTCTTTCTGCTCATCCTCGACATTCGCGTGGTAGACGCCTGTTTTGATGCGGTCGTTGCTCACCGCTTGGATGCTTTCAGCAACCGATTCTGCATCCTTCAAAAATGTGAAGTCGATCTCCGCGATGGCTTGGATCAAAATACCTTTCTTGTGAGGCAATATATGATACCACTATCATTTCTGTGATTTTGCATAATGTAGTCCGACATTGTCACAATGAGCTCTTTTGCTGAAGATGGTTTTGGCAAGACAATGTAATGCAGATTTTTGCGGTACAGAGGAGCAGAAAAATACACTGTACCATCTGGTGGGGCAGCTGTGCGCAATGTCATATCGCTTTAGTTGTTCGCACATTCAAAAAAAAACATGCACACCTTTCCCATCTATCACCGGTTTCATTTTGAGAATCTTGAGAATATCTTGGAGGACTCTCGGAGGGCAGGTTGCAGACAATGCGAGAATGGGCACATGAGGAAAGAACTGGCGAAGGATGCTCAGTTTTTTGTAGTCTGGGCTGATGCGCGATCGGTGAGATGGTTGTATGTCTGTAGGAGCGAAAAATGTACCGAAAATCGTGACCCATTTGAGAAGCGCAGTGAGCTTCATCGATAACGATCCGAGCTTGTGCAAACTAATTATATGATTTCAATATTACGGGCTCGGAGCCTACCAAGCTTTCCACCTTCCACAAGCTTGCGCAGAAGAGACATAAATGTCTTGCTTTTAGCTATTTTCTCTGGCTGATCATAAATCAGTACAAGATCGTTTTTTCGGTTGCTGTATTACCGTGACGTAGCATAATTTAATGTCCCGACCTTGATGTCCATGCGCTCGAGACGATGCCATGGATGTTAGTCTCTGCTGAATCTCGTTAAGTAAGGGACGTGGAGTTCCCCCTGTTAACATTACAGCTTCCACTGAAAGGACCTCAATATCGAAGACAAGAAATTTCAGATAAAAGCAAATATACCTCCTGACTCTCTCAGGTGTAGAATCTGATCCGTCATCAGGGAAATAAGGGGAGATATCACAAGTGTACACCCTGGTGTCAGGAGAGCAGGAAGTTGATAGGTTAATGACTTGCCACCTCCTGCAACAGTACGTTAGCAACGGGTAAAAGACGTCGTCCATCGTCCTACCGGTGGGCATGACACACACAATATCTCGGCCATCCATATTGGCATTGCAGACTCTGTTAATGGACTTTTAAGATTCAGAAAGCAAGTCGGACACCGCACTGACCCTTCCTGGCACAGCCGAAAGTCACCAATATTGAAAACCTTCTTCATGGTCAGCTGCAGCTGTGTTGACCAGTCGAAGCTAACAGTGTAGTCGACTGTAGCTGTTTTGCCCTTACCCTTAGTCCGGACAGCGTCATTGAGCCCCCTTGATGGTTGCACAAGGTTGATACGGCTGCGTTCTCGAGTGAGGTCGTCTTTTTCAGCAATTAAGGTCCCCCGTAGAGCAGTCAACTTTTTTATCTGCTCGTCTATCCCTTGTATTTCAACCTCTAGAGAAGACAATCGGGTGTTGACATCATGTTTTTGAAGATACGACGGCGTCTTCGCAGATTGAGATGGATGTGCAACATTAATAGGCACAATGGGACGTTGATCCATGAGCGTCATCTCAAGAATATCTTCCATCTGCGAAGGTAAACGTCAACGAAGACTACCGGAAATTGAATCCTAGTACCCACGTCATCTGATCCGACATGATCTGAAAGGTAGCTCGACTTATTGCGATTCATGTATCGTCGTGAAATGCTCCGTACTTTTCCTGTGTCTATATAAAGCCAGCCCAAGGCTCGGTCACGGTCGCGACGGAGACTCTGAGTAGTGGTGCACACTAGGCACGGGTGATGTCAAGGCAGTGAAAACAGACGCAAGCGGCACGTGAAGCGGACGCGACGCGTCTAGATCATTGTGACATGTGACAACTGATTCCGAATCAGAGTCAAGCCCAGTGGGGCCCCAGCGCTCAGCTGCCAGTGGCAGCCCGTTTGTATACGGTAGTGCCAACATTCCATTAGATCTCTGTAAGTCATCAGTCGCTTCAGTGAAGTTGCTGAGCGCTGAATATTGAATCATGGCACAGTGAAGCTTGTCTAAACAATAAAAATCACAACTGTTGGCTGCATACATGGTTTCGTAACTTTCGTTGAGAGTCATTGGCAAAATTCACAGCAGACTCCCAGAACTCCGCTCAGCTGAGTCAGTTTCTCCGAGCCCGCGGCTGAATTATTGCTGCCGCATCAGCCTTGTCTAATTTAGTCGTGCGTCTTTATTTCTGCCTAGACTTTGCTCTTGGTATCGGTTTTCCCGGCATCAATCTTATCAATGCTTTGTATTTGACGCTTACCAAGTCGACTTTTCCAGATTGTATTTTCTCGTCCACGCTGTGAATCTAATCTCCCCTCCAATAGGATCAGCGACATTCAAACGGATCGACGGCCAGCTTCTACATAATACACATCCTTTGGTTATCGGACTGTCATTCCTTTTACGTTTATAGTGACATGGACATGAAGCTTATACGTACACAGCGCACTCTACGCGTAAACCCTTGAACCCCAAGTAGGTTGTTCAGGAGACAGTCTGACATGATTCCTTTTGGTCTAGTCGCATGAGGATGCATTTTCAAGCGTAAGCAATGCCTTTTCCTGTCAGAATCTTCCCTTACAGTGACCACATGACTCCTTTTTATTGCCTAGCACTAATTAATCAGATTTGAACATGAAACATGACATGTCGACGACCAAGTTGTCGAGTTCCACTAACGAAATATTGTTATCTTGAAGCAGGGTCCATTATAATCATATTTTCCCCATTCATCGTGCTATGAATATGTCAAGCATATGGGTCCGCTTCACCACGCTACCGTATCATACGATCACCCCACGCTACCCGGTCATTATTACTGAGCCGGGATTCCTCCTACTTGCGAGATCTCCAGAACGAAAGACGGATAGCAATGGTGTAAGTGTTGACTTGGATCATGTGTGGTTTCTGGTGCTCGCACTTTCCAAAGGGATTCCCGCACTTGTGCTGTCCTCAGTCATACTGAAACCACTCCTATTTGACAGTGTCGGCCGAAAGTCTATTCTTGACCTCGCCTCCCCGAGACAAAGACGAAACGTCTCCTGTGACATTCTCGTTATAGATGAGAGATCACGCTAGTATTATTCATCCATGGGCTTTATGGTTTAATGGGCGAGGCATCGGTCCATTACAGGGGAAAATACTGATACCCTGACTGCTTGTCAATCTCATTGTTACTCAGATCTCTCTCCCATTAGCATTTAAAAGCGCATCTAGCTTTTGGTAGCGAAAGACTCGGTTCCAATGATAATGGACAATGCCAGTAAACGCATCAGCTCGCCCTCGTATACGTCTCATGTTCCACAGGAGCCTGAGCAAGAGTTGATACTCGTAAGTCATTATCATATTTCATTTCACGTACAAGAATGTTTACGATGATCAGATTAAATTTGACGAAGGGGACCCACGCGATCCACAAAACTTTTCTTATGCGCGGAAGTGGGCCATCACGCTGACAAGTTGTGTGTTCTCTGGAATCACGGGTAACTTCGGGTTTTAGTGTTGTTGTCATTCTATCTGATATTTGCAACAGCGGCGTCAGCGTCATCTTATTCGATCAGTTATGAGTCGATGATGCATGACCTAAATTGTACTCAACTTCAGGCGACTGTTGGACTGAGCGTGTACGTAATAGGTTTTGGGATTGTCCCATTGGTTTCTTCGTCATTCAGTGAGGTAAGAATTAACCAGTTTGCTGTCGTTTATCATTGACTGGCATCTATATTTTAGGAGACTGGAAGACGGCCCCTTTACATTGTCTCGTCCGTATTATTCATGCTTGCTGAAGTTATGAATGCATTGTAAGTTGTCGTCTAATTGTTGTAACATACAGGCGCTCATCACTAGTAGGGCACCGAACATACAAACTGTGATCGTGTCACGTATGCTACAAGGAGTCTTTGGCTCAACTGGTGCATCCTTAGTCGGAGGCTGTATCGCTGATATATGGCAGCCACACGAGTAAGGCAGGATACTTACAGCACCGTAACACACTTATTGATAAATATTCCAGACGTGGATTGCCGATGTCTTTGTTTGCATTCTCGGCGCTATTCTCTTTTGGCCTCGGGTCAGTGTTTGGGGGGCTCATAGTCGCCAATCCACACCTTGGTTGGCGGTGGGTTCAATGGATGCATGCTATGTGCGTCGACAAAAAAACCGTGTCCTGCTGCCTCTTTGAACATTCTTCCCAGCATTTCTGGAGTATATGTTCTTGATGTCATCCTGGTGATGAGCGAAACCCGTTCATCCATTGTTCTAACCCGCATCGCAAAAGACACACGAAAGATGACCGGTGACCCCAGGTATCGGTCTAGCGCCGAAATCAACAAACCAAGCATGTTATCTCTCATTAAGACGTCGTGTACACGGCCCTTGTGTACGCAAAACAGTTATTTGCCGATTTTTCCTAACCTTGCGATCACAGATCTACTCTTGACAGAACCTATTGTCCAGAGCTTTAGTGTCAGTGACCACTGATTATGTGTCTTCACTGGCGGTTGACGATATTTGATAACAGATCTGGCTTGGTTTCACTTGGGGGGTCGTGTACTGTTTGCTCGAGTGAGTGCTATCGACTCCTGGATAGAAGTCAGTCGCTAAAGTGAGTTTAATAAAAGATCCGTCACCTCGGAGTTCCAGTCTGTCTACAACTTCAGCATTAGCGAAACAGGACTTACATTCCTTTGTCTGAGGAAAGTTATTTTGTTGCACATGCACGCCGTATTTGATCTCTCGTCTTGACAGTATCGGATCCATCATTGGCTTGATGGTGAATATATACCAGGATACCTTGTACAAGTAAGAAAGTCAGTACCAGACATTCGTCATGACTCATGCTATTCAGAAAATACTTTCCGACAAAGGGCCAAGAAGCACGACTATATATGGCGTGTATCGCTGCTATTGTCCTACCCATCTCAATGTTTATCTATGGATGGACGGCATCACCTCACATTCCTTGGATAGTACCTCTGATTGCATTAACTGTACGTTGATTCTCAACAGTGTTTAAAGTTGGTCGTTTTGACGGATTCGCAGGCATTTATAGCTGGCGTCTTTGTAATATTCCAAGTTGCATTTTTGTATCTTGCAGACTGGTATGTGTCTAGACGCATCTGTCTTGCAAATGTTTGACGGATGAAACTAGCTATGGCCCGTATGCCTCCTCAGCCCAAGCAGGACAGAGCTTGGCTCGTGAGTCTGCACTTTTTGTTTATTTATTCTGCTGAACCAGATCATAAAAAGGAAATACTATGGCAATGGTCTTTCCGCTCTTCACGCAGCAGATGTTCGCCGGTATGTCATATAAGTGGGGACTGACACTCTGGGCGCTACTATCGCTGGTGATGGCGCCAATTCCATGGGTGTGTGAATTTGCATACACTGATTGGTAGCGAAGTCTTAGAGGTTTTTTTTCATACAGGTCCTTGTCTTCTTTGGTTCAAAGATCCGGTCGCATAGTAAAGTCTCTCGCAAAATTCTCGAAGCTGAGGAACAACAATTAGACGGTGAGAAAACTGTTGTTTCCAGCCCCATTGAGGAAACAAGTATGCGAGTGTGACGAACTGTTTGGTATATCACAAGTCAACAACTGTAATGATCCTTCATCTGATCAACCCACGGATAAATTTATGTAGTACAGATATATAGACTCGGACACGCCCTCCGAAGATGACTACGATTATACATGAATATTGAATATGAATATTTATTTGGCCATGTACACTCACATAAGCAAGCACTTCGATGGCTATGACGGGGTCAGTAATGCAGCGTATCGAAATCATAGGTCTTAATCTTTCCGCAAGTCAATATTGTCATAAGTACCCAGCAATCCATAGTCCATGACGAAACTCATTCCTTCACTGGCTTGTAGGCATCAACTTAGCAAAGAATTCCCTAGACGCACAGTTTTCTTGACTATGATGCACCCAGGATTCGGCAGGTGAGATACTACGGAGTCCATCACTACAGCTCCATACCATACGCCAGGGATAGTATCTGCACAAGGTATTGCTAATCAGATTGGTCAAGAGGTGCTGGAGCGAACGGCAAACAGTTAAACAGAATTTCACACACCAGACTGTTCAATGGTGCGATCCAGGCCCGACAGTCGGATGTACAGCCGGCCCGGGCCAAGACCATGATTAGTACATTCCGAGGGCATTGGCATGATAGGGTTTTGAAGCCTGTGAACTACTAAAGCTTCAAGCAGAGACACCAGACCAGCTGATCATGCACACGTGGAACCAAAGACGGCTTACCGTGGCTAGCAGACTCGGAGATCTTCTTTCGAATCCAAATAGAGGCCGGGGTTATCACAAGGCGCAGGTCCATGACACGATGCAAATGAGTCACTATCGCTCGGCGTCCTACTATTACTACTGCTGGTAGTAGCAGTGATCATCTGAATCAATTTGATCCGAGTAGTAGTAAGTAAGTGAATTGGCAGCTGCATGGCAGCGTGGAATCTTTGGATCGGCGCCCAAACTTAATCAAAATCTAAGCTTAGTAATATTAGCCGGGTCTTTCTCCGAGTAGTATGTAATGTTGATTCTCGAACGGGAGTCTGCAGGCCGCCGCCTGCTTCACGAATCACGACATACACGTACCATGATCATCATGATAGCGCTCGCCCGTCAGCTTAAAGCATACAGTACCGGTCTGCCCCATCTAGGCGTTTTCTAGGGAAATATGATTACCATAGTGGGGTTTCTCGCGACCGCCTTCATGTCTCCGCAAGTGGTAGTGGCAAACAGTTCCCAGACTAGTAGTGGACAGTTGGTGCGTGTAGCCTTGTTCTATCGAACGACGACTAACCTTTTAAGCTCAGCTTAAGATAAGGTGTAAATTATTGACATCCCATCGCAGACCGCCTCGACTTCTCAAGCTGCGGTTGAGGGGTGCCTTCTTACTTCCATGCATGAATTGCGGCATATATTACAACAAACACTAAGTTTTTGGCCACTAGTTCTGCACTCTCATGAGATCGGTGTAGATTTGCTTGTTGTGTCCAGTCATGGTGAATGGAACACCCTGTTGGTTCAGAATTCGTATCCCCGGGCTAGAACACTGACGTAGTTGCAGCGTTTTACATTTCCTTTTGGGCTGGTGTTAAATGGATCCGTTATTCTAGTGGGGCGATGGTGACGCAAGAAATCCTATGATGCGTGTGTGGTGTTGAGGTATTATTATATTATCCTCCCCCCGCGCAGGCATATACCGGATGTCCCCGTATACTGTTGCAGTATGCGATCAAGTGAGCTTCCTGGATTTACTCATCACGTTCTGTTCCTTGGGTAAATTATGAGTGTTCGCCCCCAAGTGTGGCAAATCATTTTCTATGCGTCACCGGTGGAACTGATTATCTTTATAACAGGGTGGATATCGTGATTTTTAACTTCTTCGTTTCGAGCGGGCTGTCAAGGACAGGAGCCGAACAGTTGACTTCTCAAACTTTTGAAGTCGCCAACAAGACAGCTGTTATCATGCCGTCAGCTATTTGTCTCAAAGATGACCTGCCAATACTCTTGTAATTCATCCTCTACCAGGTAACCCTGTAGTATGAGGATGCACTCTAATGAGGTCAAGCGCCAAAGCTAATAATTGTAGCCAATATCTGACTTCTACCACGCAGACTTCTTAGGTCATAACATGGCCCTTCTGCACGGCGGCTGCTACGACTCTGCACATCAGAACTTTTGGTTATCAGCCGGTTCATTGTACGTATATAGTGATATGGACACGAGGGCTTACACGTATTCAGTGGGCCCGAAAACCCCTGAATCGGCTTTTCTGGCTGGTTCAATTTTTTCAATTCGCATCGTAAGCACACTTTCCTTATAAGGAACCTTCCCTTGCAATGACCCTTGACTCGTTTTTATTACCTAGTAGAAGCAGGGAGAGGTGACAACCTTGACAAATTGAAAAATCTGTGCTTGGGTTTTACCAGGGTCAATCGCATCTAACCCAATTGCCGCGACTCGATCAGTATAATCAACAAGATTATTTGTTATTCTAGGTTCTGTCATATTTGCCCCATTCATCGCGCTCCTCCGCACAATTGATAAGATAGAATTGCGGTGCCACTATTCATACGCATGACTGCACCTGACGGCATGCTGTCCCGTTTGAAGAGGGACTCCTGCATCATTTTACACCGCTCCTACTCCTATCGACAGTGTTGCAAATAAATTCTCCTTATAGGCGGAGAGGGATGGTGGTATTACTCATGCACGGGCTTTATGGTGTAATAGGGGAGACATCACGGTCCATACCATGGAAAGACCCTGGTACCCTAATGTTTGTTACTATTATAGCTCCTGCCCCGTCGACAGTTAAAAGGCCATCCAACTTCTAATCGAAAGACCAAGTTCTGATGATAATGGCCCACACCAGTAAAAGCATCATCTCACCCTCGCCTATAACTCATGTTCCACAGGAGCAGGAGTTTATACTTGTGAGTCATTGTTACTGTTACAATTATTTTCCACATCCAGGAATGTTGACGTTGAGCAGATTAACTTTGACGAAGGAGACCTACGGGACCCAAAAAATTTCTCTTATGCGCAGAAGTGGACGATTACTCTGATATGTTGTGCATTCGCTGGAATCACAGGTGACCTCGGTTTTTAGTAACGGTGTCCTTCCATCTAATAACTTCAACAGGGGCTGCAGCGTCATCATATGCGATCAGTTATGACTCCATGATAAAGGATTTGAATTGCACTCGACTGCAGGTGACTTTGGGGCTGAGCCTGTACGCGATAGGTTACGGGATCGTCCCTTTGATCTCTTCATCATTCAGTGAGGTAAGAACTGGCCCTAATTTTGGTGTCGTTGGACATAATCGCATCTGCGTCTCAGGAACGCGGCAGACGACCTGTCTATATCATGTCGTCTACTTTGTTTTTTCTCGCTGAAGTTATGAATGCATTGTAAGTTGTCGCGTCATTGTCACAACAAACAGGTTCTCATCATTAGCAGGGCACCAAACATACAGACCGTGATTGTGTCGCGTGCACTACAAGGGGTCTTTGGTTCATGTGGTGCATCGTTGATTGGAGGTAGCATTGCCGATATATGGCAGCCACATGAGTAAGGCAAAATACCTATGGTAGCGCCATTTTTGACACTGTTGCAGACGCGGATTGCCAATGTCTCTGTTCGCATTCTCATCGCTATTCTCTTTCGGCCTCGGGTCCGCGTTTGGGGGGCTCATTTCTGCCAGTCCGCACCTCGGTTGGCGGTGGGTGCAATGGGTGCATGCTATGTGTGTCCACAAAACTACATGTTTGAGGTTCTCGTTAAATTTTCTTGTCAGGTTCACTGGGGCATTCATGCTTGCCGTCATCTTATTGATGAACGAAACCCGTTCATCGATTATTCTAACTCACATTGCGAAGGACACGAGAAAGATGACTGGTGACCCCAGATATCGGTCCAGCGCTGAAATTGACAAACCAAACATGACATCTTTGATCAAGACGTCGTGCACACGGCCATTGTGTATGTAAAATAATCTTCCGCAGAGTCTCTCCTAACACAACTCCAGATTTTCTCTTCACGGAACCCATTGTGCAGAGCATTAGTGTCAGTGACTATGATGTTGTGTGCCACCAATGGCAGTTAATGTTATTTCATGGCAGCTTTGGATAGGCATCATCTGGGGAATCCTGTACTGCTTGTTCGAGTAAGTGTCGTCGATCTTTAGATCAAATTCGGTTGCTAAAGTGGGTCGCACGAAAGATCCGTCACGGCAGAATTTCAATCCGTCTACAACTTCAGCGTCGGCGACACAGGATTTGTACTCCTGTGTCAAAGGAAAGTTATCATATTCCTTACATGCAGCGTATCTGATCTTTCACCTCAACAGTGTTGGAGCTATCATAGGTTTTATGGCGAACATGTATCAGGAATCCCTGTATCGGTAACAAATTCAACACATGACATTTGTCGTGGCTCATGCCATCCAGGAAACATTTTTCGACAAAGGGCCAAGAAGCACGGCTATACATGCCATGCATCGCTGCTGTTGTCTTGCCCATCATGATGTTTATCTACGCATGGACGGCATCACCTAACATTCCTTGGATAGTGTCTCTGATTGCATTAACTGTACGTCGATTTCTCAACGGTGTTTAAAGTTGGTCGTTTGATGGATTCACAGGCATTTATGTCTGGCGTCTTCGTGATATTCCAAGTTTCAATTTTGTATGTTGCAGACTGGTATGTGCTTCGCCGCATCTATCCTGTACATGTTTCATGTATAAACCTAGCTATGGCCCATATGCCTCCTCGGCTCAAGCAGGGCAGAGCTTAGCTCGTGAGTCCTCTCGCTTCCTGCTTATTTATTCTATTTAACTAGGGAACCGAAGGAAATGTAATGGGATTGATGTTCCCGTTGTTCACACAGCAGATGTTTGCTAGTATGACATATAAATGGGGACTGACGCTCATGGCGCTGCTATGCGTGTTAATGGCACCAACTCCATGGGTGGGTAAACTACCTGCATGGCGATTAGTGCTCACAGATTTCACTTTATTTTTCACGCAGGTCCTTTTCTTCTATGGTTCAAAAATTCGCTCTCGCAGTAAGATCTCTCGCAAGATTCTCGAGGCTGAACAGCAGAAATGGGACGCCGACACGACTGTTGCTTCCAGTCCTATTGAGGAAAAAAGCATGCAAGTGTGAAGAATTCTTTGTTGTCATATCAAGACGTATATAATGTTTTCATCGACCTGACCCAAGCCTGGCCCCTGTTAAAGATACGCAGACTGCAAATCAAATGTATAAGTTTATTCTCATTGCTAGTCGATTTCGCTGGCAGTCTTCATGGTGACAGAGGTATACTTAGTACTACGATAAATATTCGTTGGAATGAGTGCATGAGAGGTCATAGACAGTGTCGGTTCACATTTTGAATGCTCTGGAGCTCCACAACAGCTGGACAGACGATCGAAATGTGTGCGACCTGAAAGGAGTGGCAATGACCATGGAATTCTACGGAATTACATGCCAAGCAAACATGTTACCGTCTCGATTCTCGAACCTCCATTGGACCCACTCGCCATGCGGGCGAAATATTTTCCAGGTAAGCTTCAACCTATGCCTTTCGGTGATTCCTGAGACCTACTCATTGATCCACTTATCTTACAGACGTTAGGCTTTCACATTCGCTTAGTGTCTGCCGCTCCAATGGTTTCACAGCACTATTTACTCCTGATACCGAAACGAATCATCGTATCGACACCCAATTAGCCCAGAAGGCACAAGCAAATCAGACGCCCGTGGAGCCCAATACAGCATTGGCCCCTATTACTGCCACAACCTCTAAGTCAAGCACTCATCAGCAGTCCCACCTCACAAATGTATGTTGTAACATTCGGATAGTCTACAGATCGCCGCTGATTGATTTTCACAGCCAAGAAAAGAAAAGTCACATCAACAGCCAATCCTGCATCAACGTCCAATCCCGCATCGTCGTCCAATCCCGCATCGATGGCCAATCTCCCTCAGGTAACTATTGAAGACCACTGGTTCAGGGAGATACTAGCCTCACCTCATAACGAGATTGCGGAGATTCGGGGAGAGACCGAGAACATTCGCAAGGAGACAGAGAACATTCACAAGGAGACCGAGAGTATTCGCAAGGAGACCAAGAGTATTCGCAAGGAGACCGAGAGTATTCGCAAGGAGACCGAGAGCATTCGCAATGATCTAAATGCGGCGAGAAAAATACACACTGAGGACGTTGAAGCACTGAGAGAAGTAAGTCACCCCTCTTTCCGGCCACAAACCCTGACCACAATCTCCACAGATTATAATGTCACTAGTCCCTTCACACATTCGCGTCCTACTCGACCTTGCGCGCAAAAAAGTTCTGGGATACCTCGGCCATGAGACACAGGAAGACCTTCGCGCCTCCCACAGTGTTGGTTACTAACCGTGCAGATGCCATCTTCAATGATCTCAAGGAGAAGAGTGTATCACACTCCCCATCATCCGAGTCCATCTTTTTCTTATGTTCATACAAGGACTCCAGTCCCCTTCGGGCGGTTGCACATTGATTCATAATAATAAATGTCTGTATACTACGTTAGCCGTTGTCTCTTCCTCTCCTTCTCGAAAAAGCGCTTGAATGTCTCTCGACCTCGTACTCTTGACAGAGCAGTGTACAGCTGTCTGTGCGCAAACAAATGGGTGCGCAAGTCGAGTACTACTTTCCGTAATGTTAGGCCCTTCCGGCTGTCAGTATGTTTCGTCACTGTCCGTGTGATTCCATGCTCACCATAATCTCATGACGAATTCGTCTAAACGGTGTAGCATTTTGAATGTCCACGACGCCATGAAAAGACCACGCAGAAGCCATTGGGGTGCGAAAGGAGCACGAGGAAATCGAAATGAAAAGGAGCCTCAAGATGCCAGTACTTGGAGCTCAAGTGGCGCGCGCACATGGCAGTCACACCAATTTCGAAATCGCCGCGTCCTTATAATATGTAGAATAGAATATGATGGGATGAGTATATGTTATTCATTGTATGCACGACGTGACCGTGACGTTATACGAACATACCAACGGCCCGAGTTTGAGTACAAGCTGGAGATGATAAGATTAGACTCGGTTCACAGAGCAGAGAAATAGAACTTAGCTTGTGACGTGTCGATGATGTGTGCGTAAGCCATTTTTACACAGCTGCACTACTGCTGGCAGGTCAGCGGAATATCACCGGCGAAAGATTTTCCGCTGTTCCAGACCAAATTGCATACAGACCTTGTTCAATCTGCTGGCATTATTGCAATTCGAAGGCAAAGATGAAATAATCATGACGAACATATAAAAGCAAGGTATCTTGCCACTAACCCATTAGGATTTATTCCAGCCTTCAGGCCATATCACATCCTCACTCACAATGCATTTCTCCTTTGCAATTTTCCTCATCGTCGTAGCTCAGATGGCGTCATCAAGCTCTGCCACGCCCATTCAGGGTGAGAATCCTGCGAGCAACGATTGTCCCGTCTTTTGTGCCCGCAAACGCCAATGCCACTTCTGTGAAGGGAAGAATTGCGTGAGTTATAGTGGTTTGTGTCCCGGATTTAACCATGACTCATCGACACGGCAGTTGCTTATATGTATTGTGAGTAGTGTTTCTGCTTTCAGCACCGGTGCAGTATGGTTCATGACACTGACGCGCGAGTCACTAGTTCTAGTGATCGATCGCTGAGTTGATCAACCAAATAAAGTTTCCTGCCACTCGGGTAATGGAGATCACTTTTAAATTACTCGATAGTCATCAGCTCGTCTGCAACACATTTGAATGTGCATATTTTATGTACACGCGAGTGTATGTTGATCATTCTGTACTCGTAAGTAACGTCGAATTGCATCGTTTTCCCGCTAAAAGGTACTGTTGTCTATGAACTTCCCTAACATCACGTAGTCAAACAGCAATGGGTTGACGAGGACAAGTCACGGAGTAACTTTTTATATGCATGGAATTAGCACGGAACGTGGATCTCCGCATCATCACAGAATCGGGGTGCACCTGCTTTTTATAGATGGTGTTGGCAAAGTCTAACAAAAAATTGACAATATTACACCCTTGGCAGCACTTTGAAGATGTTCCCACGTACTGTCAGACCCTATTATTATGTAGCAAATATATAGTCTGAGAGACCCCCTCCTCCAGGAGGCTTCTCCCTAGTTTTCCAAGGATGTGTGGCCATCCCTCGGGAGCATGTAACCAGAGCCTCATCACAGAGGGTGAGCGCAGCCTCCTGGTATGTTCCCTGGAGAGCCTCAATATAGCGGCCTCTCCAGATGCTCACTGCCTGCCTCCCCATGTCAGCCAGGCTATACTGTTAGATTAATACATCTTATATGGACTATTACCCATAAATACTCATACATCTTCTTGTCTTATGGTCCACTGCCCATGGAGGATGTATCCTACCATTCCAGGCTTATAAATCCTCGTGCTGGGGGGTTGAATGCCTCAAATGGACAATATCCCCCCTTGTTTCCGACTGGCCCTTGCTTCCTCTGAATTGGTGCTTCTTGCATGGGCCAACGGTGGCTTCTTTTGATCGTACAGCAGGCACTGTAGACAGATCTTAGATAGGATTTCTGAGAAGGTGCCTGCATCCCTTACCGGTGCCTTGAAGTGCTTGAACTTGTTGTGAATTTGCCAAGTCTCCTTATCACGTGATTTCATGTTTGTTTACTGAGCCAATCTCTTCGATTCTCTCATCGCACGGATGCAGCACAAGGAACTATCAAACATTGTGATTATCTAGATATCTAGATGTATGTCTCTCTTTCTTGTTTCTTTTGCATTTTATTCAATGATCACCTTGCAGTTCTCTCATCGCACGAACGCAGCACAATGTTTAGATGTATGTCTTTTTCTTGTTTCTTTCGCATTTTATTCAATGATCACATTGCAGCTCTCTCCCACATTTTCCCTGCCCTGCCCTCTCTTAGGGAACACCTCAACTCTGGGACGTTAAGATATGCAAACGTGAGCTTTGACCACCTCCCATCGCATTTTCGACTCATATGTTTTCAGTTTCGTGAAGATATAGTACCTGATGAATATCTCGACTCTCATTTACGGATCTCTGATTCACAAACATCACCTACTGCAGTACGGACTAACACTGGCAAGCATGGAGGCAACCGGTCATGTTTCTGCTTTTCTCCTTGTAACGTTGTTTTTTTTTGGCACATTTATTTCACATCTAGCACATGATTACATGCAAGATAGATTTTATTACTTAGGGCCACCAACATTTTAGATATGTCTCATACTAACAATATGTATTAAAATTAACAAGATAAAAACATCAACAAATTAGTATGAAATATAGCAAGGGTGACAACAAACAAGATAGTGTTCGGACTATGACAATGAGCTGAGTAGATCAGTATGCAAGACAAATGCAAGAAACGATATAATAACAGCAGGGACCGACGGACAAATGTGACAGCGTGCAACAAAGAAGAGACTCGGGAATAGTAGATCACACCTTCGCCTTCCTGCTCACTGGTTAACAAACCAAAGAGGATATATCATTGAGCACTCACTTGGATTTTGCGCTGTGGCTTGATGCATCCTCAGCCAGACGACGCTTCGCGGATGGCTTAGGAGGCACGTTCTCCTTTCCTAGGTGACCAATCGAGTTGGCGACGTCATTACGTGTTGATGGTTTAGACTTGCGACTGGTCCTACGACACCCATCCTCGTGGTTCTGTTCTTCTGCAGTGTTAGAATCAACCTCGACCAATGTAGTTGTGACAGCAGGCGTGACAGATGGTTGTATAGTAGGGTCTGGGGCCATCTCTGAAGATACAACAGCAGGTGTAGTAGGAATAGTGGGAACGGCAGAAGTAGATCCTGTAACAAGCGCTGTGGGAGAAGTGGGAGGCAGGACAGGTGCGATGGCAGGTTCAGTGGAAATGGGAGAAGTAGATCCCGCAGGAGACATGGGAGGCAGGACAGGTGCGACAGCAGGTGCCGTTGAAATGGGAGAAGTAGAACCCGCTTGGGTAACAAGCGCAGCTGGAGAAGTGGGAAGCAGGACAGGTGCAACGGCAGGTGCAGTGGAAATGGGAGAAGTGGGTCCTGCGTGGGTAACAAGCGCAGCAGGCGAAATTGGAGGCAGGACCCCATCAGGAAGTGTAGTGGAGGTTGTGCGGGGAGAAGCGTCAGCGAGTAGGTCATCGGGTGCCATACCAGGCGTCGACGGAAAAGAAGTGGTGTCCCAACTGTCAAAAGGGGCAAAGGGAAGCATAACAGGAGGTTCCTGCTGTCCATGAGACTTGGACTGAGTCTGCAGCATTGCGCCAAGAACAGAATCAAACTCTGGAGTAGCCCAGTATGGTGTCTCACCTCCAAAGGTAGCAGAGCCACTAGAGTAGAAGTCCGAACTTGTCTCCATAGACGGAGATGATGAAGGTTCAAATGGTAAGGAAGCACCTGCTGATACATCCCACGGGGATGACTGTCCAGTCATCGGATATATTCTGCTGGATGTTGGTGATGCAGCCATGATGGGTGATACATCCCAAATGGATACTGGTCTGTCTGATATATCTTGCGACTCCTGAGCAGACGTTAAAAGGCCAGGATCCTTGTCTGTTGAGTTTGCAGGTTAGTTTGACGTCACAATGTCCCAGGTTTGCAGGCTTACCATATATGCGACACAAGAAATCACGGAAAGGCCCCATGACACCACGCTCAAACCCCGGATATGCCATACTGAAGTCGTTGTTGTGTTTTGTTAAGCCAACATGAAAACTTCACAAGGTCAGTACAGCCGATTATACACATGAAATGCCCACCGACCTGTACACGTCAATCTGGCCTTGTGCCTCAGGGGATGGACCGCCAGCAATAAGTGAGAAGGACATCCCGGTCGCATCTGCCAGACCCTTTAAAAACTTGTTGGCGACAGCAGCCAGTTTGTCCAAATTTCTATATGATGTCAGTGAGTGCGTTAATCAATACAATGTGAACGACTCACTGTGATTGATTAGCCTCCGACTTACTCCATGGCCCTTCCTCTTTGTCCTGCACTTTTTGCTGCTTCTGTTCCTCAAGGTATTCCTTCACTCGCACTTTGACTTCGGGCGTCTTGTTGACGTATAGTGCAGCAGTTTCCTTCTTGATGAGTGCGACCCGTTCTCCATTGGTTAGTTTCCGTTCCTCCTTGACTGCTGTGAGCTTTTCTTGTACGGTAGGCTTGATGCGATCACAGTAGTAGAGCTTAGAGTAAGCCTCTTGTTCCTGAAGCCTACGAGTCGGTTTTTCACACTCAGTAATCTTCTGAACCACAGCATCGATAATGTTGGTGGTGTGGGCTTTTGCCTTTCTGCCTGCCTTTGTCGCCCCAAAGTTATTTTTGAACCGATTGTGCAATTTCTGGAAGAACACATCAGCCGAGCTCCAAATAGGTCTGGGACAAACTTACCACTTTTCGGGCGTCTTCCGCTAATTTCATTTCATTAAGCTCCTCCAACGTCATAGGCCCTAATGCTGTGACCCCAGTCGGCCTCGGCTCGGGAAAGGCCTCAAACCAGTTTTCATAAAGGTCCGCAAAAAAGTTCCTATAATTTCCACACTTTTCACTTTGCTTTACGAGGAATGCTTCATAGTATGGTTTTAGCCATTCCTCTTGTTCATCAGACATCCATTTGGGAGGGGCCATCTAAATTTGTATTAGACTTTTTGATCAATAGCAAAACCTGACTTACGATATGACACGTATAATGAGCTGATAAGTAAAGCGAGATGAAAATTTACGAGATGGCTGTACATATATAATAATATCCCACGCATGGGCCAAGATACTGGCATGGTAATGTTTGGCAGATAAGCCATAGTCATTTCGCAGTTGCTCAGCAAGTTCCTCACCTTCGAGAAGCCGTACACAATGTCAGTATGGGTAGCATGCTGTAACTTGATGAAACCAGCAATGGCTTGAACCACCTTCTTTTTCATAGACAGTTTAGGTTGTACTATATTACAGTTTGGGGCGGTTGAAAGACTGCATCAGGCATAAGGGGTCACGTAAACCTAGCTATCATCTATGTACCTGCGCCCACCATACTAACATGGTAATGATTGGCAAATAAGCCATGAAACCAGCAATGGTTTGAACCACCTTCTTTTTTGTGGATGGTTTAGGCTGTACTGCATAGTACAGTTTGGGGCGGTTGAAAGACTGCATCAGGCATAAGGGGTCACGTAAACCTAAGCATGTATGAATATCCTAGATCGCCCACCAGTTGTCTTGATAAACCAACTCGAAGCTATCATCCCCTGCGCCCACCAGTCGCCTCGATAATACATAAACCCCTTAAGAATCGAGAGAAGTAGCTACTACCAAAGTGTTTGAAATAAAAAGGCCTGCTTAGCGTACAACTCCTCCAATTTCATGCCATTCACCAAAATAAAGGATAAGTCATCTTCCAATGCCAACAGCACATCCTTAGCATCCTTCGTGGCTTGACAAGCACTAGTGTACCCTATACCGCTCTTCCCCTGCTGTGATAAGTCATCTTCAGCATCCTGTAGCTCACTGAATATGTCTTGGACAACTCCAATAGCCGAACGAATCCTGTCGGACACACCAGTTGCCAGGTAATCGAGCAAGAGCTCATTGATAACCTCTTGAGGCTTGCCTCCGAGATATTTTCACAAGGGACCTTGCAATTTTTTCCTGCGTGATTTTGGTGCATCTGATGAAGTCTTGTCCCTGTCGACCCGAGCTGAGTAAAGGCATTCCATTTGAGACACGACATGAACGCAACTTACATGACATTGGATGAAGTCTTGTGGGGATTTGTATTGTCCCTGTCGACCCGAGCCAGATATTTATCTTTCATCTTAGCACTAATTATGAACTTATTACTGCCAGCGCATGCAATGAGTAACTATGTTAGCATAAGAGATCGATGTAAGAATCAAGCACATACCGTGCATAGTAAGCACGTTTGTGCATTCATTTGGCCTCTTGACGTTCTTCCAGAGTATTGTAGAGCTTGGGTCGGGGCATTGAAAACAGTGATGAAATTGTGGGGTAGAAATTGAGTAGAGTTCCGTGAGGAGTTGTAATTCATTGTGTGTGGGACTTTTATAGGACCAATTCAACGCGATTAACCAGTGCTGGTATAGATAAATCACAGTAAGCCTAGCTGCATATTCAGGCCTCAGGACCTCAGATCTAGTAATTTCAGTGTAAGCATCACCCACTAAATATGCAAGGCTGTATATGTATCACCATGAGCTCACTTGTCAACCTTGTTGATGTCGCTTCAAATCAGCAGTGGCGCCGGGTTTCAATCGCATCAATACATAAACTGTGACCTCGTCAGATTCATCAATATTCGTTCAGCTCAATCTCAATATTGGTCCATGAAGTTCATGCATGAATGTGTGCAGGAGTGACTTGATTATGCGGTATACAAAGCAACAAGAAGGCGACTATTCACAACAGTTACAACTATATAACAGTGAAGCAACCAAATCAGACTTTGGCAGCTTCGCCTCGTTCAATGGCTCTCCTCAATTTCTCCTCACCCGCTTCAAGTGAGTCAACCTTGGAGAAAATAGCACGTGGTACACCCTGAACTTTCGGTGCGACATTGTCCCTGGGAAGGTTTTAATGAGGCTTGCGGGCGGCTTGGACAACTTACCAGCCATTGAAGATTCCAATATAATGACTGCGCATCACGCAGTAGTAAGGGGCACTAGGATTGGCCACCACAGGCATGTTATACAAGATGCCGTGGTAGAAGTAGAGGAAGCACTCGTCAGCCATGGCATCTGCTACTTTGGCGAAGAACTCGTGTGATTGCTCGATTACGGTAATTTTTGGCAACTTGTCACTGTAAGAGCCTAGGGTCACATAGACAGACAACATATTTGGGTCGGCCACATAGTCTTCAGCAGGGATACCGGACAAATTGAGGCCACTGTTGGACGAGGCAGTTGTCTTCAAGGATGGTTCACCAGGACCCTTCGTATTGGAAGATGCATCTGAGAATCAATCAGCATGCGAATCAATTGGTAAAGAAGCTAAGGAAATTTTTACGTACCATCAGCAGTTGGAGCCATAATAGAAGTCGTCTTCAAGGATGGTTCACTGGGACCCTTCATATTAGAAGACACATTTGAGAATCAATCAGCATGCGAAACAATTGGTAAAGAAGCTAAGGAAATTCGTACGTACCAGCAAAAGTTGGAGTCATAATGACATTGACAAGGGCCTTTGCCTGACCAGGCGTCAACCGTAGACTAGCAAGTAATTTGGAGATGGCATCTTTTGGTACCAATGTGAGTATAGTACGAAGCCATGCAAGCACCAATAGGCGTACCTATGACACCGTCTGACATATCATCAGAAACTACAAAGGGCGGGGCGGAGGGAGAGGTGGCAGCTTGAGGGACAGTTGATTGAGTCATTGTGACAGTAGAGTTGGGTTAATTAGTTGGTTGGCAATGTCTCGTTAAGTAGTCGGTCGATGGTTCAGTACATGGAGGTAGCGTGGTCAAAGATGTAGCCGGAGTTGAAGAAATGGAAAAGCAGTTCAAGAATCAAAGGCAGATGGGTCGAGGGAATATGAAAGAGAATGTCGTTTGGCTGTGATGAGCCATGGAACTCGACCCGTTAGGCAAGGACAAGGTGTACATAGGACAGCGCTGGTGAATCTGGAACTGTGGGAACGTCTTCGATTTGGTAATGACTTTGTACATATGATGATACTCATCGTGCATTACAGTTCTTTCTGGTGCTAGAAGCCCTTACTCATCGCACATTGCGGTTCTTTCTGGTGCGGTGTCCTTTTTTGCTGCTTATTGACGTTTCCTCCCCTTGAAATAGCATAGAATCAGACATACATGGGTAAGTGCCAGTATTTGTATGACTCAATGTGCATGAGCGCTACATTAATTACATGTACAGACATTAACCGTGTCCAGTGCGACAAGTTCGGAAATGTAGTGCCCAGGGCACCTAGGATATATCCTCGGAGTCGATGGATTCTCGCATATGGTGAGTCACCCATCGCATGTTGACCACTGGGCCTTGACGCAGCCTCTTAGACATGTCTAATCTCAGAGGCCGCCCTTCCAAGTGTCCAAAGCTTATTCGACACGGAGGTCATAGTGCCTCCGCTGAGCTTCATACGCGCCATCTCAGCTTTGCCCTAAGATCCGATGGTGGATTCGGCCTCCGAACGTCTTATCTTCCTGCTCCAGCACCTGCCGTAGAACCTGCAGAAGCACCATCTCACGTATCCGCTGAAATTGACCCATGGAACGAGATGGAGCACAGTGCTATATTTTCTCCAGAAGACCTTCAGCCAGGTGACGAACTGAGGCCACAAACACGCCGACGGACACCAGGAGTTTGTCCTTTAGTTTAATCAGTAGCACTTATTTTAACCGTAAATTTGCAGGATGACCCAATCCTCCTTTGGCTAAATGAACATGAAACTTACTTGAATGAGCTTCTATACCTGGAGGGTTGGGGAAAAAATGACCATGAAGCATGTTCTTGCGGGAAACCTTTGCCCTCTTTCAGATGTCAAGATTGCTTTTCAACGGAGCTATTTTGCCATGAGTGTGTTTTGTTGTTGCATGCCAGTGCACCACTCCATAGAATCGAGGTTCGTAAGCTATCTATTGCTCTTTGCTAGTTCTCTTATCATCCACCGCTGTTTAGGAGTGGAAAGATAGTTTTTTTCACACCACATCGCTCAAATATCTTGGTTTCCGCATTCAGCTAGGTCACAAGCCAGGGGAATCTTGTCATCGCCCACGCCCCGCCTATGACAATGATTTTGTTATCATCGACATTCACGGTATACATGAAGTCAGCCTTGACTTCTGTAACTGCGAGCACGAAGCCCTGCATTTCAAGCAGCTCCTTCATGCCCGGCTTTTTCCTGCAACGGTTACAGATCCTCGAACGGCTGCGACTTTTAGCGTGCTGGATCTCTTCCACTTGTTATCTTTTGAGTCCAAGGTCTCTGCGTATGAATTCTATCACAGCCTTGCACGGAGGACGGATAATACTGGCATACGGCCAATTCGAGTATGTTACATTTACATTGCTTTCAAAACAAGTACACTGATATATGTTTTTCAGGATCGATATTCTGTCTTTCTAAGAATCATGCGCAAATGGAGGAACCTCAATGCACTCAAGCGTGCTGGCCGTGGGCACAACCCTGCTGGTGTGGACGCTACTCAAGAGGGAGAACTCGCTGTTTTATGTCCTGTGTGTCCCCACCCAGGCATAAACTTGCCCCCAAATTGGGAAACTTCAGATCGGCAGTGAGTGTTTGATTTGATGTGCTACAAACATATCTAACAGCTTTTAGATGGCTCTACGCAGGTTTCTTTGCAATTGACGCCAATTTCCGTCTCAAGCGCCGGCTTGTCTCCTCCGATGCCAAAGATCCAGGGCTCACATGTGGTTGGAATTATTTTGTTGAAGAATGCCAGTACAAGACTTACTTGGCTGAGAACTCAGGAGCTGTTCAAGAGGTAAGATCTTGCACTCAATTTTTTATCATTATGATTGACAAACTCCTCGTTCTGACAGAAAAGCACTTGCGTTAGTCACAACGCCGTCAACATGGCTGATACCAAGGCTTCGAAGGGTCTGGCTGCAACTGGTGTCGGGACAATTGATTGTGCCCGACATGATATGAAATTGCCCAATGGTGTGGGCGATCTTCAAAAGGGTGAAAAGTGCGTACCTTTCTCTATGATGTTGTTCTAGTATTCATTGTGCTACAGATACCTGAATATGGACTATATTGTATTTTCAGCTCTCGCCAGGTTCCCTCATCTCACTAATGTCAATCTATCGTACGATATCGCCTGCCAGTGGCACAAGAAGCTTCAGGGCCGCATTCCTGGACTACCCATCAGGCTCCAACCTGGTGAACAGCGGGACCCGCTCTCAGAGATATCCAGCACATCTGCGAAAAAGATGTTCAACTTCTTCATGCCTAAATTTCATCTTGCAGCTCACATCGAGGCTTGTCAGACTGCGTTTTCATTTAACTGGACTCCGGGCATTGGTCGAACTGATGGTGAAGCACCTGAACGTGGATGGGCCAATATCAACCATGTGGCTACAAGTACCAAGGAGATGGGCCCTGGCTCCCGCCGCGAGATTTTGGATGACTTCTTTGGAGATTCAAACTGGAAAAAGATCACTGCGCTAGGTTCATATTTTTTTCTTCTTAGAACTGGGTTTATCACTGATGCCTGTAATCAGGCAGAATCATGTTGAATAAACTTAAGGAAGCGGTCAAGGCAATGCAAGAACACAAGCTTGCATTCGAAGAGCTTGAGAATTCTATTACAGAGTCTGACTTGGGTGTCTTGTCACTAGCAACATGGAAAGCCGAGATAGAGGCTTGGGAGACCGACCACACTAAGCCAAATCCTTTTGAACACCAAGTCGACAGTGAGTCACACCTTATGAATATTTCGATTAGTGTTAAACTCCTCGTAGCTATGACACTTGCAGCTGTACGCCTCGAACTCGCGCAACGAGATGCCAGGGAGTTAGAAGAAGGGACCACAATTTCCCTTCATGCAGAGTTATCTTGTAGCATGCTTATTAGTACAGGTATCGATCTTGAACATGCGCAGTAAGAATCCTATAGTAATGTGTTGAATTCGTACTGATATATTTCCAGGTGTTGTTTGTTCACTGGGTCTGCATGCAACAGACACCCAACGCACAAAGATTCTCACCCGTAGCAGTGTACTGCAGCGCCGCATTGATGTTTGGACCGGCATTCAAACTTTATATATGCCCTCAGTTGCCAACTTACGTGCAACAGGCTTCACCAACTCAAGGAGTGACAATGACGATGACAGCAGTTGCCCGAGGCCAAACTTTGACTTGGGCAAGGCAGAAGACGTTCAACTCTTGTTACCTTCTGAGATTTGCAGTCTGGTGCCGTGCGATCAAAAGCTCCTCGAGGCTGAATGGTCTCTCCGCATGGCACAAGCCCATGACGCACTCAATGAGTGCCGTTCTCATATCCGCCTCCGTCGTCAACTCATGCAATTCAAGCAACAACATATCCGCGGGCAAGGTGCGAATACTCGTGCGAAGAAGACACTGGACACTGTGGAAGACCGTCTTATCATTAGTCACGCAAAGTATGTGTGTGCACGCAAGGCGCTCGTAGCTCTCTCAGATCATGTCGACCATATTGGCTGGGAACGGAAGCTGCAGCCACTCAAGAAGTCCCATCTCTGGCCCATGGGGGATTTCACAGGACAGTCGCAAGGGACTGCAATCATGTCTTGGATCTGGTTGATGTATGGGATGTCGGATGATGATAGTGAAGGCTTGCAGGATTGTGAGTCCTTGTATTGATCTATCATACTCTACTGATTGGAATTGCTAGCGCTTCACATTGAATGGTGTAAAGCCAGGGCGCGTCGTGATAGGTGGGGCGAAGAAATTCAGCTTTTGCTGGAAGAGATGCAACATATTCTGCTCTTTCTCAACTGGCAAGCACGTCAATGGGACGAGCGCACAGGTGCACGAGTACCACAAAGACCTGAAGACGTCGAGGGTGTGGTCGCATATGCTAAGAAACAGGTGTTTATCCAGCGCAGCCTATCCGAATCATTCAAGGAGAAATGGAGGCAGGTTCTGGTATCGATGGCTTTGGGCGATGACAGAGATGACGGAGAGGGTCAGTGTCCTTCTCTCGATACCCCTCCTCAAGAAGATTTGGCACATGATACATAGTATATTTATATTCACTATTTGTACCTTTGTACCTTGATATGAACACTTTGTTTGGTGCAATGACTTTGTTTGATGCGGTCCCTGAGCTTCCCTGAGACGGGGGAATGGTTCCTTTGTTACAGTAACATGGCACGAGTCCCCCGCCAGCAGACAGCCCTCTGCCACCGCACGGCTATAGACGATACCGAAGTCTCACCAGCTCTATGACGATAGATGATGAGAGACGATAAGCGGCAACTGCCGGCTTAGATAAGCGGTCTGGACCGCACGTGACATGACATGACGACATAGGTCTAGAAGACCTATTTATGTCATCAAGATAGAAGGCAAGCCTCGTGCTGCCTCATGTACTGATAGAAGGATGCCTCATGGATCCTATCTACGATAGAAGCCCGCCTCATGGACGCTATCTCTGACACATGTAGATAAGCAGATTAGAACCCAGCTTTAGGCTGAGCTTAGATACGACGAGTAGCCTTATATAAGGTCGAAGATTAACAGTAGACGTTCCTTACTTTAATCTTACTAGGTTTACCCTTGAACTCCTTGTCCTGCTAAAGCTACCTGCTCGACATCGACTCGTACCTTCAGTGACGCCTCTCACTGTCTGTAAACCCTGCTATCATCTCAGCGTAACCCCTCGTTAACCACCACGAGCTACGTTCGAGTACGCAACCTTTGCTTGTCTGTAAAGGCCGACGACTCTCAGCACTCGGTACCACTGTCGTGGTTGTCGCTGTTTAGATCATCCTAGTCGCACACGACCGTTTGTCGTAACAAAAGATTAAAGTTCAACTCGCACGTCACCCATCTGTGACGCCAGATCCCTGATCGTACCTATCTTCAAAGCTACTGAAGATCTGTAGAAGAAACCCCGAAACGTACCGGCCTGACCAGTCGCAAGAATATAAGAACCACTGTCACAGTAGAAGACTTCCTGCTCGGAACACTACGAAGATCAAAGATAACCATCTCCAACATGGCAACTTCCCGAAACACCCTGGCTGCTTCCCACCTTACGGGAAAAGAAACTTGTATCTACCTGAACGAGAAAAGATGCTTTGTATGCCACGTCATTGGCCACAAAGCCGCGGGCTGCCCACAATGGCCCAGAACCCCGCGGAGAAAGATGATCGAAGAAGACCTCTGGTTGAACTCTATCAAAGAGACCGGAGTTAAGAAAAACGAACTACGGGTGAATGCCACCCTGATGACCAGAACGAGAAACACCCCCATCACGACATCTATGGTCGTCGACTCAGGGGCGTGCCAGTCCTTCGTAAATAAGGACTTCTGCACGCAGCACAGAATCTCGTCGCACCAGCTAGAGAAGCCTTTCACGCTCTCTAACGCTGACGGATCCAGCTTCGGAAAGAAGCCGATTGAGAGGTACTGCACCCTCTCCTTCCAGATAGACGAACGGGTATGCACCGAACGGTTCTACCTTGCCGAGCTTACTCCGAAAGAGAAGCTCATGCTCGGACAACCCTGGCTTATCAGCCACAACCCCGCCATCAACTGGACGAATGGCACGGTGACTCTTAAGAGCACCGTAGATTCCCGAAAGAAAGAAAAAGAGATAGACTCCGACCGGAAGAAGAACGGCAAGACGCCCCTCTTCCAGAAAGAAGAAAAGAAGGGCGCACAGAAAAGGAAAAGGTCCGTTTCCCCGACCACTCCCCACGCCTTCTCCAGTGGCCTCGCTTCTATGAGCTTGGCATCAACAACGAAGATTGTACCGGTTCTTGAGGAACCGCACGGAAACCCCCCATCCGTGAAACTCCCTATCCCCACAGCACGATCTACGAAAATCGTGAAGAAAGATTCACTGCCTCGTATTGACCTCGCAGCAAAACGATTTGAGCAGAAGAAACCGGCCACTGATCCGGAGACAACTCAGAAGAAGGTCGTAAGACCTGCGGTAATCACGGACTATATCATCCCTGACACACCCGCAAAGAAGATCGGACTGGCTGTTCAGCCGATGAAAGAAGAGACTCCTGAACCCTACAGGTTCTCGGCGGAGCCTGCATCAGTCCTCGGAAAAGGACGTGCAGTTATGACAGAAGAACCGCCTATCTCGAAGGCACCTAGACTGGCCCCTGAACCAGAGAAAACTCAGACGACCCCCAGATTTGAATTTTCCGGAGAACCGATCTCCGTTCTCGGAAAAGGAAGAGCCGTGTCGACGGCAGAACCACCTGAAGCCAAGAAACTCAGGTTTTACGAAAGCCCGGCTGATGATACCGACACAGCCGATGAAAACCCCATCCCGAATTCCCTGAACCTCTCCATGCCTTCCACAGAGATCCCTGCTGATAACATCGATGCAATGATGCAACACCGGGAACCTGCACCCGAACAGTCTTCAGACTCCGACTTCAACATGTTCTTAGAACATGTTCGTATTATAAACGAGGCCCACCGCCTGAAGGATCTGAGCGAAAATGACCCTGACGAGTTCGCTCGTCTTGTAAAGAAGGAAGAAGAAGAAACCGGACCGCAATTTATCCGGTTCACAGATATGGAATCTGACGATGACCGAAGCGAAGAAGCAATAACGCTCGCTTCCGAACCTCGGGCGCTCTACGCGCCACACCCTGCTTCCAATCCCATTGAAAATATATGGTTGGATTTAGAAGAACCATCGACGCACAACTGGCGCATGGTTGATAATGAAGGAAACGACATCGAATACGAAGGCCCTGACGACGGCCTCGATTTTTAGAAGATGATTAGTCATGGTAGACTAAACGGCTTATTGAGGGGGTAAAATCCCTGATTTATTCTCGTTTCACGCACGACACCCCCCCACCACGACCCCCACCACGAATACCATTTCCCGACTACTTCTGATATGATCCCTGATGACGACTTCAGCAACAGCCCGGAAAGGCTTTAAACTGCGCATGAGCCCGGCATGGCTTTAAACTGCACTGATCTCCGCAAAGAGAATAAACTATGCCCGTCCAGCATGACGTTTAAACTGCGCGATCCTCCGGAACGAGGTTAAACTACGATTGTCCGAGATGACGTAAAACTAGGAGAAAGGACGAACTCCCCGAATGGCTCCTACAGCCCTGGAACCCCTTATCCATGATCCTTCAACAATCAATGAAGATTCATTCAACAAAGATTAAGAAGACCCCTCCTCGCGAGACAACCCCAAGAAACTCCTGCAAGCCTTGGCACCTACGCCTGGACCCTGAACCTTCTCACCCAATGAAGATAGTATCAACAAAAGGTTAAAAGAAGATGACCTTCAATATCTAGATAGATCCGAAAGATCTTAACAACAAAAGATAACGAAGAAGAACCGGAGAAAGAACGAACCCTCGGAAACTCCTGCAAGCCCGCGGATCTCTTATCCACAGAACCCCCTTCGACATCCAGACAGATCATGATAGATCTCAACAAAAGATGAAGAAGACGATCCTCTGGAATGAGGTTAAACTATCACGAGATGAACTCTTAGGAAACTCCTGCAAGCCCTCAGAACCCTCTAGAACCCCCTTCGATATCCGGACAGATCATGATAGATCGAAACGAAAGATGAAGAAGACGATCCTCCGGAACGAGGCTAAACTATCACGAGGCGAACTCCCTGAATACCCACGGAATCCTCTAGAACGACTTCAACTCTGATTAACAAAAAGATAAGAAGACGATCCTCCGGAACGAGGTAAAACTATCATGAGACGAACTCCTTGGAAACTCCTGCAAGCCCTCGGAACCCTCTAGATCCGCCGACCGAATCAACAAAAAGATAAACGGAACGCGCCCTTACCATTATGGCAATGATTACCACCCTCTGATGAAGACGAACCTTGATCCTGATCATAAACAAAGGATTAATGAAGATCGTACCTATCACGGCACCTCCCCTCTGATAGTGAAGAACCGCACCTCGTGTCCCGATAACAAGAAGATCTTAGCCTCATGGCTAGATGGATAACGATAGAAGAACTCTAAACAAAAGATAAGTCTCGAATCAAGCGGAGCTTGGAAACGACATGGAGCAACCATATAAGCCTCCCGTGAATGTCTATATTCCCCAGAACCTCCCACCATCATGACGACCTCTATTGAAGAAGAAACTATCTGCATTGCACTTAAGGACTCCGACTACGGACGAATCCTAAAGACGATTGAGAACAACGCGTTCAGTGAAACCGCTATTCTCACCCCCATGTACTCCCAAGTGATCGACAACATCCTTGGTGAGCAAGACGCCAGACTCGGTGCAGGGACATCCCTTGCTGTCTGCATTATCCGTACCACAAAGCTACTGGAAGACGTAGCCAATCGTGATGACCTCGATGAAGGCACGAAGAAACTTGCCGTGCTTCATTTACAGAAAAGGATTCACGTACTCGCGCTTCACCTCCTTCCGCTCGACTTCCCAGACATCGCGAACCAAGCTGTCAGAACAGTCGAGGCAAGGCCTCATGTTGAAGAAAGATCCAGACCGGTGCGCCCGCTGAGACGAAAGGCGGCCACCATAGATCGTACCCGTACCACGCTCTGCAAGCGTTGCGGAGGATACGGACACTCGTTTAGAAAGTGTCCAGATTACGTTTGTTGCATCTGCGATGAACTTGGACCCGACCATCTGTCGGTCCACTGCCCTCGACTCAACGGACGCATTGTACTCCAAGAGTTTAGAGATGAAGAGAAGTTTTACGAAGCTCTCTTAGATTGGGAGCACAACCATAAAGCGCTCGTGGACCTCACGCTCAGATACCCAGCACCGCCTTCGCCCGAACCAGAAACTCCCTCTGCACCAGCCGTCTCCACGCCTCCGATACCTCCGGCGATGGAAGCTGACGAAGAACACAGGATACTCAAAGTCGGTGACTTTGACGCTAGTAGAGGGGTAATGTTACAGTAACATGGCATGAGTCCCCCGCCAGCAGACAGCCCTCTGCCACCGCACGGCTATAGACGATACCGAAGTCTCACCAGCTCTATGACGATAGATGACGAGAGACGATAAGCGGCAACTGCCGGCTTAGATAAGCGGTCTGGACCGCACGTGACATGACATGACGACATAGGTCTAGAAGACCTATTTATGTCATCAAGATAGAAGGCAAGCCTCGTGCTGCCTCATGTACTGATAGAAGGATGCCTCATGGATCCTATCTACGATAGAAGCCCGCCTCATGGACGCTATCTCTGACACATGTAGATAAGCAGATTAGAACCCAGCTTTAGGCTGAGCTTAGATACGACGAGTAGCCTTATATAAGGTCGAAGATTAACAGTAGACGTTCCTTACTTTAATCTTACTAGGTTTACCCTTGAACTCCTTGTCCTGCTAAAGCTACCTGCTCGACATCGACTCGTACCTTCAGTGACGCCTCTCACTGTCTGTAAACCCTGCTATCATCTCAGCGTAACCCCTCGTTAACCACCACGAGCTACGTTCGAGTACGCAACCTTTGCTTGTCTGTAAAGGCCGACGACTCTCAGCACTCGGTACCACTGTCGTGGTTGTCGCTGTTTAGATCATCCTAGTCGCACACGACCGTTTGTCGTAACATCCTTAGATCGTTTACTAGATTAGGCCGTCAAGAAGACTCACTTCAGTGGGCTTCGTGGTCTTAGACGGCGAGCGGCTGACAACGGCGGAGAGGTACCTAACACGGAGGGGCTTAGATAATATTGGGGGGGCTGGATTACTGATAGATAGTTACACAGAGGGGATATATCTTAGGTATGGATAGGTAGCCTATTGGATGTATCAGGGTTTTATGCTTATTAGCCAGTTTGATATATCCTTCCCCCAATACGAGGTGTGTCAGCATCTCCATATGTTCCCTGTGATGTCAGCGCAGATGTGTTCTGGAGCCTCTCGCACCTATATGTTTTCCATACTTCCATATTCCACTTTGAATGTTTTATTTTATTTTACTCTCTCTTATTCTTATTGCACAAACAATTCATTAGGCACAACAACAAGAACACAGTTACCAACGACAAGAAAGTCAGATGCGGAGGCTCAAAAATTAGGTACATGGTGATATACAATATGTGTGACGGAGGAAGTAGGTACAGATACAGCTAAATGCATCAGTTGCAAATGAGGCTCGTGAGCTAGAGGTGCACATCCTGAGAGCAGGACAAACATCCTGACACATGTTCATACGATAGATTTCGGGCAAAGAACCCGAGTGTAGTCTGCAGCCAGAGCCTCGAGGAGGAATTGAAGGAGAAGGGACCAGGCGGGCTCGCGAGTCTGCGTTGCTTGTGGTGTGACCGAGGTAGTGGATACGTCAGCCATAACATCGTAAAGCTCAGGTACAATCAAACCATCGTGAATAGGTCTCAGTAAGGCAAAAGTGGTGGTGCTCTGCCTGTCAGGGCCCTTGAGGTAGAGTTAAAGAAATTCGGTCAAGAAGAGTATATCTTTCTCTGTGACCTGAGAACCCTCGCACTCTCGTAGTATACTCGCCAGAGCCTTGAGACCAGCCTAAACAACTTCGAACTCCCCACTACCAGTAGAACGGATGGTGGCGTGTATTTGTTGGGCAATGACTGGTGCAGATGATGATATCTACTACTTCGCCTGATAATGCTGGAGGGGGGGGGGTGACTTGTATGTGAGCAGACAGGATAAGGATACCATTTGCAGCGCCCGATCGGAATGGGATAGGAGGGAGAGGCATAGCTCTTGCAGTGTATCTGTGGAGTGCAGAGCCTTGGGATTGCTAAACTTGCTGAACAGCATAGGTAAGGAGTGCGATGATCTATAAACAGATAATCAATTCTCACATCACGTCAGAAAGTCTGCATGAACAAACTTGACAGAGTTACAGTATTCCTCCACATTACAGATTTATCAGATGGTAAGACACTGATGGCCAATTTCCAGCGTCTCCGGGAGCTGACATTGATGGATAGAGCTTGAGGATCATGACACTGATATGAAGGTAATGCGGAGGAACTCGCCTTCAAGTCTGATATATTGGCGTTTTGAGCGACGAGGCATGATATTGTGATGAATGTTTGAAATTGGCGTACCAGGGTCTAGAACATTACAGATGTATCAGGTGATAAGACACTGACGGCTTCGACCCCAGCGGACAATAAAATTGAGCCAAAAGAAAAGAAGAAGAAAAAGACACTGACAGCTGATTTCCAGCGTCACCAGGAGTCGACATTGATGGATATGCCAGCGGGAATGCTCCAGGAGGGGACTTGAAGATTCTTTCCGCTGATGACTGTAGATAGAGCTTCGAAGATGGGCTCAGTGGCATGGGCGGAATCAGTGAGAAGGGAGGACGTACTAGGTAAGGATATGGGGACCATGGATAGAGTTCAGCTGAGAGGGAGGCATCGCGGGCTGTTCTGATGGTGATAGTCTGCAAGAAGCATGCTCGATTTGTGGTATATGAGTCAGGGAGGGAAACATGCCTTTGGATGAGGAGAGTGTTGATGCGGCAGTGAGTAACTTTGCGTTTGCTGTCGTGAAGCGGTCTTAGTAGCGGTAATGAGAATGAAAGAAAATGTTTGCTTTATTAAGCAGATAGTTTTTTGGGTGGAAGCCCTGCGATGGCGGCCCCAACCTGTGCGAGAGAGAGCCGAGGTGAGCTGCGATTCCCAGGTGTTAGGAGTGAGAGCAACGCAGTGAAGTGAACCTTGGATCCCAAATATTAGGAGCCCCAGAGCGACACTTCGAGGTGAGGAAAGCGCTGTTGGAAAGAAGAGATAGTAGCTTGAGGGCGTCCGCATGAGGAAGATTCAATGAGTTCTAGGCTGCGGATGACTGTCCCACAGTGGCTGTCTCACCATTGATGCAAGTCGTGCAGGACATACAACGAATGTTGAGTCCAGTACACAAATTGATCATGTGACTCGTGACGCGACGTGAATTTGACGTGAATTTGACACGAATCGTTTGTGAATCATTGATCATCTGTAGAAGTTTGTAGATCAAGTTGAGAAGCTAGGTACTACTAAGTTTTGACCAAGTTAGGACTCAAGAGCATCTCACGAGCATCTGGAGATGCTCTCGAGAAGCTTAAGCAGCCAATCAGATGCTGAATAAAACTCCAACCAAAACATAAAACATTGATTGTGAACTGAGTATTAATGATAGTAGCACCTTGAATGGTCCGAAATAACATCATAGTAGTCCCTACATATCACAAGACCATCATCAAGTATCATTGTAAGGCAAATGACCCAGGACACTGCAAAATACAGTGTTATGGACATTTACCTTTCAAGAGTTTGAGGCTGGCTAGTAGCCTTAGGACTGAAACTCGTCTCACTGCGTCGACAACTTTGCTCTCCTGCATTGCAACTGCATTGCTTGAAGCCACTGCTCCCCGCTGCCTCATACCCAATCACCTTACTGTCAGCAGGATTTACATGTGGATACTAACATATAAATCATATAGAAGTAGCTATTACAAAAACATGTATTCTACTACTACAGTCTACAGATAGGATATCCTCTAAAGTAGATTGTGGTGGGCATGGAGGCCCTGCCAGCTTCATATAGCGCGACAGTTTGCCATATTGAGGATCCCATGTGGTCTGAGCGTTTGTACTGCACTGTTAACATACCCTCTCTCACTGAGAACGAGAACTCCACCAGGTCCACAAACGGAGTTCAGTCAACCAAGGACGAAAGGATTGCCAAGTACCACCTCAACAAGCTTCCGGTTAAGTGCTTCAAACTGATGAAAGAACTCTTATGCTGCATGCACATAGTAGTCGAGCACTTTGGCAGGTTGGGAACGGACGAGGGCCAGTCTGCCTGCGCCGAAGAGAAAGAAGACGCCTGTGATGGGTGGATGGGAGTGAAGGGACATCAAACAGCGAAAGATCGCACGTCAGAACACAACCATGCGACGCACGCACGCACCATTCGGATATCTCTTCAAATTCCACTCCAAAATCCTAGCAGCCTTACGCACATCTATGCTCTTGAACGTAAATGTCAAAAGTACGAGATTGAAGATAATTAACGACATATCGCAGATCGCACAGTGGATGCCTTCCATTTCTGCACATCCACATCCATTTAGACGCAAAGATACCAAAAACACAAGCACTCACCTATCTACACTCATTCCCCCACCCCCCAGCGCATTCCAACAACTCCAACCCAAACTTCCTATCGCTGAGCATGAGGTGAGACATCCCAAGGCCTAAATACACCCCAGACCTGAAATGCACGTCTATAGAGGGATCGGGAAGTATGTCATGAGTGTATGTAGATAGGTACTGGGAGGGTGCAGCTGTGTGCAGAAGAGAGAGGCACAGCATGGTGTACGCAGCACAAAAGTGGAAACAAGCTTCCGGTTAAGTGCTTCGGACTGATGACAGAACTTAGTATATTATCCAGTAGAGATAAGAATGTTTCGAGCTAGAATAATCCAACTTACCTTTGCAGTGCCTGAGTTGAAAGACTGGCCAAGATTTAGTTCGAGAGTGAGAACAGTGGGTGGTGAAGGATCCTGCGGCAGTTAGATCACACATGGAACACACCAAGAGGTGTACATACCTGGGTTGTTTGAGCAGGTAAGAGTTCATGTGCACTGGAACTTGCAGGTGCGGGTTCAGGGCTTTGGGGCTGTCAAGCGCTTGAAGTGGAGCCGCCCTTGAATACTTTGCACACGGACTTGGGAATCACCTGCGAGATTCTGAAGGCAGAAGCGAAGACACTATCATTACACGCGACCACTAGATATATAAGTGCGATGTTCAATACCTCACAGCGTCGACGAGGCAGTGCTGAGGATACGCTTGTGCCCTCTTGCCCTCAATCAGCCACATTGCAGGTGGATATCATTGGAAGGTGGAAGCTAACCTTGTGAGCAGGACGGCGGATGAGTGATGGATGTTCAAGCACAAGGACTTGCGACTCAAAATGGTGTGAGACTGAAGTGACGGGGGCATCAGTTAGTAGAGAAATAAATAAAACTAGATAGACGCACCCAAACCAACTATACCAATCCTACTAGGTAAAGACAATTGAAGATACGAGCGATGCGAGGCAGAACGAAGGCAAGGATAACAAAGCAAACAACAGTACAAATCATCGCAGTGTGAGTGTGTTGAGTATAAGCTGGGAGCTGTCATGGTGGAGAGACAGGACTCAGTCAAGACAAGGACGGAATGAGCACTAAGTACCATTAAGTAGTCCTGGGACAGGGATACTGACGATGTTGGTGAGGCATCACAGATGATGCACGGAATATCCAGAGGGTCGGGAGAGGGCTACGAGGCTCGAGGGAGGCGCTGCGGGAGAATTCTGGAGGAAGGAAGGTGTGCTATAATTAGAACATCAGCGAGGCCGGGTCTCTTAGACCATATAATTCTAACATAAAAATAGGGTCTGACAGACCTTTAATAGTACCGAAAACTGCTGCCTGAGGTGCAATATTACACAATAATATATCTCATGACAAAGTATTGTGCACAGACAAGCAAAATGACATCCAGCAACAAGAAAATGCAAGCAAATTACAATTCTGATGGAAAATGTAACATCTCACAAGTAATGACCAAGTAATATACGGGCAAGATAAAAATGGTGTCAATTTATCAGTAGCCTACAACTCTGATGGAGATATGCAATATCTCGGAAGAATGATTAGCATACACAGTTTAATATACACTGAAGAGCAAAATGGCTTGAGGAGACAAGAAATTGCAAGAAAATTACAATTCTGACTGAAAAGTGCCAATCTGATTATTGTATGACAAAGTACTATACAGTGAGCAAAATGGTGCCAAGGGGGCAGGAAAGTACAGTTTCGATGGAGGTACATATAGTGCATTGTAAATGTGATTGGCATACGATAAAGTGATGTAACAGTGCGAGCTGCCGGGGACAAGAATATATATATCTTGTTGGATTATTTACGACGTTGCATGATATCAGCTCGAATCAATAGGTATTATAATTGATGCTTCAGACTGAAATCTGTGTAATAGTGTACTGATCAAACTCATTTCACAACCTCAGAAACAGGCTCCATCGTCCTTCGATTGTGTATCGTCTCAAATCCCGATTCAGATGGACTCCCTCATGGTTGAGGGATATCAGGCTGGGACTGGTTGGCAGGAGGAAGAGCCGCACCACAACATTGGATAGTCAATTGCACCGCAGTAGGTTTAGATTTACACACAGATTCAACAGATATTGTGGGGCTATGCGATGAGTTATCAATGCGTATTCAGCAAGGCATTCAAGTAGATTAACATGTACATATAAAAAAAGACTCATTGAATGATCAATCAATGTTCCCGGGTGGAGTGGCTAACTGATTGAGCAAGGGCTAGCACCCCGTCAGGCTCGACTGCTACCACTACCAACCACCCAGAACCAGTACCGAGGCCTTTTTTCGTTAGCTTACCACTCACTTTGCTGGTCCCCCGATATCCCTCGTGGTACAGGATAATTTTTGAGTGGTCGAGCTTTGTATAGGTGATGACGAATCCGCATTGCTTGCAAGCGAATTGGGTATTGCTGGACATAGGGCGGGTTGTAGAGCCCCAAGAGCGAACACAGTAACAACGCAAACACTGATAGGGCAGTGGATTTCCCCAAGGATGCTGATTCTCGTGAAAGAACTTGTATGTGGTCACAATCATGGAGGCCTTATCGTCCATGCGCATGGCTCCTTTGTTGTATTCGGAGACAGTAGGAGGGCGACGATGGAAAATGTTTGTAACACGGATGTGAATTATGGATGTATGCATCCCAAGTTGAGGAGCCGCTTTGAGAAGATCTTCGATGGCCTCTTCAACCTCGAAGCCCTCGACAAGAACACGTTCCACATATGCGAAGATGAACGGTGGAACAAGGCATGCATGGAAGCGTTCAGCATCAAATGCAAATGCGTGCTGAATTTCATAACTGTATTGTAGTATTTCAGCGCGAGGCAGCAAAGTTGTGGTAATGTACGCACCGTCTTACACAGGCTTTGAAGTCATTGAAAACGTCAATTTCATGTACCATATGCCCACATACCAACATCCACAGTGTGGCTCCCTTGAGATAGCCTGCTATGCTACTGGGGAAAACTGCGGTGAAAAACTGCGAAGAGTAAGGCCACAAAACAATTGAAAACAGAAGCCAACTTACGTCGTCAAGTGAGTAGGCGACAGGCCCCTCATGTTCACCTTTAATGTTTGAGGTCTCGAACCCAGCCCAGAGGTCGCCACGGTTTGTATCAGAGTGGGAGTGGACAAATACTTCGACACAAGCAAACTGACATGGTCCTATGTCTTGCACAAGCTTCTCCATTGCCTTGGCGTGCTGCTTGACCTTGGACAGTGTTCCGATGTCGAACACAATTTCATAGTAATCTGGAGCAACGTATGGATGCAGCCCATCTCGCATGGCACGTGCAGGTGACCCGAAGATATCGACACTGGCAAGGATGAAGTTGAGAATGAGGATGGGGAGGGTGCATACCTCTGACCGACTGGTCAACTCAATGTGGCCATGGATAGTGGCAGGTGTCGCCAGCACGGCCTTTCCTTGAGCATCTTCAAAGCCCTGATGGTAATAAGAAGAAAAAGTGGAGGCTGCAGACCGGTAAACTTACAAAATACGGTGTGATGATACCTTTTCCAGCATTTCTATCACGAACTTCATGGCATCCGGGGCATCTGAAAAAGACATTGCCTTTTTTGATGTAGTCCAGCGACTCTTCTGGGATGACAATGCAGCGCACGCACACTGTGTGTGGGCAATGTGAGCATTCGTACATTTGTGGACTGCCATCACAGCAGAACAAACACCACTGCCGAGAATTAGTAAAATATACGAGAAGGAGTCACGCACGCCTACGTGGTTCCAGAATTGAGGAATGAGAATGTCTTTTTTCCTAGTCGATATCGCCTCTTCCATCCCATGTGGCAATGGCTTATGATATACACTTTTGATGACCTGTTCACCACAGAGACCAGAAACAAGTTTGAAGGGGCCAGGTAGCACACTACGGTTCGCAGGTCCTCCCGTAGACTTGCCAGACTTGCAGACGGTACGAACCATGATGACTGGAGCAAGAGAATTTTCGCTAAGACGGAATCTGTGTAGCAGCAGATTATTTGTTTGAACCGGGAGAGGAAGGCTGTACATACTGTCAAAAATTAAATGCGTTAGTTGACGGAGCTATATTTTGACTGGCAAAGTATAGAGACTTAAGATCGATGTTGGAGAAGAAATCTTTGAGTTCATTGTTACATTGTGTTTTGCTCGTGTCACATGAGCGTGTTTGACCCGGTTGTATGTTACTGTATGATTCAGTGAGTACTCAAAATTGATCAGAACTTACTAGTAATTAATGCAATCTCAATTCTCGAGACCTTCGCCCATCTTCCTCTCAACCAGAGACCATGAATCCAGATTGAATAGAGTAATCTCAATTCATTCAGATCGTGCATCTTCCATAAGGTCGGGTTATATGAAGCGACGAAATTTGTGAGCAATCATACCTCAGGCCTCAGTACTCAGTACTCAGTGGTGATTTACATCAATGTGGACTTTCCCGTTAGAGTGGAATACAACCTTCAGCAACTGGCAAGCAGCCTGATCTTATACCTTCAGATGTCGAAACCAACTCCTTGTGTCATCCCCCTCTCTAGTAGTTGCTCTGCACCAGGCAGTCTATTCCAAATGCTGATTTAATGTGAGCTTGGTGTTTCCCATCAAAGATGATATTTCCAGACCATTGCCCAGTTTTCATTCATTAACTTTGTAGACCTAGTAAGCATGATGACTTCCAAGCTGCGAGCGCTACATCCACCATGACCTCGTGAGAAATTAAATGCCCAGTGCATTGGAGCAGGTCAAGTATACCCAGCACGTTTGACAACATGAAACTAAAAAGCTTAGAATCAATACTAGGATCAGGCACAATAAATGTGGGACAAATCAAACAATGCCCACACCATCAACAATGAGAATAAGCTTCCGCTTCTCGTGGTATTTGAGCTGCACAAGCAACTCAAAGCTCCACCGCGAGCCAGTTTCGCATGCTGTGTAACAAGGTACTAAGCAGGTAATAAATTCAGTGGTCTTCAAGGGCACAGGGAGACACAAAATCGATGGAAGCTATGGACCTGAGTCCAATGATGCTGAACGTCAAAACAAAAATGCCCTGAGAACTAGCATTGGAGCAAGGATAGGTGATATCAAGTTTAACTCATTCAGCGCCTTGCAGAGAAGAGGTCCATACGAGCGTCAGGAATGAGTGTCTGGCGAACTTTCTTCTTAACTTTGAAGGATCTGTTCAGCTTCTTGGCTGAACTTGTGTCTAGATGGTCCGGAGTACGAAAGTGAAGTTGCAACAAAAGGGACAAACAGAGTGTTGATGAGGCGGGATATTGCGGTATTGCTGAATGCCGATACCTCAGTAGAAGAGGGTGTGAGAGCGACGCACAAAACATACACCAGGAGTGAAGAGGCCGCTGCGATTCTTGACACATTGAGTTCTGAAGATGTCGAGATATTTGAGAGCCTGGAAGATTGCCAATGGTATCTATTAAGCGCGAGTCAAGAAAAACGGATATGAGATTCGCACCTTCCCATTTTGCAACCCAGTTCATTGTCCTGAAGCTGAGACTCTGGAGCATTTCTAGTGTTCTTCATTCAGTCTTTGGAGTCCAAGTTGTCTGAAATGTCCTTGGACGTGTTTAACGAATGACTTCTGCAGAGTATCAGCAAGGCTTGCAGAGGGAATGTTCGAAGGCATACACATCTCCTTCTTGTCCTTCTGGCTTGTATGTAAAGGGCGCAGGTCATCCTTCATGTGAAAGTGCATGATTCCCCATGTATCCTCACTTTGCCTGACTATCATTTGGACAAAGTAAAATGGGACTGGAAGTCAAGGAGATAACCTGCGCAGTGTTGTTAAATATACATAAGCTGAAGCAGAAACGTAAATTGACTAACTTGGGATGAACTGATCCTTCGTCTAATGTTTCAAGACGGTAAATGCCTAAGGAGGAACAAGTATCGAGCCGCTTGACTGGATTTTGATATACTGACCCGTACAGTGGTGACACATATCTATGGGGCTTTCACTAAGGGAGATCCTCAATATGTGCATCATGAATCCATATGGCTGGAATTCCTGCAGCATTTTCAACATGGACTCCTAAAAGAACGTTACATAGACACACTATAGTCAAGACACATTCTACTGAGTGAGTGTGATGCTATGAATCTACATACTTATAGTTTAATCGTACTTCACCTGCACGAGAGGTGGTAACTTGTGTTATTGTAAAACAGGATGCAGTTTGAGCTATTAGTGAACTGGTGCCAAAGAGCTCAAACTAATACTTACTAATCGAGGAAGCGCATCAAGGCCTGTAGACGTGTGTTGTTTGTTTTTCTTCGTCTCTTGTCTTCTGAGCTACCCGCACGAGAGGTGGTGACTGGTGTAAAACAGGCACTGTGCAGAACGTCGACGCAGTTGGCGAGCGCCGAGGTCAACATTTCCATGCAGTCACGTGGACGAAAATCACAGTGTGATCGTGGATATGTACTACTAGTACTAAATACCTCACACTCCCCAAAATATATGTTCTATTTTATCAATACGTGGCCGAACGAGATAGCTGCACCGTGCGATCCCATGTGTCACACTGGTACTAATCAAAGGACAGTCATCAATCTCAGGGCGCTTCGAGAAACTGCGGTAAGGGTTCGTCAAGTCTCGACAAAAGATCCAAGTCCCTCATCCGAGTGAACCCACGGCATACCTGAACGCTCGATGACAAGAAACGAGGTAAGTCTTATCTGCAACAAAAGTTTTTGGTGCTGAGTTCATTTTCTATTAGTCTACATTATGCTACTCTCTGATCCCTGTGACTTGGAAGCGCTTTGGAAACACGTTGGAGGCTCTGATGATCAAGCGGTAATGATCACCCTCATCACTTTTGCACCCCTCCTGAGCAGATATGACACTTCATTGCCGGCTTTGGTCCTACTCGTGCACACTGCTTGCAGTGTTGAAACAGAATATGAAACTCACTCGCAGCAATCCTATCACTGTTAGACGAAGCAAGCCTGTTTAACAACTCCGTTTGCTCCTGGTTGGTCCATTCGAATTGAACAGGAGGGACTCGCTGCTCTTTATCACCCATCTATCAATAAAACTGTGCTATGGCAGCTGAATAGGTTTGTACCTCTTCACGGGTACCGGAATGCAGCTAAAGGGAATAACTGGAAGTGTATAGTATTTATCTTCACTAGGTGGCGATCAGAGACAGATATTCTTGGGCATGAAGAACGCTAACCTCGGTATCCGCAAGTATCAGAAGCACATCTTGCAGTCCAATGGGTCCCCTCTGTGATCGTATCCCACCATGGGTACACGGCTGCTTCTACGTACGCCTCTTTTCCACCCTCATCAGCACATAGGCAGCATGGATATTGAAAATTGTATTCCTTGCGGGACTTCTCCAAGTCAGATGGCGGAATCTTCTTCCCCTCATCATCGGCAGGCCTACATTTTCAGGCCATTGTCATTGCCCAGAATTTGCGCAGGATTCAAGTAGCACCCACCAACACCATTCAACCATGGATTTTGAGGCACGATCATAGTGCAGCAGGGCGGAGCGGCAAGTCATAGCCATCACAATCAGTTTGCCTGACCTCTGAGAAATTTCATGACAGTTAGGTGGGGTAGTGATGGTAGAGGATGGTGAGGATGGCGATTCCATTGAATGGAGGGATTTTTTCCTCCCCTGCCAGCTTTTACATCATGACTCGTCCAGCTTTTCCTGCCATCATCATTTGCAGTAGCAATACTAACCTTTCGGCATGGATTCTTGGCCTGTGGGAACTTGGCACTCTAATCACTTTTCGGGTAATCCCGCTGGCCGACGTTGGGCCTAGGTTTGTTGGTTGTCAGAAGTGGTGAGTCTGTGAGTTCGTTCAGATCCTTTAAACATTGAGCATAGCCATAGCATAATTTTCGTCCTTTCGCTTCTCTCCACAGCTCCTCATGGACCTGGCAAAAGGTCCATCCCCTTTCAGATGCACTTGTACTCGGGAGTTTACACAGGAGAACGCCTACACCAAACATCAGCGCTCCTGCATGAAAAGCAAGAAAAGATTGTTCTCTGCATTGTCGAAAGCAAAAGATCTCTTAGGCTCTGCAAAGCGGTCATGAGTTGATAGCAACAGGGGCGGACAGTCTCTGAGCACGCAGCTCCACCGTCTACGAGTACCACCACCGTCTTCCGATGATATCATAGATGCAGAGCATTCCAATGTTCACTCAACTTTGTTAGCAATGCGCCCCACGTCATGTGCCAATTCGTCGACGCAGAATGCATCTACCTCAGCACCTGATGCTATTCTTGGCACGGCGTCCATGGAAATAGATGAAGATGAGTTGTCACTGGCACAGCGGAGGAGCCGACGTGTTGGTGTTCCCATGCCACTACATTACAGACAGTACAATGATATACTTCCGCAGCCTCCACTGAGTGTTCCCTCCAATCGCACTACTCAACAGCAGGAGTTTTACGCACCTGTGGATTCCACTGATGCATCTACCGCAACTCGTACATCATTGCGGTGAAGGTTCAATGATACAGCAAGGCACGAACAAAGGTCCTGACTGTATCTATAAATGTTGTAAGGTCGCGCGTTGCCTAGTCTGCTATACTTGAGACGACAAGTGCGTTCGACCCTAAAGGGGAAGCGAGTGCAGCAAGGATCTAGAGGTATGCGCTGAAAGCGCTACTGGTTGGCCAATGCGAAGCGCGAGAAAGCGCAGGTGCGCGCAAGGCGTGGGAATGCGCGCGTGTATGGCGCGAAGCGCGGGAAAGCGTGCGCGTGTATACAGATACGAGAGAGAGTAAGAGTGAGTTTGCTTAAGTGATGATATGATGTAAGACAAGAGAAGAGAGATGCGAGGTGTAAACAAATAGATTTCTACTATGTTCTGCTAGGTAAATAGTGGGTAGTAACCAGTAAGTCCCCCGTCATTCTGGTGGGAGAGTAAGTGAGTAAGTCCGTAATAGTATGTACTGCTGGCGCTTAAGTATGGCGCCTAAGCGCTGTCATGCGGAGCCGAAGCGCTACCGAGTAAGATATGTAAGGATATATGTAAGTAAGGGTCCATGATAAAAATAAAGATGGAATGATATGCAAATGTGAGAAATGGAAATATACGCACTAGGGAACTTGGTGGACAGTGGATGGATGCTTCCGGATGGCTGGCGCTATAGGGCGCTCAAGCGCGGGAAAGCGCGCGCGCATATACATCGTGAAGCGTGGGAAAGGTACGCGCGCGAGTTGCGCATTGCGCGGGAAAGCTGTGCCTCATGTAGGAATGGCTGTAGGAAGCATACAGAGTGATGCTACAAGTTCGTGCTGTATACTCCTTGGTGAAAACTGCAATATTGCACAAGGAGAGGCATGAGTCTCTACAGCGGGCCCCTCCTTTTCGCACAGCAAGAAACATTTTTGGACTAGTGCACCAGTTCTTCTCGTCAACTCCCCCATCCCATGACCCAGAAGATATTGTGACACTCCGAGACATCAGCTCCATCCAAGCCGTTGCTGCAGCAAAACCAGATATACCTGCCGAGCCTCATGATTTTTCATTTTATCCATATTCCAATCAATCTTCATTTGAGCTCAGTCATTGGTACTGGAATGGCAGTGCGCAGAAGTCCCATCAGAGCTTCAAAAAACTAATCGACATCGTTGGACGCCCAGGTTTTGATCCTGATGATGTGCAAAATACACCATGGAGCAATATCAATGCGCGATTAGGTGCGAGTGTTCATGACGAAGAAAGAGATGAATGGGAGGATGAGGATGCAGGTTGGCAGAAAACCTAAGTAACAATTGATGTACCTTTCTCACAAACCACAACTCAGCCAGGTGTTCGTCCTTATGTCGCAGCAGACCTCTACCATCGACCACTCGTTTCCATTATCCGGGAGAAGCTCTCAAATGCCCAGGACGATGATCTCTTTCATTACGAGCCCTACCGGCTGCAATGGAGTGCACCCCATCTCCAACATAAAGTAAATATTCAAGGTGAATTATACACTTCACCGGCCTTCATGGATGTGCATCGTGAACTTCAGGAGTCTCCTGGAGAGCCAGGATGTAGATTACCTCGTGTGGTTGTTGCACTCATGTTCTGGTCAGATGCTACCCACTTGACAACTTTTGGCAACACAAAGCTATGGCCAGTCTATATGTACTTTGGCAACGAATCGAAGTACCGCCGGTGTAAGCCAACCTGCCATCTAGGTAATCATGTAGCATATTTTCAAAAGGTACGATAATCATTATCCTCTCCTGTATTACTCACTGACATTTGGCAGCTTCCAGATTCATTCAAGGATTTCACATGTAGTCACACTCAAGGCAAGGGAGTCGGTCATGAGTGTACAACCCATTGCCATCATGAATTATTCCAAGCTCAATGGAGGGTTTTGCTTGATCCCGAATTTTTGGAGGCATATGAACATGGAATTGTGATTCTCTGTTGTGATGGCGTCGAACGGAGGTTTTACCCGCGGATATTCACTTACTCTGTGGACTATCCTGAAAAGCGAGTTGTCCAAATTGTCTGTAAGATATCCCAACTCAAAAAACCAGAGTTCTTATCGCAACTATTCGGCAGCTGGGAGGTTGCCCTTGCCCACGATGTCTCATACCGATGGGACGACTTCACAGTCTCGGAATGAGTCGCGATAGGCAACAGCGTGCAACTCTTGTGCGGTCTGATGCTTTGAGGAGTCAGTTGGTCTCCACAGCACGTGGCATCATCTACGAGAAAAATTATGGTGTAGACAGCACAGCAGTTGAGTCACTCCTCAAGCCTCACTCATGGGTACCGACATCTGTGAGCATGACCATCAGCTGCGATCTCCCTTTTACTAATATTTGGTCAGAACACGTTTTCGGACTGCCTTAGTCCATTTGGATTCAATGTGTTTGTTGCACTTGTCGTCAATCTTCTGCACGAATTTGAGCTTGGAGTGTGGTGTATGCTCTTGGTTCACCTATTGAGAATACTTTGCGCCTTGAACAAGGACTTGATTCACGAACTTGACAGGAGGTATGCCAGATATCTACACAATGACTCCTTGGCAGGCTAAAATTGACTAACGATAATAGGTACAGACAGGTCCCGCCATTTGGACGAGCGACCATTAGGCGGTTCTCTGCAAACACTTCCGAAATGTCAAACATGGCTGCAAGAAATTTTGAAGATCTTCTACAAGTATGTTGTCAGAACTCATAGGTCTTCGTGAACTGATCTTGTGGAAGTGCTCCATCCCGGTTTTGATGGCCTACTCCCCGACAATCACAACAAAATCGTCATGGACCTACTTTTCATAATGGCACACTGGCATGGACTTGCGAAGCTTCGTATGCATTCCGACCTGACCTTAGAGATCTTGGACCAACAAACCACCAATCTAGGCGAACAGTTTCGTCAGTTTAAAGTGAAAGTGTGTAGTGCCTAGCACACCCAGGAACTTGATCGCAAAGTTGATGCGCGGTCTTGTCGACAGGCAAAGGAAGCAGCTAAACGGGCAGAGAAAGATGTTGTTGTGCAAGGGACTGCGGCTTGAAAACCTATGGCAGGCGCCAGTGCTAAAGGGAAGGGAAAGGTAATTCTGCAGCAGTTGCGTAAGGGGAAGTCCTTCAATTTCCACACCTATAAGTTTCATGCACTCGGAGATTACATGACTACCATCCGTCGCTTTGGAACAACAGATTCTTATAGTACTGAACCAGTAAGTCCTAGCCCACCGTTTGGCCCTGCTCTGACCTGATTTCTCAAGGGAGAATTAGAGCATCGTACGCCGAAAGGCAGATACCGTCATACTGATCAAAGGGCCTTCGTTCGCCAGCTCACTCAGATCGAGCGCCGTCAAGCGCGTTTATGTCGCATCAAGCAATGGCAACAACAGCACGCCCCTCGTGCAGAGGTGGACGCAAGAGCAAGTGACCCTCAACTACACCATCATATTGGCCAAAGCGAAAAGAGCTACGATGATTTTGGTCACTACCTCCGCAGTCACTCAACAGATCCTGCTATGAAGGTAATCAATATTTCAATTCATCATCATCATCATCATTCTGAGGTGTCACACAGGATTTCCTGCCTCAATTGAAAGATTATATTCTGGATTGCCTTGAGCCGGAAAAGACATCACCTCATCTCGACCGAGAATGCGACTCCATTCTCTTCAAGCATAACCAAATATATCACCACAACATCGCAAAATTCAACTATACCACGTATGACATCCGAAGGGATCAAGATGTTATAAATCCGAGAATGCCTCATTGCAACATCATGCTACTTAAGCATCATGATGATCACAGTGATAATGACCACGGGGGCAACTACCGTTACGCCAAAGTCATTGGAATACATCATGTTAACGTTGTTCGCATGGGAAATGTGTACGAGTCCAGGCGATTTGAATTTCTTTTTGTTCAATGGTACGAACCTGTACAAAACCACGCATGGGAGACACGTACTTTGAGCCGCGTTCATTTCATGCCCCTAACGAATCCTAATGCATTCGGCTTCGTCGACCCAGCAGTGGTTCTCAGAGCGTGTCACATAATACCAGCTTTTTCCAAAGGTCAGCGCAATCCAAATGAACACGGGATTTCCCCTCTTGCAGGAGATAAACATGATTGGTGTGAATACTACGTCAATAGGTGAGTGACACTACCACTTGTTTTGGCTAAATTCAGGAAATAATAACTCTAATAGCTTCGTCGATAGAGACACCCTAATGCGTTTTCATTACGGCCTTGGGGTAGGAGACGTGTACGCTCATGAGGCGAGAATCGTAGAATGCCCGTACTTAGTGCCAGGGGCATCTCCAAGTCAATCTGCCCCACAAACAACGATGCAGGAAAACAACAACCATTCGGGAAGGGAAGAAAGCCTACAGGAAACCACCGACTGGCAAGATCCTACTAATGGCGAGGACAAAGAGGACGATCACCTGGGCATTGAGGAGGCGATCTTTTTTGAGCAGGAACGAAATGGAAGCACCGATTCATTGATCGAGGCGCTAGAAGAAATGTATTCTGATCATGTGTTCGATTACGAAAATTAGTGTTGTATACAGTACCCTGTTCATGGTGCTGACGACGAAATCTGATCTCTAGTCGGTTAGTTAATTTTTTGCTGCCTGATGCATCACTAGTAACAGTTTTTTTTCATTCTAGAACGGCGAACTCATTCCTGGAACGCAGATCACGTGTGTTTGGCAAAAATCCAGTTAATTCAGTCATTTTCGGCAGCAGGCAGTTCAGTCACTTATGACACTCAATTACACTTATTACACTTATTCACAGTGGCCGCATCACTAGAATTCCTGGCCATCGCCAAATCTCTGGCCATAGCCAAATCTCTGGCCGTCGCACATAATGTTCAGTAGTATCTCTCGCATGATATAGCTATTTATTACTAGCTCTTATTCGCTGATCCCTCCAACTTTCACTGCCTTCTTTCAAGTTGTCACACCATGGAAAGTAAGTCGCAATCTGGACAGTCCCATCTTGTCAATAACTTGACTCAAAAAAATAGCTCTACTCTCGATGTCTGTTTTCCTCTACTTTCCGCGACGGTCACACCTTCAACAAATAATTCAGCTCCCCGTGCATATGCTCTGTACTGTCATACGTATATCATTCGCTGATGAGTCTTTCCTCAAGACTGACGAAGTTTGTTATCGTTTATCAACCGTTTTTCCATCTAACTTCTTATTTCCAGCATGCTTTTGTTGGATTCACCGAGCCCTTTGACTTTTCAGGTTATTTAGCTCACGATCATCAGATTTCACCCATATACGTGAGTGATCCTCGAAATCAGACATTTCATCTACTAATGATTTGTAGTCTACACATGATGTGGGGGTGAGCCTGAATCGACGATTCGAAATCATGGGTATTTTGGCTGTTCCTCGGAATGGGGATTTAGTATTTTATGAGGTGTTTGAAAAGGAGGTGAGAGTCTGATCTGATGGCAAGTTTCATCTTTGAAATGATATATAGGTCGGCGGCGCCAATTTTCTGAGGGCGGTCAAGGCCCTTTATTGTTGGCCAAACTCTTTAGGGAGAGCTAGTGATGTGTGGCCAGTGTCGCCTTCAGTGCAGTGTGCTATGGCCTAACTTTGCCCGTCCATAGTTGCAAGTGCTGGCAGATTATTGCATCCAATTCTGGGATGCTCCTTTTCCGAATGGATTCCCGCCTCCTCTCGCCACCATCGAGGCAGCACCTCTTCCACACTCATCACATCTCTCTGCTTCTTCCATCAACCAAGATTTCTCTGCGCATATATGTTCAATTCCTGCTTCAGTCGGGCCAAGTTGGGACACAGACTCCTTTGACGCCCATATTGGTGCTGCATCTGGTAGTCATGACTATTCGGTGGTTATTCCTACGTCGGTTCGAGATGAAGAACCGACAACTTTCCTACCTATTCCGCACCTATCACAGCCGAATTCTGTGTCTTTTGAGGAATACCTCTCTGAGTACGTGCCTTCCGAACTGCCATCAGCTGGGCCAAGTTGGCTAGAAGAAATCAACCACACATCCTTCATGGTATCTGATCATCACACTGACAATTCAATCAGCTATCCACCAATGACTACATCAGTTTGAATGGAGGAACCGCTGATTTCCTCAGAAACCAACGACACCATCATTGAACACCTCCCCGTCACCCTCCCCATCAATCCAACAATGGTGACTCACCAGGTGCTTGTCTGGTAAGGTGTAGGTGTCGATACCGCGCTTCACAAGGACTACTGGATGCTCATTTATCACTCCCTGAAGAAAACTAACTGGGGCCGTCCGATGCTTCTAACTAGGTCCTTATACCTAGGATGCTTCTGGGTGGGATTAGAAAACCCATTTGAGATTTCTGAACGGCTCGCACGCAAGATTATTACCAACAGCCTTTTGACGGCAATAGATATTGATGAGACCACATTGCAAGATTTGATTGACAAACCTCGTGAGCGCCCTCCTTTGATCATTCGTGTCACCATCTCACACATGATCAGTGATCCTTGAGTCGCCAAAGGGACATTTCACTGCTGTTGGATGGGATGTCCTTCATCGAACTGTATGCTTTCCCATGTCTTACCTTCAGTCACTCCTAAGCATTGTGAGCAGCTCACTAAGTATGTGGATAACAGATGTTCCGAGATGCGCAAAATCGCCCGGGCGTGCATCTTAAATGACACAGGATTCTCGGGCGAGTCAATAATGGAGCAAAATGTGAAAGCTGACCACTTCCTTGGGCTTCTTTGTTCAGCCAATGTAGACAGGGTAAGAAACCGGTCATATGACTTAAGTTCCTGTCTCATTGTGATTTAGGTACGACAAGCCATAATAGAAATCATGGCACTTCATATGTTCAGGGACTCTTGTTCGCGTGCTTGTTTCAACATATCATCGGCTTGGCCAAAGACAACCATGTCGGGAGAGTCGCGGATCTCTTCCCGGAAGAAGTCCGAGATCAGTGAGGTCTACAACAAGGTGTAGTGGGGACTCTATTAACGATAGTGAGTTTTCTTCATCATTGCTTATAACGAGCCCCTTCAGTGACAAATTCCGTATTATATGGGCCACCCGGCCTACATAATATCCCGTATCAGATGGGCCAGCGGACCATGGGCCTATGTTGTGTATATCCTCAATGACGACGGATGGGCCGGGTAACATATTATTTCCGATGGAGACGGGTGGGCCCATGTATGCCAATGATATATATATCCTTGATGTTGACGGATGGGCCAGGGGAATATGATCATTCATGGAGATGGGTGGGCCCATCTGGGTAATATGTAGAGTAGGATATTATAGACAGCTGGGCTGAAGAGAGATGTGAGGCAAATATTGTCATATAGATGGGTGGGCCAACAGGGGTGTATTACATATACGGGTGGGCCAGGGTAGGGGAATATTACATAAATGGGTGGGCTGACATGGGGCATATTACATATACAGGTGGGCCGATGTGGGGAGTATTACATATACGGGTGGGCCGAGGGTGTGATAAAATATTTATTACATAGACAGGTGGGCCGAGGTGGGGTATAATTATATAGACGGGTGGGCCAAGGTGGGGGATATTACATAGATGGGTGGGCTGACGTGGGGGAATTGTACATAGATGGGTACATATATGGGTGAGCCTAGATATGTTTCATCAAGACATACAGCTGATGTAGCCACCAGCGAATCAAACATGTACACTATGAGTGCATATACCTACCATCGACCACCGAATCTAAACCCCTAAGCACGAAAACATGAATCAACCATGTGTGGCATTGACCAATAATTGAGGACTGAAGTGGAAAAACCCCAAACCGAGATTTACCAAGCCCTGAACCCCAAAATTGTGGACTGCTGGGTCTCGGGGGTGGGCACTCGGGACTTGGGACTTGGGAAATTTGGGGAGATCAATAAAATTTGATTTACAACCAAGTTGATTGACAAACACATTGACTTACCCATTTTTGAAATATATTTTGTTGTCTCACATACTGAGTTCCGAGTTCCAGGACCCCTGAATCCCTGAAACCCGGCAGTCCACAATTTCGGGGTTCGGGGGTTGGTAAAATGTGTATGGATATATGAAGGGTTGATTTAAACATTTTTAAAAGATGTCTCATATCAAATGTCAAGTCCCAAGTTTTGATTTCCGGGTTTTGGGAGTGCCGAGTGCCGAAGCCCGGAGTCCTGAAACCCGGAGTCACAAAACCCGGAAATCAAAACTCAGGACTTGACATTTGATATGAGACATCTTTCAAAAATGTTTAAATCAACCTTTCATATATCCATACACATTTTACCAACCCCCAAACCCTGAAATTGTGGACTGCCGGGTTTCGGGTTTCGGGGGTCTCGGAACTCAGAACTCGGTATGTAGGACAACAAAAATATCTTTCGGGGTTCGGGGGTTAGTGAAATGTTTATAGATATACGTAGGTTAATTCAAACATGTCTGAAAAATTTTGTTCATCTCAAATGTCAAATCCTGAGTTCCAGGTTTCGGGACTCGGCACCCGGCACCCAGCACTTGGGGTTCGGCACTGAAAATTTGACATTCGGGTGTTCGGGTTTTGGGTGATATCTAAATCACAACAGCTTCGAGTTCTGCCAAAGCGTGAAACTTGAAACCCAGTGTGCAACATGTTGATTTTTCATTTATATCACACAAATCATCGAGTTCCGAGTGCCGAGTGCCGAGACCCAAAGCCCGAGACCCGAAAATATGTACACAACATGTCCATTTTTCACTCACTGCACAAATCACCGAGTTTTGAGTGCCAAAGCATGAAACTTGAAACCCAGTGTGCAACATGTTGATTTTTCATTTATATCACACAAATAACCAAGTGCCGAGTGCCAAGTGCCGAAGCCCAAAGCCCGAGACCCGAAAATATGTATATAACATTTCCATTTTTCACTTGTTGCACAAATCACTGAGTTTCAAGTGCCGAAACCCGAAACTCGAAACCCAGTGTGCAACATGTTCATTGTTCATTTACATTACACAGATCATTGAGTGCCAAGGGCCGAATACTGAAACCCGAAGCCCAAAAACATGTATGCCACATGCCCATCTACTCATTGCACAAATCACCAAGTGTCAAGTGCCGAAACCCGAAACGCGGTACTTCAAATGGACATGAATTCTGTCTTTGTATGTATTATCCATTGGTGTAGGGTTGAAATAACTTGGGAATTGTATTTGTCAGTGCTCGGTAGTTGGTAGTTGGTGGTTGGTAGTCAATATAGGCAAATGATAATGAAAAATGAAAGTTGTTATTACACTTAACTTCCTTACCGAAGGTTGTAGTCTGAGTCTAGGGGAGTGTATTGGTGTTACGCACTCAAATAGATCTGTTAGGCGGAGCCCTAAGAGGGGCGTCGTCCGCTAACGTTCGTGACGTAACCGGAAGGATCCGGTATAGCAAGTGAGACTGGCGACGACGAGTCGGCAGCGGTCACAGTACGCGCGTGTCACGTGACTTCGTAGACGGATGTCTTGAGAAGTCACTCAAGGTCAGGACTGTCTTGTCCAGACGATGAGGTCGATCGAGGTAGACTTAGCCGCGAGGAGCGACTAAGAAAAGATACTAGAGACTGAAGCTGAGGGGGCTTCAGAGGGAAGTATGTTCCAGGGAAGATTGAGTAGATTCAAGTTAGGGAATCTAGTACAGGGTGACCGACTACTTATACTAAGTGGAGAGGGTTAAGGGCAAGGCTACCGCACAGTAGGTAAGGGTAAAGGGGAAACAGGAATGGTATAGGTGCGCTGGCATCAGAGCCGGATTAGTGATGGATGGTTGAATGTAGAATGAGACCGAGAAACGTTGGAACGGACCAACGGTAAGAATACAACGTGCGGGAATCCGCAGTCAGGGGAAACAGAAAGAGGAAAGCCACATTGGTGGCACGAGTCAGACCGAGTCAAAGATGCGGGACCACATTGGTGGTCGAATCAGGAGAGGAACGTGCATGCACGTGCATAGAGGCAGGCGATGCGAGGGACGGGAACGGTCCCGAGGATCCGGTCAACGGAAAGGCGGTAAAGGAGGACGAGCCGGTAGATGGTGAGGGCGAGGATGAGGGGAAAATGATAGGGGGGCCATGTGACCGATGTTACTTGTAACAATTGGTAGTCTTTTCTTGTCCATCAGTTATCATTTAACCGAGATATAAGCTAAAGAAATCTGAAACATCAGCGATAATGAAAAAATGAAAGTTATTATTATGAGGAAGTGAAATGGGTAAGAAATTGAGTGTGGGAAACTTCAAAGACCCAAAGCATCGAAAATGGTTAGTTGAGCAGTGGTAGGACTTTAATGCTGGGTCAACTCATATTTTCACTATATCCCTTCTACCCATCCCCTACCCTCAGGGCAGTAGGCAGTATGCGTTCCTTGGGTAGTTTATGATCTATCCTACATATTTGTAATGATATTTTCGGCCTGAATCATATATAAATGTGACTTGGTATAAAAGATGTCTATTGTCACTCTCCACACATATGTCATTTTGCCTATCATTACATCAATCCTTCATGAATCTTTCTAGGCTTTTAAGCTATTATAATGGATGTATATGGGTGTTATTCCAGGTCTCTCATCACATCACAGGCTTGTTATGTTGGATATCTTGACATAATGTGCAAGTCTCGCTATTAATATTCATTCTTTTATCTTTACACTCACTTACTGCACACATGTATTTCATTTGTCATTATTGATGTTTCAGATTTCTTTAGCTTATATCTCGGTCACATGGTAACCAATGAATGAGAAAAGACTACAAATAAACTCACCTAGACTCGGACTACAACCTTCATTAAGCTGACTACTGATTCCCGGGTACCGAGTATCAAAACCAAATACTGAGTACCAATTACCATGTACCGAGTACTGCATAATGAGTAACAAGATAACCAATTGACAAGAAAAGACTACCACTACACTCACCTGGACTTGGACTACAACCTTTGGTAAGGAAGTTAAGCATAATAACAACTTTCATTTTTTCATTATTGCTGATGTTTTGCTGAATGACAAGGAAAGACTACCAAGACACTCACCTTGATGTGGACTACAACTGTCATTTTTCATTATCATTTGCCTATATCGACTACTGAGTCTCGAGTACCGACCACTGACCACCGATCACCGAGTACTGACAAATACAATTCGTGTCCATGTGAAGTACTGGGTTTCAGGTTTCGGCACTTGAAACTCGGTGATTTGTGCAACAAGTGAAAGATGGAAATGTTGCATACATATTTTCGGGTCTCGGGCTTTGGGTCTCGGCCCTCGGCACTCGGAACTCGATGATCTGTGTAATGTAAATGAAAAATCAACATGTTGCACACTGGGTTTCAAGTTTCATGCTTTGGCACTCGAAACTCGGTGATTTGTGCAGTGAGTGAAAAATGGACATGTTGTGCACATATTTTTGGGGTTCAGATTTCGGCTCTCGGCTCTCGGAACTTGATGACTTGTGTAATATAATTGAACAATGGACATGATGCACACTGGGTTTTGAGTTTCGGGTTTCGGCACTCGAAACTTGGTGATATGTGCAATGAGTAAGAAATGGACATGTTCCATACATATTTTCGGGTTTTGGGCTTCGGGTTTCAGCACTCAGCACTCGGAACTCGATGATCTGTGTAATGTAAATGAACAATCGACGTGTTGCACACTGGGTTTCGAGTTTTGGGTCTCGGCACTCGAAACTCGGTGATTTGTGCAGTGAGTGAAAAATGGACATGTTGAACAATGGGTTTCAGGGTCTCGGGTTTGAAAAATAGCATAATAACAACTTTCATGTTTTCATTACCATTTGCCTATATTGACTACCGAGTCCGATAAGGGACCCCTTGGATGATCCATTGCTCAATGAAATACTACCTGATTGGAAGTGTGCTGGTTATCAGATATTCATTTGTCAACTCCCGGGTCCCGGAACTCAGAAGTCAGTACGGTTGACCCAAATTTGGGTGGTTGGAACTTGGCATCTCATAGGGCAACACAAGCTTCGCACCCCGTATTCCAAATTCTGCAAGACAACCTGTGCACCATCAAAGGCCATGTCAGGAGATCACCTGCTGCTCCGGGAACTTGGTAACTTTGATTTATTACCTCCTCTGATTTGGTTGATGTACAACTACCTCAGCTCCATCATGTCTACAATTATGATACACATGGGCCCACCCATCTATATTTTATACCACCCTCAGCCCACCCGTCTAATTAATATGTGTCTGGGCCCACCCGTCTAATACAATATTTTATATTACCCTCGGCCCACCCGTCTAATTTAATATGTGTCTGGGCCCACCCATGAATGTGATAACAAGTACCTACCCATCTATCTCACACACATCTACCTTAATACACCCATCTGCATAATATCCAACTACCTCGGCCCACCCATCTACCTAATATTCATGTACATCGGCCCACTCATCTACTCTATATAGTCCCTGCATGGGCCCACCCACCTCCATCGGGAATAATTTGCCTCCCGGCCCATCCGTCATAGTCGAGGATATTTTTATCATGGGCCCATGGTCTGCTGGCCCATATCATGCGGGATATTATGCACATCCGTTCCCTCATATTATACGGAGATAGGTCACTGTAATATGTGTTATAACAACAGAAACTTTATGGCTGTACCAGATATACCATACGTTTCTTTGTTGGCGCTCGACAAATTTTCAAGGTCGAAAACTGAGTCGCGCATATGATGTTATTATGTTTGCACTTACCGACATGTACAACAACCCGGAGTTGTACCCCGAGTTCCAGGAAGCGGTGAAGGCACTGCCATTCATCAGGTTGGTGTCCTTTGCATGACTCTTGGCCTTACTTATCATACGTACTCATGATCAGTGCCGAACATGTCTTTCCAATGCACCCCAAGGAATTATGCCCGAAAATATGCCCGGAATTGGGACGAGCAAAGCACATAGATGAGATTCCAGACACTATCCTTCAGATAAATGATAACCCACTGGGTCTTCCCAATTCCATGTTCACATTCCTGCGCTCGCAAAGGCCTCGGCGAGAAGTGGATGAGTCATCCATCAGGAATGGGGAGTCATCTTGGCTTGTAATACGTCACACGATATATCAATACATTTTCAAGGGTGTAGGATTCAAATCGAGTTATCAGTAATGTACTCCGAATGAGCCTTACTGCGCATAGTGTGATTTGATGTTCAGCAGGGCTAGATCTGCCTCAACCATAGGAGCAAGGTGATCCCCAGCTCAAAGGCTAGAACACCTGACCACGCAAGGTTGGACATTGGTTTCAGGAGCAGACGCTCCTCTGTGCCAGATAGCCCATTGTCCAAAGTGTGTAGGTGGCCTGACCACATAAAGTTGAACATTGGCTTCAGGAGCAGATGCTCCTCTGTGCCAGATAGCCCAATGTCCAAAGTGTGTCAGCAGCCTGACCATGCAAACTTGAACATTGGCTTCAGGAGCAGACACTCCTCTGTGCCAGATGGCCCAATGTCCAAAGTGTGTTGGCAGCCTAACTACGCAAACTTGAACATTGGCTTCAGGAGCAGACGCTCCTCTGTGCCAGATGGCCCAATGTCCAACGCGTGTAAGCAGGAGCAAGGCGATCCTTAGCTCGAAGGCTAGAAAGCCTAACTGCGCAAAGTTGCAGAGCAGACGCTCGAAAGCTTCGATCAAACAAATTTTGATTGTTTAGTATTGTTTGCAGCTATATACCAATACGGCTCAGAACTGCAGGTAATTCCCACACTCAATCAATCTGCTTCGTAACTTAGCCCCTTTCTGAGAAACTCAGCATTTTTCTAAACATGTCTCGTATCAATCATACCGCCTGCATGGGGTTGCTACCAGTGAAAGGTAGAAAGGCTCTGGTAAGTAATGTTCGCAATCGGTGGCGGGTAGTTAACGATTTTATCAGACACAAGTTGACGTCTGGTTCGATTCAGTAAGTCCATGAGGCTACAACCACCGGTGGCTTACCCGAATTATTCAGCGACTCACCCAATCAGGTGTCGCTCCACGTCGTCTGACGAGGATCAGAACTCAGTTACTCCGTGCCGTAAACAAAGCAAAAGCAATGCTTCGCGTAAGTATTGCGATTTTTGTTACTCACCTTCTTAGCTTCAACTGACCGATAATTTAAGGAATTTGCTTCGTCATCATGATAACGGCCCTAGCATTCTCCAGACTCCTCGGGGGAGTACTTACTGTACCATCACCACCATCATCACAAGCTATATTCCTTTTCTACATGCTACAGGTACTGTTCCCAAACCATCCAATTACCTATATTGGTACATACACCGATCATCACACTATGATACCACTCACACTTGTAATACCCATCATGATCCGATCATCTATGACTACATGCATGTATCATACTCTACCATACCATATACGCCTGTTATCTATTGCTGTGGTGCTATGTCCTATGTAGGCATGCGCGTGTTTACTAATTATATTTGTGCCTTACAATCAGGGTTCAGCAGAGCCATTATGATAAATCTAATTCCATCATCGTGTGAAAATTCACCTTGAACATGACCACAGCAGTATGTTCAATTTTGACTGTCAAAGTTATGTGCGTGCTTACTCTATCATGCTAGACCCCAACAAGGTTCGATCAACAGATGCTGCTTAAGCATAGTGTCCCTATTTGGCCGATGCAGTTATGGCGCTATACTGAAATGCCACAACTGTAAGCATATTCATACGGACGACTTGATTCACGGTTCTAAACAACAAATATAGGGTACCTGTAGTATGCGATTATAACGTGCAGATGATGCAAGTCGACCCATCTAGGTTTGTCACCCCATTTCCGAATGTGACGTTTTAACTGCAGCATCAACAGGCGCAAGGTGCGTGGGGATTGGGAAGAGTGTATTCACCTGTCGGGGGCTACATATCATTACAATGGCAAAATGGTGAGTATCGACTGGATTTACGAGCAACGTGCTCACTTTATATAGAATACGTTCACAGAAATGAACATAAGAGCTTGTTCGGACGACCAGCTTCAAAGGCTCGAATCTTGGATCCACGCATCAAGACTCAAAATCAACGATGAACACTGGTTGTTAGTTGTCGAGCCGATCTTAGCTAGAGGGGAGGAGGTCTACCCATATTACTGTGTGGTCCCGAAAAATCGCATCATTACCTGGCTGGAACCGGTGGATGCTTACCTTCTTTTCCAGGAATGTACGATGGTGTCACATTGGAATCACAAAAGTATGTTTCCATTTCGTGTTTTGTTGCTTTTACCAGACCTTGCAGGACTTGAACTTGAGGCCCAATTCTGGTGAGTGATCAACTCGTCCTGATGGAAGCGAACCGATTCGAAAGTTTCTCACTGCGTAACCAGGAAACACGTCGAATATTTTCCAAGCAAGGTTTCAATGAGTCTCCTGGAAGTAAGAGAATTACGGCTTCAATTGAACTGGTATCGCATAGGTCAGTTCTGTGGTATTGGTATATCCGATCAGATTGACCTGAGCATGTAACAGAAGTGTTAGCATTAGAAAACTCTACAGCAGCTTCATTATTTTGGACGTTGGACCAAATGAAGGAAATGCTCGCTGAGCTAGCTATTGCCGGTATGCACCCTCAACAAGATCTACATTTCAAGTCGATGACCAAAGGATAGAGGAGCTTGCAGGACCTGATGGGGCGATGAGGGAACCGAGTATCGCAATCTGTGGTGCGTAAACCATAGAACAACGGAGAATTGCAAACTTATCTCGTTCATCACTGACAGGCAAATTGTTGTATTTACTCCATAGGATGACACTTTCTCCATACCAAATGTCATCGATTGAACAGTCAATAAAGGGCATCACCAATACTTGAACCACTATGGCCAGCCCGAAGCTTGCTTAATGCGAACGCATTCACTGGGCAAGAGACGTAGGGATCTAGAACATTCTCCCCTCATGACTGGTATTGCAGTCACAATGTTTTGGATTCCAATAATGGTGCTCAAACGCCTCAGAAGCATTTACATTGATGGCCTCGTAAATGGGGTAGACATAAAGGGATTCACGGATGACTTCAGCGTTCAGGCTAAAGCTCAAACCACCGTGGTAAGTGTGTCATATCATGGGCCTAAACGAGAACACTCACCACTTAACCCACTTTTATAGGCAAGTGTCATTCTGGCAGTCAATGCCTCCATTCTCGCCATCCCGGGTCTAGGCACACAAATTGCCACAAAGACGTTATGCTCCATCTCCTTCGTATTTAGTGTCTACTGTATCCTTGGGTGCGCGATAGCACAAAACTTCGGCCATAGGCTGAGATCCCTTGATTTTGTGGTTCGATTAAATTCGTAGTTTTTGCAACATAAACCTAACATCACCGACTCAATAGGTGTACTACCTGCAAGGGAAGATGGTCAGTCTTGTGTTTCTTACAAGCATACTGAGTTTTTTGTATCTGATAAGGTAACTAAGGTTTGATTGTAATCGATTATCACTTACAGGACTGCCACAGTTTGGCATTTTCCATCCTTGGGTTTCTCGCTGGTATCTTTACAGTTGATTTTGGGCTACCCTTGTCCGCAAAGATAGGCTGCGGGCTGGCCCTCATTGCGGGAGGGGGCCTTATACTTCCATTGATGATGGCCAGTTTTGGTCCTGGATTGATTTGATAACGAGCAACGACCCTCACTCGATATGAACGAACCTGGAGACTGAGACCAAGCAGAAGTAGTGCCAGCTGATCACATCACCTTCCCCCGTACTAGTGAATTTGCGATATCGAGAGTCGGGACATTCATGTTTGACGCTTGACATTCCTTTTTTTTAATTACGTTTTCGACACATTTAATCAATATTAGTAACTACGGATCCGGAAAAATAGCTATTTTGTTTGATCTTGACTACGCTCAATGAATAGGCAGCCAATGAATGTTGAGCTTGGGTTTGTAATCACACGTGACTCTGATACTGCCCGCACTTGCTTAGATCCAGATATCTGGTCTGTGTGCGCGCACTACATACTATTTACAATAAGTGCATTGATTTGGATGCTGCACAGCACGCTGCACATGTGTTGACCTAGTACTTACTGGCACCTCTATATGTAATCAGCGTTGTCAGGACAGTACTAGTGAGTCATTGAACCCTGACATATATATAATTTTAAAACCTAGATTCTTGCGATCACGAGACTCGATGTTTATATTAGAAACCTGGCCAGTGGTAGCATTCATCCACAAGCTGTTGCACGATCACCATTGCTGTCAGGGTTGCCCAGATACACCCCCCCTTCAGCTCATGCGCAACTCAGGTGTCAAGGTATGTGATGAGAAGAATCATAATTTATCTAAGATGTCACCCAGATCACGAGCGCTCATGACATGCTGTGACTCGCATGAATTTGAGGCTTCAAGAAGCAACATTTCTGCGCCTGCACATTTCGACTCAAGTATACAGCATGTGCCACATGCTCATTTTTGATGGCCAGACTCTTTTTTAACCAGCCAAACCTTTTGTGATACAACGGCCAAACTTTTTTGATGGCCGTCTAGTTTTAGATTAAGTTGCCCTTTCAAGCATTCAGTCGCCGCTACAAATGAATTGCGTGGAACTTTGATAGAGCAGAATAACTGGACCAACGTGACAGAGCGTCTTAAGTTGAAAATTCTAATGTCGACCTGTCTTTCGCCCTTACAGCTGTTTGATAACTCAGCTTATCATACAGACATTTTTCAACTCTCAAACTCGCTAGGTATTGGATTGCTGGATGCCTACATAGGACTCATAACAAATGACAAGGCCGGTCCACGATTTTACTGCATTTGTTTGCATGTCTTGAAAATTTTCTACACAGCTCCAGACTGAATTAAAGGTTCTATCCTTTTTGCTCAAAGATCGTGTCTATCCCGGTGATCTTTGGAAAATCATTGGGGAGCACACTATCGAAGTAAAGCAGGAGGTGATGTTAATTCAACACCAGAGCACCTGCATTGGTGGATCAAAGGGGAAAAGGCATGTAATGATAGAGCATCTTCTCATGGAGGAGAGGAAGAAACGGGGCCAGATGGAGGTGTCTCTGTATAGCCAGGCCATTGAACACTTGCAGCAACACCGGCTGCATAAGCTTGTCAACTTTGGCACATAAATTATTAGTCTGAACCCTATTGTGTCCAGGTATGCACGACATGATGACTTTCTCAACAACTTCGAGATGTGTTGGACCCTGCGCATCCCCATTCTGTTCAACAGCTACGCGAAATAAATGTGATGCTTGGTTAAAGAGACCACACAGCACATATTACAGTGACCTATCTCCGTATAATATGAGGGAACGGATGTGCATAATATCCCGCATGATATGGGCCAGCAGACCATGGGCCCATGATAAAAATATCCTCGACTATGACGGATGGGCCGGGAGGCAAATTATTCCCGATGGAGGTGGGTGGGCCCATGCAGGGACTATATAGAGTAGATGAGTGGGCCGATGTACATGAATATTAGGTAGATGGGTGGGCCGAGGTAGTTGGATATTATGCAGATGGGTGTATTAAGGTAGATGTGTGTGAGATAGATGGGTAGGTACTTGTTATCACATTCATGGGTGGGCCCAGACACATATTAAATTAGACGGGTGGGCCGAGGGTAATATAAAATATTGTATTAGACGGGTGGGCCCAGACACATATTAATTAGACGGGTGGGCTGAGGGTGGTATAAAATATAGATGGGTGGGCCCATGTGTATCATAATTGTAGACATGATGGAGCTGAGGTAGTTGTACATCAACCAAATCAGAGGAGGTAATAAATCAAAGTTACCAAGTTCCCGGAGCAGCAGGTGATCTCCTGACATGGCCTTTGATGGTGCACAGGTTGTCTTGCAGAATTTGGAATACGGGGTGCGAAGCTTGTGTTGCCCTATGAGATGCCAAGTTCCAACCACCCAAATTTGGGTCAACCGTACTGACTTCTGAGTTCCGGGACCCGGGAGTTGACAAATGAATATCTGATAACCAGCACACTTCCAATCAGGTAGTATTTCATTGAGCAATGGATCATCCAAGGGGTCCCTTATCGGACTCGGTAGTCAATATAGGCAAATGGTAATGAAAACATGAAAGTTGTTATTATGCTATTTTTCAAACCCGAGACCCTGAAACCCATTGTTCAACATGTCCATTTTTCACTCACTGCACAAATCACCGAGTTTCGAGTGCCGAGACCCAAAACTCGAAACCCAGTGTGCAACACGTCGATTGTTCATTTACATTACACAGATCATCGAGTTCCGAGTGCTGAGTGCTGAAACCCGAAGCCCAAAACCCGAAAATATGTATGGAACATGTCCATTTCTTACTCATTGCACATATCACCAAGTTTCGAGTGCCGAAACCCGAAACTCAAAACCCAGTGTGCATCATGTCCATTGTTCAATTATATTACACAAGTCATCAAGTTCCGAGAGCCGAGAGCCGAAATCTGAACCCCAAAAATATGTGCACAACATGTCCATTTTTCACTCACTGCACAAATCACCGAGTTTCGAGTGCCAAAGCATGAAACTTGAAACCCAGTGTGCAACATGTTGATTTTTCATTTACATTACACAGATCATCGAGTTCCGAGTGCCGAGGGCCGAGACCCAAAGCCCGAGACCCGAAAATATGTATGCAACATTTCCATCTTTCACTTGTTGCACAAATCACCGAGTTTCAAGTGCCGAAACCTGAAACCCAGTACTTCACATGGACACGAATTGTATTTGTCAGTACTCGGTGATCGGTGGTCAGTGGTCGGTACTCGAGACTCAGTAGTCGATATAGGCAAATGATAATGAAAAATGACAGTTGTAGTCCACATCAAGGTGAGTGTCTTGGTAGTCTTTCCTTGTCATTCAGCAAAACATCAGCAATAATGAAAAAATGAAAGTTGTTATTATGCTTAACTTCCTTACCAAAGGTTGTAGTCCAAGTCCAGGTGAGTGTAGTGGTAGTCTTTTCTTGTCAATTGGTTATCTTGTTACTCATTATGCAGTACTCGGTACATGGTAATTGGTACTCAGTATTTGGTTTTGATACTCGGTACCCGGGAATCAGTAGTCAGCTTAATGAAGGTTGTAGTCCGAGTCTAGGTGAGTTTATTTGTAGTCTTTTCTCATTCATTGGTTACCATGTGACCGAGATATAAGCTAAAGAAATCTGAAACATCAATAATGACAAATGAAATACATGTGTGCAGTAAGTGAGTGTAAAGATAAAAGAATGAATATTAATAGCGAGACTTGCACATTATGTCAAGATATCCAACATAACAAGCCTGTGATGTGATGAGAGACCTGGAATAACACCCATATACATCCATTATAATAGCTTAAAAGCCTAGAAAGATTCATGAAGGATTGATGTAATGATAGGCAAAATGACATATGTGTGGAGAGTGACAATAGACATCTTTTATACCAAGTCACATTTATATATGATTCAGGCCGAAAATATCATTACAAATATGTAGGATAGATCATAAACTACCCAAGGAACGCATACTGCCTACTGCCCTGAGGGTAGGGGATGGGTAGAAGGGATATAGTGAAAATATGAGTTGACCCAGCATTAAAGTCCTACCACTGCTCAACTAACCATTTTCGATGCTTTGGGTCTTTGAAGTTTCCCACACTCAATTTCTTACCCATTTCACTTCCTCATAATAATAACTTTCATTTTTTCATTATCGCTGATGTTTCAGATTTCTTTAGCTTATATCTCGGTTAAATGATAACTGATGGACAAGAAAAGACTACCAATTGTTACAAGTAACATCGGTCACATGGCCCCCCTATCATTTTCCCCTCATCCTCGCCCTCACCATCTACCGGCTCGTCCTCCTTTACCGCCTTTCCGTTGACCGGATCCTCGGGACCGTTCCCGTCCCTCGCATCGCCTGCCTCTATGCACGTGCATGCACGTTCCTCTCCTGATTCGACCACCAATGTGGTCCCGCATCTTTGACTCGGTCTGACTCGTGCCACCAATGTGGCTTTCCTCTTTCTGTTTCCCCTGACTGCGGATTCCCGCACGTTGTATTCTTACCGTTGGTCCGTTCCAACGTTTCTCGGTCTCATTCTACATTCAACCATCCATCACTAATCCGGCTCTGATGCCAGCGCACCTATACCATTCCTGTTTCCCCTTTACCCTTACCTACTGTGCGGTAGCCTTGCCCTTAACCCTCTCCACTTAGTATAAGTAGTCGGTCACCCTGTACTAGATTCCCTAACTTGAATCTACTCAATCTTCCCTGGAACATACTTCCCTCTGAAGCCCCCTCAGCTTCAGTCTCTAGTATCTTTTCTTAGTCGCTCCTCGCGGCTAAGTCTACCTCGATCGACCTCATCGTCTGGACAAGACAGTCCTGACCTTGAGTGACTTCTCAAGACATCCGTCTACGAAGTCACGTGACACGCGCGTACTGTGACCGCTGCCGACTCGTCGTCGCCAGTCTCACTTGCTATACCGGATCCTTCCGGTTACGTCACGAACGTTAGCGGACGACGCCCCTCTTAGGGCTCCGCCTAACAGATCTATTTGAGTGCGTAACACCAATACACTCCCCTAGACTCAGACTACAACCTTCGGTAAGGAAGTTAAGTGTAATAACAACTTTCATTTTTCATTATCATTTGCCTATATTGACTACCAACCACCAACTACCAACTACCGAGCACTGACAAATACAATTCCCAAGTTATTTCAACCCTACACCAATGGATAATACATACAAAGACAGAATTCATGTCCATTTGAAGTACCGCGTTTCGGGTTTCGGCACTTGACACTTGGTGATTTGTGCAATGAGTAGATGGGCATGTGGCATACATGTTTTTGGGCTTCGGGTTTCAGTATTCGGCCCTTGGCACTCAATGATCTGTGTAATGTAAATGAACAATGAACATGTTGCACACTGGGTTTCGAGTTTCGGGTTTCGGCACTTGAAACTCAGTGATTTGTGCAACAAGTGAAAAATGGAAATGTTATATACATATTTTCGGGTCTCGGGCTTTGGGCTTCGGCACTTGGCACTCGGCACTTGGTTATTTGTGTGATATAAATGAAAAATCAACATGTTGCACACTGGGTTTCAAGTTTCATGCTTTGGCACTCAAAACTCGGTGATTTGTGCAGTGAGTGAAAAATGGACATGTTGTGTACATATTTTCGGGTCTCGGGCTTTGGGTCTCGGCACTCGGCACTCGGAACTCGATGATTTGTGTGATATAAATGAAAAATCAACATGTTGCACACTGGGTTTCAAGTTTCACGCTTTGGCAGAACTCGAAGCTGTTGTGATTTAGATATCACCCAAAACCCGAACACCCGAATGTCAAATTTTCAGTGCCGAACCCCAAGTGCTGGGTGCCGGGTGCCGAGTCCCGAAACCTGGAACTCAGGATTTGACATTTGAGATGAACAAAATTTTTCAGACATGTTTGAATTAACCTACGTATATCTATAAACATTTCACTAACCCCCGAACCCCGAAAGATATTTTTGTTGTCCTACATACCGAGTTCTGAGTTCCGAGACCCCCGAAACCCGAAACCCGGCAGTCCACAATTTCAGGGTTTGGGGGTTGGTAAAATGTGTATGGATATATGAAAGGTTGATTTAAACATTTTTGAAAGATGTCTCATATCAAATGTCAAGTCCTGAGTTTTGATTTCCGGGTTTTGTGACTCCGGGTTTCAGGACTCCGGGCTTCGGCACTCGGCACTCCCAAAACCCGGAAATCAAAACTTGGGACTTGACATTTGATATGAGACATCTTTTAAAAATGTTTAAATCAACCCTTCATATATCCATACACATTTTACCAACCCCCGAACCCCGAAATTGTGGACTGCCGGGTTTCAGGATTCAGGGGTCCTGGAACTCGGAACTCAGTATGTGAGACAACAAAAATATATTTCAAAAATGGGTAAGTCAATGTGTTTGTCAATCAACTTGGTTGTAAATCAAATTTTATTGATCTCCCCAAATTTCCCAAGTCCCAAGTCCCGAGTGCCCACCCCCGAGACCCAGCAGTCCACAATTTTGGGGTTCAGGGCTTGGTAAATCTCGGTTTGGGGTTTTTCCACTTCAGTCCTCAATTATTGGTCAATGCCACACATGGTTGATTCATGTTTTCGTGCTTAGGGGTTTAGATTCGGTGGTCGATGGTAGGTATATGCACTCATAGTGTACATGTTTGATTCGCTGGTGGCTACATCAGCTGTATGTCTTGATGAAACATATCTAGGCTCACCCATATATGTACCCATCTATGTACAATTCCCCCACGTCAGCCCACCCATCTATGTAATATCCCCCACCTTGGCCCACCCGTCTATATAATTATACCCCACCTCGGCCCACCTGTCTATGTAATAAATATTTTATCACACCCTCGGCCCACCCGTATATGTAATACTCCCCACATCGGCCCACCTGTATATGTAATATGCCCCATGTCAGCCCACCCATTTATGTAATATTCCCCTACCCTGGCCCACCCGTATATGTAATACACCCCTGTTGGCCCACCCATCTATATGACAATATTTGCCTCACATCTCTCTTCAGCCCAGCTGTCTATAATATCCTACTCTACATATTACCCAGATGGGCCCACCCATCTCCATGAATGATCATATTCCCCTGGCCCATCCGTCAACATCAAGGATATATATATCATTGGCATACATGGGCCCACCCGTCTCCATCGGAAATAATATGTTACCCGGCCCATCCGTCGTCATTGAGGATATACACAACATAGGCCCATGGTCCGCTGGCCCATCTGATACGGGATATTATGTAGGCCGGGTGGCCCATATAATACGGAATTTGTCACTGAAGGGGCTCCGCACGGCTACCCTCTTCGAGGTGAACTTTTCATGGAAATGTGCTCTTACATGGACCAGTCTACACTTTCGAAACCTGGACCGATAATTGCCCATGAAGATAGATGGGCATTCGTCATGTTGAATGTCAGTGATGTGATTAATCTACTATACTGCTCTCACCATTGTGTGAAGTGCGTGGGCCCCTCATTACCCCTGTTGAGCACATGGGTCGCTGTCGATGTTCAAGAAACCTTCTACAGTGCATTTTGTACAGAACAAGCCTGCCAGGCACGACTGATGACACAAACTCACGTCGTTAACAGTGACTATCCATATCAGCGCAACATTGGGTTGGAGTGGTTTACCTTGCAGGCCAAGATTGTTACAGGCATCTGTAACGCCTACACTAGCCCCACTCTGCTAGACTCCCAGCGCGGTGGCACACCGCCAGCACTTAGAAAGACAGCGGTCTGGACCGCTGTGACACCGCCCCTGGCCTAGACGGCCTTGTACCTGATCCATGGAGGCTGTACACCTCATGGTCACCCTAGATCAGAGCATGTATACCTCATGCTGCTTCATGAATATCTGGAGCACCTCCTGGCGCCTCATGTACCTGCGCAGTCGCACTTGGCGCTGCATGCTTGATCAGAGGTTAAGCCTCATGTATCTTATCTGTACTCATGACCGCCCTCATGTACTCTTATCTTTGATAGACATAGATCCGCAGATATACTATAGATACAGACTGAGCTTGAACACTTACATGTAGCACATATAAGTAGACAGATTATTGTACTTAGACTTTACTTTAATCTACTTGGTTCAATCCTGAAACTTGTTCAGTTAAGCCTCCCAGCTTAACTGTCTAGACTGCACTTCTAAGTCGCTCCCCGCGCCTTAGCCATATCCGCTAGCCCTGTATCTCGACGAGCGCCGTCTTACCGAGATAACCGGAGGAACCCTTGACATTCCGTCAAGCCGAGAACCACCCTTAGCTTCATTGGGCTCACTCGAGCTGTCGCTAAGAAGACCTATCCAAGTTCGCACATGCCGACCAACGGTCAGCGTAACAAAGATGCGCCACGCCCAAGCTGAGATAGAACTTTATACAGTGGCCATCGCAAATGCCCGTGAATTTGACTGCTCTGACAATATCTGTGGGCACGCTGATCAACAATATGGTCTTTAATAGCTGATGACTTTGCAGGTACATCGTCGTCTTTCAATGGATTTATTCCGCCACCTCAAGCCAACGAATTGTGTTACTATGGCGAGGACCATGACACTGACAATGAGGACAGCTTTGACTTTGAAGTTGAGTAATACTTTGAGTTGTCTTAGACCTTATCTCTGCGGACTATATCAAATACCTGTATGGCACGTTGCTAGTAGTTTGTAGCTATCACAAACTGAAGTGGCACTTTGTACTTTTATGTACTACGTATGAGGTCCGGGAATATATATACCCATATGTAATATCTTTTCTCTACAACTTATGATTCCGTCAGCCTCCTTCCACGTGACCGATCGCCATGCTGAGTCACTGCTCAAAGTCATCTTGTTCAAGTTGAGAACCTTTCTTTCATTGACTCGAAGGTATGTCTCATGATGTGAATTCTGAAATGCTACTCAATATTAATGTCATAGTAAATCAGTATTACTCGGCGAGGCGGATGACTATCATAGGTCACCGATCGACTCTCTTCATCATTGACAATTAATCGACAGTGAGATGATAGGTTATGTAGTCGATTGGAGAATTTGACGCTTCAAGGCTGCCTGGATGCGAAATGATTCTATCAAAGGTAAATGACGAGTATTCAACTAGTCCTAGTCCGCTTATCGTCATTTTCAGACAATATATTATTCAGAAAAGCGCTACTACTAAGATTAGAAGTTACCCGCGCTCCATCATGGACATTGGAGACCGAGTGCATCCTTAGATCTAGTGTGAATTTATTCACAATCACAAGATCCTCAAGGATGGAGACGAGTCCGAAATTGGCGAGCGTGGCGTATGTTGCAGATTTGCACTTGCTGTCACACATACTGATCAGTACGTTTCTTTATGATATCAGTTTGCTTTCGCATAGTTAACATTATGATATACGTAGGTTATGATCAGGATCGGGTACAGAAAAACCTGAGGTTGGGGCCATGGGATCGGTGTATTACATCGTGATTTACGCTGTGGCAAGTATGGCTCTAAAGTATCTCTCATCCTGACTCATGTCCTTCCAGGTCGCTCTCACAAGTTTTAATCAGTTAGATATGCTTTGCCGTGTTCAAGAGAAACTGCTTGTTTTCCAGGCATCTTGATTTCAATTCGAATTGATCAATTTCTCAGAAACCAGATACATCTTCCAGCATGGGTCGCTGCATTGGTGTGGCAAGTCAACCACAACTTTATCACTTGCCCTGATTAATGCCGAGATTAGTTGACTGATGTCTTCTACCAACTGGTATTTTCATTTCTACCCTACTATCTCTGCTGCATATGCTGGAATGGCTCTTTGGAGGGATGACGTCGACAATATGCGCCTGCCATGGACCCCGGGCCTATCGGCCATTTCCTTACGGCCACCCTGATTTCTACATCAACAATATGTTAGTCATCTTATATCTTCTCTTACGACCAATTGATTGTGTTTGCAACAGTGTTCTTAGAAACATTTTCTATCCTGGCATGTCAGTATTCTTCCGTTGGCACTATTCTACCTAGCATGGATGACTGGTACAACTTGACACCCGTATTTGACTGGATTCACTGTTGCATCATCAGTGTCTCCTTGCAGTTCATGATTGCCTTACTGCCGCTGTTCATTCAGGGTATGCGTGATTCTCTTGTCTTCAGTGGGGTGCAGTTTTGACGCTTGTACAGAACTAGTGAGACGTGGAACTGGTCATCCCATTATTCGTCTTGGGAAGCAGTTCATGTTCTTCTCCCCTGTTTCTGACATATTTTCTACTCAAATCTACACGCACTCCATCATTAGCAACCTGACTTTCGGTGGTGCCCGATACATCGTGACAGGACGTGGATTCGCAAGTACCCGTATCTCATTCAGCAGTCTCTTCTCTCGTTTCGCTGGACCGAGCATTTACCTGGGCATGGGGACCTTGACAAGTCTTCTCTATGTTACTATGGCACTTTGAACGCCTTATTTGATGCACTTCTGGACCTCAATTCTTGTCCTTCACGTTGCTTCCTTCTTGTTCAACCCGCATTAGTCCGCGTTCATGGATTTTGGGATCGGCTATCGGTAAATTGACTATTTTGTTCTATTTGCATGCTTTGCTGATGAATGTGTTGTAGGGAGTTCACTGATTATCATCAATGTTGCGACTTATCATAGCACAGCGTGCAAGGGCCGCTGGGGTGCCAGATTGGCTTTTATTTCTATCAGTCCACGAGGATATGCCAAAATGCTCAGACAAAACTTGACAATTCACTATGCTACGCACAAATACAACAATATCACGACATGACTTCCATATTCACAACTTCGACGACGACATCGTCGTCGTCTGCACAGGATGGTCAGTTTGTTATGGGTGGTGTGCATCGGACATACCTCCAATGGGAGATGGAGCATCCCAAGCAATCTGATGGGCTGAACAAGTATCGATGTCGTGTGGTGCATATTGTTCCAACACCCTTACCCGATAGTTCTCCTCCAACCAACAAAGTCTGTACTTTCTGTATAGTTCTCCGAGCTTCGAGCAACCCAACTCTGCAAGCTCCAGTTGCTCTTTGAGCCCAGCGATGGAGTCCACCTCACCTGTTTCTTGGTCTATCTTGCCTGCACCGTCAGGAGGAGCCTTGCTGTTTCGCTCCGGGGAGCAGTTGTTGTCAATATCCGACTCCCTAGTCTATGGTGAACTTTGGGAACAACTGGTGACGGGGTTGACGAACCTTACACTGTAACTGGTGAGCTTCTCCCTTTGATTAATGCTACCTGGCATTTCGATCCTAATGAAAGGTATTTAAGTTAGCAAACCCCACCGCAAGAAGAGTCGCATCAGATTTACTGTAAGTTCAAGTTAATGTGATTTCCTTGCAGTTTGAATGTCTGACTGAAGGATTGTTGCATAGTGGCGAATATATTCTTGGCGACAAGCTACAGCAGATGCATGTTAAAAAGAGCTTTTATTCTTCCATGGCGTCTTAGTCGTCCAAGTTGGCAGCCGGTTCGGGCCGGTCATCCCATATGACTTGGCCGCTAGTCATTTTGGCCACCAGCCATAACTTGGCCGCCATAATGTTTGTTGTTTATGTAATGTCCCGGATAAAAATTGAATTCAGCATTGGCAAAGCCCAGGCTACCCTTTCTTCTCTTACTCTCATGACCACCGAGGACACCGCTTCCAATATTCCAAATAAACAAGGCTCATCAGCCCTTCAAATGGGGCCCCGAAAAAAAGCGTAAGCTGCTCCAGCGTTGGCCAAGGTTTTATACTCATCCTGTCGCCTAGCTCCACATCTGATCCGCTCGTCTCCCATGGACGACACTTTGGTCGAACAGTATTTGCACTGTGCAACTACTCTTCACTGCTCACCAATGGTATCTTGAGACTCGAGCAGATGGAAGATACTCCGCTGGAGCACTTTTCCTCCGAGTAAAGAAAATGTATCTTTCTATTTCGCTGACTGACGTACTTGGCAGAGAGTGGAGAGAACACCGTGTCTTTGAGCAGCTCTTAGATTCATACCCTGGCCTTCTGGAGCGATTGAAAAATGGGTCCGAAGAGGACATTCTTCACATCAGAGAGCTAGTACATCGTTCTCTGCATGGCTGGAGTTCCTGCTCCAAGTTGTAATTTACAGATTGGCAAGGGAGCCTCAGGTGCGAGAGGCAAAAACATTGAAGTCCACAGTGCTTGATTGGATTTCCCCGAAAGGAGAAGCGATCCAGCCTTTTTTACACAGAAATTCAAAGATCGACTGTGGCTTCAACCATGAACTTACAGGGTCCTTACTTTGTCCCGCTGGACTAGACTGGAATGACTCACAGTATGCTTTTGTTTGCTAACGATCATACTCCTAACAACTCTTCGCACTTCTTTGTAAATAGGACCAAAGAAAATCTCCGAAGTGGCGAAATGTTAGTCTGCGGAGATCAATGGCCCATCTTTGTGTACACCCACCAGACTTATGACCCTGATGATCCGTGGTGTGGTCTCCTCAGGAGCCACTTGCTTGTATCAGTGTGTGATACACGTCTTTTCACGAAGTCCTCTCACTAAGTTGCATTCCACTAGGCTTACAAGCACGTCTTCACATCTCCAAGTTCAGTTGAGAAGGAACCGAAAGCCACGCGATCCAGAAATGCTCGCCTCCACAGCATGAACTCTGTCACCATTGCTTCTCTAGCTTATATCACAACTCAGGTTCAGTTGCACCATACTTTTTTTCGGTAGGCGATCTTAACTTTGACTGAAGGTCTGATTTGCTCTAAGCTCATCCTCGGTGTTCTCAAGGACTGACACAGCTACTGACTCAGAGACATTTTACCATAGCCTCCTTGATCTCCTGGAGGACCCTGATGAATCAAGAGAAGTCGATGAGTTACTGATGTGGTGGAATCGGTATTTTCATCATTCTGTATTTTGTCGCCGGCTCACACATTGCCATGTATCCAGACAAGTCTTTCCCACTTCTGCCACTGCCAAACGACCTATCACCGCCAACAGCGCGTTATCGAAGATCCAACAAAAATGTCTTGCGTTAAAACAGATGTCGAATCCGAACATAGTTTCTTCATAGCGTCTATGTCCCTCTCTAGTATATAAACCTAATGCTATATTGTTTATGGCTTCTAAGTGATCGTGAGAGAAGCCGTTTGGCTGAAAAATGATGGTCGATTGCGCAGTACATTCTCATATGTCATATTGATCCGCACGAGCAGGCATTGCAAAACAAGACCTGCGACTAACATTTTGCTTGAGCTTCAATGATCAATCTGATGGAATGCATCGCACTATGATTGTTCAGCACTTTTGGACTAAAGGCAACCCCAATCCAAAACAATCTTGCATACGAAGACTTTAGCCAACTCCAACATTTAGAGAGAATTTGTGAATGAAAAAAATTCTCACTAATGTTGTATATAATGGCCATATCTTATCAAGGTCGGGCAGGATGGCAATGCACTGCCAGTCGTCACCTGAATTGTATACTTAGCAGAATGGCACAACTACATACATTATATCAGAGTTCTTTTCGAGGGCACAATGGCAATCTTGGCCTACATGAGGTAACCACGTTGACACAACTTAGTAATGAGTTGTAGAAGTTTGGCATCCTGGGGCTGTAGGCGGTGTTGGTCCTACACAGTCTAGCTATACATAAGTTTGTCTTGATGCAGACATATTTTTAGACACTGCAGAGCCTACAATGATAAACTAACCATGCTTACGATTATTGAATCTTGTCAATGTTGGGTAGGGTGGTAATGCACTGCTGGTCATTGTCTGAATTGTGTACTCAGTAGGTTTGAGCATCACAGGCTAGCCTGACAAACTCTTACCTGATGCTAGCATCGAGGGGGTTGCTGTCAATCGTGCAATGGCAGGCCTTGCTTACATAAGGCAATCATGCAGACATAGCTTGGCATTGTGTTGCAGATATTTGACTCCATTGTGCTGTAGATGGTGTCAGTCCTACACACTCCAGCCATATAAAATCTTATATGATACTGGCATTTATTCAAAGATTGCAAATGAAGAAAAAATAATCAAAGATTACATACTACAACCAAGGCATAGCAGAATTGTAGTGCATTACCACCGGTCCTCGATCAGATGTCAGTGGTCACTCTCATCAACTCAGACTTCCCTTACCATGACTGGTGGATGTTGCAATATGTACCATTCTGGTGACAACCTGACAGATAATCACAACTACTGTCACAAATATGTATCTGGCAGTTTCTGTCCGACTAAGTCCAGGTATTTAAAGCTTTATCTTGTGGGTTACAATTCTGATGGATATTATGTAGATTGTAGACCAGATAAAGCTTTGTAAGGATTTGTTATTTTTGGATCAGTTACCTGATGGTCCTGGTTTCTCAGAAGGTACTAGATGTCTACGGGAGTTCGCACATTTTTGGCAAAACGGTTATTACCCTACATCGCACAAACAAACAAAATTGATTTTTTGACAGTTCAATAGCGTGACATCAAAAGTACAAGTTCTGCTAGTTTCTTTTTTCGAAAATCGACGTTTTGAGTCCAGCGGAGAGTTACTGCACAGAAAAGTGCATTTTCCCTAGAGTTCGCGCACTTTGTCACACTATGTCACATGTTTGCCGCAATGCCTTTTCACGCTCCACGGTGCATGGTGTAAAGCATTTCAGCATTGCGGAGTTTTGATTACATAGTCTCTATGTAACACTTTGGGCAGATTGTCACATCTGGGGCTATTATTTCTTTTATCGCAGATAATCCTGACAAGCATGTGCCCCGGATAGATTTGTTTTAGTATTCTCTGGCACATGACTTTCTCGCTTGGCCACTAACAAGATAAGTATTAGGCCTTTTCATGGCCCAATCCATTTACTGATCCCACCCACTCGACAGTTGTCTGTTCTTGCAACAAGTAAGTGCTATTTACGGTGCATATATGCACACATTTTGAACATTGTGAGTTATCTGACATTGTCACATTCATTTACTGACTGTTTTACATCATCACTAGCTCAATACCATTGTCCCAATGCATCAGGCATTTGACTACAGAATGGCAGAGCTTTAGCTAACTTTATCTAATGCACAATATAAAAATTAATTATCACAGTTACAGATGAAATGATAAAGGAATAGATAGGCAGACTACGCTGGTGAGATCTACCAAAGCTATGATACTGATAGACCTATGGTAGCAAAGTGTGATCTACTAGCACATTTTTGGGTGTTGGCAAAATGTGTCTGGCTTTAGATAGGTAGCCTCCGATGGCAGTTTCCACCATTGCTGACAGTGTGTTGATGTGCGACCCTGAGCTATCATGCCATAGCAAGGTGTTGTGTTTCTGAAAAATGTATCTGGCTTTAGATAGGTAGCCTCCAATGGCAGTTTCCACCATTGCTGACAGTGTGTCGATGTGCGACACTGAGCTATCATGCCATAGCAAGGTGTTGTATTTCTGAAAAATGTATCTGGCTTTAGATAGGTAGCCTCCGATGGCAGTTTCCACCATCACTGACAGTTTGCTTATGTGTGACACTGAACTATCTTGCCATAGCAAGGAGTCAATAATGTGTCAAATCTACATAGTCCTGTATGAATGGCTTATGATGCTGCAACTAATGACAGCATGTCAAGATGAGACACTGGGTTATCTTACTGTAGCAAGCTGCTGATATCTTGTCAAACATACATGCCCTTACAAGGATGGTGTATGATGGCAGAATGTACCATCAATAACAGTTTTTCAGGGTGTGACACCAAATCATCTCACCATAGCAAGTTGTTGATACCTACAAACTCTAACAGAATAATTTATCATGCTGCGTTAGACTTTATAGATAGAGCATTCATCAATTGCATTAGCAATCTATTGACTACGAGGCATACAGAACAATATCAAACATAATAAATTAATTAGTGTTAGCATTGGCCCTTGCACGAAGGGCAGTGCATTTTTCTCAAATTTTGGATAACACACTGTTTTTGCTACCATCAGCATTGAAAAGAGAGCGAGCCTTGGCACACTACACCATACATATTATGGATGGCGTATTATGTGTAGGCCATCAGGATCAGAACGAGAGTTAATGATGGCGTCCTAGACTCATAAATAATTTTGATGGCACATTATGTCACCCACCAGTGACTCTGGTGGCATGTCATATATATAAGGTATATGAATCGGCACTGTTGGAACAATCAACATCATATTATGCACAGCAACATGCCGGTGACACCTCAGACCTCTCAACAGGGTTTGAGACAATGTGTTCTAGTTGGAAGTAACATCACCTTTAGGTAAGTGGTTCAGTATGGTGCGCGGTAAAAAAAACTCATGGAAGGTTCACCTAAAGCTTCCAAATTTCCCTGGTGCACATACTGAGTAGCTCTGATGTCGGCACTGACTTCAAGTGAGTAATGCAGTTACAGAAAAACTTGCAACAAGACCCACCATGTGCAGGGAATCCCATCAAAACAACAGATTTATTCATAGAGGAACACAGACTATGAGTGAGGTTTTGAAATTTAGATTTGCGCAGCGTCTAATGAAAAGCTCACTTAGGCAATAGTGAACAATTTATACATGAAGGATCCGAGTTACATCGAGTCAAGGAAGAGCTAACAAAGGCGGAAAAGATTATCGCAGACCTCTCGGATAAGGTGATCATGTACAGGTATAGATGGCTGGAAGAGTATTATCGTGCCGACAACCTTGAACGCCATATGCCCAGTGACATCCTGGTACCTGTCCTCGCTCAGATACCCCAAGGTGCTTCTTCTCCTGGGTTCTCTCCGGAGTTCTTGGCCTGGGAAAGCATGTGAGAAGTTCGGCACGGGGAGGGCATACCAGGGAGACTTGGAAAGAGTGCCAGGCACCTGTGCGAGAACGTATTGTACGCTGGAAAAATAGATTCATGACTGCTCGAGTAAGTATAATATGTACTCTATCTTATCATGTTTGTGCCTTTTCCACAAGACATATCCGATCGAAATGTAGAGTGATATTAGTCATCAGTGAGATGGCAACCTCAACAGTATTCTTCTTCACATTACACTTTGTGACAGAAAAGATACGACCACGAGAATCACCTTCTAGAACAAAGACGAGTTGGTTTTTTTTACATGGAGGAGCTGGATATAGATCCCTGGCGGGGATATGATAATGTTGAGGCGCGGCACCTGCATTACTGGATGTGCAGAATACAGCGACGCAATCCTCGGGTGCAGGTCCATTCGCACCGCAAAAGGGGTCGGGACAAGCCATTGACACAAACTGTTTGTGTAACCTGCCTCCCATGAAGCCTGCTGAGACTTTCAACATGGCGTGATGCAGAAGAAACATCGAGGAATACTCCTTGCCCATTAACCAAGGTAGAGGGCCTGTCATACGATCAAATAAGCAAAACATCTGATTCCTCCAAAGAAAACCCGCCATTTTCTTGGAGTTTCTCTGCTCTAGCATCAATATTATCCTGGGTGTCCCGAGGATTGACAATCCAGGGGTCAAATGTCGATGAGCTGAGTGTGATGTTCGATGATTCGTGAAACGCAGTACCCTCTTGGTTGTCGGTCCAGGAAGTCCAAGACGGCAAGCTGCTATCTGCGCTGGTCGAAGAACTGGCTGGAAGCTGGATAGGTGGGGGGGTAATGCTTCGATGTTGCTTTATTATTGTATAGGATCTTTTCCAGATTTCACAGAAAGAAACCAGGTCCGGTCCCTCCAGCATCGCACCATTCAATCTCATTCCATAGCTAACAGTCATTAACAACTTAATCACCATGAAAATATACGTGTGGCGCTCTCACCTAGTCACAATGTCCTGGCGACTGAGTGTAATACGTGGCTGCCCATGTACAGCAACTCTGCAAGTCTCTGAACCGACGCTGTATAGCGTAGCTCGGTATCCCTTCCATTCGCCCCCAACAATAAAAACTTCTTGGCCAATGACCTTATTAAAGGAATCCAAGCTCGCGTTGCATACCTTTATCACGAATCCGATTGGGATGTCGATCTTTAGCAGTGTCAGACATGCTTGAGCCAAATTAATTGATGCTCATGAGGGAGTAATCACTATCAGATAGAAGGGTCAAGCGAGCGTTTGGAAAGTCAATGCTTCACACGACCCCTTTCCTCTGATACTCCGACCCACAGGCGACACTCACGACATCTCCGGGCCTCACATCATAGCCCCTTTCCTGTGTGTACTCGAGGGTATCGGGGAGCTTGGTCCACCGAACAACTGTCGTAGGAACTTGAATTCTTGACGGTACGACACTATATTTCACATCATCGACAGCCAAGGTGAAGTTCATATCCCGGAACCACAGCATGGTGCCCCCCATAGAAAACCACTCCACGACGCCGCATTTCCTCCAGTGCTCGCCCGCAAGCACTTCTATGTGATCCCCAACTTCTATAGAATCGGACTCAGGAAGAGGCTCGAAGCGTTGCTGCATGGGTAGCGACGCTTGAAATGCGTGATGCAATGGGCAACGATCTAAGTAGTACCTCGAAATGAGTACCTATATAATGAATGTTAGCTAGTTATTTTGATTCGCAGATGGAACTAACCTCTTCTTTGGAGACTGCTTGACAGACGTGGAACACATCATCACATATCTGAATAATGTGCCCCTCTAAACCCAAGTATGGACCTGCAACAACTCGAACTTCGTCGCTGACACGAAAGATATGCTCTATATCTTCAAGCTGAACATCAATTTCTCTTTGATGTCCATCGAGGGTTATTTCCAAGTGCGCGGAGCCAATAGTGTGATCCGTCGAGACGACTGTACTGGCCTCTGAGCAAATTCCTCCTGCAATGACCTTGACAGGGTCGCCTACGCGCAAGAATTGCATCAAAAACGCTAACAATGTTTTCTTGACGAAGGGTGTGTCCCACCCAGACTGCATATGCAGTCGGATGTCATCAGCATGAGGAGATACAACGATTTCTAGGCGATCACAGTGAAATTGTTTCACTAAGAGTCCCATATAGTATAGTTCGCCTTTATAAGAGCATCCCATGACTTTTCCATTGTGGATAATATCATGAATGGCTTGATCATTATTAGGGAGGCGGGATCAGTCTAGTAGGGCCACAGAACCACCAGGCATGGGATAGGGAAAGTCCCAGAGAGCGATCAAGACGGTAACAAAACCATTCGATTGATCAGAATCAAAGACATATCCCATGTCACCCTTATACTTTCCATATTTGATCCTCACCCACCCTGGGTTGGGAAGTTTGGACCTTAAATGTTTGACTGCCTGACGCTCCTCGTCTGAAATCCGAACGTATTGTTTAATGGCAAAACTATCTGAGGCTGGAAGCAACATTGAGATAGCTTTAGGGCTATCTGCGACAACATACAACTGGCCTGCTGCCCATGCTGACACCATAATGGGAAATCCTTGACTCCTAAGGTGTTCAGCGATGTAATCTGCGCCATTTCCTGGCATACAATGAGTAAGGTCACACGTCATTAAGAATGAACATACTCTGAACATGGAGGAGGTACATTCTGCCTTCGATTGCACGGGAGGATGAGGCAGCCTTGCAAGAGTGAGTCTGGTGAATTTCTAATGAGAAGGATCGCCTCTCTCTGATCCTATCGAAAATGTTGTCGAATGCTGAAGCCAACCTATCCTTAGCTGATGGTCCAGAAAAGTGTGCAACCTTAGGCAATCGCACAGAAGGGGCATCTTCGACCTCGTCCTCACCCTCATCTTCGACATCTACCTCTTCTCTTTCACTTTCATCTGCTTCAGTAATGGTGTACGGATTTCGCTGTATTTGTTTAGTATAAAATTTGTCAGAATAATATACTCACTTACTTTGAGACATTTACGCAGTTGTTGAGCATGAGTGCTTGAGTCCGTCCTCGACTATATTTGTTGTTTAGTATCAGTCATCAGAGATGATGACACACTTACTTGGGGGCGTTTACACGGTCGTTGAATGGGAGTGCTTGAGAGGCGGCTGTTTACCCTTAATGAAGACGACAGTAGGGGTATGTGCTTGACCTTTAATGCATCAAGGTTTGCTAAGGCGATGCTGTCATCGCCATCGCCAGAGAATAACGTGTCTCTAGCATCCTTCCAGTCGTCCGCGATGTATCGACTGCCGAGGTATGCAGAAAATGCCTTTTCCATCTGAGGGTACATCATGTCAGTAGTGAGGAACTGTTCAAGAATTCGCCATGCGCCTTCATCTGCCAACAGCGATGGTGCTGCCCAACAATTTCCTATCAGACACACAGGCTCATGAGTGACAATACATTCGACATCTGATCAAAACTCACGGTCATTAGTTCTCATGCGCCTCGGGGCATGGTCATCATCGCTACAGGCTGCACTTTTAAACATTCCGTCTAGTCCGACGACACCTTTAATTTCTGCAGAACATAATGAACCTATAAACTTACATGTTATGTCCCCAGCACCTCGATTATCTGTGTTCTCCATTCTAACTATAAATATGAAGTCGAGATAGTTAGCGGACAAGAAGCCTGGAATTGCATATCCTCTGTACTTGTATTGAACGACTAATTTAGCTTACTAAACAAATGCTGGAATCGCGACTCGGAACGTTGCTACTAAGTATTATGTTTTGACAATGTTTCGAAGTATATAAAGTATGAAAATACGCGCAGTCCCTGTAACAGTATTATACTATGAACATGGTATGGTACTCTAGAGGTCGGAAAGAAATTATGTTGAGGTCGGGAAGAGTTGATATACAGAATGACAATGATTTAAACCCAGTTGGCAATTCCCGATATATTCCAGAAGTATTCCCAATGACAAGTCTAGGTTCTGTTTGCAAGAAACTAGCTAGGGTTCACTGTGCGAACTTATGACCTTGCTCTGGAGAATTTTTAATTCATGGGAATCGGCTTTGTCGACCTCTTCCAACACTCGTCGTTTTCGGACCCCTGAATCTGCCTGACGGCAGTCCTAAGTCTGCTTGTTTTTCGTTCTCACTGCGATAAGTATTTTTTTCAGCCAATTAATAGGTTGGCCTTGAGCGAAGGGCTCATGTACGAAAAGGCACTGAGGCTGTGGAAGGCAAAGTGGAGATGGATGAGGGTGGAGAAGGGTGGGTTAATATGGGCTCTGTAAAGGTGAATACCTAGCCTGAATCTGGGGAGGGTAGCTTAGTTGCATTACAGGCTACTGCAAAGAAAGATCCTTCAATGGTGTCACGCTTTCACTTTGTGTGAGAGCATACTCTGCATGGAACTGTCACTGGCATGGAGAGCGTGCGCATTATGTCAACTTATGACGACCAACTAGATCGTCTATTAGTGTCCTTCAAGGACACCAAGGTATTATGGCATGTATTCTGCGTCTCATAGCGGTTCTTGATTATAATTACAGATAGCTCTTCTTGAGTGGTCAGATGCTGCACACGATCTTGTCACCATTTCAATACATATGTATGAGCGAGCGCCTCAGATGGTTGGTGTTTGTCTTCATTGATGCGTGTATATGTGACCAGTTTTCAGGTTTCATTGGATAGTCCTCTTTCAGAACAGAATTGCGTGCAGACCCCTTGTCCCGCTGTGCAGCACTATCTCTTCCAAAGGACGCATTCACTATTCTTCCATTCTTTCAGACTCAAGCAGAACTCGATGTAATGGAATAAGAACAAAACCATACAAGGTATGCATTCTTCTGAATTCCCCCACTTCTGGCTCGATACAAATTTGAACAACCAACAGGGACATACCATACTCTCCAAGTTTCATGCTAGACCTCATCAACAATGTCGATGAGCGCATTTGGAACGTCATCGATTTTGTTTTCCTCCCTGGATACAACAATCCAACGGTTGCGGTGCTTTGCCAATCTGAGCAGACGTGGGCTGGGTACATGGCATACTTTGCTTAATTTTCACACAATGACACGTTCCACATAGTCGTCTCAAGGAGTACCATGTTACGACAAACGGTCGTGTGCGACTAGGATAATCTAACAGCGACAACCACGACAGTGGTACCGAGTGCTGAGAGTCGTCGGCCTTTACAGACAAGCAAAGGTTGCGTACTCGAACGTAGCTCGTGGTGGTTTAACGAGGGGTTACGCTGAGATGATAGCAGGGTTTACAGACAGTGAGAGGCGTCACTGAAGGTACGAGTCGATGTCGAGCAGGTAGCTTTAGCGGGACAAGGAGTTCAAGGGTAAACCTAGTAAGATTAAAGTAAGGAATGTCTACTTTAATCTTCGACCTTATATAAGGCTACTCTTCGTATCTAAGCTCAGCCTAAAGCTGGGTTCTAATCTGCTTATCTACATGAGTCAGAGATAGTGTCCATGAGGCGGGCTTCTATCGTAGATAGGATCCATGAGGCATCCTTCTATCAGTACATGAGGCAGCACGAGGCTTGCCTTCTATCTTGATAACATAAATAGGTCTTCTAGACCTATGTCGTCATGTATCGTCACGTGCGGTCCAGACCGCTTATCTAAGCCGGCAGTTGCCGCTTATCGTCTATCGTCATCTATCGTCATAGAGATGGTGAGACTCCGGTATCGTCTATAGCCGTGCAGTGGCAGAGGGCTGTCTGCTGGCGGGGGACTCGTGCCATGTTACTGTAACATACCATGACACAGCTCGCCTCTATATATTCACCTTGGATCTCATGGGTCGAAATTACCCCATTATCACGGCTGTCAACGGTCTCCCTTACGACAGCGTGTCTCTCCTCCCCTGCACAACTTCACTTGGAGGTGTCATCGTCCTCACAAGCAATTCCATCATTTATGTCGATCAAGCAGCTCGCCATGTGTCCCTTCCTGTCAATGGCTGGGCTACACGTGTAAGTGATATGCCAATGCCTCCAGCAGACAAAGACCTTGGCCTGTATCTCGAAAGTAGTCGGCTCGTGTTTGTCGATGAAAAGACTTTCTTTGTTATTCGAAAGGATGGCATGATACACCCCATCGAGATTATCCTTGACGGGAGGACTGTATCCAAACTAGTGCTATTCCCCGTTATTGCTCAGACAACCATACCAGCTGTCGCCAGACTACTAAATGACGACCTGCTTTTTGTAGGCAGCATGGTTGGACCGTCGGTATTGATGAAGACTGCTAGAGAAGAGGTACCTCTCGAGCTTCCTGCGCAGCAAACTGGTGTTTCCGCCACTATGAATTTTTCTGATAGTATGGATTTAGACAATGACGATGGTTGGTTGCATTTCCACTCGGTTTTGAAACTCTGCTGATGCGCCACAGATCTATACGGCGATTCACAGACAGCCACACAGATGGCAGTTGGAGCAGCATCGGGAGCTAGTGCTATGACAAAGACTCGTTCCATCATTCACCTTTCATTGTGTGACTCATTACCTGCATATGGCCCAATTGCTGATATGACATTCTCTCTTGCTAAGAACGGAGTAAGTATATGACTTTTGATTGGTCAGACTCTGCTCAATCTTTTTTAGGAACATTTTGTTCTGGAACTTGTTGCTGCCACAGGAGCAGGTCATTTAGGCAGATTCACCCTTTTCCAAGTGAACTGCTTGCGACTCTCATCATGAAGTCTATGCCTGAAGTATTGAATGAATTCGTGTCAGCACTGTGAACCTTCCGGTTGAACATTTTCTCCTGCTGCTCTCTGCTTTCTTTCAAAATGTTTATGAGCAACGTTCTCCCGAGTCGGACCGAAAAGTGGATTATGACGCTGACTAAGACTCAGCATGTTCCACATCTCCTTAATTATTAAATACAACAGCCCGCTGGGCATCCCAGGACCCTCTCAATTCCATGTCACTCATTTCATTTCAAACCTGCTCCAAAATAGAAACCTTTCACAATGTGTAGTAGCTACATGTCTTTCTTCATATCTTACGCTGATACCAACCACTTGACCCACAACGGAAGCTTGGTCTTTCGTAAGCGTGCAACTCCTCAATGAAAGTCATCAAACGTAGTGGGGTCTAAAGGGTCAATCTGGAGACCTGGCCGACGAAAGTGTAGTTCGTGTTGCTGATATTCTTCGAGCAGCTAACAAAGCTCTATGCGGAGATCAAGGGCAGTGTGGCATTCACTGCATGCAGAAAGATCAAGTCCACCTCTTCCCAACCACATCTTTACTTGGATGAAGTGATGCAAATTTCTTGCAATGACTGTTCAGATGTAGCGCTTACCATAATCCATGCCTTTGCATTCCACAGTGGCCTGGAGGAGATGATTGAGGTACTCTTGCAAGGAATCAACACCCATGAAGGCTACCATGTTGCCCAGTAAGGTTGACGAATAGGCTGCGATTCTGATGGTACCTCGATGGATAGTCGCTGAACCTAAGTTTGATGTTTCAGCAGCCTTCTAACATTGATGTGATAACTTCGAGGTGTGCCATGACAGACAAGGACTATACATGAAGTTTGGCAAGGCTATGACCCATATTTGCATACAGTCTCTGAAAATCGATAAAGAATCTGTGGACGAGCCTTTTTGGAATGATGAATTTTAGTGAACCCGAAGTTGTTTCATTCGCGATACATTCATGGCTTGCCATGCCGCCTATGACCAGCTTAATGATAAGGAAACCTTGGCATTAAAAGAAGACGTGATACAACTGCCAGTGCACGCACACTCTAAGATGGACTGCCCCGATATCAACTTTCAGATTCGGAGTACAAAATGTGATAATCTGTCCTGGTCGCAGTGATTCAAATGAGTGTTAGCCCATCTGTGAAGATTTTGACTGGATCGTTGATTACCTGTCGGATGAAGTAGAGCACGACAAAGCCGATGAAACAATGATGCTTTGCTTGCACTGAGCGCGATGTGTGGACTAGGAAGCTCTGCCAAGCGATATGGGCTCTACTAGACCTTCAGAATATACTTAAGCCAGGCTGGTCACGAGCCTACCTTCGGAAGCCTTTCTGAGGAATGGTATAGCTCATGCTGCACGCAGTTGACATCGCAATAACTTTGGCCCAGGAATTATACAACAATCTGTCTCCTAAAATTGAGGACCAGAATTCCTTGCAAAGGGTCGATATCAATGGAGCTGATGAACATGTGGTATGTCCTGCTTTTGATATTAATAATTAATGCAATAATAAAATCCATGTGCATTCGTAAACATGAACCGTAGATATGCAATGTGATATGATAAGTGGGCTCGACCATGTATGAGACCCCAACAGGACGAGCAAGAAGATCAATATCTAGATGAGAATGCGATGATGAAGATGTGCAGGGCCGCAGGCCATGATGCATTGATGTCTATTAGGAAAGGGAAGAGAGACAGGAGCCGAACGAAAATGTAACAATCAAACATCAACAAACAATATAAAATGTCTGGTATGATCGGGGGTACTCATATCCTCCACGGAAACCAGTACCCTTTACAGGGTCCTGGAATACAACAACCCTATGGGTACACCTGGACCTGTTATTTCTCAAACACCATACTCTTTCTTAGAATTGATATTTACATAATGCAGACAATGCACCTCAAAGTGTGCAGCATATACAGAGCGACGAAGGCGCAGCCATGGCACAGAACGAAGAACGGTGTGTGGTCATGGTGGTGTTCTGTTCCCGAGTTACTACTACTAGTGGCGAGATGTTTAACATGGCACGAGACGAGGCCTTCGCAAGAGTGCACATCTGTTCACTCAAGTGAGCAATATGCTTAGGTAGAATTTGAGCGGTGTCGCATGTGCAGCAAACACTTGAAGATCACCATGACAGACTCTATACTAGTCGTATTGTTTCCTCAGCGGTCCTGTCTGCAACCCTGAGGCCTGAGTACAGTACAGTTTATGTTTGCCTTGCACGCTGTCTTGCACTTACTTTATTCTGTTTCTAGACTCGTTCCTTAGGTATAATCAACGTCATGGCGGTTCTATCTGCAACCCTGAGGCTTGAGTACGGTACAGTTTATGTTTTCCTTGCACACTGTCTCGCACTTACATTATTTTGTTCCTAGACTCGTTCATCAATGTCATAGCGGTTCTGTCTGCAATACTGAGACTCGTTCCTTCCACTTACAACATAATGAAGCGCACTTTGTTAATATCAACATTAACACATCGAAGGTACTAGTACTGATGTGCTCCCGCAGGTGAGTACTCATACTGAAAATGGTTTTTAGTATGGATTTCTGCATTACCTGTCGATCCTGAGCCAAGTGCAAATGTTGCAATATTATGATTCAATTTGTTTAAACCAATGAAAATTTCTTATGTTCTGATTGTTCCATTTAGCACTCTGGGGTAAGCATCAGGATCGAATCTGAGGTCCAGGCCCAAAGAAGTTTTGAGAAGTGTATCAATTTCTACTTTTATCCCATTCACGGCACAGCTGTAAGCTGTTCCATTGCTCACGTAGGCATATAAAATGAGTATGGCTGATTGATATGGTCCTCCACTCCAGTCCTCTCCCCCTTACACACTCGTTACAAATGCCCTCCAAGGCAAGATCATTGCTCGAGCTCACCAGGCTTCACTGGTTTCCAGTGGGGTCTGACTTCATGTTCTGGCCTTTCGGTAAGCCAAAAGATGCATGGGGGACACTATTCATCGGCTGATGTTATTGTACCTAGCGTGTCAAAAAACCGACCAATCGTGTCGGGAGCTGTCACTATACCAGAGGCCTCAGTTCTTCTGATCATGCTCGTTGCTGCCATCTTTTACATGTTCTCAACTGCTGGCCCTACAGCATGAGTAGATTATTCGGAAAATATCGAGACTTCTCTGACAGGTTAGTCTAGTCTGTTACTCAGTCTTGTTGGACTCCCAGCATGTGGTGGGACTTATCCACTAATGAAGCGCTGGATGTATTGGCCATCTTTGTACCTTGGTATGGCAGCCTGGCTTTCTTGCAATTGAAAGTTGTGCACTGTCTTATTTAGTTCCCAGGTTTTGCTGCTAGCTGGGCCGTCCCATTCATGTGGGTGGCAATTACGGGTGAGTTTGATTGGGGCATGATCCTGAATGTCGGAGTCGCGTCATGCTGGTGAGTGTGCCAGAAAGGTATTGGTTTATCCGAGGAGCTAACAGTGCCTCCCTAGCTGGACGTGTCTTTATGACACTATCTACGCGTGTCAGGTGACTAGCCCATTTGGTTCTACTCCAAAATGTTAGTGTTAATTATATCATATCAGGACAAGAAAGACAACGAAAAGGCTGGAGTCAAGTTCATGGCAGTCCGTCTGGGCGATGGCATTTGTCCTGCATTGAGTGTATTTGATGTGATGTTCTTTGTGTGTCTTCTATGGGCTGGGTATCTGAATGGCCAGCACCTACTGTTCTACATGATAGGTGTCATTGCGCCCTTTCTCCTCTGTCTCTGGCACATATGGTCATTTGATCATAATGATCCATGAGACAGCTAGAAGAAATTTACGGTATGTTGAAGTGATATAACTATGAGCTGATTTTGACATCCTATCATTGTACTGCAGGCAGGTCGCCACGGCGCAGCGTTGGTGTGTGTGGGATTGGTCGTGGATCATTACTGTAATCTTGTGTCCCTGGCCATTTGAGCACGTACTTTTATCTCAGGCTGGATTCAAGGTGACACCTTCAACCATCTTGTTAATGTACTTACCATGACCTTGCACTTGCCTGTTTTTATCCTAGAGTATCGCTTTTGTTGTCACCTACAAACTAATAGATGAGTGACGCAGACATTGACCTACTTACTACAATCTTTCGCTTTTGTGTTTTTATCCTGGAGTGCTGTTGATGTTTTTTGATATACAAACTAATAGACTAATGATGATGGAGACATCGCAAATTAGTATGATGATCACACAGAAGGCAGGCTTGTATCGAGACTACTCACACTTCCTGTACTATGACTGCAGAAAGACCCTTGCGTGCTAGTAGGGAAAGAGGAAGTAAAACTCGTGGTACGAGGGGTTGATGTAATACGTAGATCTGAGTGAGGGTCAGAAAACCAGAAGCCCCTCAACGAAAGGGAAGCGCAAGAAATTGTTTACCCAAACAAGCAAACCGAGCGGACCGTGAGTGAGCCGGATTTCATAGCAGACGACAAAGAGTCTCGCAGCGTTCAGAGAAGAAGCCCCTCAACGAAAGGGGGCAAACAATAAGAAGCGCGAGAAATTGTGGACCGAAATAAGCAAACTGAGCGGACCGCAAGCGGGCCGGTAATGATAATTGGACAGAGGATTTTTTTCGATAGACCTGTACCCTAAGTCGGGTCCAGGAATTAACACGTTAATGCCCAAACTTCTTCCCCTTGTTTCATGTTGGTGAGCTACCGCTGCAGACTTGTAGAACACTCTTTTTTAAAGGATTTCCACTTATTCCTAGCTAGTCGTTGACAGGCACATCGTGAAGTTTGGAAGGAAGATCATGGTGCGTCATTTTTGCGTATGGTAAATCAGGTGAAGCAAACTAGATGATCTTGTTCTGACAGACTAACCTTCATGATGAATGGAGACCCTTCCGCATCGACTACAATTTGTTGAAACGTGAACTCAAGGTAAATCCTTCTCCAAACTGCTCAAGCCACACTCATCTGCTCTATCTGGGTAGTCTCGCACCACCTCTCACAGCTGGGACGACAAAGATGAACGTGATTTCACCACCATGCTGAAACAGGAAGGAGCTCGATAAAGTTTATAAACAAAAGGTAAATAATCAAAGCTCAGTTCATTCCTCTGCTTCAGCTGACGCTGTCCAGACCACTGAGTTATCTTGCTGTATACGGGATGCTGAAAAGGACGTTCAAAAACTTGTCGCTCAAGAATCTTCTCCACCTTCTTCCAAGGCGCTCCACACCCATTCCTCTGACCCAGGATTGCATCGAGCATGCCCTTCGGACTATGGACCCGACGAGGGCTCTGATGATGATGATGATGATATGGACGATAACCAATCTGATACCTCAATCAAAGACCTCTTTCACAGCCTTCAAGAAGAAGTCGCTACCCTCGTAGCAGATGTTCACGATTTGGCATTGTACACTAAGTTGAATATCACTGGTTTTCTTAAAATTTCAAAGGTACATCCATTCATGTCTCTCGCCTTACACCAATTCACCAGTCATCACCATAGAAACACGATATGCGTTTTCTAGAAGGTCACTATGCCGCTCAATGTACAGCATGAAATCAGAGATTAAAAAGCCTCCTCCACCGGAAAAAAAACTGTTCATTTTCCTCGATGTCACCATTCTGCGCAAGTATCTGGAATACGAGTTGAATGTGAACAATACACCCTTCCCTTTCGATTTGGAAATGGCTATTGATGCCTGGGTGTTACTCATATTCTTTGTCGGCAATGATTTCTTGCCGCATTTGCCATCACTTGAGATTCACGAAGGAGCGATTGATACTCTCTTGAGGATCTGGAAGATGGAGTTGCCCAGAATGGGTGGATATCTGATGAACCATGGTCAACTAGTGCTTAGTCGTGCGCAGATCATATTAGAGGGACTGGCGCGACGAGAAGATGAGATCTTCCGTAAGTGACAAGAGAGTGAGTATCTATGATGTGATCCATCAATGCCTTAGAGACTTACCATATCTCAGCTGAGCAATGCCAAGATCAAGAGGCGAAACATCGTAGGATTGAAAAGTCTGGGTCTGGAGAGAACGCCGCAGGCAATATTCAGTTTGCCATTCCATCTGTGAAACTTGGTCTGACTGCATCCACTACATCACTATCATCTCTTCCTCAACGTGCAGATAATGCTTTTGCTGCCAAGGCCGACTCTATTGGTCTCGGAGCGCCGCGTAATGCTCAGTCTCTTGAAGTCGCTCCAGTTGCAGCGCAAGCACTGGCTGGTTCAAATCGTGATGTAGTTGCCAATCGAGCTGCTATACAGATGGCGAACATGAGTGCTGCAGAGATGCTCAAGGCTGAGCTATCTGGACTCATTCCTGTGAAACAGAGTATTTCTGCTCCTAAACCTGAGCCGGTTGTTCCTACCCCTCCACCCAAAACAGAGGCTGAGCTTATGGATGACGGAGATATTCCAGGTCTTGGGAATGCTTCATCAGCACTTGAATTCGTTGATGATGGGGCTGGTGACATGGATGTCGAGCCCAATGATCCTGTAACTCTTCCAGCTGATGAGCCTGTAACACCTGTCGCTGGTGTCAAGTGGAAGCTTGAAGATATCGAGGGAGAGGATACCGATAAAGTGGCTGGCATTGATGAGGAGTCGTCTGAAGATAACGAAGATGCATCTTACACCCTGGTAGTCAGGGCCGATGGCTCAGTTGATCAGGCCGATAACGTGAGGTATGGCAATGCTGTGAATAACATTTTCTCAGATTGTATGATCCCAGGTATAAGAAGCGATACTATCAGCAAAAGTTTGGCATATCAGAAAATGATAATGATTTCCGTAGAAAGTGGGCGCTTTTGTTATTGATTTCTGCACAAACTTGGCTGACTCTACTGTGCAAAGGCTAACAAAACACTATGTGGAAGGTATTGCATGGGTTCTGCATTACTACTATCAAGGGGTGAGCTCCGTCCGCTGATATGCCTTTATTTGCTGACTCGGTAGTAGACCCCCTCGTGGCAATGGTATTACCCATATCATTTTGCACCTTTTGTTACGACAAACGGTCGTGTGTGACTAGGATAATCTAAACAGCGACAACCACGACAGTGGTACCAAGTGCTGAGAGTCGTCGGCCTTTACAGACAAGCAAAGGTTGCGTACTCGAATGTAGCTCGTGGTGGTTAACGAGGGGTTACGCTGAGATGATAGCAGGGTTTACAGACAGTGAGAGGCGTCACTGAAGGTACGAGTCGATGTCGAGCAGGTAGCTTTAGCGGGACAAGGAGTTCAAGGGTAAACCTAGTAAGATTAAAGTAAGGAGCGTCTACTTTAATCTTCGACCTTATATAAGGCTACTCTTCATATCTAAGCTCAGCCTAAAGCTGGGTTCTAATCTGCTTATCTACATGAGTCAGAGATAGCGTCCATGAGGCGGGCTTCTATCGTAGATAGCGTCCATGCAGTACGCTTCCATCATAGATAGGATCCACGTGGTATCCTTCTATCAGTACATGAGGCAGCGCGAGGCTTGCCTTCTATCATCCTCGAGGCAGCACGAGGCTTGCCTTCTATCTTGATAACATTAATAGGTCTTCTAGACCTATGTCGTCATGTATCGTCACGTGCGGTCCAGACCGCTTATCTAAGCCAGCAGTTGCCGCTTATCGTCTATCGTCATCTATCATCATCTATCTGTCGTCATCTGTCGTCACAGAGCCAGTGATGCTCCGGTATCGTCTATAGAGCTGGTGAGGCTCCGGTATCGTCTATAGCCGTGCGTTTGGCAGAGGGCTGTCGTCTATAGCTGTGCGGTGGCAGAGGGCTGGTCTGCTGGCGGGGGACTCGTGCCATGTTACTGTAACACCTTTCGCGTTGGACTTCGAAGATTTGGAAAATATGCAACTTGACTTTACTCTCGGACAGATGCGTATTGGCGATAACTGGCAGCGAACCGACATTGGGATCAACCATCTTTTTGACCAGGTGTTAGTGGCGGATAAAGAGCTTTTCAAGTGCATTTCCCTTATTGAACAGTTTCGTAACATGCTCACATTCATTATGGTCAAGGTATGGGGTTTTGGAAGTCAAACTTCAGACTCAGTTTGGATAAGATCCTCCCAAGTGGGTAACAGATCTGGTCCAGTCGAAGCTGCTCCCAAGTTCAGGTACGATTCTCACCCAAAAAAAGTGGCTCTATGTCACTCACAGACTGCCACTAGCAAATTCATCCATGGCTGCGCTACCCTACTGCCTAATCACATAGATCTCGTGCCGTTCTGGCTGCCTCAAAGTAAGTTGAAGGGCCTGCTTCCATTTTATCTTCTTGCCTCACATCATTCACAGTGGACACGGATATCCTCAAGCCCAATACTGGATACCTCACAGTCGAGCGTCCGACAAAGAGTACTCCTGATTTTCAGTCCGGTATTCTCTCGCCCCTCTCGCCCGTTTTGCCGGTACACTCCTACATTGAGCCTGTCTCTGAAGGGGAAGAAGATGAAGAGATGGACTTGACGCCTGCTAGAGACGAGTTTCGGCACACAGGGCTGGCGCATGAGGACGTTACGGCTGCTATCGCATTTCGTGAAAAGTCCCTCAAGGAACGTGAACCTGCATCTCAGTCCAGGGGAAGCAGCAGCACTCCTGAAGTGGTATACGATGAACGCATGCCATTGTTGAAGCTGCCACAGCCTCCGAGGGCGGAGAGGAATGTGTCAATTGACCCACTGGCACCATCTTCTGCGTTCGATGAGCATCTGCATGAGCGTTTACAGGTGAATAAGAATGTGCCGCCGCATGTACAGGATGGTGAGGTGCAGGCTGCTGTAGGGCTGGACGAGGAAAATCTGCGAGAGGAGGACCGTTTATTAGTGAGAGACTGGTGTGCACCATCTGGCAAGCGGATTGCAGTGCTTGTTCATATTGAGTTTTGCAAACGAACGCACGTTCTTGGTACAACTTCTTTGTATTAGATGAAGGAGTTTGTCTGCTGATGTTTCTTGTGGCAGAATGGTTGAGCTTTGTGGTGCTGATCGGCACTATCGCTACGATGTTATTGAACTTTGTACCTGCAGATGATCCGCAGGGCCTGATTAGTGCTGCGCTGCTCGCGATCACCTATTCAGCAATCATCTTTGTGTACCGAGCACTTCGTCTGCATGCGCAATCGGTGGAAGGGCTTTATTATGACAAGTACGGACCGACTATTCTTTGCTTTTTGCTGTTGGCTGTTACATCGAACCTGTGACCGGACCCTTGGTTCAGGACCGGGCTGCGGCAGCACTACACTCACTGTATACCGCTAGTTACCACGTTTACACTACATTATAACTCTACCGTACTTACTGCATGTATTCAAATAGCTCGATATTAATGATTGGTGGCAATATATGGTTTGGGTGATGCGGGTGCTGCCAGCGGAGTTTGATTCACAAAGTCAATCAGTATAAGAACCCTCTTCGCTTCACTTTGCTCAACTTTCTCACCATCCATAGCAAACCTCCGAAGTATAGTTAGCTTTGTTTGTAGCACACGATCAACTTTGTGATATGATACGATTCAAAAGAGTGGGTTACTAGATACAATGAATAATCGTGCTATCAGCGCGCCATTTGTACCTCTGATATTCGACGGTTATGCAAACCACCGGGCAAGTGGATGAGATGATCGTGAGATCTACCCCATCTTTGTATAACCAGGATATTAATGCAGGCTGTAGATTGAACATGTCCAAGTTTTGACATACCGTCACTTGGTGGGAGGACATTTCGAATGTGAGTGCGAGTAAGGGCACTTTTTTTGGGGATAGTACATTGCCAGTACATAGGGTATCCCAATGAATTTCTTCACATTCACTACATTGAATATTAGCTGTCCGTCAGGCTTAATTCTAGGACCAACTTACACATGTAACCACAAGTGCTGGTCGCGCACTCAGCAACGAACTGCCCTTGGGACATTCCACTAGGTCACTGAAAGACCGATGCCTTGACATATCTGTCACCTGTTGTGCAAAGACAACACGGATATCGAAAAATGTGCGTCTGACCATAAGCTGCAAATTGTGAAGGGTGGATTTTTAGTCCACGCCAATTGGTTGGCCTGTAGGGTTGGCCTCATCGTGAGTGAGGAACTGATGTCCCGAAAACATTCAATTTACCATAAATACATTGATAGTTCCCCCATCTGCCCATGGTGATGAAGAATACCATGACGCGCAGTTAGGATTCTAACCAGCAACCCTATGACGTTAGGGTCAGCTTCGAATTCCGGAGATGCGAGCATTGAACATTCAGAGCATGGAGAAGATGGAACAGACATGTTGGGCGGTTCCCAGTTGAATTTGCATGGGAGGTTATATAGGTGTTCCATGATCTCTGCGCGATCTGGTTCCAGGCTGCCTAAATGATGATAGCCGTGCCATTCTGAGTGTATCTGGCTACCGGTAATTGCCGCATTGTGCCATCCTCATTTGTATTTGGCTACGAGCATGCGACTCCATCAACAATTTAAAATCACAAACAATAGCAGGCTTCATGCTCCGGTCACCCCTCCATGTCGTCTAGTTATACCTGCGTCTGCAAGCAAATCTTCACTGCCCAAAACTACTTCAGCCAACATCAGCGCTCGTGTATTCACATGGAAAAGTGATTGTCATCGGCTCTATCTTCCTTTGAAGAATTTGTAGGATGCAAGAAAAGGGTGTGCACCTCACCTGGCCCTCTTGAGGTGCATGAAATGCCGAGGGAAGTGTCCGATGCATTGCCCGTTGACCTTAGCTCGGATGATGCCAACACTTCTACGGCGACTCAATATTCTGAGGCTGGAGTCCATCCTGCTCGGCCTACCTCTGGAGGAGGGATTACATCCCCAAATTGTGAAGTAGGAGACATTGACGGAGGAGAGGACGTTAGTTTGGCATGGCGGAGATTGCGATGTCAGAACCACCAGCTGCCCCTGAGATATAGGGATGTGCTTCCACAACCTCCACCTACGGTGCCCAGGGAAGTGCGAAACCAACCTCCAGAATCTGTTGGATCTGTAGTCACTTTATGTCAACGACCCGCCTTGCACGCGTGCACGGTTTTTTGTACCCCTCCAAATATATTTGGGCTGGTGCATCAATACTTTTCCTTGCAACTGCCACCCCACGATCCAGAAGAGTATGTCACTCTTGCAGACCTCTCGTTTTTACCGGGCGCCCCCAAGTTTCTGAGCAACCTCATCCGTTGACTACTTCGAGCAGTGAGTCTCAGTACCATCCCTATCCAAACCGCTCTTCCTTTCAACTCGGTGATTGGTATTGGAATCAGGAGATCCAAAAATCGCAAAGTGACTATACTAAACTGCTTGGAATCTTGGGCAACAATACATTCAATGTCGCCGATGTGACATCTACTCATTGGAAGAAGATTAACTGCCAGCTGGGTGTGAATGAGTACGACGAGGAAGATGGAGAGGAATGGGAAGATGAAGATGCTGCATGGAAATGCACACCGGTTTCCATTAAGGTTCCTTTTTCTTGCACTACTGATGCACCAGGTGCTCGACTTTACAGAGCTGCAAATTTGTACCATCGCTCCCTGGTGGCGGTCATATGGGAGAAGCTTGCTAATGCTCGAGATGACAAACTTTTCCATTATGAGCCATACCAGCTTCATTGGAATCCCCCCCATCTAGATGACGAAGTCCTTATACACGGGGATCTGTACACGTCTGTGTGTTTCCATGAGGCCCATAGCCAACTGCAAGAATCGCCAGGGGAACCAGGCTGTGACCTACCTCGAGTGGTGGCTGCTCTGATGTTCTGGTCAGACGCCACACAACTTACTTCATTTGGAACTGCTAAGCTCTGGCCTACATACATGTACTTCGGGAACGAGTCCAAGTATCGCCGTTGCAAGCCAGTTGTGTCACTTGAGCAACCATGTTGCTTACTTTGAAACAGTATGCATGCCAAGCTTGTGGGCTTTAATTTATACTTAACTGTTGCATTGCCAGCTCCCCGACAAATTCAAAGACTTTACTGGCGGAACCAGTGAAAGTGCGACTCACTGTCATCGGGAATTATTTCAGGAGCAGTGGAATATATTACTGGATGAGGAGTTTCTAGAGGCGTATGCGCATGGAATTGTCATTCACTGTTGTGATGGTGTCATGCGTAGATTTTATCCTTGGATTTTCACGTACTCTGCAGATTATCCTGAGAAGTGCGTGATTTATCTCTGGTTCAATAATGTCAATTCTAATTTCGCCAGAGTTCTTATAGCCACAGTTCGAGATTTGGGAGGGTGCCCATGTCCCCGTTGCCTCATTCCAAAGGATCGGATACAGGACATGGGAAGACCCCAGGATAGACAGCAACGCTCGACCCTGGAACGCAATGCTCAAAAAAGAGGAACTTTGGTTAGTGAAGCCCGTAAAATGATATACGAGAGTAACTACGCAGTCAGCAGTGCACCAGTAGAGCGCATTCTCAAGCCACACTCCTGGGTGCCCACCTCAGTGAGATTTGATCACCAATTGCTGACTACTGCTAACCATGCTTCAGAATGCTTTCATAGATCGCCTCAGTCTAATGGGGTTCAATATTTTTCATGCTTTGGTGGTAGACCTTCTACACGAATTTGAGATCGGTGTATGGAAGATGCTGTTCATTCACCTGTTGCAAATTATTGTGGCACATGACAAGGATCTAATTCATTGATTGGACGAGAGGTACGGTGTTAAATACTGCGTTGCTCGTAGTGTTCAGCTGATTTCTACCATCAGGTACAGGCAAACCCCGACATTTGGCGCAGCCACCATACGAAAGTTTACATCCAATTCTTCCGAGATGAAATGTATGGCGGCTCGGAACTTTGAGGACCTCCTCCAGGTACAAGTTCACTGCATATCGATGTTGAATAGGCTACTGATGCACTATGTACAGTGTTCTATCCCTGCTTTTGACGGCCTTCTTCCCAAGCTGCACAATCGAACTGTTCTTCAGTTACTATTCACCATGGCTCATTGGCATGGGCTAGCTAAGCTCCGCATGCATTCTGATATGACCCTCAATATCATGGATGAAGTGACGTCGGCGCTCGGGGACCAATTTTGTAAATTCAAGGCTACAGTTTGTGCCGCATACCAGACCCACGAGTTGCACCAGGAGGTTGAAGCTCGTACCCGACGTAATACAAAGAAGGCGGGGACACAGACAGTAGGGCATAAAGGAAAAGCAAGCTCGCGCCTTGCAGAACAAGGGCAGGCAGACCCTTCAGGGTGATCAACTCAGAATGTGCAGCGAACGAAGGTGTTCAATTTTTAAACATACAAGTTTCACGCGTTGGGAGACTATGTGTCTATGATATGCTGGTATGGCACGTGTGATTCGTATAGCACTGAACTGGTGTGTTCTAAACTTTTCAACTGTGAACTTGACTGATTGATTTCAGGGTGAACTCGAACATCGTTCTCCAAAGGCCAGATATCTCCGCACCGATCGCAACTTATTTGTCAAACAGTTGACTCGAATTGAACGCCGTCAGGCTCATATTCACCGTATCAGGGACAGAACTGTTTATCGCCCCCATGTTGAAATTTCTGAGTTGGTGACAAGTCCTGAAGCTCATCACCATATCGGCCTGACTCAAAAATACCCTGTACACATAGGATCGTATTTACACAGCCACAAAGGAGATCCTGCCATCACAGTGAGTTCAATCATACCCCATCGACAGACTTCTAACACACTCATGCAGAATTTTGTTTCAAAATTGAAGGGTCATCTATTGCATCGTATCAACACTTCGAGCGATTCTCTGGGTTCCCGCAATGAATATGACATCAACACAATAATCATCAAGGATGATCGGATGTATCAGCATAACATTGCAAGGTTCAACTACACAACCTATGATGTTCGCAGAGGCCAAGACGTGGTCAATCCGAGGACTTCCCACTGTAACATCATGGTCCTCCGCACTGACACTGACATAGGAAACCAAGGTCACAAATATATCTACGGGAAAGTACTTGGTATATATCACGTTAACATGATCTTTATCGGAAGCGGTATGGTTGATTATACTCCCCATCGAATGGAGTTTTTATGAATATGCTGGTATGAGCCGATCGATTAGGACTCCACCTGGGGGACCTTAACCCTAGACCAAGTGAACTTTCCGCCTCTAGCGGACAAACACTCATTCAACTTTCTTGATCCTGCAGATGTCCTTAGGGGCTGTCACATTATCCCTCGTTTTGCCAGCCACAAGAGACATGTCGATGGATCGGGTATGTCAGCAAGTGCGGGAGATAAGGATGATTGGTGTGAATACTTTGTCAATCAGTGAGTTTGTCGCATCGTATCTTTGATACGTAGCATCATCTTCATGTCAGATTTGTGGAACGTGACATGCTCATGCGCTTCCACTTCGGGCTTGGTGTCGGGCATGTCTACTCTCACCAACGCGCTATGCAAGTCATAGTTCAACAAAATGATATCACAGCGCAGTCCACGTTTGTCGGAGAAGATGACGAAGATGCCAGAAACTCCAGAGAGAGCGATGAAGGTGCAACTGACAATGAAGATGAAGATGTTCTGATAGTAGATCCCACTGAACAGTGGTGTGGTAGTAGCCAATCATCGCTGTTAGAGCAGTATGAAGAGATGTACGACAGTGAAGTAGAATTGGATTATGAAAATTAGATCATATTGTGATGAAGAACGTAATTACACTCCATCTATGACTACTCTAGGCATCTGATTGTGGCAAGTGCTGCGTTGAAGTCTGTTCTAGGCATCGGATGGCGTCGAAGCTCCTCGTTTAGTCAAGCGTCCATATTTCAGAGGACTGTACATGTAAATATTTTGATGGTATAATGACCGTATACGTCAGGATCCCCTTTGCGGTGGCGCCGAGGTGCCTTTGCTTATCCTGGGGTTCAATTTAGAGTTTTGAAAAGATGTGTCCGTTCAATAACTCAAAACTATCCAAACAAGAATGATTTAAAAGTCTATTGATCTCTCTTTGCCATTCTCATTCTCAATCTCAATGGCTTCCTCCTCCCACATTGCCCACGATCACCATATGAACGAGCCGGCTGCAAAGCTGGACTCATTTATGTTTGACAATTCTGGCCTCACACCCTACTGTGTCAATTTTTTTGTTACATTCCAAACACAGTGAACCCGCTCACTCAGTTTGCAGGGCGATTCCGTTGGTCTGGATGATATTGACTTCATTGGTTATTTGGCTTTGGGACCTGGGCCGACTCTGTACCCTCTATATGTAAGTACCTGTCTTTCTGAAGAAGTTACATAGTGCTTATCATTGTGGACCTAGTATCGACCGATGCTACATAATACTGTCAGTGGTTGATTTTGTGTGAGACTACATACTTACTTCCTCCTAGTTGACAGTGCCCATTTCTCTATACGCTTATGTGCTGACACCAGTCATCCATCGTTCGGCCTTGGAAACCAAACAGAGCACAGAAGTTCCCATCTACATTAAGTCTGTAAGTCGAATTTCTATTGTGTTTGTGCCCCCACTGAGCAGTTCTATAGTTTCATGCTACGAATGCGCATTTAAATTTGCCTACGAAGTCCATGAGGGTAGGTCCCGATAACCAGTTCTATGTTGTGTACGACTGTGTAAGTCCGCCTTTCAAAAATATAGGTATCTCACTTGACAATACACCATAGCTTGGTCCTAACAACCCCACCACTGTCGTTCATCTCGCCCGGCATCCTACTGGTTATTACCCTTGGTCCAACATTGATTTCACAGTCCTTGCAGCCACATCAGATGCCTACAACAGTAGTGGTGTTGCAATAATCCCTGGTTCTTCCACCCTCATGACTTCGGACGACGTAACTGAAGCCGACAGTTTAAATGATGCCTCCATGTTGGATGAGTCTTGCGGCAACGAACATTTGATACCTGGAGACCCAACCAGTGCCCATGCATCCCAAGCAGCCACATCGAACTCGCCAACTATCTATTCATGGATTTCATACTCAGGCAACATGTTACCCAGCACCGCTGCCAGTACCCATCAAGTCCACGCAAATCACAAATCAACTCCCACTTCCAAGCGAAAAAAAGCGAAAAAAGCTGCTGTACCCGAAGGGGGCCTCAAGAGAGTCATGAATAATTATCCGAAGTGGAAATTGGCCCTTGCCTACCTCCGGGTGCTGCTACGTATAGCAGTTTGCATTGGTGAAATCCCAAACCCCCACCGGCTCACTTTTGAAAATCGGGCAGAAGCTATTCGCAATGTCTGGCCTTGGGCTCTCCTTCGGGCTAATATTGATTCCCGCGATTTGGAAGAGGGTGGGAAGCTAAATTTCTCTGACACGCTAGACATACTGACCCCCTTCTCAGTGTTGTCGCTTACCACTAAGACTACTATGTCTCATGACGATGTATTGAAACTCGTATGTATGAATCCTTACTTTCATTAGCGTAGCTCATCCCAGAACAGGCCAACCCATCACTCTCAGAGTTTGTCTACGATACCAAGCGCTTGGTGTCATGCTCGATCAGCCATGCTCAGGCAGGCTTCAACCTCGACGACTTAGGTGCAGGCATCTTATTGCTCGACATGATTCAAACTCTGCTCCAGCAGTTCATTAGACCAAAATCGAATGTTCTGCCGATTAGAGTAGGTGTCCCGCATTCCTTTGGTCGTTAGTCTTATTTCGCCCTGCAGGAAAACGGTTTTGCTTGGTTCCTCACCCACCAAATTGCCAAAGAGATCATGTGGCACATTGTTTTTCGTACAACTAGCACACACGCTGTTCGACTGGTGTTGGCTGATCTGGAGCCAACAATGTTTAGAAATGTAGATCACCCACCCTTTCTGACTATGTCGTTTCTGGGGTCCAGTGTAAGTCTCTTTTTCTTTCTGTTTCTTTTTTCACTGGCTTATGACGTGTTTGAGTGTTACGGTGCTCTCCTGCTGAAATACACAACCTTAACGGAAATACCCGTCGATCTACTACAATATCCACACCCGGCTCAGGTGTACGAAGAGCTCTGTGAGATGGCTGTCACACTTGTCCACGAGCGCAATGACGAGGGTCACCCTGAGCTCATGTTCAGCTTGGCCCAATTGTGCAACATTATGTGAGTTCATCGGGAATCTTATGCTCCGCTGGCTAATGGGAGCACAGTATCAACCAGGTTTTTCGCCTTGGCCGATCACATGAGTGATTAAGTTGGCCAATAAATAATGTCCTATCTGTATCTCATCCGCAGTAGTCTTGTTTTGGAATGTACATCGATATCTGTTATCTGTTGGGCTGGAAACATTTTTTGGATTGTTTAAGTGTGATGGGGATATGTGATGCTGAGCGTCTTGAGTGTGATCATACAGCCAGAATGGTGGCGACTATGTTACTCAAAGTAAGCAATATCAATGTTCACCAGCCCCGCACTCACGAACGACATTTAGAGATCAAAGAAAAACTAGATAACCTTCTTATACATTTCAGAAGTCCATATACCTGTAGTTTGACTGAATTCTGCCGTGTCTTTTTTCCAATTCTTACCACTACCAGAGAGTTCGTCGGAGGAGTTTTGGTGAGTATATTTATTTATTCGAATGCACAGTGACCTTGCTTATTTTGAGTCAACACCTTTCGGCAGTGTAATCGCTTGGCCCTCTCGCACCAAAGCTCAGAGACGAGCGCTCACCAAAGCAATAACCCACCTCTGTCCCAAAATGTATGATGACCGGCGAGTACACGTCTTCCTTCCCCTTCTCAACATTTATTCATAATGCTACAGCCTTTCTTCTGCAGATGTTCTATCCGCCTTCCCTGCATCTACATCTGCCATTGTCCGCCACCAAACCTCCTTCACCTATCATCAATCATCCGTCAAACTTATGGCCCACACCCAATCCTCCTCATCTATCTCTTCGACCCAATGTCTTGTTTGTGTAGAGAGTAGCTGATAGTTTACTTGGTGGTCGATACTCTAAGGCCTCGCTCGGATTATGAAGGTATGTTGAATGACAAGATTAACCTCTGTGCATGACATCTGACGTATGCACATGCAGGTATGCAAATCTGAATACTGCTGGGAATCTGTCCAAGCTTCCCCAGACAGTTGCAAATTTAAACTTGCGACCACGAGGGTTCTACAACTCTTCCGGGGCAACACTATCATCATGAGGTATGTATCGTGACTTCTTTACATTAATCATTATAACCAATGTGGGACGCAGGGGGAAAAATGTTGCGACACCATACTCATTCGCCCGAGCTCCGGTTATGTCGAAGGACAATCGCATTCAGGTGACCAAGATTGCCCGAATAACTCGCTGCATGAAACATTGACGATTCTGTCAATGTTTAGACATAAAGGGAATACACATCGTACCATTCGACAACTCCATCAAAAGTCTCAGTGATAACATCTTCAATGTCTACCTTGAACTCTACTTCCTCGAAGGTATGTATACTTGAGTTAATATATATGTTTAATGCACTTATCTCGCTTAGCATAATGGCTGGTCCATCAAGGCGACACATACCTTGTTCGTGGCAGCATAGCAGTACTAACGCAGGGCTTATTGGCATGTCTGAGGAGTGTCTGGCGATAAGCTATTACCCCTGCTGTCCTTGCTGGTGTTGATGTGACTCATGCGGAGAACGAGACTGGCTCATTCTTGATCAATGGCCCGCCAGACGAAGCTGCAGCCAAGTTTCTCCGCCGAATCTCCGGTTTGTTTTGTTGATTCCAATTTAGTAATTAATGTTGTTTTAGAGTTCGATCACTGCCAGGTCAGTACGCCATTGCATCCAAATTAGGACGAGGTCGAAGTGCATCATCGCTTCCAAAATTCTGGTATTATAGAGTCAAACATTCAACAATCGTGTAAATATTCCTTGAGCCTTTCACTCCCTGCAAACCTTTTAATATGTCAATTGTCACTTCAGCTTCTTTTTCTACGTCCCAGTCACCTTCAAAAAAGCCACTTTATTGAAATAGAACACGCCAAGAATGCCTTGAGATTTTGGCTCCAGAACTTCAGGGCTGAAATCATTAGTCTGCTCACATTGTTTTTCATACTAATCATTCATAAGTTGCCCTCTAGCTTCCATACTCCCTCTACACTACAGCTTCTGTGCTGTTTGAATCGGTCGACCCACACGATCTGATAGCTCTCCTTGACATGAGCATCAGGGAAATCGCCATGCAGACGCAGCTCCAGCAAGAGGACAGTAACACAGTACTGTTTTTGCAAAGAGGGAGATGCTTTATGGAGGAGAGAATGTATTGAGCACAAATGGAGGTTTCATTGTTCAGTAAAGCTATGGCAAACTTGTGCGAAAAACTGAACACTACAACTAATTCAACTAATTCGTGTGAGTTATTCTATTCAAAAGGTCATGTCCAAAGAATTCAACATTGTTCCTAGCTCCATCGCTTGCTACAAAGCTCCCCCTGGATGCTGTCGACTATGAAGGAGTATGTCAAGAATCTCCCTCGGTCAAATTCGACTGTCCCAGACGCATAGAGGCTGTCCAATCCAAATGCATGACATGGCTTTCCTCCTGCCGCAAGGCATCGCTTCTGATGTCATCACGTTTTCATGACACTACAGCAGTTGGTAACAAAGCTAGCCGAGTACTTATTGACCCCCCGCAACATGTAAATGTTTCTTGCTGCCATGAAAACCTCTCAAAGGTGAGCGTCGCTAATACTACGAAGGACCTGGTATTCTGACATTGTGCAGCCAGGTGATCCAATTCTTCACCTACCTGGTTACTTGAAATCCCATGTTGATGATATGGCACGTCGTGCATACGTGAGCGCATGCCTTGCGGAAATCAACAGACCTCTAGGCACCGGTACTGGTAACGATAACAGCAACCACTTCAGAGCAGAGAGTAAAACACTGGATGAACTCAAGTATGACTTCCGTTGTCTTCTTAGATAGATGATCTATAGATAAACACCTACAAAATCAAAAATCTCCACGGTCAGTGATTCAGACAAATACCAATGACTGATAACGTGGTTGTTCGTGGGTGGCTGTTTACACTTCCCCAAGCTATGTTCAGACAAAAGTACTTCCTGTGAGGTCAGTAGCAATACCAGTCAATCCAACAGTATGGACGCAATAGAAAATAAAATAAACAGAATGTAGTCAGCCCAACGGTATGGTGATGACAAAAAAAAAAATGATTCACTCCAACGGTATGGCAGTGTTTAGAGAACAGAGAAAAGTCAGCCCAACAGTATGGTACTGATAAAAAAAGAAATAGATTGATAAGAGAAACCCTTCCTTCAGTAACAATGCTTCTTGTAATAAATTTACTACAGAAAGTCATGTGAAATTATAGCAATCACCCCCTCAGCACAAACAGGTAGAATCAAAGGTCAGGACTAATCAGTGATCAGTAGAACTCTTAGTTCACTATTGAACCTGCTGCCAAGGAACTCACAATGAGTATTAAACAGAATCAGGAACGGACGTCCTTGGATTTCAGTACCAAGTCCCCTATTCAATGACTAAAGTCTAGCAGACAAAGAAAACCCTGGCTCAGTATCACTACTCAGATGAGTGAGGTCAAGCGTCACTATCAACTTCTGATGTCTTCCTACTAAGCCGGTGCTTAGATGGACGTAAAGACAACACAAAGATCTTGAAACAAATTCAGACAATAACACTGAGACGTGAACGAACTGAACAGAAAAAGAGACAAATGAAAAGAAACAAACAAACAAAGAAACAGAAAAAGAAAGAGAGAAAGAAGAAAGAAAAGAAAAGAAAAGAAAAGAAAAGAAAAGAAAAGAAAAGAAAAGAAAAGAAAAGAAGGAGACTAGAGGTTCACCAGTAGAAAATCAAAGAAAAAGTTTGCTCACTGTTGAGCACAGTGAGCTCAAGATATTTCACAGTTGTTGATGATGAGCTAAAGGTATTGCTGGATGTTGCTTACAATGACCTCTCAGTTAGTTGCTTAACAGCTCTTGTCACTGTTGTTGATACTGATCACACTTCACACTCAAATTTATTTTGTGGGGCTTAAAAGTTCCCTATATACCTCTTTTTATTGGCAAAAAGTGGGGTCTTATATAGATAAATTATGGTGGCTGTGTTACTATTTCCCACGTTCTAAGGGGAATAGGCTTAGTCAGATTGTACCAATACTATTTACTGTAGTCATGTGCTTTATAATTTGTGTCATCAAGCTTTAGTCATCTCAAAAAGGTTGCTTTGTCATGATTTGGTTTAGGGTCATAGGTCACCTGACTGTTAGAGTCATATAACTTAGTATCATGTGACAAATATTAAGTAACAGACTGATTATGTTATTTGTTGGTGTCTTGTTATGATGTTACTTTATTGACCGTAGAAATGACACGAGCCGTGTATTTAGAGTGTTAAGAAAGTTCCCACAAGGCAAATTATGCAAGAACTATTTTACACTGTTACTTGACATGTGTGGGATTCAGTCTGAGTCATTGTTATTGCTGACTAAGCAGAATTTACCGCAAAATTAAATATACAAGAATATTCAGCCTATCTGAGTCTGTCTGAGAAATGAAAATACTATCTGAACTGCAGTCTGAACCATAAAGTAAAGGAAGATTGTTCATAATGATTTCTAGGGTATCGGGCTCGTGAGAGAGCATTAGTCATCCATGCACCGAACCGGTTTGGTGCAGGTCACTGTATTATGTATTTGAAGAAGCAACGCGCACAGTCCGAAGTGGACATGTTTGCTGAAGCCATAGCACGCACTGTTGGTGGGCATGAACATTTTGCTTCAAGTTTTCTTACATTAACATTGCTGTCAGCTTGTCAGAAGGCGCATCTTCTGCCAGTGCTACGATGATCGAACCACCTCTACTTGACGATGATTGGTTTGACGGTTGGAACTCAACCTCGTCCCTATCTTCCAATATTTATGCACTTCTGTGAGACTCGCTACCGTCCAAGTCCAAAGCCAAAGCCAGGGTTTGGTCATAATTATATTTAATTATTTTCTGTTGTACGTCGGCCTTGGTTTGTTTTATGTCATTCTTGCTACCTTTTTCATCACTTCATTTACCAATCACCATTTTCCCAGTGACAACGTCTACTCGCCTGTTTCGAAGTACCGCCCATTGTCTTCGACTCAAACGTACCCCTTATCTGCCTCTAACTCAAATGTACCCCCTATCACTTCCAACTTAAATCACTGAGCTTCCCCACATTACTGAACCCCTGCATCATACTATCTTCACTTATATCCAACAAGTTGCTCCCACCTGTTTCCTTCGAGCCTGGTTTTAGTGTACAAAATGACATGCATTGTTTCCTACAACATTTGAATTCACTGTTTGCTTCGTATCAGAACTGAAATAGCATCCTCATTATTATAAGTTCTACCGCGCTATTGAATCTTCTTTTCTGGACTCGCAGAATTCTGAGATGCTGCGAACGTATAACTTACTCCAATTTTGTATTGTTATTAGCAATGCTTGTCCGTACATCGCAGTTTCGAAATCTAGACTTATTATTACATACTCCTGAGTGACACTTTAATAAGTCCACCCACACTGATACTACATGGTACTGCTCTGTAACCACCTAGCACCATTGTTCCATGGACTCGGCCGTGGTGATGATCAGGCAGGTGATTGCAGGCGGACTGTCATGATTGTAGTTTTTGCAGCTTCTATGCAGTTTAGATAGTAAGACATATCCTATTATTTAAAAAATGTTGCAACACATTATGTTACAAGTAACATCGGTCACATGGCCCCCCTATCATTTTCCCTTCGTCCTTGCCCTCACCATCTACCAGCTTGCCCTCCTTTACCGACTTTCCATTGACCGGATCCTTGGGACCATTCCTGTCCCTCGCATCGCCCGCCTCTACGCACGTGCATGCACGTTCCTTCCCCTGATTCGACCACCAATGTGGTCCCGCACCTATGACTCGGTCTGACTCGTGCCACCAATGTGGCTTTCCTCTTTCTGCTCCTTCTGACTGTGGATTCCCGCACATTGTATTCTTACCGTTGGTCCGTCCCAACGTTTATCGGTCTCATTCCACATTCGACCATCCATCACTAATCCGGCTCTGTTGCCAATGCACCTATACCATTCTCATTTCCCCTTTACCCTTACCTACTGTGCGGTAGCCTTGCCCTTAACCCTCTCCACTTAGTATAAGTAGTCGGTCACCCTGTACTAGATTCTCTAACTTGAATCTACTCAATCTTCCCTGGAACATACTTCCCTCTGAACGCCCCTTTGGCTTCAGTCTCTAGTATCTTTTCTTAGTTGCTCATCGCGACTAAGTCTACCTCGATCGACCTCATCGTTCGGACAAGACTGTCCTTACCTTGAGCGACTTCATAGACATCCGTCTTAGAAGTCATGTGACACGTGCGTACTGTGATCGCTGCCGACTCATCGTCGCCAGTCTCACTTGCCATACCGGATCCTTCCGGTTACGTCACGAACATTAGCAGACGACACCCCTCTTAGGGCTCCGCATAGCAGATCTATTTGAGTGCGTAACACATTATAACATTACTGGAAACGCAAAAGCTTTGTAAATGCTAGCCATGTTGGTGATGGCCAGACAAGTAATTACAAGCTGGCTATCACAATTGTAGTTTTTGCAGCTTCTATGCAATTTAGATGAAACATATGTCACTATTTAAAAAATGCTACAATGTATTATAAATCTACTGGAAATGTGATGACCTGTAGTCATTCAACTACAGTGTATGGACATGCAGTTATCTCACTGTTGTCTGCTTCCAAGACATACATCCAGATGATATTTCTCTGGTATAGTCATATCTTATTTCACCTATGTGTGACACTATGATAAAAATATCTAAGGTTAAAAAATGATGTACAATAATGTGTTTTAATTACCAATTCTGTCTGGTCATATCAATTTTGGGTTGATTCCCTGATGTGACTGACAGGTCCAGCAGCTTCAACAGATACATCGTTACAAGACAGTCAATTGGTGAGTTCCATTAAAAGCTACCCAATGTATTTTAATTGATATCTATTGCTGTAGAAACACGAGAATGAGGCAGCTGCCATCACACAGTAAGTACTGTCTGCTTACCTTACAAGTATATCTAACAATGATTTGTTCTGTCAAGGACTCCCATGTGCCAGAAGCTGGCGCCAGGTGGGCCACGTCATCCTGACGCACGGGTGGGGGTGCTACAGTGGTATATAGAGTACACTTTTTATTGTAATTTTTTCGTAATACAATTGTTTTTGGTCGATTTGCATCGATGAGCAAATATGGACAAGTCAATTGGGAGCTACAGGAATATACTAGAATCTACGGTACACTAACACAATTGACGATACGCTATTTCGCTCGATGCGAGTCACTAAAAATCGACTATAAGTCTCATCTTTCTCCGGAAATCGACGTGAATCTTATCGCAATATTTCCGTCGTTTTCCGGAGATACGGCTAGGACCGTTTCTCACTGGGGATCGCACGATTCACCAGCGAAAGATTTTCCGCTGTTCCACACCAAATTGCACAGACCTTGTTCAATCTGCTGGCATTGCAGTTCGAAGACAAAGATGGAGTTATCTTGCATAATCATGACAAACATATAAAAGCAAGGTATCTTGCCACTAACCCATTAGGATTTATTCCAGCCTTCAGACCATATCACATCCTCACTCACAATGCGTTTCTCCTTTGCAATTTTCCTCGTCGTCGTAGCTCAGATGGCATCATCAAGCTCTGCCACGCCTGTTCAGGCCAGTGTGATCCAAGGTTGTCCCGTCTTTTGCGTCTACAAACACGAATGCCGCAGATGCCCTGGAAAAAGTTGCGTGAGTTATAGTGGTTTGTGTCCTGGATTTAACCATGACTCATCGATACGGCAGATCGCCTTTGTATGTGCTGTGAGTAGTGTTTCTGCTTTTACATCGGTGCAGTATGGTTCATGACACTGACACGCGAGTCACTAGTGATCGATTGCTGAGTTGATCAATTAAATAAAGTTTCCTGTCACTCGAATAATGGAGGGATTGGAATAGACGACTCACTTTTAAATTACTCGATAGTCGTCAGCTCATCTGCAACACATTTGAATGTGCATATCTTATGTACACGCGAGTGTATGTTGATCATTTTGTACTTGTAAGTAACGTCGAATTGCATCGTTGGACTGGCGCGGCTGGCAATGTGCTTGCCTCTAGCAGACGGAAGCTGGTGTGGCCTCGACCTAATGATCATGCTACCTACGACAACGCCCGAAGGCCTGACTAAGCTAGCAAATGGTGGCAAACACCCGCCTGTGTCACCCCCCGCTGGAGGGGTACCCCACTCCATCGTTTTCCCGCTAAAAGGTGCTGTTGTCTGTGAACTTCCCTAACATCACGTAGTCAAACAGCAGTGGGATGACGAGGACAAGTCACGGAGTAACTTTTTATATGCATGGAATTAGCACGGAATGTGGATCTCCGCGTCCTGGTTTCTCGAAAGGTAGGTGCGTTTAGACAGATGTTTCTGAAGATTTTAGGAAACGTCACGAGGCTTGTCTGTCTAAATTGGCTTCAAACTAGAAATGAACATTGATCGACCTGTATGGTGTACATAAGTTCTGTACATGATAAAGACCTGACCTTACCCGTAATATTTCCAAATAGATGTAGATGAGGAGCGTTCTTATGTAGTATATGATGGGATGATCATCAGCCACGCAGACGCTGATTGCTCTCGGCTGAATGAACACTATCGCATCATCAGCACGATGGAACCCATCAACTAGAAGAAACTTACAGACTATAAACGATTTCCGAAGATCAAGATCTTACGAATGACCGTAAATATGCACCGTGATGGTGCAACTTGACATCATAGTAGGGCGCTAGTCCCGCGCCAAGCTTTACCAGACATACATGATTCTTCGTGCTGCACGTATGCCTCAAGGTGTCAAAATCACTTATTCTGTGTATATGCTATGCACCCGTGATTGATTATTCGCCGAGTCAGCCCTTGAAAGATATCATTCCTTATAAGATTGTAAAGTATGACCTGAGTCATGCCAACAAAAGTACAGGTCATGGCAGGCCCGGCCAGGGATTCAAACTCACTCACGAGGTATATTGTAGCCATTGCCCCATGCCACCTATTGTCACAGTGGCATGACGGGATCGGATCTCCCCTTCCCAGGTGACGGATGAAGCTAGTGGCGTCATGCTAGCAAGGCTTCGGAGAATAAGTAGCATGAAGGTGGAGCCTCGACCCGAAGGGAAATCAACCAGCGGCACTGAGGATGACGGGGAGAATGAATGTCAACTTGAACTTCGCAGTTACTCAACTGCTGCAACGAACCCCACGTGATTTGATGCTTAGTCAGTGCCAGGTCCTCACTATGGCCACGAGTGTCAACCGAGACCCACTTGACTGTTGACTTTTGAGGGAGCGGACACGCGGGGAGAACGTCAACTAGAACAAGCAGATAATCTCAGTCGTTAGAAACGGACTCTATACATTGAGTATGTACCTAGAACAAGCAGATACTAGGTAGTTCAATTGTTAGCTTTTAGAATGTAATAAGTGAAATAATCGAGCACGTACATCTCAGTCGTTAGAAACGGACTGAGATGCTCGAGTGGCTGCACGAAGCCTTTTATGATACGGTAAAACACGGAGGAGAAAATATATGTCTGAAACATGCGTATTGGGACTCGGCCGAATGACGACGCACGAGCGCATTCGTACCTGGTCCGATGCCACTCACGTCTCCCCCTGGTCCGGTTCGGCTTCGGACTTCAACATTGACTTTGTGAAATACCGGTACAGTTTGAAAGGGAATGTGCAAATTAGCGGCATAATGTGCGAGCTGTGAAGGTGTAATTGTGGTGTTCGCAGGACCGAGTGTAACTTTAGCAATGTAGCGTGCAAGTGATTCACGGAGGTATGAGGCACCATAGTCACTCTTGATCTTGTCAAATGTGACGGCCTTTATAGTCGGATGCTTCGTCATCACCTGAGAACGAGCAAACGACATATCTGGAGGGCGGGTCTGATTCCCCGGATAAGACTCCGTGGCTCCGAGTTTCCACTGAATATATTGTTGGTGACGTAGAATATTCTCCCTTCGTTCGAGCCAAGAGGCCATTTGCGCGAATTCGTTTTTGTGATTTGTCGAACGGTAGGCATCTTTTGCGAGGTCGATATGGAGGCGCTCTGTGTATTCAGTACTATAATTATCTGTTGTGCCATACATTCGAATCATGTGAGTATAGTGAAGCGCAAAGTGAAGCTTTGGTAGGTTGAACGAATTCCGAATTCCAAGATCGATGAAGATATCCTTGTTCTCGTGGAAAAGTTCCACTGGCAGGGCCTCGCCAGCGTCTCGGAGCTGTGACATGGATATTGTGCGAGATATAGAAAATCCAGCAGACCATGGACAGCACGGAGAAGTCGGGCAGAGGACATATTGTTGGGGAGTCTGATATCAATGATGATGCGAGTAAGAACCGACAGATTTGGTTGTACTCAGTGCCGCTCAATCGTGAAAGTGTTGTAATACCCTTCATAAAATGTCGAATGTGGTGATTAAGAGGAAGGCGCCGGCATCGTGCATCTATCTCTTCGCTACTGCATGCTTCAGACAGCCAAGTGAGGAGGTGCTTCACGAGACCTTGATATAATTGATGGAGAATGTCTGGTGTGATAAACTCGAAGATATTGACCAGCGGCAGTGTCTCCCAGAAAGGATGAATGATAGGCTTAATGCCAGCCTCCGTGGTGACTGTAGTACCTGCATCTACAACCGTTGCGTGAGTTTCAGTAGTTTGTGTCCTGGATTTAAGCGCACGACTCACCGACATGGAAGACCTTCGTTGTATGCACGACGTGACCGTGACGTAATAGGAACCGGCCCAATATATCGAGTAACTTCAGAGTACAAGCTGGAGTTGATAAGATAGACTCGGTTCACAGAGCAGAGAAATAGAACTTGATCGATGAGGCATTCGTGACGTGTCGATGATGTGTGCGTAAGCCATGCTTGCACAGCTGCACTACTGCTGGCAGGTCAACCCAAGCAAAAGATTTTCTGCTGTTCCAGACCGAATTGCACACAGACCTTGTTCAATCTGCTGGCATTGCAGTTCGAAGGCAAAGATGGAGTTATCTTGCATAATCATGACGAACATATAAAAGCAAGGTATCTTTAATTTTCACCAACCCGTCAGGATTTATTTCAGCCTTCAGGCCATATCACATCCTCACTCACAATGCGTTTCTCCTTTGCAATTTTCCTCGTCGTCGTAGCTCAGATGGCGTCATCAAGCTCTGCCACGCCCATTCAAGCTGGGATCGAAGATTGTCCCGTCTTTTGCGTCCACAAATACGAATGCGCCTACTGCCCTAGTAAGAATTGCGTGAGTTATAGTGGTTTTTGTCCTGGATTTAATCACGACTCATCGACACGGCAGATCGCCTTTATATGTGCTGTGAGGAGTGTTTCTGCTTTCACATCGGTGCAGTACGGTTCATGACACTGACGCGCGAGTCACTAGTGATCGACTGCTGAGTTGAACAACTAAATAAGGTTTCCTGCCACTCGAGTAATGGAGATTGGAATAGATGTCTCACTTTTAAATTACTCGATAGTCATCAGCTCGTCTGCAACATATTTGAATGTGCATATCTGATGTACAGGCGTGTGTATGTTGATCATTCTGTACTTGTAAGTAACGTCGATTTGCATCGATTTGCCGCTAAAAGGTGCTGGAACTTCCCTAACATCACGTAGTCAAACAGCAATGGGATGACGAGGACAAGTCACGGAGTAACTTTTTATATGCATGGGATTAGCACGGAATGTAGATCTCCGCGTCCTGGTTTCTCGGAAGGTAGGTGCGTTTAGACAGATGTTTCTGAAGGTTTTAGGAAACGTCGCAGGGCTTGTCTGTCTGAATTAACTTCAAACTGGAAATGAACATCGATAAACCTGTATGGTGTACATAAGTTCTGTACGTGATAAAGACCTGACCTTACCCGTAATATTTCCAAATAGATGTAGATGAGGAGCGTTCTTATGTAGTATATGATGGGATGATCATCAGCCACGCAGACGCTGATTGCTCTCGGCTGAATGAACACTATCGCATCATCAGCACGATGGAACCCATCAACTAGAAGAAACTTACAGACTATAAACGATTTCCGAAGATCAAGATCTTCCGAATGACCGTAAATACGCACCGTGATGGTGCAACTTGACATCATAGTAGGGCGCTAGTCCCGCGCCAAGCTTCACCTGACATACATGATTCTTCCCGCTGTCAAAATAACTTATTCTGTGTATATGGTATGCACTCATGATTGATGATTCACCAAGTCAGACCTTGAAAGACATCATTCCCTATAAGATTGTAAAGTATGACCTGAGTCATGCCATCGTAAGAGCAGAGTTCTCGACTCGACAAGCTACGTAAATTTGTATCATGACGGTATCAGTACTCAATTGCGGTCGGAATCACTTACGCCGTGTATTCCGGTCGTTCCTTAGAAAAGCATATGTATGCCAGCAAGGAGCATACAGGCTGAGACTCTTGCAAAAAAATTCAAATTCACATCGTTCAATTAGGGTTGCGGTGGAACAACAGATAAGTTCTTCCTAAAATGCATACACAAGTTATTCAGCATATAAAAGGAAGAAGATGACGTTTCAGATTTATTCGATCGCATCCTCATCGCACACAATGCGTTTCTCCTTTGCAATCGTCCGAGTCTTCGCCCTCGTTACTGCTTTTGCATCATCAATATCTGCCATGCCCACTGATGCTAGCATTGGGTACTGTCCCATGTTTTGCCACAAACAGAGTGAATGTAGTACCTGCATCTACAACCATTGCGTGAGTTTCAGTAGTTTGTGTCTTGGATTTAAGCGCACGACTCACCGACATGGAAGAGCTTCATTGTATGCACGGGTTGAACGTGACGTAATAAGAACATACTAACGGCCCAATATATCGAATAACTTCAATTTTGAGTACAAGGTGGCGATGATGAGATTAGACTCGGTTCACAGAGCAGAGAAATAGAAGTTGATCGATGATTTAATTGCGGTGATGATGCGACGATTAGTTTTGAGCGTTTTGTCTCTTGTTACTTGGAGCCTTCCACAACGATGTAAAGCGGGAAAAACTTGGCCTGGAGAGATGACGATAGGACTGACGCGGGCCACATTGAGGTCATTCAGACACTGCGATGTGCACCTCAAAAGATGGGAGACCCACCCACATTTCGAGACGTGAAACGCGGTGAGAAGCGGGGATGCTTGTAACCAGGAATGGAATCTTTGAGCAGAGCCTGTCAACGAAGCGTGGGTTATGCGCTGGCAAACATCAAGAAGGTCGTTTCGGAGATATAGGGCATCATGATCCTGCCTGGACAGTACTGATACGTGGGTATATAAACAATGAGTGTAAACAATAATTCAAAGTCAGCGGTGTTCGAAATAGGCAAGTGTTGTTGATGTACGAAAAGAGGACAATGGTTTGGAAGCACAAAAGACATGTTATTATTCAAAGTTAGATATATACCAGCCATGCACTCAAGGCTTTTCATCCATCCACCTACAGCATGAATATACGTGAGTTATATTTTCTTGTCTTTGACCACCAAGTAACTAACCTCCTCACAGTTTTCAATCGTGCTTCATTGAAGCGTAGCTCTCGTACTCGCACCAGAAAACCCTCAGACGCTGGCTGTCCATCAACCCTCGAAATAATACCAGAGTGCTTAGAAATTCAGAACAACTCACGACTCACTCTATCCGAATTCCCATTCTCAATCGACGATGCCTTGCTCATGCTCAATGACACCCCTCGTTCACCTACTCTATCTGCATCCTCTTCCACAGATGATAGCATGCCTGCTACCCCATGTGCATCAGACGACGAAGATCTTCCTCTCCCAACTCCCCGTCTGACACCAAAGCGCATCACCATTCGTCCTCTGTGTATAACCAAGACCCGTTCTATAGTCTGCGAGGACGCCACCGATCCTCCTGAAGAAGAAGACGAGTACGATTTTTACACACGCCAATTCGAGGACTTTATCTCCCTGTACTCGCCTGTGCCCTCTGCACCTGCACCAGCCCGTCCAGAATCTATCATTCTCTCACACGAGGTGGCACCCCAGCCACCAAAACCACGCGGACGCAGTCGTTTCTCAAAGGCTCTCCCACTCCTTCCTCTCCCTACCCCGCCTCTAACGCCTGTTCCACCCGTTCCGCAGCTACCAGTCTCAGGTATCCGGAAAAAACGTATCCTTCCACCCTTGCCAATCTACCCACCACCCCCACCCCCAATTGAAAACCGCCCCCCTCCTCGTATGGCTGTCCCCTCTGACATCGAAGAGCTCGATGTTCTCGAACAAGAGGAGCAACAGCCAGTTTGCCCAATCATCATCGAACAAATATGGTTTGACGATGAGGAAGAATCCATATATTCTCAGCCTTCCTTCGTACCAAGCCAAGACATCCACCCCACTGCACCAGTCCCGGAAACACTCAGCCTTCCTCGCGCAAGCACCGACTCTGACACTCCCCGGTCGTCTCTAGACTCGTTTTCAAGCAGCCAATCCCACTCTTCCTTCTCATCCTCGAGCTCGTCTGAGGAAAACGCCCCTATCTCCCCCTTCTCCTTCCCTCCCACTCCAGGACCCGAACTCCACCAACTCCGCAGTCGATGGAGCTGTTCCACGATATCCTCACACGTTACTGAACCTCCACGCACAATTCTGAGTCCCTTGCGTGGGGTGTTTGTGTCCAAATCGAAAATGAATTCAGGGTCAAGGCGGGCGCCTCCTCCTCTGCTTCCAATTATGTCTACACCTCCTCGTTCTCGTCCATCACATAGCTCATCGCCTTTACAAACGCGGAGCAACACCCAGAATCAGACCCGGTCACATAATCCGTACATAATGCCTCTAACACGAATGTTATTCCCCACAACGCCCTCCCCGCCCACAACGCCCACGCCTAGCAGGCACATCCGCCGTCAACAATCACGCTCGTCGACGTCTTCTGAGTCGTCTGAAAGCGGGAGCTGTGAGAGCGGAGGCAGTGCGGGGTTGAAAAGGAAACCGATTCCTATTGAGATGTTTTTGAGGGCTTAATTGTCTGAGCGTGGGTGGGGTTTCGATCTTCCTGTCTATTGTCTTTTCCGTTTTGTTCTTTTGTTCAAAGGTTTTGTTTTACCTTTTCGTTGATGTCTATTTGCTCTCGTTAACGACGACGACGATTTATGATTATTGTATTCATCATCATCACTCGCAGCTCGCTCATTCATGCATATTAATATCCATAATGTACCTGCATCTTCCGGTCACTTTGCATTTCCTCGCTGACACGTCTTTCGTTTTTTTTTATCTCTGAACTCTTGCATGTCTTTGCATTCCATTACGTTTCTACGCACTCTCTCTGTCTCTATAGCATGGTCCACTTGTAGCCTAGTTCATACTACGATGAAATGATATCCGATGTTTTGACGTTCCATTGCAAAGTTTGTTGAAAAATGTTCGTAACGAGCGAGACCCCGCAAATTTCCCACAGAGATGTCTTTACAAGGTTGGAAATCCAAAAGAAAACCCGTTTCTCCGCAAGGTTCACTAGATACAGGGTGCAATGTGCTTCATCTATTGCAAGGACCATTTTGGCCAGTAAGATGGAAACTCGTCGTGTGACAAGATACATCATTGTCGAGACAACTGGTCTTGCAACAGAACAAAACGTTGTATTCACGGTAGTTAAGGTCCGAGATACGAGATGATGGTGGCTCAAGTGATGAGAAAAATTAAAAAAAGTCCAAGCATAAGCATCGTAAGCGATACACAAGACCATGATAAACTTGAAATTGATCGGATATTATTACATCAGTAGAGTTGGTAACGACATACATCAACGAACAGCTAAGTACATCAGACAATTGAGGACTTGTAAAAAGTGATGTGATTGACGCCAATTAATGGGCCCCAGGTGTTATTGCAGGTATTGCTACATCTACAACTGAGATGACGTTAGTGATGTCAAAAATTGCAAAGTGAAGCAGCTATACTCACCAGCCATTGCAAGAATGCTTCCAGCTTGTTCTTTGGCGGGGGATCCTCATACATGTCCGCCACAATTTCAGCTACATCGGTCTTGAAGTCCATGTCCTCTGGAGCAACAGGCTTGGTACCATAGTAGAAGCGAGCGCCAAGGTACATGACTGGCCAGGTGATGAAAAGGATGTAGTTGGTGATGAAATTTGCAATATCCCACTTTCCTTTGAGGAAAACGTTCCATCCGTTGAACTAAAGAGTAGAGGAACAGTTAGTCTCAATAGCATTAGTGGATATGAAAAGTTGGCATACGAAACAGATGGTGACCGTTGAAACCGCTCCCCACCACGCTGCGTATGGCTGGAGATTTGTGTAGTAAGGGAACGTCTTGCGGTCGATGCCTTGGACCTGTATGCCCTTGTAGAAGCGGAGGTACGTCACCGAGATACCAAACCACGTCATAAGGCCAGCGACGGATGTCATGTTAGCAAACCAGATAAATACTGAGCCCGCGCTAGCGGACACAGCCATGAAGGTAAGAAGGGAGAAAGAGGCGGAGAAGAGGATAGCGACATAAGGCAGCCCGTTGCGTGAGGTTTTAAGGAAGACCTTGGGAGCATTTCCTGAGATTGCAAGACCATCTACGAAAATCGTTTATTTCGATGAGTTGACTCCCAGATAAGTATACGCACAAATCGCACGAGACGAAGTGTACAAGTCACTAGATGCGGCGGACCATGCCGAGGTCAACAAACAAGCATTGATGATCTGTTTTGAATACCAATGACAAATTTCTAGGTAACAAGGGAAGGCCAAATGCGGCTTACCGAAGGAAGTGATTTGATTCCCGCTTTTTCGATAGCAATGACGAATGGAGACTTGGCGGCTGTTTCATCAACCAATTTGAGATGTGGGTCGTTGGATGGTACAAGCAGACCAATGATGAATGTTCCGCCGATGTAAAAAAGCAATATACGGATGTATACTCGACGGATGGCTTTGGGCAAGTTACGACGAGGATTCTTCGCTTCTCCAGCAGCAATCTAGGTGGGATTCGTAAGTAATGGATTTATTGAACAAGCTTAGAGTATAACGTACAGCAACAATCTCGGTTCCAAGGAACGAGAAAGCAGCTTGAATCAAAACAGCCCAAAAGCCAAGGAATTGTCCTTTGACACCTTCGATGCCATTATACTGAACGAATGGTCCAGGATTTTTCCAGTAGCGGAATCCAATGCGGTCATGGTTTGGGCCACCTCCCAAATCGATGATTATACCGATGATAATAAGACTAGTGATTGTGATGATCTTGATGGATCTGTGGTGATCTCAGAATACAAGGTTGGGATATAGTACTTAGTACGCACGCAAATATGAATTCCGTCTCGCCGTAAGCGCCAGCGCCGAGCATGTTAATGGCGAGAACGACGACAAGACATATGACGACCCATACTGAATTATTGACAGCGGGATTCCAAAAGTTTATCAACACTACAGCAGCAGAAAACTCGGCTGAGATGATAAAATGTCAGTAGGTACGCTAAGAAAATGTATTTAACTCAAGTACCAGGTGCTAAAGAGTAAGAGGTCAGTAATTGTGAGAAATGGAAGAGGAAGAATGGGACTTACAGGTAATCGTCCAGTTGTACCAGTAATTCCAACCCACGGCAAAAGAGAACGCAGGGTCGACGAAGCGCTCGGCCAGTTTGATGGGACCACCAGGTATAGGCAGGTAAGAAATCTACGAGACATAAAGATCAGGTATGTGATCTAGATCTAGGGCGTGCAGCAAGCATACCATTTCACCTAAAGTGATCATGACGCAATAGACGATGGAGCCCATGATTGTGTAACCGAGCAACAGACCGATGGGGCCTCCTTGCGTTAAGGAGTTTGCAGTTCCAACAAAAAGACCAGTACCGATAACACCCCCAATACTTGACGGAGGTGAGAATTTATCAGAAGAAAGAAGAAAATATAACAGACCTAATCATGGTGATGTGACGATTCTTGAGTTTACGTTGCAGGATGTTCCGCGAGGGCCCTTGAATAGACTCTCCATCATGGTTTGAGATGTCAGAGAATTCACCTCTGCTAGTGTGATAAGCAGCAGCATCCGTCTTTTCGGTATCCATTGTGGCGAGCGCCCGTGAGCGAGAAGAGTAGGAGGGAAGAGATAAGACTTCAACCCAACCACGATTCATACTAGATATATGAGTGTCCGGTGGGCTGTGGTAGTGTCTTCTTTACAGACATTGATCAATAAAGCGCATCTGATTGACCGAGTAGGATTAGGCAGGCCAGGCACCGCACGGTTACAGTGAGGGCATCATCGCTCCTTCTCCCTGGAATTCCCGTAAATCTACTCAGGCAGATCTGATAATTTCGCTGAAAGAGGTATTAACATAATGGCATCTACCATTCCATGCAGCTCCTATATGATATTGTACAGCATCGGCATCTGATTGGAGTAATACGGTCTGCCATTTGGAGGTACAACATAGCCTGCCAGTGCTGTTTACACGATGAGCCTATAGCTACCAGCATTTAAACATAGAGATAACTTACCGATCAAACTCATATCATTGGAATCTCACTCGCGGAGAAGCCGCGTAATAAGGCGCGTCATGTGGCGCGCCATCTCCGAGTTGCAACATCTCACCGTAGTTTTGGCCTTTATGACCGCAACGTGCAGCCAGCTGGCGGCCTTCACATCGGTATCAGTTAGTGGTTTCTTGTATCCGTGGACCGGGAATGTGGCTGGCAGTCTGTAAAAGCGTACCTCTAAAGTATGTATATCCATAGCATCCCCATAGACGTTGACTGTATCTGCATCAGAAACGAGTAAATTGAACAGTGTCCCAGAAAATGGGCTAGTCGTAAACCTACACTGGGACTGTCGATAATGAAATCCAATTTACTGATGCCGGCAGATTCTGCTTATGATGTTCATCTATGGCAGATCAATGATCATATCTTATCTTCAGCTGCTACTATAGCTAGTGGTAAATGAATTTTACACGGTTCAGACAGGTTAAGACTTGCCAGCACACGGCCCTTCTTCAAATTCATGCGTGCCCTCGCACGACTGGGATCGAGGGGTCTTAAGCCCTGCGGTGGAGACTTGCCTACAATCCACGCGGCAAATTTTGCAGCAGGTTGGCGCAAAGTGCATGTGCTCTAAAAACAACCCTGAATTGTCGCATGTCACATTTGGCAGAGAATTTTAATAGTACCTATATCATAGGAAGGAACCAGTAGCTTACAGCCTCCTACAGCGGTTCTCGAGCATTAGACGTTCAAGAAAAATAGGATAAATGGGGGGCATCGGGCCGAGCACAGTTCCTATGGCCTCCCGTTGGACCGCAAGCTTGTGAGGCTGACAGCCTATTACAGAACATTCAGTCATGGTACAAACCTGCCAAGCGGTGTACCCGCAAAATGATCATATTATATGGTTCACTGCCTGGGCGGATGAAACTTTAGCATATATTGAAAATGAGAGCGCAAGTACAGACCACTTCTAGAGATTATCTGTTCGTGTAGTATAGTATGCCTTCTAGTGTTCGTCGCGGTCGGTCCGAGTCCAGCCTGAGGCCTGAGGTTTCACGGGCTTATATCGGAAAGGTTACTTCATGTGGAAAATTGATGACGGTCCTTTGGGCGAGGTTTGTAGTCCAAGATTAATTGCAGTCACAGGAGGCAGTGAACATATGTATGAGGCATCTACTGCATGAGAATGTGTCTTTAGCAATCAGAATAAGTAGGAGTGGCCACCAGATGAGGCGCGATAAGCGGCAGTAGTGCGAATTAGAACTTCGCGTCCCATGCAAACATTGCAAAGTATTACATAACTGACGCGGCCAAATCAGGTTTAGGGTCCGAGGGACGGCTGAGGATGACGTGGACCGGTCACGGTCAACATCGACAACAATATTTTGGAAAATTCGAATTCTAATCGGACAGAATCTGATTTCACGACCATTTACTAGTTGTGCACTTAAACTTAGATCTTCGGCGCTTTAGCCTTAACCTCAGCTTTTCAGCTGCGGGCATATCAAGCTCACATTCTCCGCACGACTGTCGGATGCAGAACAGAACAGATCAAGACAGAACACGATAGCACCTACACAAATTGAGTGATCTGATGGAATATCAAATGAGAATCTCCATCCCGCCCCATTCTAACACCCTGAACAAAGTCACATCACCAGCTCTTGCAGGATCCACTCCAACTACATCTACCCACCAAGCAACGTCTTTCTCGGCTTGCATTTGTGCATTAGCCCAATTTGTTAAGTGCTCCTTACAGATACCTTTGAACAACATGCATACGCGAGTCACGACGTCAGGCTGCGGAGAGATGCATAAAGAAGCAGCGCGTTCATATGCCGCTTGAGGAACGAATCGAAGGGCAATGTATTCGTGCTTGAGGATATTTGGTAGCCAGTAGCTACCACGGCAGTTTTAGTGACGTGTTCCCGATTTGACAGCCTGAGGTAGTAGCGCATATGTACGCACGTTATGAATGATGTTCTAGCTTCGGTATGAAGTCCCAAAACCTTCAGTGATTTATCGAGATAAACTGTTACTTTGTCCACTGGAATGACAATTGAATCCATATCATCGAGACTGCTGGATATTGGATTGAATGTATCCACTGATTGCGGTCGGGATGTCGATGACCGGGGAAATGCTTGCAAATTTATCCTGCGAAGAAGAATACAAGTTAGAAGAGCGATTTATGTATCATCAGGGGACTTGCTGCGCCTCCCAGAACAAGTACGACACATCTAAACCGGAATAATGTTCAGTCAGACTCCCATCTTGATGGGTGCGGACGTTCCATTCTAAACGTTGTCCATGCTCTCCCGTGGTAACAACAGGATAGATGACAGAAAGGCTCCACTCAGGAATGAGGGAAAGCTTGACGGAAACATCGATGTCGGAGGGCGAGTATAGATAAATGACTGGTTTTTTAACATACGGCTCATCATCATAGACTTCAAGATTGATGGAGTCACCATCCTTGATGTGATACGATCCGATACTCCGGTTTGCTTGCATCACTACCCCACGCAAGCACCGATCGGAAACCCTACCCAAAACTGCCCCGACATCAGTGGGATGGTGTCCCAATATCCGACTACCATCAGCAAGAAGTTTGGCCACCTTCATCTCCCTCGTAGTCTGGATCTCGTTAGATGGAAAAACATGTTTGATTGTGACTTTGTCATTGTTCCTGCTATGTGGTCTCAACTTCAGTACTGGAAACACTTGTAAGATATTTTAGGTGCGTACGAGCTGTCCTGTTCGTTAACCTGACTTGGTGCCGATTGATTATCAGGCAGTGAAATAGCCGAAGCATCAAGTGGCAGTGGGACGGGCAATGTCATTTCCGTGCGCCGCGTCACTTCGACGATGTTAAGCAAGTCAATGACGTCGGACCATATCTCAGCCGTGATGTCCACATAGTAGCCATCGCAAATATCGAGTTGATTGGTCTGAAATATGACCACATCTCTCGGAATGTTTGGGAAATGTTTGCAGGCAGAGTCAAGCATGAGCTTATGATATCTATGAGCCATTAAATATCTAAATAATTGTTCCACTCACATTATACGACCTTTGCCGTTTAACCCTGACCCGCTTTTGTCCATGTTTCAGAACAAGACGTTGGGAAATTGGTTTCTCTTTAGTCCCAGTCTTCATAGACATGTTTGAAGGTTTCAAGTAGAGGGTGACGACACTGTCTATGAGCTATGGCATGCTGGCACTTGATCCCTTAGTAACAGCAGGCGGCTCGGTGGCTACTAGATGGTCCCACGAGTCCGTGTGTCCCAAGAGTCCGCGCATTGACTCTAGCACACGCAATTCTACACGGAATCCTTATCCATGATAGATCTGGATTCGCCCAAACATAATACACACTGCCATATTTTTTTTTTGAAGAAAATCGAAGTAGATCTTGTTCCATGGACAACTTATCAGTGCGAGAGGCATAGAAGGCTCGCTCTAAAGGTCAGATCTCCACATATAATTCTGGAATATTGTGAGATGGTTATACATGATTAGAGAATACTAAAACAAATTTATCCGGGGCACATGCTTGTCAGGATCATCTGCGATGAAGAAATAAGCCCCAAACGTGACAATCTGCCCAAAGCGTTACATAGAGACTGTGTAATCAAAACTCCGCAATGCCGGAATGCTTTACACCATGCACAACTTCACAATACTCAAACGGTGCGGACTCTGCGGAGCGTGAAAAGGCATTGCGGCAGACGTGTGACATAGTGTGACGAAGTGCGCGAACTCTAGGGAAAATTGCACTTTTCTGCGCGGTAACTCTCTGCTGGACTCAACACGTCGATTTTCGAAAAAGAAACTAGCAGACGTTGTACTTTCGATGTCACGCTATTGAACTGTCAAAGAATTAATTTTATTTGTTTGTGCGATGTGGAGTAATAACCGTTTTGCCAAAAATGCGCGAACTCCCGTGGACATCTAGTATGGATCCACTGCACATGATGCTACACCGCCAAACGGCCGTAACCTAATAAGAACATTTGATACAAATATTATTACGACCTGTGAGAGACCTCCGGGGCGACACCGGGCAGACACGTGTGATATGTTAGCTTGGTTTGAATGTGGTATGTCTGCCACCGGTTGTCCATGAGATGTTTAGTCAAACGTCTGCCAGATGTTTGGAATATATCCGAGCTTGGGTCCAAGCGGCCACTGTAGAACACCGCGCTAGGAGCATAGGTCACACACAGCGATCTAGACATTTGTGCGGTGTTTGCCTAGATGTTTGTCACATATATTGTTTAGGTCGAGCATTGGTTTACTATACATGAGTTAAAATCTACTATAGCTGCTCAATGACAAAGATATCCGTTTGCCGTTTCTTGTAAATGTTGTCCCTAAGCGTGATGTAATGACTCGGCCTGCTTGAACTTGCTCGTCTATATTATTCTTGTAGACGTTGTCCCTAAGCGTGATGTAATGACTCGGCCTGCTTGAACTTGCTCGTCTATATTATTCTTGTAGACGTCATAATTCGATTCTATGCATTCAACAAGCTTGACAGTAAGAACGGGTATCTGATATATATATACACTATATACGAGGACAAAAAATATGTAGCTCTCGAAAATCAAAGCTCAGCTACAAGTGAGTACGGAAAACATTCAGCGGCTAGTCTTTGAAACTCGGTCCATATACCAGCTCTGATAGTATCATGGTCTGTGATCAACGCAGGTGAATCCTCTGGATCCTCAGTGAGTGTCCACGACTCAATAAACGCTCCTTCCAGACTGATTCTTGAATTCCAAAGGGGCCAAGAGCCGTGAGGGAAGTCAGGATAAGCTGCAAGAAATGCCATCCAGAATGCGTCACGACCCCATGTCCATTCGGGTGTGCGTGTGTCGACAACAACGTGAACCAGCCAAGATTCGAGCTTATATAAGAGTGTGACCCAACACCTTGCAGTGAAAGGATCGAAGTCTGACGGAAGAGGGAAGAAGGACGGCTAGAGAATACAGTGTGTGAGTAGGGTGTACTGGAATTAATGGAATTAGTAGACGCACCGTTCGCAGCCTTGGTTGTAGGCTAGATATCATCAAAGGAGCAGCATCAAGAATCGGCACCACATAGCCAGCAAATTCAGAGGGAACGTTAATAGTGATTTCCAGCGGCTATAAGCTATTTTGAGTTCCAAGAAAACAATAATAGCAATGCAGCCACTTACGATCCGGGTTGCTGTTTGAAATACATGTGGTACACTTCCATGGAAAAGAACAGATAATGCAAGAGGTTTCAGTCCAACACCATCATCTTTTTGGATGGCGTCAATGTACACCGTTGCTGACATTTTGTATGGTGGTTTGTATATGATTCAACTGCGAGAGCTGTGAACATGTTTGTCACACGCCCTTCAAGCAACCACTTTGACGTCTTCGCGATTTGAAACGTAATTCAACGGACACATTCAACGCATTGCATTGGGCTGTGAGCTGTGTAATTTGCATGCATGCATGGGGCATGCCATTGTGCTGCGTAAATTCTGGGTCTAGTTAAATGTATGTATCCATCCCTGTTCTCGCTCAGGCTGACCACTTCTATTCCTGTCGTCCAAGTGGTTCTGGCAGTTTTGACGAGGAGTGATGTCGTATCTAGCACGATTCAGGCGACAAACTACCACTACTCAGCCATCACCCTCTGTGACTCTCATGAGTCCTACGTTTCATGGAGGAGCTGCTACTACACCTACACGGCGCAACCAGTTGCCCCCGTCATCACCATTGTCACCATGCCAAGGTAGCCTCATACGACCGCGCACAAACTCATTGGAAACCGAGCAGCAAGAAGTCAAGAGATTGAAGACATATGCTGCCGAAGTCTGCAGGAGCAAAGGGTTACCTGAAACAGCTTAGAGGAATTTGCTACTGTGAGTTGCAGAACTCTCATTTAACGCCTGAGGACTAAGTGATCTGCTGCGGCTCTATGTTCTAGATCAATGATATTAAACTGATGATGATCAAGCTCATGGCTGAATTGTCGTGCTTTCATAAGAAGGTTCAAGCAGCTGAAGCAGCCAAGGTGCTCGAATCACTGGACTTTGAGGTAACGCTCACTCCATCATTGGTTTCACAGCCATACGTGCACTAACTACCATCATGTACAAGCGTTCCTTAGGTGATCGCCTTCGTGCATGCTTACTGTCGCCTAATTTGACAGCATATGTCACTGATCTTTCAGCAAAAATCTTTGTGCGTCATTGGCATTCCCAGCTACTGCTTTCCACTTGAACAGCTAGCGCACTTAGGATTTTTCCAAGAAAAATCCATCGGTCTTCAAAATCTCTGTGGAAGCACTGCAGGACTCTGATGCTATGGATCGGCTTGATGTACTGATGAAGAAGATACTGACAGCACAGCGGGGAAATATGAAACAGAAGGTGATGTCTCCAATTGTGACTACATCATGCATCCAGGCTGATGTCGTCAGTAACAGCTTATTGCATCAATCGAGAAACGCTCAGATCTAAGCACACTGGCCCGCAGTCTTGCAGGCAACTGCACAGAGCTCACAATGGCGCACTGGGCCCGGATCGCATTCATGGTAAGTAATTCTTCGATCGACATCTTTCGACAACTTATTTCTCTATGTTCATAAGCGATCTTTCCTAATTGACTTCCGAACATTATGTTCTCACCAGAAGACCACTAACGCTCAACTCGAAGAAGCATCAACAGGTCCGAGTCTGCAGCCCCAGACTGACGAAGGTGGTGACAATAATATACCAATTGGTACTACTGCCAGTGCGAGCCATGAACTTGGAGAGGATGGGGAGGATGATAATGACAATGAGGAGGAGCGCACCTGGTCTTTTAGCCAGTATTGGGAGTACCTTGATAAGGTTCTTGACGAGCTTAAAGAGGAGGCTCGACAAAAGCATGCGTTTCCTCAAGCACGCGCTGATTATATCAAACAGTATGTTTCAATTGATAAAATTGACACCGCTAATTCTCAACTTCATTTCCAGATTTTTCACCAAATGTCTTCAGCAAGACCTCCAGATATTCCCTGGTGGCGGTTCATTAGCTCCAAGTTTGGATTCGGTCACTGTTGGTTGGCAAAGAGCGATCCATGAAAAGTTGATGTGGTAGTCTACTACTTACATACATATTCTCGTTGTCTTTGCCTGTAATTCCCTCGCACACTGTTTAATGCCATCATGTTCATGATATTAATGTTGTGACTGTACGATACAGTCTGTACGACAAAGCAATGGTGCATTGCTCGATAGTAAACCCTATAGTTCCAATGGCATGGCCCATATGCTGAGGCATGGTCTGTAGAGTGCTGCCTCAAACATATTGTCAAACATCTAAGGGACATCCGACATTGGACGCTGTGGGAACATTTTGTAGCCAACACTTGCACCGTGGCGGTCAAACATTGCTCAGACGTTTGACGAGTCATGTGAGCGACATGTGGCGCTGTAGGTCAGAGCAGCATCGCTCCATTTGTCTGTCACTCAATTCAAGCTGACATACGGCAAACCATGTGTGAATGTTGGGCGGGAGCAGCCAGAAAATTATGTTTGTCAGACATTGACGCCATTCGGCGGTGTAAGTATCGATATTTTTCCTGGATTGGATAACATGACTCACCTGCATGGCAGCTCGATAATGTCTGCTTTCCTGTGAGTCGTGTTTCTGCTTTCACGTCGGTGCAGTGTATGGTCGTTGTGACACTTATTGGTGATTTGTAGGGCCATTAAATGATCGTCGATCGATACACCGTTAGAAGTTGGCATAATTTTCTGTCGATTGAGAAATGACTTAAAATGCTACTAAACAAGCAGTCCGCTTGCCTGCGGACGGTCCATCTTGATTTGTCATAGCAATAAAGCTTAAATATTTGTAAACTACTTACGTTCGCAGTTTCCCTTTCCTCATTCGACGCTGAGCACAACGTTCTAATATCGCGACGATTTCGCACTCTCGACAGTGTAGTGTATAGTTGACCATGCGCAAATACATCAGTGCGAAGGTCCAGCACGGCCCGTCGCAGAGTTAGACCCTGCGAGCCATTGAATGTCGTCGCGTATGCAGGTCGTAGCGGAAACTGTCTGTGGTTCACTGTCCAACTGGACCTCGGCGGATTGAGAGAGAAAGAGATGCGGGGAAGACAGTGGATCTCGCCTGTCTGTGGAGTCTGGACTTCGACGAACTGTCTGTGCAGTGCCGTGATCCGTACTCGTGCATTTCGTACCAAACCCTTACTGAAAATTAGCCAATGAGTTGACAGGTTGCCTCGGTTGCTTATTTATCAACGCAGTACGACACGTACGACACAAATAAGTCAGAGAGAGCCCAAGAAGATCTCATACCTTTAGGATACAATTTTACACGACCTGTATATCTCCAAATCATAACTGCGTGGCAGCGTATGTTCTGGTAAACAATCATTATGCAACAAATGGAGAGGCACCTTATGAACATCCACACAGTGAAGATCACTGACGAGGATATTATCGCACAAACGTTCCTCGTTTCAGTGCTTCAGAGACATTTTGTCTTGAAACTCCGAGATAATATCCCGCTTCTCTTCAACACCAGTACCTAGGGACTGTGATGTATCATAATCTCTCATCGTAGTCAACCTTCGATACATTATTTCCACTGGTATAGAGTACCCTGTAATACATCAATCCAGATCGAAAAATAAGATCTGGTACAACAAGAATAGAACTCTCATTCGTCGTACCTTAGATACATCGTTCGTGAAATCGGGATGGAATCTCAGTGTACTGGCATCAACAGATCATATCATTTGGCAGTGTACTACTGGTGACAAGTCTAACAATCGTGTGTACTAGGTTCAATATTACTATATGGCCTGCCCGGACGGCAAAAGCTGATCACGGTGAGAACAAAAGAGAGAAATTCGGATGATGACGAAGAAGAACGGGCCCTTAGCTGGCAAGATCTGCTGGTAATAGTATTGCAGGTATGCCACATGCACAACCAAGTGCGCACGTACGCAAGAATTTCGACAGACAGCATATAAAAGCTATCTTCAGAATGATGTGGTCCCGTATCACACCAGTCACAAACAATGCGTTTCTCCTCTGCAATTCAAGTTGTCCTCGCCGTCATTACTGCTTTAACATCGATCTCTGCCACGCCCGCTCAGAACCCGGCAGGCGCCGAAATCTGTGATGTGTATTGCCTCATTAATAAAGATTGCACATCAGCCTGCAGCCGCGACTTCTCGCTATGCGTAAGTATCAATAATTTTCCTGGATTGGATAACATGACTCACCTGCATGGCAGCTCAATAACGCCTGCTATATAGTGAGTCGTGTTTCTGCTTTCACATCGGTGCAGTGTATGGTCGTTGTGATACTTATTAGTGATTTGTAGAATTGATCGATGCACCGTCGGAAGTTGGCATAATTTTCTGTCGATTGAGAGATGACTTGAAATACTACTAGATACTTTTATTTCCTAGCGTCGAGAGTGATTAGTAGTGTCGCAGAAACGTGACGGAATGAAAAGGTGTGTCAGAGCAAGCGTGTCAGAGACTGGAAAGACGATACGAACCGTCGCGGCCAGTGCTTCTGGTATCGGTCACACCAAATTTTAATTAATATTCTCAAGTTAGCTGGCAAGATCTGCTGGTAATAGTATTGCAGGTATGCATGCACAACCAGTGCGCACGTACGCAAGAATTTCGACAGACAGCACATAAAAGCTATCTTCAGAATGATGTGGTCCCGTCTCACATCAGTCACAAACAATGCGTTTCTCCTCTGCAATTGTCCTCGCCGTCATTACTACTTTAACATCATCGATCTCTGCCACGCCCGCTCAGAACCCGGCAGGCGCCGAAATTTGTGATGTGTTTTGCGTCACTGATGAAGATTGCACAAAAGCCTGCCCCGACTACCTGCTATGCGTAAGTATCAATAAATTTCCTGGATTGGATAACATGACTCACATGCATGGCAGTTCGATGCCAGCTGCCATTGGGTGAGTCGTGTTTCTGCTTTCACGTCGGTGCAGTGTATGGTCGTTGTGATACTTATTGGTGATTTGTAGGGTCATGATGCATGATCGTCGATCGATGCACCGTCAGAAGTTGGCGTAACTTTCTGTCGAGTGAGGAATCGCTTAAAATACCACTAAATAGGCTTATTTCCTAGCGTCGAGTGATTAGTAGTGTAGCAGAAACATGACTTGGTGTGTCAGAGCAAGCATGTCAGAGACTGAGAGACTGGAAAGACGATACGAATCGTCGTCATCGTGAACAAGAACAAAGAGACATCGTACATTCAACAAAAGTGAAAACAAAAACAAGAGCAAGAACAAGAACAAGAACATAAAAAAAACTCAAAGACAGCAAACACGAAAATCGAAACCCGCCCTCCATCAAGGCCTCGGAAACATATCAACAGCAACCGGCTCCCTCGACCACCCAGACGACTCCCACTTTCCGGCCACTCAAAAGAATCGACAAGCGCGAGTCCTGGCGGCGGATGTATTTGGATGTGGGTACACTGAGTGGGGAGGCGTCGTGGGAACACCATTCGTGTTGGGGGCATGTTGTACGGACTCTGCACGCGCGTTTGGGTCTGGATGTTGGACCGCGTTTGTGAAGTTGGCGATGCGCAAGAGCAAGAGGGTGTAGACATGATCGGAAGCGGAAGAGGCACCACCAATCCTGGTCCTAATCCCAACTTCAACTTCGATTTCGACACAAACACCCTACGCAACGAATTCAGAATCGTGCATGGAGGACCAGCAGCGAGTCAGAATACCGTGGAACAGCTCTGTCGACTGCGAAATTGGTGGGTTTCATGTCTTGGCGTGAGAGGGAGAAAGTGGGATCGCGGCGCTTTCTTCAGACAAGCTTGAGGATGAAAAGGAGGAGTGGGAGCTGCTTAAAACCGAGTCAGGAGATGACCGGGGGGCGTCAGAGTCAGTACTTGCGCGGAGGAGTCGCATCTCGTTTCGGGGACTGCAGGTGAGATCGGGTGGATATCTCGGGCTGATGCGAAGGAAGGTTGGGGGTGGATCAATCATTGGCTGCGGAACAGTAGGGAGGCAAGTATGTAGTAGTGTACCAGCTTGTCCATGTATATCAATATCCCTTGGCATTATGCGAAGATGGTTGCACACACCGAGCCGCTGGAAATGCGTTTTAGATTAGTGCATGGAAACGATGACTGTGCTAGTGCAGATGGAGTTTGGATGTTCGGATGGGGTTGGAGATGGTGGATATTCTGGGACGAGATGTCTTCGTTTCAATCATGATGCATGATGTACAGGAGTACGAGAATTCGAGACCGGCGGAGGGAGTTTCAAACACTGGATCCATACCAAATTGCCAGAAGATACTCTGCTGGCATTGTAGACATTATGTGGTCGAATATGGTGCTAATTAAGGGGATTCTCGTGTATCAACGGTGGACGAGTTCTTCCTAGAATGTTATTCAGCATATAAAAGTGAGGTTCCTTCATACTAACCGTTAAGATTCATATCACATCCTCACACACGATGCGTTTCTCCTTTGCAATTGCCCTTGCCGTCGCTGCTACTTTAGCATCATCAATCTCTGCGACGCCCATTGAAGATAGTGCCCAGAAATGTGCTTTCTTTTGCTGGATTGACGTAAATTGCGAGCACTGCACTTGGGGGCTTTGCGTGAGTATCAGTGATTTCCCTGGGTTTGATAACGTGACTCACTTGCATGACAGAAGTTTCCTTTCTGTACAGTGGGTCGTGTTTCTGTCTTCACATCGGCGTAGTATGGCTAACACATGGGTTACTAGTAATTTGGAGAGTTGATCGATGCATCGTCAAGTGGAGTGGTCGTGATTTTTGTGAGATTGGTAGATGCTAGATAAGACATGCGAGGAAGATATTATTTCCGTACAGATCAGTCCACGATACATCGTCGGTGACTGTTGCTCCTGCTGAAACGCCATAACGGACGTGAGCCGGTAGATCAAGACGATGACTGTGCTAGTGCAGATAGAGTTTGGACGTTCGGATGGGGTCGGAGGGGGTGGATATTCTGGGATCGAGATGTCTTCGTTTCAGGGAGTTTCAAACGCTGGATCCACACCAAATTGCCAGAAGACACTCTGCTGGCATTGTAAACATTATATGGTCGAATATGGGGCTATTAAGAGGATCCTAGTGTATCAACGGTGGATGAGTTCTTCCTAGAATGTTATTTAGCATATAAAAGTGAGGTGCCTTCGTACTAACCGTTAAGATTCATATCACATCTTCACACACGATGCGTTTCTCCTTTGCAATTGTCCTTGCTGTCGCTGCTACTTTAGCATCATCAATCTCTGCGACGCCCATTGAAGATAGTGCCCAGGGATGTCCCTTCTTTTGCGCGATTGACAAAAATTGCAAGGAGTGCACTTTTGGTATTTGCGCGAGTATCAGTAATTTCCCTGGATTTGATAACGTGACTGACTGACTTGCATGGCAGGAGTTTCCTTTCTGCAAAGTGGGTCGTGTTTCTGCTTTCACATCGGCGCAGTATGGCTAACGCGCGAGTTACTAGTAATTTGTAGATTTGATCAATGCACCGTCGAGAAAACATCAGTGGAGTGGTCGTGATTTTTGTGGGATTGGTAGTAGATGTTAGATAAGACATGCGAGGACAATATTGTTTCCGTACATATTAGTCCACGATGCATCGTCGGTGATTGTTGCTCCTGCTGAAACGACGCAAGGGACATGAGCCTGTAGATCATATGATTATAAGTATTTGCGCCTGATAAAACACACCTAGATCCCTTGTGAAACCCCTACTTCGACTTCCGACTCTGACTGTTTCCGAAAACGTTCGACAAGATCCGAATAAGCACAATGTGAACGGAAGCGCTGTTGCACATCATGATCGCCTACTATGGTATGCGTCTGTAGAGTATACATTCGTAATGGCCCATATTTAGGGTGCAGTCGGACAGAATTTGAGCATGACAATTATGGAATTTGCCCAATACACGAACTTTGGTGCGCCACAAACAAACAGCAAACAAACGCGTAGCAACATACACCGCCGAATGGCGTCAATGTCTGACAAACATAATTTTCTGGCTGCTCCCGCCCAACATTCACACATGGTTTGCCGTATGTCAGCTTGAATTGAGTGACAGACAAATGGAGCGATGCTGCTCTGACCTACAGCGCCACATGTCGCTCACATGACTCGTCAAACGTCTGAGCAATGTTTGACCGCCACGGTGCAAGTGTTGGCTACAAAATGTTCCCACAGCGTCCAATGTCGGATGTCCCTTAGATGTTTGACAATATGTTTGAGGCAGCACTCTACAGACCATGCCTCAGCATATGGGCCATGCCATTGGAACTATAGGGTTTACTATCGAGCAATGCACCATTGCTTTGTCGTACAGACTGTATCGTACAGTCACAACATTAATATCATGAACATGATGGCATTAAACAGTGTGCGAGGGAATTACAGGCAAAGACAACGAGAATATGTATGTAAGTAGTAGACTACCACATCAACTTTTCATGGATCGCTCTTTGCCAACCAACAGTGACCGAATCCAAACTTGGAGCTAATGAACCGCCACCAGGGAATATCTGGAGGTCTTGCTGAAGACATTTGGTGAAAAATCTGGAAATGAAGTTGAGAATTAGCGGTGTCAATTTTATCAATTGAAACATACTGTTTGATATAATCAGCGCGTGCTTGAGGAAACGCATGCTTTTGTCGAGCCTCCTCTTTAAGCTCGTCAAGAACCTTATCAAGGTACTCCCAATACTGGCTAAAAGACCAGGTGCGCTCCTCCTCATTGTCATTATCATCCTCCCCATCCTCTCCAAGTTCATGGCTCGCACTGGCAGTAGTACCAATTGGTATATTATTGTCACCACCTTCGTCAGTCTGGGGCTGCAGACTCGGACCTGTTGATGCTTCTTCGAGTTGAGCGTTAGTGGTCTTCTGGTGAGAACATAATGTTCGGAAGTCAATTAGGAAAGATCGCTTATGAACATAGAGAAATAAGTTGTCGAAAGATGTCGATCGAAGAATTACTTACCATGAATGCGATCCGGGCCCAGTGCGCCATTGTGAGCTCTGTGCAGTTGCCTGCAAGACTGCGGGCCAGTGTGCTTAGATCTGAGCGTTTCTCGATTGATGCAATAAGCTGTTACTGACGACATCAGCCTGGATGCATGATGTAGTCACAATTGGAGACATCACCTTCTGTTTCATATTTCCCCGCTGTGCTGTCAGTATCTTCTTCATCAGTACATCAAGCCGATCCATAGCATCAGAGTCCTGCAGTGCTTCCACAGAGATTTTGAAGACCGATGGATTTTTCTTGGAAAAATCCTAAGTGCGCTAGCTGTTCAAGTGGAAAGCAGTAGCTGGGAATGCCAATGACGCACAAAGATTTTTGCTGAAAGATCAGTGACATATGCTGTCAAATTAGGCGACAGTAAGCATGCACGAAGGCGATCACCTAAGGAACGCTTGTACATGATGGTAGTTAGTGCACGTATGGCTGTGAAACCAATGATGGAGTGAGCGTTACCTCAAAGTCCAGTGATTCGAGCACCTTGGCTGCTTCAGCTGCTTGAACCTTCTTATGAAAGCACGACAATTCAGCCATGAGCTTGATCATCATCAGTTTAATATCATTGATCTAGAACATAGAGCCGCAGCAGATCACTTAGTCCTCAGGCGTTAAATGAGAGTTCTGCAACTCACAGTAGCAAATTCCTCTAAGCTGTTTTCAGGTAACCCTTTGCTCCTGCAGACTTCGGCAGCATATGTCTTCAATCTCTTGACTTCTTGCTGCTCGGTTTCCAATGAGTTTGTGCGCGGTCGTATGAGGCTACCTTGGCATGGTGACAATGGTGATGACGGGGGCAACTGGTTGCGCCGTGTAGGTGTAGTAGCAGCTCCTCCATGAAACGTAGGACTCATGAGAGTCACAGAGGGTGATGGCTGAGTAGTGGTAGTTTGTCGCCTGAATCGTGCTAGATACGACATCACTCCTCGTCAAAACTGCCAGAACCACTTGGACGACAGGAATAGAAGTGGTCAGCCTGAGCGAGAACAGGGATGGATACATACATTTAACTAGACCCAGAATTTACGCAGCACAATGGCATGCCCCATGCATGCATGCAAATTACACAGCTCACAGCCCAATGCAATGCGTTGAATGTGTCCGTTGAATTACGTTTCAAATCGCGAAGACGTCAAAGTGGTTGCTTGAAGGGCGTGTGACAAACATGTTCACAGCTCTCGCAGTTGAATCATATACAAACCACCATACAAAATGTCAGCAACGGTGTACATTGACGCCATCCAAAAAGATGATGGTGTTGGACTGAAACCTCTTGCATTATCTGTTCTTTTCCATGGAAGTGTACCACATGTATTTCAAACAGCAACCCGGATCGTAAGTGGCTGCATTGCTATTATTGTTTTCTTGGAACTCAAAATAGCTTATAGCCGCTGGAAATCACTATTAACGTTCCCTCTGAATTTGCTGGCTATGTGGTGCCGATTCTTGATGCTGCTCCTTTGATGATATCTAGCCTACAACCAAGGCTGCGAACGGTGCGTCTACTAATTCCATTAATTCCAGTACACCCTACTCACACACTGTATTCTCTAGCCGTCCTTCTTCCCTCTTCCGTCAGACTTCGATCCTTTCACTGCAAGGTGTTGGGTCACACTCTTATATAAGCTCGAATCTTGGCTGGTTCACGTTGTTGTCGACACACGCACACCCGAATGGACATGGGGTCGTGACGCATTCTGGATGGCATTTCTTGCAGCTTATCCTGACTTCCCTCACGGCTCTTGGCCCCTTTGGAATTCAAGAATCAGTCTGGAAGGAGCGTTTATTGAGTCGTGGACACTCACTGAGGATCCAGAGGATTCACCTGCGTTGATCACAGACCATGATACTATCAGAGCTGGTATATGGACCGAGTTTCAAAGACTAGCCGCTGAATGTTTTCCGTACTCACTTGTAGCTGAGCTTTGATTTTCGAGAGCTACATATTTTTTGTCCTCGTATATAGTGTATATATATATCAGATACCCGTTCTTACTGTCAAGCTTGTTGAATGCATAGAATCGAATTATGACGTCTACAAGAATAATATAGACGAGCAAGTTCAAGCAGGCCGAGTCATTACATCACGCTTAGGGACAACGTCTACAAGAATAATATAGACGAGCAAGTTCAAGCAGGCCGAGTCATTACATCACGCTTAGGGACAACATTTACAAGAAACGGCAAACGGATATCTTTGTCATTGAGCAGCTATAGTAGATTTTAACTCATGTATAGTAAACCAATGCTCGACCTAAACAATATATGTGACAAACATCTAGGCAAACACCGCACAAATGTCTAGATCGCTGTGTGTGACCTATGCTCCTAGCGCGGTGTTCTACAGTGGCCGCTTGGACCCAAGCTCGGATATATTCCAAACATCTGGCAGACGTTTGACTAAACATCTCATGGACAACCGGTGGCAGACATACCACATTCAAACCAAGCTAACATATCACACGTGTCTGCCCGGTGTCGCCCCGGAGGTCTCTCACAGGTCGTAATAATATTTGTATCAAATGTTCTTATTAGGTTACGGCCGTTTGGCGGTGTACACATAGCTTGTAGCCGCAGGTGTTTAAGCAATTTCCATTATTGGCGCAAAGCAAGGGACAATTATCGGCGCCTGCCGGGTTCTGAGCGGGCATGGCAGAAATCGATGTAATGACTGCGAGGACAATTGCAGAGGAGAAACGCATTGTTTGTGACTGGTGTGATACGGGACCACATCATTCTGAAGATGGATGCTTAGCTTTTATGTGCTGTTCGTCGAAATTCTTGCGTACATGGTTGTGCATGCATACCTGTAATACTAGTATGCCAGCACATCTTGCCAGCTAACTTGAGAGTACTAATTTGTTGACTCGCGATACCAAATTTAGCTAAAGGTGAGTATATGCACACAGTACTGCTTCCATTCCAACGCCTCACTGCTAGTGCTGCCGCGGTCCGGTCCAGAACCACGGTTCGAACCGGACTTTTGGTCCGGTTCTCTGTGGTTCGGTCCATGGTTCCCTCACCAGCCAGAACCGGACCGGAAAGCGGTTCTGGGTTCTGGACCTTCACTAGTGGTCCGGTTCTGGTTCGACTTTCCCGAACCTTCCCGAACCGTTCCTTGACCTTCGAATTCCCTCGACTTCGACACCAACCATGACGACGTCGGTGTCCATGTCGACATCAAAACACCGTCTTCGAGATTTGCATTATTTGTTAATCAGGCTACTGTTAGCCTTTTTGAAGGTAAGTACTAATCAATTTATTCTCAAGACTCTGACATATGTTTACCTATATCACAGATATCTACTTGTTCTAGTCTATATGCTTCCTGGATAGTCATGATCCTCCACCGGTTCTCAACTCTAACAGATCTCCTTGGATATTGTCGCTCTGTGGTGTTAGGCTATGTGCCATGCATAAAACGGGGTGCCGACCAAAAAACTGTGAGTTATTTGCCTGACAATGTCTGAAGACTGCTGTGCTCTGAACAAAGGTCGCAAATGGGAGGGCTCGTCTTGAGGCAGTGGTGAGTACTATTCAAACTTAAGTACCCTACCGGTCTCTAACTCCAGATGTATTCTTAGTTTGACAAATATTATCAAGCGCCTCCAGCCCCAGGACCACATCCCAAGGAGCCAGAGGCCACATCATCAACAACGAAAGCTTCGATTCGTTATGGTGCTTCCTGGATGTGCGACGCTATCATGGAACGTCAAGCTACAGACCATCGCACGCGCGATCCTCATCAAGAGCTCTCTGCATACCTTACTTCACCATTGGAGGAGACTGATGATGTTGTGGCATGGTGGGGTGTAAGTCAGCCCTCAAATTCATTGTTCCCCGCTTACATTCTTGATTAGTTACATTCGCTGCAGCACCCAACACTAGCTCGTGTTGCGCGTGATTACCTGCCCATTCAAGGCAGTTCCGTTCCCTCTGAACACGCTTTCTCCAGCGCAGGCATCACATCAACTCTGCGCCGCAACGCACTCGCATCATCCACTTTCTCCGCGCTACAATTGATGAAGGCAGCCTATAAGAATGGACATGTGTCAGCAGCAGTAGAGGCAGAAGGGTATGCAGTTGGTATGCAGTTAGACTAGCTACCCAATGTCATGTAGATGTCTTGTGAATGTTTTTTCCGTTGCTTGAAAAATTTTCGGTTCGGTTCGTGTTCGGACCAGACAAGAACCGGACCGGACCATTGAGAACCGTTCTCAATGGTCTGGTTCTGGGTTCGACAATTTTAAAGAACCGAACCATGGTTCGGTTCTTGGTTCTCGTCAAGGACCCTCTGAACCGGACCGAACCGGACCACGGCAGCACTACTCACTGCTGTTACGCACTCAAATAGATCTGTTAGGCGGAGCCCTAAGAGGGGCGTCGTCCGCTAACGTTCCTGACGTAACCGGAAGGATCCAGTATAGCAAGTGAGACTGGCGACGACGAGTCGGCAGCGATCACAGTACGCGCGTGTCACGTGACTTGGTAGACGGATGTCTAAGAAGTCACTCAAGGTCAGGACTGTCTTGTCCAGACGATGAGGTCGATCGAGGTAGACTTAGTCGCGAAGAGCGACTAAGAAAAGATACTAGAGACTGAAGCTGAGGGGGCTTCAGAGGGAAGTATGTTCCAGGGAAGATTGAGTAGATTCAAGTTAGGGAATCTAGTACAGTGTGACCGACTACTTATACTAAGTGGAGAGGGTTAAGGGCAAGGCTACCGCACAGTAGGTAAGGGTAAAGGGGAAGCGAGAATGGTATAGGTGCGCTGGCATCAGAGCCGGATTAGTGGTGGATGGTCGAATGTGGAATGAGACCGAGAAATGTTGGAACGGACCAACGGTAAGAATACAACGTGCGGGAATCCGCAGTCAGGGGAAACAGAAAGAGGAAAGCCACATTGGTGGCACGAGTCAGACCGAGTCATAGGTGCGGGACCACATTGGTGGTCGAATCAAAGGAGGAACGTGCGTGCACGTGCATAGAGGCGGGCGATGCGAGGGACGGGAACGGTCCCGAGGATCCGGTCAACGGAAAGGCGGTAAAGGAGGACGAGCCGGTAGATGGTGAGGGCGAGGATGAAGGGAAAATGATAGGGGGGCCACGTGACTGATGTTACTTGTAACAACTGCAGCCTCAGCATCACCAAAAGTCCCAAATCTAGATATGGCAAGCGCTTGCCATATCATACCACAACACCGGGGAACAGATCCATCAGACAGGCCAGGTACTACCAGATCAAATTTGTCCAGATAATGTCTGCTCCTAAAACTGACTTTGTGCTCACTGGCTATCATCCTGCTGAGTTTTCTGCTACACGCTGGCTATATCTAAGTCATGCTAACCTTCTGTTATCTAGATGTTGTAAAACCCATAAACTGGTTTGATGCTCAATGTCGCATCGTCTGCTGGCTGCGTCTAAGTCATGCCAAACTAGATATTGCAAGACTGACTTCCATTGTCTAGGTATTGTACGAACAAGAAATGCTCAGCTGCTGAATGATCGCCTATATGCTAGTTCCTGCTCACACCTTATCAGATCTGTCATACAATAAAAGCACATATCATTCTGTTCGTAGTACAGTAGTAGTTGAACATGTAAAAACACTCATAACTAGGGAAGTAGTACAACTGAGGGTCGCGGAAAGCAAGCAGGATTAAATATTGAAGATGCTGGGCAAATATGAGACACTTGAGTGATAGTAATGATGTGCACAGTGCAACGAATGAGAGGAGGGCATAATCATGTCAAAACTGCATTGTTGGTTCAGACGCTGAGTCACTAGGCACAATAAGAGTAAGAGCCAACCTGAAAATACACATCACTTTCTGCCCTTGCGTGTCTTCTTTGAGGTCGTGGTAGTCTTGTGAGCCTTCCTAGCACGCTTTGATGGAGCAGGCATGTCACTCTCATCTTCAGTGAGAGGATCATCGTCTTTGAATTCCCCCAACATTCGTTTTAGAGACTCTATTTCTGGGTCGATGGAATGAGGTGTCGCAGATGAAGATGTGAGGGGCGGAATTAGTGGGTCAGCAGCCTCAGATTGTCGCATAGAAGGAGTCGGGGGCGTGGCAGTGTCTTCAGCAGCAGCTGGGGTGGCAGCTGCATTCTCAGGCAATTGTGTCTGAGTGTTACAGGCAGTGAGTGTTGGAGAATGATATGGAGTAAATTCGAACCTTCTGATGCGCAGCCACCACACGCATTTCGTGCTGTCTCTGCATGACAACAAGGTCATCATCTTCGTCATCCTCAGTCAAATCAATCATGACAAGGCCATGCTTGTTACCAAATACCATTCTTTACAAAATTAGTGCAGTGCCAAGGTAAGAGCAAAAATGGTACTCAACCGGTTCCACCACTGAAGCAGCGACTCTGCCCATGTTTGATCAGGTGCCTCTCTGATTGCCTTGATGAAGCGGGTGTATGCTTCATTGTACTTATAGCAACCATCAGTTTCATGCCACTTGTCGTGTGTGGCAATACTGAATCGGCTCTATGACATTTGTTAGATAGTCATTGAAATCTATTAGAGCACATACCTGGATGAATGCATAGGCAATATGTTCAGGCTCGACCTTTTCCATACCATGTAACTTGGCATTACATCCACGACTCAGAATAATCTCTCCATCCGCAACGAGCGCAGATGATGGAGACGTAAATATGTGACGAAAAACCTAAATACTACATGAGATGTTGTTGATAAGGTGATAGTAAGCTTACCTGTTTCAAATAATAGCCCTTCGAAAATCCCTCCTGAACATTGTCTGGGTCGAAGTCTTTTCCTGGCGGAGTACCTTCATATATAAATGCAGGCCATGCAGCGGAGTGGATCCTGATAACCCCATTCTGAAGTTCGGCTTGTACCCTGAAAGTTGCCAATAAGATGATTCACAATCATAGATTTCATACGTACTTTTTAGGGTCCTCATGATATGCTTTTGCATGCTTGATGGGGCACAGCATTGCAGCGAGTTGAGGGTGGTTCACACCAAGCAATGCACGGGATTTGTTGTCAGCGTAAATCGGAGGTTCTAGCCCCTTGTCTGAAGGGTCTGGGGCTGCATACTGCGCTACACAGTTCTTAAGGTGGCTAGCGTCGTCAGAGCATGCCTGACCCATAATGACTTGCATCTTCTTAGGTTTAGAGATAAGATCATCAAGCGTACATCACCAGAGGCTTACCTCAGTAAGGATAGCATGCAGCTCTGTCTGTTGTTTGAGGTTTCCGTGTGCAAGTTTGCGCAAGTATGGGGCTCCAAGTAAGATCTTTGAGTAATTTCTCATGTGTCGTTCTTGGGCATCTTTACCCCTGTAAACATGGTAGTCAGGAGGTGAAAATAATGGAATGTCTGAAGTCATACACATAAGACAGGACTTGGTCTCGCTGCGCCTTGACATCTTCATCTTCCGAGTGACCTGATACCTTAGAAGCCTCTTCCTCTTCCATTAGCATCGCAATACGGAATGTATCAGTTAAGCTACAAAACATATCAATGGCACGAGGGATCCAGCGTGCAAAGTGCAAGCACTGTTCCCTCGCGGTGATGCTGCCTTTCCTATTGGTAAAAAGGTGACACAGTGCCTTTTGCATATTATCAAGTCAACTTACCTTTGGTTATTTACTGTGCTGCGAGTATAATAGATTAGCTCAGTTAGTATACCAGGTTATCATGCACCACTTACTTGTTATGCTTCGCTTTGAACTTGGCCTTGGGATCTTGTGTTGGTGGTGATGAGGCACCCAAGCTGGAGGCCAACTCAGACTCGGAGTCACTGTCCAATTCGGATGGTGTCAGTAAGCGAGTGGCTGCACTGGAAGATTTGTGAGCAGACATAAGAGAAAATGTGGGGATACACTTGAATCAAACGCTCACTGACCATCACACTAGTACTAGTAGCATTATCATAGTTGCGGTACCATCAGGTACAGTCATGCACTTAACCAATTTCGTCCCAGGTAAGGTCGCTGCTCCTGAAACTGGGATGTTTTTCAGGGAAGGGAGGTGGAGTGCTAATCCGGATCATTACCTTACGATAAAAAGTGGGGAGTGACCAGACGCTAGTTATTAAGCAATGAATCAATAAATCCATATGGATATAATCCAGCTCACCATGCTCTGTGTACTTTGGGATCCGAGAGAGTGACACATTACATACAATGCAGGGTCAATAAGGATCCAAAAGAATTTCTGAAATGGAGCACAAGTCAGGCTAAGTCCCTGATAATTTAAAAGCCTTACGCTTGACGGAGTAACTTGAAGCAAGAAACATGTCGTCCGACAGTGACACCCTTAGCCACGACTCCCGCCCCAGCAACTTCAATGATGGGGCTGAGGCGATCCTGGCAAATGCCATCTTGTTTGAGAACCGTTCAAACAGGTCTACTCCAGAAAGTCATTGGGGATGCACTAGGTGTCCTGGCCATGGGCAAAGCGCCCCCGTATATTCCTGTGGATGCTATAAGCATAATGTGGCACTACTCAGAGAGTTCGAACTTGAAGACTGGCCTCCTGATGAGCAGGTGTTTCAACTTGTAGATGAAGGAGCTGAACAACATGAACCGCTGGAGCCAGTATGTATCTGTGGATTATAGTTAGCCGTTTTGACAACTCTGATTTCAGCGGTTAGAAGTTCCAAGTCGAGATGGTGGTCTTGAAGACGCTGATGAATCTCATAGAAAGCGAAAAAGGTCTGAAGATGACAGCGTGAGTGTGCTGGCTCAATTTTTCGGCTGATGTACTCACAACTTCATATAGACTCCACGCAACTTAGGCCATGACATTACTAACATACGAGCAACATCAGTACCTATCATTGAACTTCCATCTGAGAAACACAGGAAGATCGGAAGAAATTTTGAGTTATCTGAAGGCGGATTGCTGGCAAAGGTCATGCAGGAAGTCGTGGGAGTGCATGAGGCTATGAGTAGGATTGAAGCAATCATCAATGGGAAAAACTAAGTTCTCCATGAAATCTGTAACACTATTGAATTGTTGTATATAGACTCACCATACTAGTGTAACAACAATCAGTATTTCAATGAAGGTGCATGCTGTTGGGCTGATAACGATGGGTAATGTCGAAGGTACAATCCTTTTGAGGCCTGGCCAGGTGGATGAGTGTGACAGAAACTAGGGAATGATACGGGTGTACCCGTGGGTGTTGCAAGCATCACCCGCACCCGCACACACAGGTATACCCACACCCCCATGGCGGGTGCGGGTCTCATGGTGGGTTGGTGGGTAGTATAGTGGCGGGTGTGGCACAACAGTGCCTGCATCGACTGTGTGGACAGATGAGTCCATGCTGCTGCGCCGCGAAGACGAAGAAGTACCTGTGCTTGTCGCACCAGAACCCGTTCTGAAACTGTCTCCTCCATAATGGAAGGAGTGCCATGTTACAGTAACATGGCACGAGTCCCCCGCCAGCAGACAGCCCTCTGCCACCGCACGGCTATAGACGATACCAGAGCCTCACCAGCTCTATAGACGACAGATGATGAGAGATGATAGACGATAAGCGGCAACTGCCGGCTTAGATAAGCGGTCTGGACCGCACGTGACATGACATGACGACATAGGTCTAGAAGACCTATTTATGTTATCAAGATAGAAGGCAAGCCTCGTGTTGCCTCATGTACTGATAGAAGGATACCACGTGGATCCTATCTCTGATGGAAGCGTACCGCATGGACGCTATCTCTGACTCATGTAGATAAGCATATTAGAACCCAGCTTTAGGCTGAGCTTAGATACGATAGAGTAGCCTTATATAAGGTCGAAGATTACAAGTAGACGTTCCTTACTTTAATCTTACTAGGTACACCCCAGAAGCTAGTCTAATCAACTAGGTTTACCCTTGAACTCCTTGTCCCGCTAAAGCTACCTGCTCGACATCGACTCGTACCTTCAGTGACGCCTCTCACTGTCTGTAAACCCGCTATCATCTCGGCGTAACCCCTCGTTAACCACCACAAGCTACGTTCGAGTACGCAACCTTTGCTTGTCTGTAAAGGCCGACGACTCTCAGCACTCGGTACCACTGTCGTGGTTGTCGCTGTTAGATTATCCTAGTCGCACACGACTGTTTGTCATAACATGCCAGGCATGTTAGATGCGCTTGGGGGCTCGGTGAGGGAGGAGCGCTGCGCACGAGCATTGTGTCGAGAGCACTTCCAAATAATATTGGATTTCATACTAATGGGACGAGCAGAGCCGTGAAGCTTATAGTAGAGGCCGCATCTGTATGTATATAAGAGATTGGTACAGATATAGAAGGAAAAACAAATGAGAACTTACGTGTTGCAAACGGTCTTGCCTTCATCGTCCTTCCTCCACAAAGGAGTTGCAACCAGGACTCACCACCTCCACGACTCGGACCAGTGTCGCAGAAGAAGAAGAATGCGGTGGCGCTGCAGCCGAGGACAGCGTGGACAATGCAGAAGCCAAAGATGACGCACCACTCGCGTCGTCCTTCTCCATGACTAGCACGCATGGACTTTGGACACGGACATTTATGCTACCAAAGAGAAGAGAAACAAGACGTCCGCTCAGCAAAGTCCATACAACGTATATAGATGAAATAATACTCACCAATTTACAATAGAGACCGCAAGTGTGATGAGTTATGACACGAGTGACTATCCACTATAAGGGTACGGGTATGGGTATGGGTGTCCAAAGGTCATACCCCCACCCCTACCCACGAGGTACCCTTACCCGCGACCCGTGCGGGTGGCCAGTACCCCTGTCATTGCCTAACAGAAACGCTCTTGAAGAAGTTCTTCAACTGCCTGAACTGCAGCGAATCTGGGCAGAGGTCCAGTGCATGAGCATCATTCTGCTTGAGAACAGCAAGAGCGGCGGTCTGAAAGCTACCCTGCTTGAACCTGAGATTTTCATGAGTGTTAATGTGTAGTGATCATTGAGACAGGCTTGAGCTGCCTTACCGTGACATAACCACTGTCGACACATCAATGTTCTTTCCACTAGTAGGGTGAACACTCCTATTGTATGTTGGTCAAATGTGTGTCGCTACAGAGATCCTGAGCTTACTGGAAGTATCCGCGCCACAGTTCTAAACCTCCAACCAGGGTCTGTATTCTGGTGTCTAACCTCTTACAGGTTCTTGAAGGTAAGGGGCACCTGTAATGATCTTCTTGAACATCCGGAGCATCTGGTCCTGCGTGTCTTTGGATCTAGTCACTGTTAGCAGTAATAAAGTCACGAAACGCAAAAAATATCACGCACATGTTAGCTAAGAGAGATGCAGAACATGTCAGGATCCACCAAGCAAAGTGGAGACATTGGTCCCGCGGTGTTAAAGCACCTCTTCAGGTGTCTGAGTCTCATTAGAATAAATGTCTAGAGTATTAAAGAAACTTACTTTTCCTTGTCATTATCCTTTCTAACATGATGGTTAAAAGTTACAACGTTAAATGTTAACATTAAGCAATGAATGACCATCTAATCATTATTTCTACAAGGACACGCCTTCGGTCATCTGTTTTCCAATCAACTGGTGTCTACAGTAGCAAGTCACTGAATACTTAATGTTTGCAGTCTTGTCCTTCGTTCATCTCCGCAAATAGACACAGCATATCTCTTCACAGTTCTGACCCTCGACAACGCTGTGTACAATTGACTGTGAGTAAACGGATCCTTTCGCAGGTCAAGCTTCAAAGACAGTCTGCGCTAACGCCAAACCCTGACAACCATTGAGTGTACATAGTTGCACACGCAGGTGGGCCAGCGACGATATTGAGCAGAGTATCCAAGAACGCGAAGAATTCATCGCACGGGACTGGGACACGCGATTCTCGGTGAAAAGATGCCTGAAAAATAATGATCTAGAATGGAGGGTATCGAGGGAATGCAGTAATCAGTACTGTCCATTTCGCACGGAAGTAGTCAAGGAGAACGCACCGGTGCCTCCACACAAGATGCCGAGCACATTAAAAGAAATTAAGGAGCAAGAGGGCATAATCTGCAAACACAAACCTGGTCAGTAATAATCACAAATCAAAGCCTCGACACTGAAGCTGAGGAAAAATAAGGCTTACAAGGAAATATACTTCGGACTGCTATACGCCACTAACGATTCAGAGCCAAGGGAGGTGAAAATCCCATTGAAGGACGGTGTCACATGCTGAAAGGATTGGGTGGATGTAGACGTCAATCATTGGGTCAATCAAAGAGGACAACACACCTTTGCGATGCTCGCAAGCAAATGGCAGAAGACAGCAACTGGCATACCAAACTCATCAACAGCACTGGCCTACGCGTACAAGATTTTTATCGAGTGTGCGAGCTCGAATGCACCTTCCAACCTATTACTGGAAATGATCAATCCTACAGAGAATAATGAGGTTCAGCATGAAGGGAATGTACTGGTGATGAAAATGAGACAAAATAATGAAAAGGGAGTGATAAACATGACGGAATGGGACAGAGTTCACGACATTCCTGTTGAAGGCGTAAGTCGACAGGTGCACGAAGAAATGCAGAGACTGACGGCCCAAAATGGCCGCATACTCGAAAGCACGTGCAACACCTGCCACACAAATCAAAATCAGCAAGATAGAAAGTGAGCGAAGGAAGAAAGTTGACAGACACAGCAAGAACGAGGGCACGGGTGGCAGGGAAGGACAAACAGGCATGGACATACAAGCGCCTGCCTGAGGCAGGCACATGTAGAACCACAGCTGCCTCCGCCTGAGGCAGAAGTTGTCAGCTGTGGGTAGAGAGAGGAGGGATATGGCATAACGGCCTTGGAGACGCTGAGACACGATCAGCGGGAGAACATAAGAAGTTTTTGCGAACTACAGAGACAAAGGGAACATGAGGCATTCTAGAACAACATAGGCTCAAACAATGGAAAGGTGCTTGATTTGCTCCTTTACCGGAATTTGCCGGCGGACTTGTAAAAAGTCACATGCAAAATGTTGGACTTCGTCAGAAACTCCATCCTCGACATGTGCAATTCTTTCTTGGCGGCGGCGCGGCCTCCTCCTGCTTGCGCGTCTCTTCGGCTTTTGCAGCCTCTTCCATCTCTCTCCGAGTATGCAGGAGCTCGTCTTCGAGCTGTTTCCTGTGGGCTGAGGGACGGAGCAAGGCACTGAACATTGTAATATCGGTGAGCGTCCTTTCTTTTCGGTTTGCTTAAACTCCCCTCCCTATGAAGCCCGGTATGGCCCGTCCCCGCCCCGAGGCTGAGTGGTGGAACACCACTTCCCCTTCCACGTATTTTGACCGTTTTTTTTTGCTCACTCTCTATCTAGATTACGTCCTGACCAGCGACTGCTGCTACCCAAGGTCGCGAGGTGAGATCGTCCCTTCAATTCATCTGCATCATCAACACTAATGTTGTCTTCTCTCTCAGTGTCATTTCAGCGCCGAGAACTGTGCTCCGTTCAAATCCGGGCCGGATTCGCACCATACATTCAAGCCTTCCTGCCATTCCTGTATCCCGCCCTCAAAGCACACGAAGATACCCAATTGTGCATGGTCGCCATTGGCATTAGTTCTCACCCCTCTTGTCAACCAGGCGCTTCTCCCGTCCCATCAACAACCCCACTCATCACCATAAACGTTTGGTCCTCTGTCCGAGCGAGCGCATGCAGATATTCGCAATGTGGGGGGTGTTTCACGCATGGTACGTCTTTATTCCTTTTTCAAACACTGTTTCATTAATCCATCTCCACCATTTAGAGTGACCCCGCCATGATCAAGTCCATTGTTGATATGGTATTGTAACACCGCGTACGCGCCAATTCCTGACGATGCCAGACACCATCACGTGTTGTTTTGGTTTGACTTCTCTTCCCTTTTGCCCTCGATTGCGGCCTCAATGTTTCCTTCGTACATACCTATTCTGCTTTCATTTCGGTTTTGAATCTCTCTCGCCTTCAATGGTGTTTGGTCCTTCCTGGATGAAACTACTCAGACCTTCGGGCGTCCTGACTGTGGACGGCTTGCCGATCAGAGGCTGACCGCAGCCTGGCAAGTCCTGTAGTGGTTACCTCAGGTACTCAGACTGGCGCTATGGATGTGGAGCGTGCATGTTCACCTTTTGTTTCGATCTTGAGTGTCTCTCGTGTTCAATGGCGCTTGGTATTCCCTGGATGAAACTACTCAGACCTTCGGGCGTCCTGACCGTGGACGGCTTGCTGATCAAAGGCTGACCGCAGCCTGGCAAGTCCTGTAGTGGCTACCTCAGGTACTCAGACTATTGCTACGGATGCGGAGCACGCATTGCGCGTGGCATATGTTTCACTCCAACTATTATTACTGCGCATCACCGCTCACCTTGCTCCTCGAATTTAATGTCTCTCATATCGAACGTCGCTTTGTCTCACCTGGTCCAAACTACTCAGACCTTCGGGCATCCTGACCGTGGATGACTTGTCGATCAAAGGCTGACCGCAGTCTGGCAAGTCCAGTGGTGGCTGCATCAGGTCCCCAGACTAGCACTACAGATGTGATCAAGTCCATCGTTGATACGGTAACTATTCCTGTCATGTCAAAAGTTTGCATCGGTCGCTTTGTAGAAGCACAGGTCAGTCCCTATTTTCATCTTGATCCCAACTCGCCTACTTACACTCCTTGGCACTGCCATTCTAGATCCTACAAGCCATCGGCATAGATTGTATTGATGTGTCCTGAAGTTCAGGTTGAGAGCGAAGTGCTAAATATTATTTGTCTTGGCTGATGCTTCCATATAATATCTATATTTAATATTAATATCATCCGCTTTGATCCGACCCAGACTGACATTGAACCTTATCCAATAGTTCCGAGTCCGAAGTTCGTCAGCTGCTGTCCGAGTCGCATCACTCCGAGTCTGAGCCCTTCAACTCTTCGATCAAGATGGAGCAGCCCTGCCTTGCCTGTGGTAAGACCTTTCATACACAAAGATCACTCTCTGGGCATCGTTCCCGCTGCTTGCAGAACAAAGCTCTGAAGCTCTCGGACATTTTACACCATGCCATCAAACGGCACAAGTCTAACGATGGAAGGAGGTCGAAATGGCCTCGGATTGAACAGGAGCAGGTGATGCAGGAAGCGAGGGATGATGAAGCAAGGGCAATGGATAATGGCGAGATAGATGTGGATGATGATACAGCTGCAGTAAATCAGGTATGTTTTGTCTGGATGGTTAGAGCCAAATCTTACAGTGCACTTACCGATTTCAGAATATCGGTGGTCCATCAAACGTACCTCCAGCCCCTACGATCACATCAAAACGTTCTGGACGCACTATTCGCATGCCACGTTGATTTGTCGACTATCTTCCAGGCACACGTACACACCTTGCACACATGCCTTCAATTGTTCAGCAGCGACATGCAGGCATTTCGAGTAACTGAGAATGAAGCCCCCCAAAGCCACAGTGCTTCGTCACCCCAGCCCTCACCACCACCCTTTGATCTACCTGATCCTCCCCAGCTCATACCCTTCCAAACACAACCGGATATGTTTGGTCTGTACAGCGTATATCCAATGTGTCCCACTATGGCCCCAGAAGCTAACTGCACACTAGAGGGTGTCACAGATGCTCCAACCCTGGAGGGTGTATGCGCTACCCCTCACAGAGTGCACCCTGGAGTCTCCTCCCCTGAAATCAGTGATGATGATCTGTTCGGAGCATTCACAAATTCGTCATCAGCCCTCCTGATGGCCTGGCACTATTCTGGCAGTAATGCGAAATCAGCGACCGAACTCAATCACCTTGCTGAGTTCCTTCGTGATCCCAGTTTTAAGCAGGCTGACTTAGTTGGTTTCAATCACGCGCGCGAGAGCAAACGGCTAGATGAATTACCTTGATGGTAAATCCAACCCCTTCCACGAACATTATGGCTGGCAAAGGTCTACTGTCAAGATCCGCTTACCCAATGAGAAGGCTAAGTTCCCATCAGAGACCGATGCTCCTGAGCTCGCAATCCCTGGCGTTTACCACCGTTCTCTAGTTGATATCATCACACAGCGTGTTCGAGGATGATGTGTCACTGCATTTCAACATGACTCCATTCCGCCAGTACTGGAATACCCCAGATAATCGAACACTGGAAATTTTCTCTGAATCCTATGCCTCCCCAGAAATGGTGAACGCTTACAAAGAACTGAACACTCTTCCCCAAGATCCTAATGACAAACTCGAGCGTGTCATTGCCTCACTAATGGTCTGGTCAGACGCCACTCACTTAGCAAGCTTTGGAGACGCATCCCTCTGGCCACTTTACTTATTCTTCGGTAATCAGTCCAAATATACACGAGGAAAGCCTACAGCTCGTGCATGTCACCACTTGGCTTATATTCCCAATGTATGTATACATCTCTTTATGAACGTATTTTACTGAACCTACCTGCAGCTGCCACATAATTTACAAGACATTTATGTGGATATATTTGGTGAACCAGCGTCAAGTAGCACGTTCACGCACCTCAAACGCGAGTTGGTTCACACAATTTGGGAGTTAATTCTTGATGGAAAGTTTGTGGAAGCATATGAGCACGGTATTGTTATTCACTGTAGTGATGGGATTACACGAAGGGTATTCCCTCGGTTTTTCTCGTACTCTGCAGATTATCCGGAAAAGTAAGTCCTACCTGACATTACTTGGCTGATATTGATGTGTTACTCGAGGGTACTGCTCACTAGTATCAAATTTTTAGGGCAGCGTCCATGCCCTTCGCTGTCTTGTTAAGAAGACCGACATTCATATGATGGGAATGGTACTAGACATGAGGCGCCAGGGTTGCACAGGAGCGCACTGATAGCCTACGACAACGACAACGAGTGGAAGAGGCTCGAAAATTGATCTTCAAACTTGGAGCTCCAGTGGACGGCAGTCGTGTTAAGGCGATTCTTAATGAAGAATCATATGTGCCAATTCGTGTAAGTGCTACTATATGCCTATTAATGTTCACACTGACTGATAATTATCATTAGAACACATTTTCTGCACGACTAGCAGACCATGGCATTGACATGTTTTCACTGTTTGTGGTTGACCAACTGCATGAGTTCAAGATCGGTGCTTGGAAAGCACTTTTCACGCACCTGATGTGAATCTTGCATGCAGCTGGAGGAACAGCAGTGCAGAAGCTAAATGAACGGTAAGTTGTTTTTTAATGTGGTGCATTGGTGTGTTGGTGCCGAGGCACTAGCCCACTTGCAGATTCTGTATGCTAATATCCTTTCTAGATACAGAGGAGTCCCTACATTTGGTAGAGGAACAATTCGTCGCTTTCACCATAACGCTTCAGCCATGAAAAAATTGGCCACTCGAGACTTCGAGGATCTTCTGCAGGTCAGTAGCCATACCATTGATATCGTGTATCATCTGAATTTTCTGTCAGTGTGCTATGGCTGTATTCGAAAATCTATTGCCTGAGCCTCACAATACCATAATCCTTGACCTTCTCTTTGACCTAGCGTCATGGCACACATATGCGAAGCTTCAGATGCATACCACCGACACACTGGATTTTTTTGATATTGCCACCGTCATACTTGGTCAATCAGTTCGCAAGTTCTACAAGACTACGTGCAATTACTACTACACAACTGAACTTCCTGACAAGTATGCAGCATGAAGTCGTCGAGAGGCTGCATTAGCTGCAAAACAAAATGTAATGACCACCGCTCCAGGGAAGAGAAAGGCTGGACCAAAGTACAAGTCCCTCAATATCTCAACATATAAATTTCATGCGCTGGGAGATTATGCTAACACGATTAGGCAAAGGGGCACGATGGACAATTATACTACACAGCCAGTATGTTTCACATTGATTATCATGCCAGTAGTATTATTCTCTTATATTACTGCTTAGGGCGAACTCGAACATCGACACGTCAAGCGATGGTACCCAAGGACATCAAAGAACAAGAAGACTATGGTTGCAACAATGACACACCTGGAAGCTCGTGAACGACTCGTTGCAAAGGTGCTAAATCAATGTCAGAAGACCCTGGCATCTGTAACACAGCAAGAAGTGCGCAAACACACATCACCCTCAGCACACTATCACATATCAAAGTATCCCAAATGCTCACATGATATGTTCGCATGGATTGGTGAGCATGATGACCCGGCGATCAAGGTGAGTACCCAAAGTATTTTCACACCCCCTACTAACTTCATGGCCACGTAGGACTTCATTCCACGCCTTAAGGATCACTTACTGGCACGACTCTGTGGCATAGATTACTCTGGTGATGAGCACAATTTCTCTGACGAGGACAGGAATCAGGTGATCATTGTTAACAACCAACTCCGCGAGCACAGCGTACTACGGATCAACTATACAACTTATGATATGCGAAGAGAGCAAGACTCAATCAATCCTCGAACACACGCAGATGTCCTGATGCTCTCACATGAAAATGACGACGACCGACACCCTTATTGGTATGCCCGTGTCATCAAGATTTTTGATCTTGATGTCTGGTATCGTGCTCAGGGTGCCACCAGCGCATGGGCCCCAACTCGTATGAATGTGCTTTTTGTTCGTTGGTTTGGGCGTGACATTGAATACAAAGCTGGGTGGTCAGCCAAACGACTCTACCGCATTGGATTTTTCAAGCATGATGACCCTGAAGGCTTCGGTTTTGTAGACCCCGACCAAGTAATTCGGGGTGTACATCTGATTCCTGGATTTGAACACGGACACACTGACACTCAGCTTGGGCCTTCGTTTGGATGTGCTACGGACGATGACAATACAGACTTCAAGTATTTCTATGTGAATCAGTATGTGTTCTCTATGTATTGATATCACTCTGCTAATATGTCTACCCAGTTTTGTCGATCATGATATGTTCATGTGCTTCCGAGGAGGTGGTGTTGGTCACAAAGTAACACGAGAGTGGGATGAGTTTTTGCGGAATGATGGTGCTGTGCCATCACATGAGGAAGAAGACATTCAGCTTAACTCGGAAGAGTCTGACATGGAGGATGAAGCTGTGGACGATGATGACAGTGATGGGAGTGCACCTGAAGACCTGGGCAATGATGAGGAGAATGAAGTTTGGGTTGACAAGGAGCTAGATGATGATTTTCTTGTATGTGAGGGATATGGCGCCTTATAAACTGGTGAAGATTATATCTGCTTTTCCTGTGTATCAACCCTCAACTTTCGTACCTGCATTCACAGAGTTGCTCCCATCTATACTGGTGAACTTGCTCACACCAACTTTGCTTCTCCGCACTCAAGCTTGTCATCAGGCACTCAGAGGTTTTGTCCTGGCTTCTGCCATCGAGTCTATCCCACAATTGTCATTGCACATCCATATCTCCAAAGTAGCAACTGTTTTCCTTACAACAACTCAACAATCCCCCTCTCTATGTAAAACGCCAACGAGGCCATCATTAGACCCAATGATCATTCACATGGGTGCCATACAAGACTTTGGCTAGCGCCGTGAGGCCAATATTGGAGGTGTTACGACAAACGGTCGTGTGCGACTAGGATAATCTAACAGCGACAACCACGACAGTGGTACCAAGTGCTGAGAGTCATCGGCCTTTACAGACAAGCAAAGGTTGCGTACTCGAACGTAGCTCGTGGTGGTTAATGAGGGGTTACGCTGAGATGATAGCAGGGTTTACAGACAGTGAGAGGCGTCACTGAAGGTACGAGTCGATGTCGAGCAGGTAGCTTTAGCGGGACAAGGAGTTCAAGGGTAAACCTAGTAAGATTAAAGTAAGGAACGTCTACTGTTAATCTTCGACCTTATATAAGGCTACTCTTCATATCTAAGCTCAGCCTAAAGCTGGGTTCTAATCTGCTTATCTACATGAGTCAGAGATAGTGTCCATGAGGCGGGCTTCTATCGTAGATAGGATCCATGAGGTATCCTTTTATCAGTACATGAGGCAGCACGAGGCTTGCCTTCTATCTTGATAACATAAATAGGTCTTCTAGACCTATGTCGTCATGTGTCGTCACGTGCGGTCCAGACCGCTTATCTAAGCCGGCAGTTGCTGCTTATCGTCTATCATCATCTGTCGTCATCTATCGTCATCTATCGTCATAGAGCTGGTGAGACTCCGGTATCGTCTATAGCCGTGCGGTGGCAGAGGGCTGTCTGCTGGCGGGGGACTCATGCCATGTTACTGTAACAGGAGGAACATCTTCAAATGAGTGATGTTTGGTCCCTGACAAGGGACGAGCTGTCTTGCAGTTGGGTGTTTGACGACCTCATTCACACCTGGAGATCTGGACTTAGGTGACTTGAGCTGCCTCAGAATAGTGCAAGGTCGGTCAGTTGTTTGCCGGATTTTTGTTTGCACGACTGACATCAAACATAGGGTAATGTCTTGCCAGTGGGCCTAAGTTCTTGCTGCATCTGTCGAGTCACTGGTGGCCTTACATTAGGTAGCTCCAGGTATATCAGGCACCAGTCGAGCTGCAGGTGGTATAGCATAGTAGATCATAGCGCATCATTTGAATTTCATTATGACAACTGACTTATCATGTACTTATCAGCCTGAACATTCTTCGTCTATTGCATGATTCACCCTGATCGTAAATATGAAAGTGATATTTGGTGATCTGTGCTTGCCATACATGAGCTACACAACCACGGGACCAGAATCCTAATCAGGTGGCGTCAGGTTTTTGGACTTTGGTGATGTAAACGATAAACGTCTCCCCGCTGTCGGACTCTTATGTAATCTTACGTTTGTTTGTACCTCAGCAGTTCTCTTCTGAATTCTGAGCTTGTCCTTTTAGCTTCGTTTACAATACAGATGTCTGAACCGCTCAGACTTAACTGCATTGCCTTGGGTGATGACTCAAGCTGTATTTTCCCAGTCGACATTGCGCAGACGCAGACTGTTGGTCACCTCAGAGAGGTCATCAAAAACAAGAAGAAGCCAGAATTTGACCATATTGCCGCTGTCCGTCTCAAACTATGGAAGGTGAGTGATCTGATGCCTACGATTGGATGCTGATAATCTGATATTTTGGAAGGTCAACCTGCCTGTCGACGAGATGATTGAGCACAATCTCAACAGTCTTAAACTTGACCCAATGAAATTCCTATCATCTGTGGATGAAATGGTCGAGATTTTTCCCAATGCTCCTCCGCGCAAGTGTCTACATATTGTTATCCAGGCCTCACCTGCCGGTGATTTGTCTTTAGATATTGCCACCCTTTCCTCCTTACTGATTGCGGTCTGACCTAGTGTCTTCTGGACCACTCCACCTCAAATGCCTTGTGTTGGGTGATGATCCTCGCCATGTATTTGAGATCGAGATTGCACCGACAGAAAGTGTCAGTGCTCTCCAAAAGGCTATCAAGGACGCGAAGATGCGACGTCTTGACCGTGTTAACGCGGACGATCTCGAACTATGGAAGGTAAGTGATCTGACGCCTACGATTGGATGTTGACGATCTGATCATTTGGAAGGTCAAGATAAATTTGGAAGACCTACACTTACTCCGCACGATCGGAGGCGAATCCGTGGAGTTGAAGCCGTCAACCAAACTGTCCACAATGTTCACGGATGGAGTAGAGGACGGATGTGTTCATGTCGTCGTACAGCGTCCTGCCGTTGCACGACTCTTTCCAATTGTTGAAAAACGTCTCGCGTATCTCAAGAAGGATGCAGGTGCTTTGTCAGCTGGTGCAAGACCGTCCGCATTCTCTCCAAAGCAGAAAAACCAAGAGTACCTTTGCAATCGTCCTCGCGGAGCCTCGGACCCTGTTCCGGTCACTCTTCTCGAGCGTATCTTCGCCGAGTTCGTGGATGATTGTCAAAATCGACAACCAACTGACGACGATAACGACATTGTTTGGCAACTTTCGGAAACGATGTGCTCCTTCTATACGGATGAGCTCGCGCGGATGAATGCATTTCGATGTGTGCTCCGCCAGTACGGTATCATACTCGATCCTTCTATGGTTGGCGCGACACAATGTATAACAGACGGACATATCATGTCCTCCGACGGAATGTTTGTGCAGGTGATACTGGAGGGGAAGAACGAGATCGGAAGCGGCGCTGCCGAACCATTCCTGGAGGCAATGTTGTACCACCGCAAGTTTATGAAAGAGTCGAAAATTGAGATAGCCAACCTCTGGTCTGTCTTTCCATGCATCCATATCATTGTCTTCGGTTAGTTCATTTCATCGGATTCATTGCTAAAACCCATTGACCACAACTAGGGGCATGCATTGGCTTTGCAGGCTCTGTTTTAACACACAAGGTCCAGTCTGATATCCTGGTCCCTATCATTCCTCTGTTTGGGCATTCGACAGACCTCCATTTGCAACTGATGGCGGTTCGTGCTTTGGGGGCTCTCAAAATCGCCATCAAGAAACTCACAAATCTGTACTCTTGTCAAATTCCGACTGTCGAATCCAAAAATCAATCTCCAGGATATCCTTATCCTCGGAGTTATATCAATTCAACCTCAACCAATGGCATCCAAGAATTCTCGTATAATGAGACTCAGATCCTCAGGGATCAACTTATCTTCTTCGGGGAAACCGTCGGCGATGTGGCTGGGAGCAAGATATGTATTAAGTTTGTCCGGCACTATTCCCCTGAGGCCCACAAATTCTGTGCCGGCAAGGGGCGCGCTCCCAAACTTATCGCCTACGATCCTTTACCCGGCGGCTGGAATATGGTGGTTATGGATGCCCTTGATATTGATCATGATAACTTCCCGCAACAGCCTGGCTCATATCGACAGCTCAGTAAAATGGCTGTTGTGGACCGCCAGCCGCTGAAGGAGGACATCACCTCTCTCATCCAGGACTTACACACAGCCGGCTACGTTCATGGCGACCTTCGGGATGCCAATTTTGTTGTGAAAAACCAAAAAGACTTCATGCTGCTCGACTTCGATTGGGCTGGACTGAAGCACAAGACCCACTATCCGATACGTGTTAATTGGAAGGATATTCAACGTCCTAATGATGCGCGGGATGGGAACAAGATTACGACGGAGCATGACTTGGAGATGCTAAAATTTATATTTGATCCTGATGGTCGGAAGTCGTCTACCTCCAGTTGAAGTCGGGGATTGGCGCTTCCCACAGTTCCCAGTACCGCTACCGTGTGGTGCTGCCGTGGTCCGGTCCAGAACCGTGGTTCGAACCTGACCTGGTTCTAGACAGTCTGGTCCACTAAGACACCATCGAACCTAACCTAACCGAAGTATGTTTCTCGGTCTGTGTTGTCTGGGATGGTTCTCCATTGGTTTTGAACGGTTCCGAACCTCATGCTGTCAGTATTCTTTTCGGATGCGAAGACAAGTTCTGCTGTTTGCCTTATACTAAATACAGTAAGTCTCAATTGCAACTCGGTGATATTTCTCGCTATTGTTCTACGATGACTGAATTTAACTCATCTGTATGTCGTGCAGATCTTGGGAGCCTCAAGGATGCATCCGAGATCACATTCTACCATGATGCTGATGATGATGTCCCACTACCTCCGGTATGCAGCGAGCCTCATCCAATGCATTCTCCGTCCTCTTGAATTCTGGACGGTAAGCGGCCACATTTGTCACTGGCGCTATACGCTCTGGTCGACCAACCAAGCCATCTGCTCGTCTTCGTGACGCCGATAATCTCTGTCACGAGTATCATCAAGTGCAGCTGACCTGCAAAATGCAAAATGAGCTACCACACGAGCAGTCGACCCTGATGATGATCATGATAGTAGTCCTCCTGCTGTTGCTGAACTAGATGGTTCATTGTCTGACGGGTATGATATATTGCTCGATCCATTATCTGATGGATCCAATTTGTTATCCGACTCGGATGGGTATGTTCCAGGTGCCCGAAGAGACTGACGCTGGCGAGAGCGAGGCAGACTATAGTGAACATGCAGATGCCTCGGAAAATCCAGTGGTATGTGTTGGTCACTCTTTTACGTATACGACTTGTTTATGAATTTATCACGAATTTTGCGAATTAAGTCACTTGTGTCTCAATATGCCTACTTGTCCTTCTATTTGCTGAAATAACTCATTTCACCTCGCTACAGACTATATACATGGACATACAACGAGTTGAAAGTACAGTCACAGTTGTTCAGATATCTCACAAGGAAATTGCAATGGACTAGGATATGGACGTGAGCTATCTAACTGGTCTCAATTTTATTTTTAAATGGATCCACTGTATCCACCAGTCGAAAGGGAAGGAGGCAGAGCGTCAGATCCTTCTCCACAAGTGGTATTGATATCGCTTGTGAGCTCAAGCTCGACGGTGGAGCCTTTAACGAAGACATCCCAGTCTAGGTAACAATTTGAATGCCATGACTGGCCATCGACAGTCACGCTCTGCAACAGTTCACTCTCATTAACAGAAGGTCAAAGATACGCGATTGAACTGTAACTGACCTTGACGAAGACAGTTCCGCCAATGCCATCCTGAGGGTTGCCCGTGAAATTATTGGCAATGATCGTTGTCGTGGTATTGAAAAGCGGGTTATGAAATGTGACCTTCGGGAAATAGGGCGAAGCGAGAAGAAATTGGCGTGTTGCGGGAAGCGGGTACATGCCCAAGAGGTAGAAAACGGCAAAGCTGGCCATGGCACCTAAGCAAGCGTTAGACAACGTCTACTGAGGCTTTTTCAAGACTTGCCGGAATCATCATTACCCGGAAGACCGCTGACCGAGGTGTTGTAAGACTCAGCAATTATCATCCGGGAACGTTGGGTGCTAAGGCCAGGCCGATTGGCGTAGTGGTACATGAAAGGAATCTGCTGAGATGGCTCATCTGTAACATCGAAGTAGTTCTGGATGTAATTCAATCTCCGAGCGTCATTTGCAGTTAAGGTATTTACCTGGTCGAAGATCAAGTTAAGTCGGTTTATGAACGACTCATTGCCTCCCTGCAACAAGATTAACTTGGCTGTGTCTTGAGGAATGTACTAGGGATAGTCTGTCGATGAAGGTAAGAGATATATTCGTGATACACACTTGAGAATACTGAGAGCAAGAAACTGTTAGATGAAGATAACTACAGAGTCTAATAAAGATACATACCACCATCGGCGATGACTCATAGAAGCCATCGTGGTTTGTAACATCGAGGTAACAGGTTGAGTCGAGAGGATCATTTACGCTGCAATGACGAGGGTCAGTGTAATTCCACTGCCCATCTGCGAAGCGGGGCTAGAAATCAGTGAGTCTTATACTGCGTTGACAATGTTACGGGCGAGAGTGACTTGCCTGCATCATGCCCTTGATTGAGGAATTCCCGGGAAGTGTGACCTTCTCATTCCAGACATTGATGAAGTTTCCCGCTCGAGCTTGGTACTACAATCGCAAAAACTAACGTTCTGGTTTCACACACATGGAGAATGGCAAACCTTGGTTACATCATCCGTTTTATTGAGAATCTTTGCAACTTGCGAGATGGAAAAGTCACCGAATGAATACTAATCAAAGTAAGCAAGAATGAAATCGCAGATTGAACACGCTCCTACCTCTAATGTGCGTGAGACTTGCTTGGTGGCGGTACCTCCCGAGTCATAAACGTCGGAAGGGATGAAGTCTGGAATGATGATCATGATAAGGCACATGATGAATATCGATTTGCTAACTGTATTGTTTCCAGACAGTCGTCTGTCTTCCTTGGAGATTCCAGTTGGGCGGTTGTTCTTCCGCATCAGCAAGAAGGGCAGTGTACAGATCATTAGCTGAGACATTCAGAGCACTAGCATGTTCATGAAATCTACGACATCAGTCAGTGACCATACAACATTGGGTTTTACGCTCGCTGACTTGACAAAGAATTCCCCGAGAATAGGGTCACCGTCTGTGGCCATATTTTAGAGACGAATCATGCAAACTGGTTTGAGAACTCACTGCTTCCACCTTGGATCCACTGCTGAAGAGTAGCGCCGCGGCACTCAGGCAACCAACCTATTATGAATGAGTTGTATGCATTATTACTTCACAGTACAGTTGTCTACCTTCATGCTGTTGAATGTTGATCATTCCACGAACGATGCGGGCGAACACCTCGGGGTCATGAAGCGACATTAGAGGATACAGGGTACGGTAAGTATCCCACTGCACTCGAGGCGTTAATAATACGCTAACAATGCCACCAAAAGATACCAACATTGCAGTAAAGGGAATCATAGTAAGGCTCGGTGGAACTCCAGTTGGGGTTTTCGCCAGTGTCTACCAATCAAAGTCAACGATCCTGTGCTCGCAAAATGGAACATGGCTTACAATCAGCGGGAGAAATGTGCGTCCTGTAAAGCTAAAGGCCCATGCAACTCGGGCATATTGTAACATTCCAAGTACTCACTGATGAGTAGAATAGTTCAGTAATTTCTTTGTCCACGCCCTGAGTATCGACTTGGATTCTGGATAGAAGTTCATTCCATGTTTCTCGTGCTGTTGTGACGGTTTCGTCGAAGTCGAAGTTCGGGATCTCTGACTCGGCGTTGGCGCAGGCCTGATCCGAGGAAATGAATGAAACACCGACGCGTGCAAGGATGGTCGTATGGATAGAATTCGGAGAGGGCGGGAAAGTCAGCAAAGCACCAATTTCTGACAAGAAGCCTGCAATTCATGCGTTTTGAGATACCGAGAGGAAGGGTCAAATAAATACCAGAGTATAATTGAATGACCTGTGTGCTATTCTGCACAGGAGTATTGCCCAGCCAAACCCCGTATTCAGTGGGAGCCTCGAAGTCATAACCGTCACCTTTGAAATCTACACAAGTGTAGGCGTTGTATCTTCCAGGACCGAACGATGCAGCAAACCTGGCTCCTCCTAGGAATGAAAGTGAGGTGGGATATCAGGGAACATCAAGAGACGTTACCTGTGACGCGTCCAGTAGTGGTGTTGATATTAACAACGGGTTCTGTGGCGCTGTTCATGCCGTCGTTGGTGATGTCCACAACAATACGGGGTTCGCGTGACGACGACGGGAATGTATAACGGTGAAGTGCAGTACGACGTGAAGCAGTCAACTCCACCTGCACTCCAGTAGACTGCGAAGGCTAAGTCGGCGGCATAGTGTAGTAATTTCGCACATACAAGATTCGTTGCGAAGTAACCAGGTGAACCAGCATCGTCGGGAGAACCTTTAATAAGTAGGATGTCATATATTTAGCATACAACCACGACGTGGGTGTAGTTGGTTACCATTAGGAAGGACTTTGCGTAACGTCTTTCTGAAAAACAAGGATGTGTTGCAGGACGCGAACGAGTTGCATTCAGCCAGAGGCCAGAGCTTAAAGTTGGATAGTGATATGTCCTTCAGGAAATATTAGCTTGTAAGTATGTATACTATTTTGCAACACCCAAGATGCGCACACCACCAGTCCCTGAATCGTGCAGCTGCGAAAAGCCGATAGCGTTGAAAATTGGATTGGCATCATAACCCGCTTGCTGTATAGTGCCCAAAACTTAAGGCCTCATGAAGAATGATAAAAATTGGATAGCCTTACATTTCCTGGGGAATCAGTATCGAGTCCAACTTTCACCATTCCATGGGGAAGAGTGGCACCTACGCAAAAATCAACAGATGTCAAAGATGCGCTGTAGGAGCAAACCGGGGAAAACATGGCCTCCATTGGTTGTGCCGATGAAAACATTGACGAGGCTTGCAGGGTCTAAGTCTGTGATAGTAGTGTTTCCTGGCGAAGATGACGCTTTGTCTGTCTGGGAGCGAACAGTTAATTTTGGACGCGAATGGGTGGCTAATCGCGTGTGTGAATGGGCACTTGAACCAGAGAGCAGAAAAAGTACAGAGAGCAGCACTAGCCAACGGGGCATATTGATGAAGATTCGGTACAAGTGAGAGCACTCTTACTAAAATCAACTGGCATTATAACGAGAGATATTCCCACATCTAGTATCATATTTGAAACGCTAGTAACGAAGAAACCTTGTAATCCCAAGTTGGGTGATTTATGAGAGCGACGATGTACGTACTCCGTGTACAACAATTAAGCTGCAGATAAAACCCGAGTTCCAGCAAGAATAACGCGTCCATTCAAGCATGCTGCGGAGACCGTCTCTTGCGCATCTGAGCAGACACTTAAAATTCCGGGCGCGAACGAAAGCATGGAGTCAATCGCAAATGAAAAATACTTGCGAGCTGCGCGCGAAATTGTCGCTCGCAGAGTGGAGATGCGAAGGAAAAGAAATAATCCATTGGCAAATGCAGTGGAAGATCATAGGGTGAAAAGGTTGGTCTGGACTTGAAAGTTGAAGTACTAGTCTAACAAAGTCAGTTGGATTGGACAATGAAGAGGGTGTAAGTTGGACTTTTGCCATTTAAGGCCAGCGAATAATGGCACGGAGATAACGGGGTTTCCACAACATCGAAGTCTGCCAAGTACTACTTAACGGTGAACAACCCTAGCAGCTTACAGTACTTCTCGAAGCGTAGTCTCTGGCACGTATCAGTCATGTCAAAGACAGAACGCGAAGATGCTATATCAGCCATTGTAAGTTGTCCGACGGCTTGATAGTAGTCCGTTAGCGCTAACCGGGAACTCACTGTGCACCAGACATCCAAGATCTTCTCAGCCATGCTGGATGACCTGGCAATGGATGCGGCACTACAGGCGCACCACCAGCTTCTGCGCAGTAGAGCGGTTTGTTGCATATGTCACACACGGTACGTCATCAGTGCACTACCAGTGTGAAAACCCACTGACCTGTTGGCAGGTGTGGCTTAGGTATGTTGGCACTTTCGTCCGTCATTTACTATTCCTGACATATTATCCTTCCTCCATAAATCTAGTTCATCCAAATGGGGCCCAGACTGTAACATCATCTATCCTTCACGGCGATGTCGGAGGAAAGACGACTTCAAGTACTGGAACCAACACTCCGAACGGAAGTAAATCCGACGGCAACATTTTGTTTGAATGCATGGTCTGCAAGCGTCAAGTAAGCACAGGGTTCAATTAACTTTATATGTTAAACTAAGTCGCCGCTCTAGATCGCTTCTAATAGATTTGCCCCACACCTCAGCGCTTGTATGGGGACAGGGACCGGAAGCAGGCGTGCGGCTCCTCGTGGAACAAATCTTAAAGCAAAGTGAGCTACACGCCAATGTCACCGATCAAACGTACTCAAAATGTCTTCAGAATTCCCATCGAACCTGGCCGGTCAGCGTCTCCATACCCAGGTTCAGAGAATGGCAATGTTTCAGATGATAACTCGAACGGTAAGGGCAAGGCAAAGAACAAAGGAAAGCGAGCAGGTAACATACTTCTACTTTTTTGCCGATCAGGGAGTGTTCTGATAAACTTGTTGTAGATGATACAGACTTCCATCTGAAGCGAAAACGAGTATGGATGACGCAACTCCTGTTTGGCTTCGATCTGAATTGCTGTTATTCTAGCCCATATCGCCTCAGACATCACCAACGAAAAAACCCACGAAGAAACTCAAAACAGCAGGTAAAACTGACTTGTTCTTTGCATCGTCTTCTTGTGATCTAAACTCTGACAGGGTCACCGGTGTCTCGCCTTAAAGCAGACCCTGACAGCAGCGGCACAATTCCAAGCAACGTGCGAGTCCTTTTTATCATTTTATCCCTTCTTACCCGACTTTACCCAGACTCTTCAAGTGCCTTCGTCGTCTTCCCAATCCAAAGTCCCGTCGAAACTTCGTTCCTCGTCTACTGCTTCTTTCCTTGAACGTGAACGTGATCGCTCTTCTACCCCAGGTTCTCAATCATCTGTTGGCACGCCCATTGCGTCAACGTCGTCCGCAATATCAGCGAGGAGCGTTGCAGGTACAGGTCCGCCGAGACGTGGGCGTCCCAAGGGTAGTAAGACAGGGACAGGCAGGGGTGCGTTGGCTGCCCAGCAGAAGCGCCCGAGTCCCCCAAGACCATTACTTCCCCCGCCACCGCCACCGCCACCAGCGCCTGCTGTGAGAATTGAACAAGACTATCTTGTCGGTAGGTTTCAATGTTACATACATCATTGTCTCTACTTACTCATCAACCAATGGTGCCAGACGTCGAAGGAGACGAGACTGGGTCGTCGACCGACACAGACGGCTGATCGCCACTTTTTTCGGTCTCGCCATTTGCTGCGCGTGCGAACACTTCCTATCTATTGCTGCTCACACATGGATCTGTCCAGTCATGCTGTGTGCCATGTTTATGAAAGCAAGGTCATGATACCCTACTAATCTGTAATACTCTCCGCTGACAATGTTGTTGTTACATATGTTATGTGTTATATGTTATATAAGATGTGGAATTGATTGTTGAATTTATTGGACGCCTGCACTTCTTGTTGACATTGTGCATGCGCGGTACTTTCCATCAAAGGGTAAGTAGCGCGGGGAGCTCGAGAGTGAGCACGCTGTTTCTTGTCTCCGAGGTAGTACAGGGTCAGAGTCGGGGTATGCCATAGACCAAGTTGATATCGTCATGATTGTCGGATGAAGACTGAAACTTTCAAAGGGCGCTGTGATAGTGAAACCTATTCAAGACTGTCGTGCGCCTGTGTTTCAGTATTTCAGACAGTAATTGTGTAGATTATGGCCAGGAGCTTTGGTAGCTAGCCCAGTGTACTTGCAGATGGTTGTGACCACAACAAGTATACATATAAGGGCGCAATGAATGGGTGAGAGAAAAATGACGAGATATCGATCGAATATATCGGAATTATCGATGAGAATGATCATCAACTTCTCAACTTCGTCGCTGCGCAGGGTCACTGCAGGTTCAAATGATGAAGCGACAAGGGAGAGTGTGGGATGAGAGACCGCACATTCGAGCGAGCGGCTTTGTGGTGACGAAGAAGAGTATTGTCGATGCCTGCTGGCAGGTCGGGTCACGATATCACAATGGTCGTAATCAATTGAATACGTTCCTGTAATTTCTGCCCATATTTTTGCCATCCGACAGTAATAACGATTCTGCCAAATCGACCAGAATTATGCCCAAAGTTAGTATACGCAAGATATATAAAAGCTGGCCGTCGTCCTATAGTGTTGCCCATCCTTGAAGATATCATTTGAGATCCCCCTCAGAAGAGTCCATATCACCTCGCACAGAACATGCGTTTCTCCTTCCTCGCCGTTGTTGTTGCTTTGATAGCATCGATGTCTGTCAGTGCATGTAGCCAAACACCTTGCACAACAAGTGCAGATTGTTGCACAAGCTATGTTTGTGGAATGGAAGTGAGTATGAGCTTGTCACCGTGCAACCAGAATTCAACCACATTACTCACCTGCGCGCCTTAGAATGGTGGTTTGTTCTGCATGGCAGGAGCCGGCAGTCCGAGCGTTACGTTACGACAGATCTGAAGCATAACCTATCGTCTACCATAAGTGAGAGGTCAGGATGAGAGACCTGGAAAAAATGGAGGGCGAGGGTTGCTCGACATCGACACAATATAGCTCAAAGGTTGTTTCGTCGCTGATAAGAAAGATACGTAATGTTGTAAAGAAATACATTCGTACCGCCAAAACCGTGAAGGCGACCAGTTGCAGTTCAACGTTGATCATCGGTTATTAGCGATGTCAAGTTCGTCTCAAGTGGATATAACACCTTGCAGTACGCTGCCTTCTGTGCTTGTCTCTGATCGCACTAACGGTAGTTCAGTGAACGTTAGTTATGTAGATGCTGTGACACACATACCACCATTATTTCCGCGTCAAGTCTTGCCCATGTCGTGTCCGCCCTATCCACCCATATCGTTCCCCATCAAGCTTCACTACCGGTGTCATGTAAACCTTACCAAGGCCGCATCAGATGCGGCCTTGGGTCGCCTTAAGTCTCAATCAGAAGCTAGTCAGAAGTGCAAACATCAATTTTTAGTGAAGCTAGTAGTGCAACAGCCATGTCACATCCGCGGCAGGCAAAAATGAGGCAGCGAACACAAGATCACAGAATGAAACAGTTCTTTCAATACTAGCAGCACGCAAATAGCACAAGTGGAGCAGTTTGGATTTCCGAATCGGGAAGAGTGGAGCACTGCGAAGAGATAGATCCAGAGACCGTTGAAATCAGTAATTCACGCGGGAGAACTCACGTATCGTGAACTATACCCCTAACACAATACAGTCCGAGAGAACTCGGCACGCGGCAAACCCAGCAAGCATTTTCCATGCTACACACTGATGCCGGTCGACACACGCACGCGCTCTTCAAAGGCAATTGAAGTCATGCCAGGACCTCTTTCGGAGTTAGCCACAAGCTTCGCGTGATATTCTCGAACGCCAAGGATCAGGCGTGGTCCCAGCACACACATCACCGTGACTATGAAAGTTTGAGCCAAACCAAAATAAATCTGATGTTCTGCGACAACTGTGTCCTGTAGTAATGATCAACGACGTTCGCATGCAAAAGTCAGTGTCACATTCACATACCGCTATGGCCGTTAGAAGCGCATAAAGGAGGATAAAGCCAGAAACAGCAACAAAACTGAAGGTGCAGAACTTCAACGAAAAAGGAGAATCATATTCGCATCATAAGCTCACCTCGCAAAGTAAATTACGTGAGTTTTTGTTAACACCGCGAAACAGTCTCTGACATCAAGCCATCCTGTCAATAGTCGCTGCAGCTCACGGAGGCGTTTGAAAGCAATCCGGATTGCGAGACATAGTGCGAGGACCTCCCATACAGCGGGGAGAATCCAAGTCATCAAAGCCAGAAGTAGATTATCCGAGCCTTCTTGAAAGTCGGAAGCGCACTGAGCGATGCCAAAGAGAATGAACACTTCTGTGTTTGCAAATGAGCCTCACACATTCTAGTCCGCCATTCACCAAAATGAAAGCTTACCCGACGAAACACGACTCGTAACCATTGCGGTGATCACTCCATCAGCGATGTTTACAGCCAGGAAAATGATGCTGAGAGATATCAGTACTTTTCTGGATTGCTGATGCAAGGCATGTAACCGAGCGATCATGATGACTTGCGCGATGTGTCAGTTCAGTCAAGGTAATGCAGCTGCGTAGCTCACCACCCAACATTGCAGTCACGGCAACATTCAGCCAACATAGTGCGTCGAACATCGTACGGCCTGGAAAATCAAGTGACGTTGGTTAACAGCCTCAGATGATCACAGACTTTAGACAAACTCACAGCTATGGAAGTATTATATTAAACCAAGAAGCTCGGTAACTCACTCACCCCTGCAGGGGAGTACAATTAATTGGATATGGGTAGCAAGCAGCAATGCAGAATACTCACTGAATCTGTCACTGAAGTTCTTGGAAGAGATACTGCATGCCGTCGATCAGAGGAAATATATGCAGCGTATGTGCGTAGACATACACAGGATGTTAATGCTGAGTATGAGAGTCAGCTGATTAACACAACATCAATTACTTGACCATCCAAACATACATAGCATGTGAGATACCAGCATAGCGGACCTAGAATATTATCGAGTCAGTACAACGTCTCAACCACACTTGCAATATGAAATACATACACCGAGATACAGAACAGTCATGAATGACCATTGAACGTTGCCTCTGCCGCGCGTCAATTGTATTTCCATGTGTTTTCTGACGCGAGACTCTGCTCACCCAGACCAGTTCGACCTATAAATATGTGATCAGCGAGATAGTTGCTTCGGTAATGATACAGACCTACCTCTCGTCCGAACGTCAATGCTGGAACACACCATAAGTATACCAATATACCAGTGATACTTGAATACTATCTTGCTCACCCCAATCATACATCAACCCAAAAGAGAAGGCAGCTGCAAAACTGCAGGGTTAGATTATCACATGGTCATGCTTCATCCAACTGGTTCTCTACGGACCAACAACATAACTGGTCATTTGGGTCGAAAACATGAACGGCCACCAGGCGGAATCGTTTGATACTAGGGTCATGCTGTTAGAGGATGAATGTGCACCCAGTGATGGCCGGTCTTAGCCTGTGCTAAATATGAATCTCATCATGCAGCGCAAATGCAGCGCTTCACTACCGAAACAAGAAGTTAACTATAGGAAATTAGGAATGGTGTATATCCCTGCTTTGAATGCCTGAACACCGGTCAGCGCTCAGCTTCGTCTCTACTTTGCTCGCCCGGGCCGGGGAGCATAACAGCTTGTCCAAGGTCACTCGACACGGTCACATTCTGTTGGCATGCCAGTGAAAGTAGAAAAGTCAGAAACGAAAAGTAGGGGAGATTCAAATGGAGCGAACGGATAAGTCACCTGTCCCACCCGGGCTGCTAACACTGCTCTCCATACCTACTAATTCTTGTGCTCCTCAGCACCTTCCAAGTCAAGTTGTTGTTCTTTGCCGCAGCCATCGGACTATACTGTCGCAAGTATAGTCAGCGCGGTGTGGCTCTGATGAAAACCAATGTAAAACACAGCATCAAATCAATTATGCACATGGTAAGTATAGATGCGCAGCCAGCTACATCCCTCGGGATGTCTTACACGCGCCTGTATAGAAGCAAGCTCAAAGTAGTAGCAGTGATGGTGTCGGGCGTCACTGTACTTCAGTCACCCGTAGCGGCGTTACGATAAACCATATATGGTTTAAACTCCGCACAGGTCGCTCTACTCGAACGTCTCACTGAGGAAATGGCGAACTGCAAAAATATCTTCGGACCTGAGGTAAAATGTTGATTTTACCTTACTGGCACGGCAGGGAATTACTAGGGCAGCCACAGGCTGTTGTTGTGCTGCTAGAACTAGATAAACCACAAAGTCATTTCGGAGTTGTTCATCGATAGTTAACTTGTGCTTAACCCTTCTTGCGCTCTTTTGTAAAAATCTTCAACTTCGTGCAGGTTTGTTCCAACTCGAACTTCACGGCCCGTTCATCCTCATTTGTTATCGGACGTTTCGCAGATCTAGGCACAGGTAGTAGGCCTGCGAACCAGTTATCTTCTTCAGCCTGCCCCCCAATCTCCACAGACTGTTCTGTCCATCATGTCTGACAACCCATCATTCGTGCTCAAGGGCATCCTGGATGCTGAGATCCAACAAAAGCCAGTTCCAGAGAGTTAGTCTACTATCTTTGACCAGTTCACGCTCGCTTACTTAATCGTTCTATCTTGTGAAGTTGAAGCCAATGAGATCCTCGTGGAAGTGAAGAAGACCGGTGCGTTCACAAAGCCTCTTTGTCCCTCGTAATTCTCTCAAAGCTCATTCGCGGCGATGATGGAATTTGCGGCACTGACGTATGCCCCTATCTATTTTTTCTGTACCAGGACAACAAATCATCGCTTCCAGGTGCATTTTCTTGTCTATGGAAGTGTTGGTGATTTTATCGTAGAGAAGCCTATGGTCAGTTACTTTTTGTCGAAATTCATGACCAAGCCTCATCGTTAGCTATCAGGTGCTGGGTCACGAATCAGCAGGCGTGGTCTCGAAAGGTAGGTCCATAGCTTATTTAGAATGATCATTTGTTGCAACCCTCGTTCTTTAGTTGGTCCTGGCGTAACTAATGTCAAGGTGGGTGACCGAGTGGCTATGGAACCTGCCGCAACATGCCGCAAGTGTGAAGCTTGCAAGGAAGGTCGCTACTAGGCGAGCATGGTCGTCCACCCTAATTTTAGTTTTTGACGCCCGAGCAGATTTGCCCCGATATCATCTGTGCTGCTACTCCCCCCACAGACGGCACCCTCACTCGTTATTACCGCCTCCCGTCTGATCTCGCTTGCCCACTTCCACCAAGTCTCAGTCTTGAGGATGGAGCACTGGTGAGCGATTGACCACAATAAATTTTATTTACTGTTGACCCTGTTCTAGATGGAACCTCTTTCCGTGGCAGTCCATGCTGTCTCGAAACTCGGTGCTTTGCGGTCCAACTAGTCTGTTGCCGTCTTTGGTTGTGGACCAGTTGGACTTCTATGTATGGCCGTCGCGAAAGCTCTGGGTGCTTCCCGCGTTATTGCTGTGGATATCATTCCTGACCGCCTCGAATTTGCTAAAACATACGCTGCAACTGATACCTTCCTACCTCCTTCTATCGATAAAGGCGAGTCGGGGGTCGCGTTCTCAATACGCAATGCCCAGGCAATGAAGGAGAAGCTCAACATTACTGAGCATGGATCTCGGGCGATTGACTTGGTTTTGGATGCTTCTGGCGCAGAGGTTGCCATCCAGACAGGTATCCGGATCGCCAAGAGTGGTGGTACCTTCTTCCAAGTGATTTGAAATTCACAGCAGTTAAAGATTTATCTGATTGGTTATGATTAAGTCGGCATAGGTCATCGCGATATCACCATTGACATGTTTGCTGTCCTTCAAGTTTGCAAGGAGCTCGTCCTCAGGGGTTCCTTCCGTTATGGAGTAAGCAGTCGTCATTTTCTCCGTGGGATTGTTTAATCTCTGTTTCACGAAGCCCGGCGACTACTCTCTCGCCATCGCCCTTGTTGCATCAGGCAAGGTCGACGTCAAATCCCTGGTATCGCACCGGTATGCCCACGGTTGTAACTGCTATCCAATATCGTGTTAACAGTCACAATAGTTTCCCATTCACACAGGCATGTGAGGCATTTGAAATCACTCGCAACGGCAAGAGTCCCGATGGAAAAGGGGTTATCAAGGTCATGATCTCCGGTCCTGACGTCGACATCAATGAGGTTTGAAATCACAGCGTCTATCATGGAGGCTACACTGAGGCGGGTTGTTATGTTCTTTTGATCGCATTGAAAGTGGATCCAAGGGGTTTGGTACATGACGTTGACACAAATGGCTTCCACGGGAACAAACACTATGTAAATATACACTACTCTATGGCCAAAAATTTGATATCCGAATCTAAGTGTCTATAACATTCCTTGATGGCTTCTTTAGGTTCACACAGAACTTGAAACGCGCACAGGCAGAGACGAGGGGAAGAAGAGCCAAAGGACGAACATGGCCACATTTTGAGAGACTGTTACATAGCAGAAGACTCTCATGCCGTCCTTGTTCGAGATTATACCGGTGATGAAGGGGAGCACGGCTTAAACACTTCGGTGAGCCTGAAAGAGTATAGTACAAGTCGAATAACGCACCACTTCCTGCGCTAGCAACAGCAGTGCTGGTATAGAAGTCACGGTCAGTTATGTCTGGAATGCTGCGACGAGGCCACTCACAGAATAGCCATTGAAACCATGTGCACGTCTCTCGGAAGGATATCGTTGCAAAGGCCTAGTGTCCCGGGAAATATAGGCCCATACATCAAACCCACCACGGCGGATGAAAGGGCGTTCTCGATTGTCGAGTCAACAAACCAAATAAGGATGGTCATGAGGAAGGAAACGCCTGGATATTGTTATCAAGTCAGCGTGTCAGTCTGAGGAGCAGGCCCTCATCGACGAACCTCTGAAGGTTAGCAATCAGTAACTTTTCAGAGTCATGAATGGAGTGACGGACGTGCATGCATGAATAATGCGTTTGCGTTGGGTAAAGGTCAAGCTGCCGAACACATCAAAAATTAGACAAGGCCATGATGATGCCCTGCGACCGACCCTGTGCAATAGTATCCCCATAAAATTCTGCCAGCGGCCATGCCTCCCCAAAAGCCGCTACTGACGTATCCGACAGTATTTGGACTAGAACCCTGGTGCATGTTCAAAATGGGACAGTAGCGACTAGATCAACAGAAACACACTCGATTGGTAAGGAGATAGGTTACGATCTGCGAGAACTCATTCAAGATTCTGTTCAGTGTTCAAGTCCGAATGGACACTCACAAATCCTTGAAAAGTGGTTTCGCTGCCGCTGTAAATAAACGCGAACAACGAAAAGGCCCATTGGTATGGCATTGACAAAGCCAGGTAGAGAGCTAGGAGAATATTAGTATTGCAGATTATGTTCAGCAACAGCGACCGCACTATTGGGTGGGGACTGAGTATCAACACGGCGGGTAGAGGAATCTCGGACTTTCTCTGCGTGGGATGGTTGTATCGTCGTGTCAGTCCCAGGGCCGTTGGCACTCGGCGTAATTTTCATAGCGTCGAGTGCGATCTTGCAGTCTGCCAGAAACTCGTTGCGCGTCGGGCGGAAGGAAAAGATGATCAAGCTCAAAGCAACTGCAGAAATAACTAAGGAGCCAAGATAAAAATGCTTCCAGGGAATTCCCTCTGCCATGAGTGTTTGGCACACAAGCGGCGCTGAAAATGACCCAATACCTGAAAGACATGAGCAGCATCATCATACAGACACACATCACTGCTTACACCAACATCCCAGTAAAACCCCAAGGGGCTTCTTGGGTGTAGACACAACGTAAAAATTCCTGTAACTTTTTAGCATTAGGAAGATACCATGGCGCAACGCTCACGATGATGCTACAACAACCCGTATAAGTGAAAACATTAAGATCAAAACGAGTGCTCACCGGTCCAGAAAGAGCGTGCAAACGCGGCAATGGCATATGCCAGAAATAACGCGGGATAATTACGAGCGGTACCCATTACAACAAAGAACAGAGGATGAAGGAGACCTCCAAGGACGAGCGAGGAAAATCGTGCTTTTGCGGGCGAATAACCGACATCGCAAGGGAGAGCTGCAGACACATTCTTGGTGAACAGGCGATCAAAAAACGGAACGGCGGGAAAATAGGTGTGTTGATCCAAAGATGGGTAAAATTGACCAAGGAAGTTGACAATTCGTTCAAGTAGGATGGTGCCGATCACAGACCTAAGGGATAATTGTCGGTATTTTATAGATATTTTGGCGAGAGAAGCTTACCCGACCGTACTGCCTGTAAACAATAAGGAGCACATAGTATAGCTCAAACCAAAGTCTTTCTCAAATGCTGGTAGAACAACGCTGAATAAGATACCAGGAGAAAAACGGAAACAAACATACAGGGAAGAACAGTAGCGGTGACTGAGAATTTTGATGAGCGTAGTTTACAAACTTAAACCGTGGACTAACCTCCATCACCCCATCCGCAGACAAAATATATGAAGTAGGTAGTGAATAATCTTTGAGTCACATGCTCGAACTCAAGGCTAGGAGTCGACACCTCTGCCTCCTTTTCGAATGAATTTTTGCGACTCCACGCATCAGTGGGGAAAACATCCACATACGTAGCCGTCGAGGGGGTTCTTGCCAAGGACTCAGGAGAGAAGGCGTTTTCGTGATCGTCCAGACCAGGATGGGACAATTGTGTAATAGTTTTTTTGAAAGTTGCGCCGGTTTTCGAAGAAGATTCTGTCAACAATCGAGTCTCGACTACAATATTTGCGCCAAGTGAATGACCATGGTGAGCATCATGTGATAAAAATGATGGGGCAACAGGTAGCTTATTGGGCGGATACCAACAGCGATCAGGAAGTGTGATTAATTCTGGGTGGGAGTCAGTGACTTGCGACTGCGGAGAATCCATGAGGATGTTCGGTGAAAGACGTCCACTCACAGAGAGCAATTTTATAGTAACTTTGAGGTAGACATAGGGACATTCAAGCCCCGCCAAGTGGTGCTGATATTCTACGTGTGAGAGAGAGATGTGTATGAACCCTCTGGAATCTATGTGGAGTCGCAATCGGGCCGTGAAACTCGATTCAAGCAGTCAGTTTTCCTTGAAAGTCCCTGTTTGCATGCCTCTATCTATCCATATGATGTAGATTCATGTGTGGGCAACTAGTACGTACCCGTGATATGTGCAGCTGAGACTCTGACATGTCGCCGGCCGAAAAAGAGGCGCGCAAGTTAACCATAGCTGGCAGATGATATTCCTATTGAGAACGTATCAAGAAACTGTTTGGGGCCTGTGGTTCCGAGCAGGAGTACTGGTTGTCGGTACAATTTGGAGGTCAGACCACCGTACAAGGTCGTATGCATCGTCATCTAGAAGCAGTGGTCACCTTCAGTAAGCAATTATGCTACCACATAGAGCGATTTTAGTATTTTAGATGCAAGAACTTACCAGTTGGAGTTCTCGGATATTGAGTCTTCAGCGCTGTGAGCGCTGAAGTCAAAGAAGGGAATCCTAAAAAGGCAAACTACTTGGTTTCTGCTACCTTGACGAAGTCCCACTCGCGGTTCTCATACTGAGTTACTTGGCTGCATATTATGTATGAATCACACTTGGAAATTTTTCACTTACCATATAGATGGTTCTAACCGACCGCTTCCCAGCATCCTCGATAAAAAAAAGGCTGCCTCGCACTAGCGAGTCACGACATATTTGGTTGCCTTGCCCATATCCAATTTGCTGGTTTTTGGCTTAGGCTAGCTCACTTGAAGCTGAGGTCGGCGGATCTACAATGAGCACGCGGAACACTGACTGATCCACTTAATTGACCCTACTGAAGAATGGAAACTCGTGAGTCAGCGTCCACTGGCACACTTCAAGTTCAATATAACTTCTTTATCAGAAATAACTTGACCTGGTTAGTTCGTTGAAGACCTATACTTTGCACAAATATGTCTCATTTGTATGCATAGTAGGCGTTCGTGAACTACATTCGTTCGGCGCTCCCGGTCCAAAAGAATATGCAACTTTTGCATCTTTGCTGGATGAATTTCTTGGAGTGAACCGGGTTACCGCACTATTTTGCCGACGCGGAGCATGATAGGCGACCTTTCAAGGTTCGAGGAATACTGTTGCTCAAAAGTATCTGTCAATCCAGGAGTGCGTCACATTTACTTCATTTAAGGAGGGCTCCACCTCTGTGCACATGTGATTCGAGACACGTGAGTCTTGATGGCGGTGTTCCAAACAAGTATTGGAGAGGAACAACACAAATTGGCAGGGTGAACATCTGTTTGCGGAATCAAAATCTCTCCTTACCCTCAATACGACGAACGATCATCTTTTTATGGGTGACTACTCCCAACCTATATATCTTTGTAGTCCAGAGAAGTTAATTAATATTTACTGCGAGTTTCATGATTCCGGCATGCCATGCCATGGTAGAGCTGTTGCATCCCATTGTTACTCCGATCACTGATTGTTCAAGCTTATCATCATTTATCATCGCGTCCGCCACACTTTCAATTATAGACCTTAGTCGGGCGCTTGAGGGAAATTATTCTCACGGTTAGAACAGTGCGGCAAACACAAAAGCTGTGGTGACCGCTGGTGGTGGCTATCATCTTACAATTAGTTGTGACAAGTACTGCCATCGCGCCCAAGCTGTGATCTCACACTCTTTTCTACCATCACACTCGCAGGACGATCCGAAACATTCACAATTTTCTTAAACTAACTCTCTTTTTATCTCCCACCAATGTCACGCCCGTTCACAACCTATGGGGATCACTCAACAGACTATCTATCCACACAACATCCCGATTCATCCTCTTCAGACTACTTCAAGTCTTCCTATAACGACGACCTCAGCGATCTCATTGACCAATATGCGGAGCCGTATTCAAGAACTTCACGACATCAGACTTTTGCTGTATCGACTGACCCGTTGGACGACTCTGATTCACGAGACCGCTCTTTCTCTATGGACCAGAAAGGATCATATCCGGTTGATAAAGTTGTAGAGGATGATGCTGAAATAGACCCTTCGAATCACGACTACCCTCCAACACTGAAGCAAGAGAAGCCGATTGACACCAGGAGTTGTTGGGCAAAAGTCAGCGCTACTGTCTCACAGATACCAATTGTTTTTACTGAAATTTATCTAGATTCTTCCTGACTCCTGGGCATGTCGACTGTTTGTCCTAACTGTGGTGGTCGAGACCGCAGTGGATCTGGCCATCGAGAGTGACTTGTTTGTTCGATTGCAGGATGACTCGGGAAAACTGGCAGTGTATCTCAGCGTATTCGCACTTGCCCAGTACGTGTTTGAACACCTTTCAACGTCTTAATTTGACGTCATTTTACAATTTAGTATCTTCCAACTTGTCATGGCGGTTGATGCAGTGTATGCGCGCAATACTCTGCAATTTTTGTCTCTCATGTAAGCACATATCTAACTTTTCCCCTACAATAGCATATTTCTGACACTTGGTTTACAGCATATTCAACCTTCTTTTCCTGCTATACGCCGTTATTGAAATCGGCGAAATCAAGAACTCGACAACCACTTCCGCCGGCTTTGTACATGTACCAGTGACGGTTCTCACTGATATCATACCTGCCGTCATATCCACTGCGGAGATAGCATACATCGGTCTTGGCTGGAAAATCTATAACGAGTTCGGCTGGAAGGTTTACAAGTTTCTGGGTGCCGACCGCCGCATCAAGAAAATGTATGCCACATATCAGATCTTCGAATGTCTTGTCAAGTTCGACGTCTTCTTTTGGGTCGGCTTCTCCGTGCAGTTCATATGGTTGGTCCTCCAGAAGAACGACTGGGAGTACTACGTCACCTGGGCAGCTCTCCCGTTATCAATTCTCCTCCTCATCGAAGGCCACCTTGCTGTGCGTCACGAGAATAAGTGGATGATGGGAACTTTTATATTTGGAAGTATAGGCGCTCTGGTCTATTTCTCATACAAAGTGAGTTCTTTTAACAAACTTGCTGCGCAGAGCTCACTTTCTCATGACGTTTCAGCTTTTCCGGGTCCTTCAGTACAGGACCACGCAATATGCCTCGTACTGGAAACCACTCACCACGTTCTGTAAGTCCTTTGATATATAAATTTTACTGGCAGCTCACGATAATGGTAGCTGCAATCGCAATCGTCCTTCTCGTCATCACGATCATCTTTTCCGTGTTAGTGATGCGTAATTTCGGTCGAGGACTGAAGGCATCAAGTCAGTGATTTTTTTTTCCCTTGATGGTTTCTTTGACTGATGCGTTGTGCGACAGTTGCAAGAAGTAAAACTCACACACAAGGACGTGGCTCTCAACACTTGAACCGAGGACCAATGAGCGCGAACCCAAACCGGATGAGTATCGAATAAAAGCGCACGGACGTAACAGCCACGGACTTGCTTGTATTCTATAGCGCTATTTGCCACTCTTTCGGTTTGACATACCACCCTGACCTTGCCCCAACCAAGATCACATTTACATTGACGTGTCATCTTCGCATTGCCATGTTTCGCGTTCTTTAGTTTCTTGATTTATAGTATAAATATTACGGATATATCTGCACGCATGCCAGTAGCATGCATCGCTCTCCGATCTGGATCTGGAGGCTTTGTGTTTCTTCTGGTATTCGTTTTTACCCTCCTTTGGAGTTACCTATGCTTTGTGGATATTTTCATGTATCGATGGTATTACAAGATTTACTAGTACATAGTATCGCAAGCTAAACGAACTTGGGTAAAACGTGTGACGTGGAAGATGGTGTACTTCACTTTTGTCAATTGGACCCGCACACACATCGCCGTCTTCAGCCTCGGCTGTGTTGAGTCGAAGGGCTTTTAGTAATATTGTTATTATCTTTCGAATTCACCCGTTGGTCGGGAAGCGTAGAGCTGGTCTTATACACACCACTATATGTCCCAAAGGTGAGGCACTCCCAGGACTTCCTTTGCACTGTTCATTAATTAATGCTCCAGATACAGAGCAACAAGTGCAGCGCTACGAGACCGTTCAGCTCTCCTGGGTGTGACACCTCCAGCTTCGGGACGCTCCTCGCCGTATAGCAGCCCGAACTCAGGGCCTTCTGGCCACCGCTACGTGGATGACTTGGAAGGTCAGAATGACGAGGCGTTGGAAGGCCTGGCAGCCAAGGTGAAGCTGCTCAAGGATGTAAGTGGTCTTTCTCGTCTCGCCCGCCCATCAAACTCACCGTTTTCATACGAAGATCACCGTTGGCATTGGAAACGAGGTCCGAGAATCGACTGTACAACTCAGTCAGATGGTACGTGCATGCTGTTGTTCTACTCATCAGCCGCTCCTAACCTATCATGCGCTCTGCAGAATGATGCATTCGCGGAGACCTCGGGCATCCTAGCTGGCACGTTCCGTCGTATGAACAACATGGCACAGCGGCAGGGTTGTCGATGGTTATGGTACATTCTATTTCTCGTGCTTGTATTCTGGTTCTTCATCATTGTATGGTGGTTTCGGCGGTGACAATCACCCACTACGGACGTTTATCAATATATCTGGATCAACAGCTTGCTCGGTGTGCCTCTCTTGTCATTCAAATCACCCCATTTCCGTATCCACAGTAAATGCTAATACAGAGAGTATCATAAAATCATATAAAAAGAGTAATGCGTGGAAGCCCATTGTCATGGGCCGTCCAGGAACTTGGCATGGCCAATTTCCCAAATCATCCGCCGCCGCAAGTAGGTCATGTCCCGCTGCGAGAAACGGAATCCTTCCTCCCCTCTGGACAAGGATTCCAAGAACTGGCATGTGAACACGCCGCAGTCATAACCATTCTCCTGTTGTGGTGTGTCCTCAGGATTGTGATTCTGCCACCCAGTGAAGTCAAAAGGTTTCTTTCGCTTGTTTCTGTGTTCCGAGTCCAGATAACTCCGCAAGGCCTTGAGGGACAGAATAAGGACCTTCCTGGGCACGCCAAGGCAAGTTAACGTACCTTGAAGACTTGATGTCGGTCAAGATTCATGCTGTCATATGACTCTATCCGCTTTTGACGGAAGTTTATGGCAGCCCCGGTCCAGTGAGAATTGTTGTGGTTGATAGGAATAAGGATGACGTCTTTCGAAAAGATATCAATCTGTATGCGGAATGAGAAATCATCTTCAATTTCACTGGGCAGTAACGGACCTTCTTTGTCCATTTTGCTAGCCGCCCCTGTTCATAGCCCTCATTTTTCAGCTTTGGCCAAAAGAAGGTGCTAAAATAGTGGACATCCAGCATCTTTCTCTTTGCGGTAGGGTCGCGGTTAGACTCCGAGCGCATCAAGATCATCGCACCATAAAAGTTCATAATTTCGTCGTTCAACCACTGACTGGGCAGTAACCGAGATATATCTCGATCATTAACAGATTCTCGAGCAACCTTGGAAATCACTCCTTTCTTGCACAGCAGCGCGTTGACTTGGATGTCAGCATCAGGAGGGAGAGCCTTGGGTAGCCTTGGCCGCAGACGTTTCTCAATAGCCTCATCTCTGTGGCGTGCCGATAAACGGAGACGATCATGTGAGGGAGAAAATGGTTTGGGTGGCGGACTATATAAACTCGATTCAGCGAGGAAGATATGCAAAAGATACCCTCATACAGCTCAAATGACTTCTTGGCCTTTCTAAGTGCACGTTCCAGGAAGTCGGGATCAACATCCTGGCACAATTTAGCACGGCAACAAACAAAGTATGCACACGCTCACATCTGAGAACGAGTGCCTACGGGAATGCCCAGGTAATGACTGCTTTGCGCGCAGATCTGTCAGTGATGGTGAAGCTACGCACGACGTCGTAAGTGTGCGAAACTGAAGTAATAAGAATCACGCACGCGAAAGTGCATGTCGTTCAAGAATTTCAAGTCGAGCTTGGTAATTAATCAAAGCTGAAATCCATGAAAATTAGATGTAGACATGAACAAGACAGAATGGACGCACATTTAAAAGAGTCAAAATCTGAGGTATATCCTAATCAGAGTGAGAGACAGAGCATCAAGAAGAGTACTAGCGTGCTGACCGGTAGAACGTTTGTAATGGAAAAGTTCTTGCACCAGCTCTTCGCGGTCCTTTTTCCTATCTTCTTGTACTTTGGCTCTGTGCTACGGCATCGGTGGATAGTGAGATATAGGAACCGGTTAGCATTGCTCATACACTCACAACACGAGCGTATATATGATCTCGACTCTGCCGAGGGCGAATGCCGCCCACCACACCTCGTCTGTGCGCGGAATTTCCTATGAAGTCATACGACTGGCTGTGTTGAATGTGTTCCTTCGATGTCGAGGGAACCGGGGTGACGGAGGTGTGTCCGGTGAGGGTTGACGGAGGCGAGTTCCCGTTTCCATTGAGCGCATTCGAGGATTCTGAACACGATAGTAAAGAAGATGAAAGCCGCGAGAGACCTGCTACTGGTTGTGAATCTTTGGGTTTGTGGAACTCTTCTGGTATAGACAGACGAGGTGGTAAAGCCAGGTGGGTAGCTTGCGAGGGTAAAAAGCCAGTTTGATTAGGTTTTTCTGACTGTTGTGACGTGACTTGAGATATACCTGGATTTTGAGAGGCTTTGAACACGTTGTTAGTGAACGATCGTGTCTGGCAATAGAACTAATCTCACAGTTCATGAGGGACAGGTATCCGAGGCGGACCGTTTCGTAGCCAAGTGTGAATGCGTCAGTTCCGAGTTGACGCCAACGATTCCAAATGCCCTGGTTCTCTTCTGTGCGTTGGTATTTAGCAGAACGCACTGGGAGTAGAGAATCTGCGGCCTGTCTCTTCCGACTGGTCATCCGAGCAAACGCTAAGAATGGAAGGGAGATATTTTGAAAGACTTGTGGCACGGAGCCAGCTCGAGGCTGAGCTCAATGAATAGCCGCGAGGACAGACTCGTCAAAGCAACGTGTTCTTGACGGTGGTTATGTGCAATCACGATCAAGACTAAGTTGTAAAGTCTTGTCAAGCTTCAATAGCGTCAAAGCACAGCACAACAACTTTCTCAAGAGCACTTGATTATATAATCGAATTCTAATTTTAGTCGTGGGCTCGCTTGGCTCAGTTGGTTAGAGCGCAGGTCTCATACATGTCGTATGACGAGCGTAGACTCGGTAATCCTGAGGTCGCAAGTTCGAACCTTGCAGCGAGCATTGTCTTTTTGATATTACATGCTCTAATTTAGACTTTAAACACATTAAGGTTATTAAATTCTCCAGTGACAAGTCACGATTCTTCCTGCTGATCTTTTTTCTAACAATGATTTTCTTCACAAAGCTGTGCGCGGTACAAGACAAATTATCAGCGTGTAATCTCAAGGGTGCCGCTGTCACGTTCCTCGGGCGCTTTGTTCTAGTACATCCAACAAGGCAGTCCATCTTGGCAGCCATATGCTGATAACTGAGAAGCCCTCTTGCTGCTACTAGTGGCGGACAGTGAAAACTGTGCAGCGGGATCTGGTGCAACATCGTGTTCCGGTCAAACAACTGGCAATTGCTGCGGTCAGACAAGCGCTCCAGTCCCCTTCGGGCGGTTGCGCATCGATTTCTGCATACTACGTTAGCCGTTGTCTCTTTCTCTCCTCGGAAAAGCGCTTGAATGTCTCTACGACCTCGCACCCTTGACAGTGCAGTGTACAGCTGTCCGTGCGCAAACGAATCGGTGCGCAAGTCGAGTACTGCTTTCTGGAATGTTAGGCCTTGACTTCCGTTGAACGTGGTAGCATAAGCTGGATGCAATGGAAACCGCTTTCGATTGACCGTCCAGCTTGAACCCGCTGGATTGAAGGTGAAGGCAGGCAGTATTTGTCGTGTCTCGGGAATTTGCACTTCTACAAACCTGCGATGGAGACTCATGATGCAGACACGCGCGTTCCGTACTAAACCTTTTTCGACTGACAGATTTCGTTGAATAGCGCATACTGCACCGACTTTAAGGTGCAATCGATGGGGAAGTGTATTCGGATGAGTCAACATTGCGAGATAGTCCGGAGTTTGTTCAGGTGCATCTGGAGGTACCTGCTCTGCTTCCTTAAGAGTGTCGGAACTGAAGTACGATTCTGTTCCGGCTGTCAGTATGTTTCGTCATTGTCCGTGTGATTCCATGCTCACCATAATCTCCTGGCAATGCATCTAATATATATAATCTCATTGAATTCGTCTAAAAGGTGTAGCATTTTGAATGCCAACGACGTCAGGAAGGAGAATGCGGAGATCAAAATGTATATGATTATGATGGTCACATGACATTCCACGAACTTGGGGCGGCACTTGTGACTTAGCTCTACGGCAACGACACACAATATTCTATGACCATTGATGAACTCAAATCCATCCCTTCGTGATCTCTACAACCCTCCCTCATCTGCATGGGCATTCATTCCTCCTCCACCTCCTATGCAGGACGCGAGAGTACCCGCACCCGCTCCTGCGGTGACCAGCTATCAATGGACTACTCGTCCTGCGCATAACTCAATTTTTGATTTGTCTCCTTCACTAGACCTCAGCGAACCTTGTAGTCTTGATGTGTCCCTGCTACTGCGCTCTCTAGTCGCTTCAGCATTGCTTCAGTATACAAGTACAGCACTTGTGATGCCACTGGAAGTAGGAAAGCTACTTCTTCAAATTCAATGGATTCCCAAGGATGCTCCAGCGCCATCTAGCCAGATATATGAGGAGGAAGAGGAGGAAGAAACGGTAGGTGGGCATCTAACACGTGTAATTTATATCATTGTAAGTTTCATCTTAGCTTAGCGACTCTACAAACGAGGACGAGTCCTACTTCGCGGATCCCGCCGCTTCGCACACAAAGTACCCCGCACCAAAGCCCGTTGACGATCAGGGCTATGTAATTAGGACGTCTGTGCTGGAAGACGGAACGCGCCCCGAATATATCATTCCTGTGGGCAGTATGAACGGCACTTGGGATATGGTGAAACGTGTCGCTACCTTCCGTGGAGAAGGCTGGCTTTCACTATGGAAAGGTGAATCGTTATCCTCTAATGGTGTCCTGTATCTGACCTCAGTCAATATGCGCAGGGCTACTCACATCTTGCATTCACGACGTGCTTTTTAGTAATGTGCAACCACTCGTCGACAGTCTTATGCATTCTGTATTCTTGTCGTCAGCCGCTGGGCTATATCGCCCGCCACTTCTTTTGCCGGTAGCATCGCATGTTATCACTGGCTTTCTGCTGTCGCCTTTGGATCTCGTTCGGACACGCTTAATTGCTCAATCGGCGATGCAACGCTACCGGACGTACACTGGGCCATTTGATGCATTAAGGCAGATAATAGCCCAAGAGGGAGGTATTAGAAGCGTCTATTTTCATCCCCAACTCCTTATCCCTACCATTCTGGACAATGGCCTTCGTCCTCTATTGCACATCCTCATGCCTACGCTGATCGCTCCTCGACTGGGTTTCGGTCCACACGTCGCTCCAGACATCAGCCCCATTGCATGGGCTTTCGCTCAAGTGCTAGGATCTGTGGCAAGCCTTCTCATCACGTTACCTATCGAGACTGTGCGCAGAAGGTTACAAGTACAAACACGGGGTACGGCGAAGGCACTGCGTACGTGCGCTGAGACGCGTCCTGTACCATACAATGGTGTCGTAGACGCGCTGTGGCACATTGTGACTGAGGAGAGGTCAGACCTTCCTATCAAGCGAAGATCAAAACCAAGAAAACAGCAGACGGAGCACGCGGAAGAAAATGATTCTGATGACCTGTTTGCGGAGAAGCAAGACGAATCCAGATGGCTCAGAAACACGGGTATCGGGCAACTATATCGGGGAATGAGAATGCGTGTTGGTGTTAGTGTTATCGTATTACTCTTGACTACCTTCGGAGGTCAACAAGAGGTAGACGGGGGTTGGGCAGAACTTTAGGCAGATTTTACTCTACATGATTCTCTCGTTCCTCAGTGGGCAATTATAACTCTCCTCAGCGCGTAGCTCTCTGTAATTAAATCATTAGTTCTAAGGTCAACAAATTAGGTATTCACTTTTGCTAGGACATGGGTGAATTATGACGCCAAATTAGGAAAGGCATATAACACCAAACGAGCGACGCGTCACTGGCCGCGCCAGTGAAAGTACTGTCTCTCTTATACTAAATCACAGAATCACCAACCAGAGCCAACAAACATGGTTAGCCCACTCTCCGACCTAACATATTCTACTGTGCTGATTTGCTGATTTTACACTGTCTACAGTCGATCATGGAATACAACGGTGGCTCCGTTATAGCCATGGTGGGGAAAGATTGTGTCGCCATTGCTTCAGATTTGCGGTTGGGAAGTCAAGCATTGGGCATATCCTCAAATTTCCAGAGAGTATGGTTTTTGTTCTCGTGTGATACCTCCCATCCTGCTAAGCATCATTGCTCGTTAGATATTTCCTGTCACTGATCGGGTATATGTTGGTCTGCCTGGGTTGGCCACTGACGTGACGACACTGTGAGTTGATTGTTTTCAGTTTTACTACTCACTAGCTAACGTAGCAGCATCTAGTCGGGAGCGCTTCCGCTATCGGGTTAATATGTATACCATCAAGGAAGAGAGAGAAATAGAACCAGAGACATTTGCCCACCTGGTTTCCTCGACGCTCTATCAGCATCGGTTTGGCCCTTACTTCATCGAACCAGTAATGGCTGGTCTATCGAAAACACCTTCCGGAGGTTTCAAGCCCTTCATCGCAGCCACAGATCTCATAGGATGTCTAAACTTTGCAAAAGACTTTGTGGTAGCTGGTACGGCGAGCGCAAAATTATTTGGTGTAGCAGAGGGCCTTTGGGAACCAGATTTGGAAGCTGAAGATCTGTTCGAAACTATCTCGCAAACGCTTTTGAATGCTGTCGATAGAGACGCGTACTCTGGTTGGGGAGCAATTGTCCATGTCATGTGAGTTTCTCCTGCTCCAGTTTACTTTCTGTCATTGATTTCTTTTCTACTTCATAGTACCAAGGACAAGATCATTACGCGTACACTGAAAGGTAGAATGGACTAGATTGTAATATCACATCGCAATGCACACTTATAACCTGAGTCAAACGCGTGTTCCGCCTGCAGAGCTAATTATCCTAGTGTATTGCTGCACTTGGTGATATTCAGAGCTACATACTTTGGATTTTCATCTCTTGAGTTTGGGTCTCAAACAGATATGATTTGTGTGCAGACTCGCTTGGACCCGGGCCTCCAGTTAGTAAGAGTTAGTAACTGCAGCGGCAACAAGGCGGCGACCAAAGTTACCAAACCTCGGCCATGTCGCTAATACAGTGCGTTTATAAACAACGTCTTCGTGGCAATTGGGGTCGATGGCTCGCAGGACGATCATCTTTCGTTGTCTCCTCACCGCTTGTGCTGTGCTGTTCGGTGTCCATCTGTTCTCGCGTCAACGCACTCATGTGCCAGCTGACTCAGATCAGACTCCTTGGGAGGGCCTCGCCAGCCCTAGTCGTCCCCTTGCGGCGAGCTTCTTGGTTGGAACAAATAGGTCTTCAAATGCTCAAAGGGCTAGCTCAGTTTCAGTGTCTCGATCCTATCCTGACGTGACAGCGGTCATTCTGAACTGGTCACGGCTCCCAAATGTTGTCCAGATTGTCAGTCTTCTTTGCGGTCCATGGTTGGAAGATGTCATAGCGGAGATTGTGGTATGGAACAACAATCCGAAGGAAATCACATACCAGGTGAGTGAAAAATCTGTAGACCCCATCTTATACACACCGTTCAAGTTCTTTCTGGCCAGACCTTCGCGAAGACAGGTTGCCCTTCCGAAAAGTTGAAGATATACAACTCGCCTCATAACATCTACTTTCAAGCTCGATACGTTGCGTGCGAACAGGCTACCACTCGTTTCTGCTTCCTGCAGGTCGGTAGACAATGTTATCTTTTGGGCTCATGTTCTGAGATAGGATATTTGAATTTACAGGATGACGACTACCTTATTATGCCTGAGGTTATTCGAACTCTGCATGCTCGGGTCTTCGGAACTCCTGACCACTCAATACACCTTCTGCCCCCACATGAGGTTTTATCCACTCAACTACGTACAACGATTACGTCCGACGGTGTGCACACTTCGTCCGCATGGCTTGGACACGGTACAATTCTGCCTCGAACTGGCGCTGCGGACTTCTTGGCGCTCTTACATCATCTGAATGCATCTGAGAATGAGATGGAGATGGCAGACAACTATTTTACGATCCTGAATAATCGGATTCCTGACGTTTGGTTCGATCAAGGTATTGAGCTAGGAGGTGGTCAACCATTCACGGTCGGAATGGAAGGTAATGAACGTAATAAAATCCATATTGTTAGTGAAATTTCCTGACACCGCTACGCAAATTATGAAGTCACACTAACTATGGAAACACAGATCAATGCCTCTCGGTACCTGGAAACTCTCTTGAACGCGTTCAGAGCTTCAGATATATCTCATAAATCGAAATTACCGTTCATCGAAGTTGATACGGTAACCCCTACTGGTCATCAAGTATCTCAAGCGCCGTGCCTGGGTGATTCATGTTTGCTGCAGACGAATATCCCTTTACTACCATCAAACTTGAAGGCTGAAAGTCATTCGGCCGATGATATAGTTATGCAGGAATTACGAAGTATCCAGTCTTTGGGTCAGGACGCCGTGGACCATTTCTTGCGATTCCCTCCTTCTCAGGCTGTCGACGGCCGCCCGGATACTGCATTCCGCAGTCCATTTCGTACGTTGATGGGCAATGAGTTGAAGTGTGGCGATTGACACCTTTTGTCAGCGGCACGACGGGGTGACTTCGTAAGCCTGGACATGCTGTCACGCATGGGCTCAGCAAGCGATTCCACAATTGAAATAACGCTACTAGTTACGAAAGAAACGGTGGACATTTTACGCCAAGTCCAGTTCGAATCCTCTCCAGATGCTGTCAACTGGGTAAATTCATGTGCTTCAGTCAGCTTAGCTTCATCGTGTTAACTTGGCGCATTAAGGTTGTCTCCACGCATGAATTAGTGTGCGAAGAAACCGAATTGACCGGGCTTCGCGGTCATAGATCCCCGCCTCGCAAATTGCAAGAATGTAGCGTGCAGTCGCAGGAGACGGATCATCGGTTCTTCCGAGCGAGTTTACAGGTTGATATACCGTCTTCCCCTCACTGGATGATCTACGAATTTTGGATAAGGTGGTTAGCATAATATATTAGTTCTGTATCTAACATCGCACTGAGTATATTCATTTTTAAAAATCAACTTGCTTATCAAAGGCTGCAGTTCCGCTCGAGCTAGCCAATTGTAGTTGGTTGAAAGTTGAAACTCAGGGGTCGCTTATATCAAGTGCTTATGTTGTTACGTCACCTGTACCGCTTCTTCAACGTTAACCCTACGACCATCTCCACTGCATTTTTTTATTGACTAGCTTTTATTATGTTGCCATCTCTCGCAAACAGATCTATTCATAAAGTCGCGCTCTCTGGAGCGCGCAGAACGATATCCGTCCAGGTAGCGCACATTCAACGTTGCGACAGTTGTCCTAATGGAGTGTTCTCTAGAGTCTCCTCCACGGATCACCAGAAGCGAAGAAAGCAGGAGATATCGAGATTCAACAGCACTCAAGGATAGTTGCTAGGGGAAAATATGTTCACGGCTTTGAGGGTGAGAAGCGAATACGAGCTTCTTAGGACTTCGTCTGACAACTTACATCCTAAAAGTTCATCGAGTTCAGCCAGGGGCGCTTGACGAGTACAAGGCCGCAGCGTAAGAAAATAATTCCCATCTCTTAAAGGGCACTTTTTGAGAAATGGTTGACTTATTCAGGGAGAAGTATTACGCTGGAATAAAGGATGATCCACAGTTGCACGTCAAGCTGACCGGAAGTTGGGAAACCGTAGTGGGACAACAGGACACTTTTGGTATGTTTTTCAAGGACATCATAGGCTAATTGTCTTGATGTTGCGCGCGACGTCAAGTTCATATACTCGAATACGAGAATTACGCCGGCTTTGACAAGACCACTGCACTCATAAGAACGTCAGATGTATGAGTCTACTCATCTCGAGTATGCATCGGCTCATCGGGTATCTGTTAGCACGCCAAAGCGTACAAGGCGCTTCTACCTTACGTTACTTCACGGTCATCTCAGCTCACGCAAGAGTTTGCTTTCTTTCCCACTGCACCACCCCACGCCCAAGGCGGCATCTTCGAGCTTCGGAGCTACCAGTTAAAACCAGGAACACTACTGGAGTGGGAAAATGCATGGTTCGTTTCAACTTTTTTGGAAGTTTTGTTCTTACAGAAGCTTGTGCAGGCGGAGAGGCATTGAAGCTCGTCGCAAGTTCGTCGCACCCATCGGAGCTTGGTTCTCGCAGGTTGGAAGATTACACCAGGTGAACCACATGTGGCAATACCCGTTCGTTGACCAATAGATACTTCACGTTGATATAACTAACGTCTTGCGAACAGGAGTCTCGAGGCAAGGAAAGAGTTACGTGAGAAAGCATGGCAAATTGACGGTTGGGCGGAGACTGTGTCTAAAGTATGTGGAACGACTTTTCCTTGAAATGCACTTACCGTAACACATCAAACTCAGACTTCCCAGCTTGCGACGCACATGGATTCATTCATTCTGCTCCCGCTCTCTTACAGCCCCTTGAAATGAGGACGCACATAGCCGTGCGAGTGATGTTCCAGGATGTTCTGCTCTGTCTACTGCGAGCATGCTCCTCATCGAATCTGAACGAAGCCTACTTCAGGCTCCTGATATCTTATCTTGCGTCGGCCATGTTCTATTTATATACTCCACCATGCTAAGGACTAAACGCCATTCCAACTGTATTACCCTCAATACCTCTTCATCCATTCCGCGTAGTTGTTTGTGCATCCACTGTCGCTTTGAAATGGAGAGCACAATGCTTTTTTTATTCGCAATATGAGACTTTTCAGCCATTAAGGACATGGGAGCCATTATTCTTGATCAAGAAAGTCTTAAGATCCGCGTATATATCAGATGTGCAAGAATAGAGCTACCAGAGCGTCACCAAAGCCATTTCTTGTTACACCTCCACCTTCACGACTCCTGGTCCCTTGAAATTCAACCACTCCTCATAATACACGCACTCTTGTGGGTTCGTAGGCCCCTTGTCGCGACAGAAGTCGAATACTGGACATCTACCGCATGGAGCTTGGGACCATCCCAGCGCGACTCGCTCTTGGCGGATTGCTCGGTAGACAAAGGCTCCTCCGACGTTGATATTGTCATCCACCTCCGGAGACTCGAATTTGACGCGTTTTGAACTCGAGGATGGCTTCTTTGTCTTCGCTTTCGTCTTCTTCGACTTTAATTTTGAGCTCGATTTCGATTTCGATTTCGATTTCGAACGACGATGGTCAGAGTCGGATTCGGATTCAGAGTCATCGTCAGAGGAATCATCAAGCTTCTTCCCTTTGCGCTTGCGCTTGCGTTTAGACGTCGAGGACTTACGATCATCATCATCGCTGTCTTCGCTCTCGCTCTCATCCTCTTTTTCCCGGCTCTTCCGTTTCTTATTCTTCTTAGTTTTGTGATTCTCCTCCTCATCGCTCTCTTCCTTCTTACTTCGTTTCCTCTTCCGTTTCTGCCGTTCCTCTTCTTCAGACTCGTCATCATCACTGTCGCCCTCACTGGAACTGCTTGATTCCTCCGTACGCCGCCGTTTTCGCGTTTTAGTTTTACGTTCTTTCTTCTTTTTTGATGAGCTGCGTTTACGCTTTTTGCGAGTGGCTGTGTCTGAGTCCGAGTCCGAGCTAGATCCAGAAACTGAATCATCAGAGTCGACTGTAGCGTCCCAAGCAGATGCCGTGAACGCAGGTAACTATAAACCAATCAATCAGCATACAATTACAATGAGGGCAATGAAGTAAAGCAAGAAACCTGCCTTCTCGACCTCCCCATCCAACTCTAACACTCTTAAAAGCATCTCAACATGCTCAACGCCCAATTGGGTCTCTGTGATCTTGCTCTTACTTAAAAAATGTTGAATGTGCTGAGCAGATGGGTAGGAAGGCGCAGCGCTTATGGAGTAGAGTCTGTATTCGTTTTGGGCTTTGGAGCTTTGTTTGGGGAAGGACTGCCGGAAAAGAATATTGTGAGTGTGAATTGTGGGGTGAAGGAAAGGGACGTACACGGTCACGGATGTAATGCAGACATGCAGTCGAAAGGAGCTTGATGAATTCCGTGTCGAGTTCGTTGTCGGTGTACCATGGCCCACCTGTAAGCTCAACTGAAGGTTCTAGATGCGCGAGCATGTAGATCTTGCGGGTTGGGTGCTAGCGTAGCGTAGTACAAGTATATGAGGAAATGTACCAAGAACTTTGGATGGTGGAACACACCCTGACAGCTTTGATAGCCTTCACGAGCTGCTTCTGAACGAGTGATTTGAGGCATCTATCAATGACGGTTTGGTGCAATTCCGTTTTGGCTTTGAGGTGTTTCGTCCAGATGCCTGTGCGTTACATGAAATAAGATAAGTCTTGCCGTTTGATTCGACACGTGGCAACTCACCTTCATTTGCTGAAGCTTGAATATGACCGAGCACCATGGCCTCTTCACCGCTCATGTCTTTTTTCCTATGTCCTGCACGTCAGGGGGTTCTCAGTGGAAACGTAATGGAGACATTATACACACACTTCTATCTCCTTTTTCATCACAGCTCGGAAGGAGATGACGCCTGCTGCGTTAGGACAGGACTTTGAGCATGCCCTTCGAGTTTGCATGTCAAGATGATGGAAAGATACATCGTGTGGAAGTGCTCACAGCTCCCAGAAGGAAGTTGACTGCTGCAGTGCGTGCGGACACATCTGGGACGATTTTTTCAGCTTCTCTTGAGGTTAATACCTACCAATGAATGATGAGTATGACCAGTGTGATATTTATGGGATGATCGAGAGAATTGAGCTCGCCTTGTCTGTGCTAGAAAGCGCGGCTTGATGGAGCTTTTGCTCTTCGGGGTTGAGCTTTCGCCCGCTCATGGTGTGGATGCTGCTCGAACAGATCGATCAAGTCAAGTGTAGAGGACAGCTGATTTAGATTAGGCCTTAGGAGGGTGCAATCAGCCACGTGGCACATATGTAGCTGTGATTACTGAATACGCTGCTTACGTGGTATGTCAGCCGTTGAAACTCCGCCTGAAACAACCCTGAAGCCCAAGACTGTGACCCCAAGAGTCTTTAACTAACTTTGACCCAGTATTTGTTCTTTCCTGGATCAAATTGACGGCCCATGCTTACATAAACATTACTAAAAGTGGAAGAAGCGCGTCTTATTAATCCTTCTATAAACGCGACCTCTCAGACATCTTTCGAAACTCTCCTTTGATCGTCATGTCCGCTCACCAGTGGAACGAATCAGAGCCTTCTGATGAAGAAGTTAGTCAAGAAACATTCGCAATTAGGAAGCGCAGCAGTAGAGGTGCGCCCAGTCTGGGCATTATTCGACTTGTAGTTGAATTATGTTAGCTTGTGATCAGTGCAGAAAGACAAAGAGCAAGTGCGAGCCATCCCCAGCCGCTGGTACCTGCAAGAGTTGTACGATAGCGGGAAACAGTGCGTAACACAACTAAGGCATTCCATACATCCCAATTTACTCTATTTGATTGCAGCATGTACATTTCTGGGTAAGCGTTATTTGCATGAGCGCCGGTGAGGAAGCCAATATTGTTGCCAGGTCCCAGTTATAAGCGCGGTCCTCCTAAGGGTTACATACAAGCGATCGAACAACGATGGCATCAAGTGGAGTCCCTTCTTGGCGCCGTTCTCTCTTGTCCAGATACCCGAGTACGACAAATCATAGCCGATATTAGGCAAGATGATCTTGCAAGGGAAATTCTCAATCGAGTAGATACGGGCCCATTTGTAAGTGCTGACGTACATTCAACAACTAAATGGAGCAAATTGTTTGATCCGAATCTGCAGGGACCTTCTGGCAAATTATCACAGCCAGCAGGGGCGACAAAAGAAGACTTCTTCGCATGTATATTCCGAAGTAACGAAGCTTCCGCTCGTGATTCTCCCCGTTCCCGAAGGCAGTCCAGGATCTCGAGAGAAATTGTATCATCGTCCAGAGGTAAGTAACTAGCCTTGGGGAATACCTGAACGTCATGCAAAGCGCCTTTTGTAGACAATACACTTTTAACCATACCAACTTCAGAGTGGCAGGATCGCCTGTCAGCGAGTCTGACGAGAGGACATGTCGGCCATCATGGTGTCTCGCCAGCCTACAACCTTAGCGGACCTCCTATGCAGCAGCGTCGGCGGCTCGACGTACCGTCAACTAGTAGTGATGCACAGCAACTAAACTGGAATGATATGTACACTATGGATGCACTTTCAGGTGAGGGTCTTACTCTATACGTATTTGATCTGATCAGCCAATACGATGATAGAATCAGAAGGTACAGATGAATCTAATGTCCCGGATACTGCTTTTGGTCAACTCTCTCTGGATGAGAATCAAGAGGTCAACGAGCTTTGGAATTTGTGTCTGGAATCTATGTTCATATTCTTATATTAGGTTCGGTACCATGGCAAAGTTAGTGGTCTCCATCTTTTGGGGCGTAGCTCTCGTTTGGATAGCAGACATGAGGGGGGAATATGGTTCGTTTTCAACTCTGATTACTTCTATGCGTAGTCATGACTGTGATGACAGGAAACTGCCTATGGCACGTTTTTGGCCCTCCGCAAAGTCCAATGCAGTTCCTGTTCCACCAGCCGAAGGCGTTGTTGTCAACTTGCCTTCCCTTGTGGTGCAAGATCGTTTGGTTGATTTATATTTCACTTACGCCCACCCATTTTTTCCTGTAATCCACAAAGGGCGGTTCCTAAGAGAGTATAGCGAGTGGTGAGCCTGTCACTCTTGTGTCTATCTGTCATTCTTCTGACTGTGACATAGGAAACAAAAGTAAGCTGCTCAACAGGACTGACATTGACTTGCTTACAACGTCAGCCAAAGTAGTAATCCAGCTACACCAGAGGCTGCGGGGGGCACTCCATACTACTCCAGTCCAGAACCTTCACAAAACTTGACCAAGCTGCTTCTGTTGGCTATATTTGCCATTGCCGCTCGTTATCTGGATGACAACCCTGCTACATCTATTGATGCGATGTGGGAGGCTGGCAATGACTACCTTGCGCAAGCGAGAGCAGCTCTTGGTAAATAATATTTTTAGTTTTGACTACATGTACTTACCAATGGCATAGCGCAAGTCTATCACAGTTCTCGCGCAACTACTTGTCAAGCCTTGCTTCTTCTGGGTCATCGTGAATTTGGGATAGGTTAGTGATTGAAGCAAATTGTTTGAACGACATGTTCATGAGTATCATCTAGGTTCTATGGAGCAAGGTTGGCTGTACATTGGTATGTATGCGTCGCTGATTTACGCTCGCCCTGTCTCATGGCTTTCCGGTCGCAGGTATGGCAATTAGAATGGTTAGTATGGTGAATCGTTTGAAGGCAGGGTACTTAGCTATGTGTAGGCCCAAGACCTTGGATTAAATCGTGCTGCGGATAACTGGCAACTTAATGGAAGAAAAATGTTCTCCCTTGAGGAGAACCAGGTCAGGAAACACATATGGTGGGGTTGTTGCATTGCCGACAAGTGCGAAATCCGTATCTCTGGGAAGATGTTGCACTAATGACTGTTCATAGATACACTTCTGTATATATGGGTATGTCTCATGCATCTTCTTTGGCACACTCAACCGTCCCCCTTGCTAGGTCGACCCGTGTCTATCGGTGAAGGCGACTTTGATACACTTCTTCCGGATCCCGCTGAAGTACGCTCAAACCCACGACGTGTTAGTCATTCACTCACTTTCTTCTTCTGCAGTACAATGAAGACACCTCCGGCGACCTAGCCACATCGCACCACATTTCGACACCGCTGACAATGAGCTGCTTCAAGGCTGCTGCAACACTATGTTCGTATACCTTATCCGCAGACTATGTGCAAACCTGATGGAGATGCAGCCGTTTTGATTGGTTCCATTGTGACAATGATTTATCCAGTTCGCTCAACGGGAAGAGGCTCACGGCGGGCAGTCTTGAGTAATCTGGAGTCTAGACTGGACCAGTGGTACATCGACCTTCCTGATAATCTTCGGTACGACCCAGCTAGCAAGCGAAATACTCCGCCACTGGCGGTTCTATTTATCCATATCCAATATTGGTCCGCTGTACTATTGTTACACCGAGCGTTGTACGTTAAACGTCGGAATATTCAATTGGTGTCACTAATGCCTCTACAGTATCCCTGATTGGAAAGGGTGATTCATCTGTCACCTTGATACCTTGAAGAGTCCAAGTCTGATCTTCTTACTCTAGCTCGGAACAGATATTACAGAATCCTCCCAACGGATCTGACACAGCCTCCCTAAAAGCCTTTGATCTCTGTCAAAGTGCCGCCACTTATGTCAGCACAATAGGTATGTGCACTCGACTAAATTTCTTTGATGCACGCTGATTTCAACCTAGTAACGACATATCACGAGAACTTCCATATTAAATGTAGTTCACCGTTCTTGTCATCGTATATTCTTAGTACTGGGTTTGTTTTATCATTCGTATTAGTAATATGTAACTTCTAATCCCTAACATTTATTCATCAGAATTATGCACATCGTGACATGCGAGTACTTTCCTTTGAAGGACGTGCACCTCTCTGAATCCTCTTCCCTTACCAGTGACCCTCCGGCCATCAAATGTCCAGGCTTATATTGGCTTGCGACAATGTCTTGCTGTTTTGAAAGAGATGCAGGTCAGCCCGAGCTACTATTATCCACACCTAATCTTACCTTAGCCAAGACTACATGGCCTAGCGCCGGAAGAGTCTGGGATCTTCTTAATGGTGTTAGAGTACAGGTTGACAGCAACATGCCACCTTTGGTGCATGGTCCTGATCGTCAAAAGAGAGCGGCAGATGATGCATTTGGAGAAAGGAGCTCTGACGTACTGCAACACGAGGCATTTGGTGATGTTCTTCAAAGGGAACGTGTTCCACAGAGCAGCGGTATCCAGGAGATTAGCACCCGAATGATGGCGCATATGCTTGGTCTTGACATTCCTGGCATTGAGCCCTCGACGTCGTATTACCCAGGTTACGAGTGGTGGCCACGAGCCAACCAGATTTCACCTCAGTCGTATCACGGATCATCGACAAGTGCATCTTCGCTGATCAATATGGATTATCCTTTACCAAACAACCAAGACTGGAGCGTTCAAAATCCCACCTCCGACTATTCTTACGAGTATCAGATTGCGCCACCTGGTCGTTATCGCATGTAGTGGGCTAATCACCTTTGTCTCCCTAGCGTAGAACGCCACCAATAATAATCCATCGTCCCTCATCTCCTGCTCCTGTTACTCAATTAGAAGGTACAACATTGATTATGTAACTTATGTAATGGACCTACAAGAACCTCTAAATTGAACGATTACAATTGTCTGCGAACCTATGTTTCGCCCTCAGAAATACTATGTCGAGTCTGAAAAATTTGTTGAACCCCGAAGATGACTCTACAACCATGTATCAGTATGTGCACCTGTTCTCGGATTTTTTTGGCGGCTTATTCTGACACCTCTATTTGCTACCCCCTTTGTATTCGCCAACAGCTCAACAACCGGACAACCTATTTCCACGAGCTCCTCCTCTCCCACCTCGGATGGCAGCGCCAACGCAACAGTAGAATTTCCTCAATACGATCCACCATACAAAGAGCATGGTCCTCATCCAAATTGTCCTGACACTTTAGCCTGTCTTCCAGATACGGATGGGCGACCACAGCATACTCTTCCAGTAATCTTGCGATGTGCAATTCTTGGCAGTGCACGGAGACGTCTCACTATTCGCGAGATATATGCTGCAATGGAGGAAAAATATCTGTATTTCAGGACTGCGGGGCCAACATGGAAGGTCAGTGCACTAGGGTGTGATGGCTAAAACTTTTGCGTTCAAACTTGAATTACAGCAATCTGTCCGCCATCACCTGTCTTTGAATAGATTATTTGAAAAACAGCCTCGTCCCGTCACAGACCCTGGCTTCGGCTCTTACTGGACAGTTAATCTTTCTGCTCCCCCAGGCACCAAGCGGCCACGGAAGCGGGGAAGACCTACAAAGGCTGCCGAGGAGCCATCTAACTCCACTCAGCAGAAGAAACGGGGACGACCTCGAAAATCTATTGATCCGTTATCTCCCCTGAACTCACTGGCTGTGGGCTCGGGACGTTCGATCCCGCCGTGCAACATTTCCGCCGTACGCACCGGGGGAAACGACCACGATGGTAGAAATGGCGAGGACGATATGGATCTAGGTGCAGACGTACATGAGATGAGTGAGGATGAATACGAGAGCGAGGAAGATATGGTTGTTCCTCCTCATCAGTCACCATTTGCCGGACTTGGCGCTTTTGGACTAAACGAGGCCCCTTCTCGTTTACTGAGCCCCTCAACATCCCGTGCACTGATTACCCATTCCGATGAAAATATCGTGGACCGATTGCAGATCGAAATGGCGGGATTGCGGAGGCAGTCTGCGGATGCGATATCTGTTTCGGTAAAGATATCAGATCAGCTAGCGGAAGCTCAGGCTGAGGCAGCTAGAGCGAGGACTGCTCTCAGAACAGTCGAGGCAATGCTGGAGGAGGAGGTCATAAAGAGGAGGGAAGCTGAATCTTTAGCAGACCAAGAAGCTAAGTTGAGGCGAGTGGCAGAGGACACGATTACACGCATGCAAAGTCAGTGGCAGACTGACCATCGAGCTACATAAAGTATGTTTGTCCTTTCTTATATTAATTTGATGTATGAATGTTGACACATTCCTCGTACCAGTAGCACATTTAGACCGTTAGCGCAACTTGAAACCCAAACGAGTCGTCGTCTGCTATCCTTCCTGGACGTTCCTACTCCGATAACTAGTTTTCAGCTACTCACTGGGACTCATCAATGGACTCGACATATTCTACGAATCTTCTTTACTTTCTCAATTCATTGGTGTACAAGGGTACTCTAGAATGTCTGAACATGTATATTGCGGCGGAATGGACGAGTAGTTTTGGAAAAGGAAATTAGAGGATACAAAACCAAATAGACTCGTGAATTTTGTATATGCCCCGAAGTCAACCCAAAGTTACATTAGATGGCATCCACAGGTGGCAAATCCAGATTGAAAACAGTGTGAGTTCCTTTGCGTGCCATCTCCACGCTCCAGCGTTCTGAGTTTCTGAGCAGCTACAAAAACAAGCGTTCTATTGGACCGCTTCATACTTGCGGATCTGTCGCGGTCACTGGTGATGGGAGCAGACTCGTTACTTGTGTCGCAGAGGAAGCTGTACTCACCAACATTTTGACGGGCGAAGAAATATGTCGGTTTGCAGGGGTGAGTTATTCCGCCCTCAAAACGTTAGGAAACGCCATAGTTGATGGCTGAAGCAATCTAGGACACTCAATCAATTACTTCGCTGTGTTTGACCCCATCGGCTTCGCAACTGATCGTATTCACGTCTACTCCTTCTTTGCGTGTGTACGAGATCCCCACTGCTGCCGTGAAAAATAAAATTCATCCCGTCCGGGTGGTTGCTCGTGCACATGATGCCCCCGTACACGTCTGCACCATTGATCCATCCTCCACATATATTGCTTCGGGCTCTGCGGACGGTGTTGTCAAGGTTTGGGACATCAAACGCGGCTACATCACCCACGTCTTCAAAGGGCACGGCGGCATTGTGAGCGCGTTGAAGTTCAACTTTCCCCTAGACCCTTCGGTCGTGGTCCCACAAAATATACACCAACTCATCACAGCCTCCGTGGATACTCGCATCCGGATATTTGATTTAACGGCGACCTCAAGCAAGGGAGATCAAGCTGCGCTACGGCCGATCGCTATTCTCGAAGGACACGTTTCTGTTCCCCGGGGTTTGGACGTGACTCCTGACGGAAAATGGCTTATAAGCGGGGGAAGAGACTCTGTTGTTTTGGTGTGGAACTTGCACGCGAAGTCAACTGGAGCAAAATCCTCAGAAGCCACTAAGGGGAAAGGAAAAAACAATTCACCTGTACTGACTCAAACTATTCCTGTCATGGAACGCGTCGAGGCAGTTGGGCTGTTGCAGGCCGAGGACTCGGTTCCTAGTAGTAGCGCTCCCAAACTGCGCTTCTACACTGCTGGGGAGAAAGGTATTATCCGGATATGGGACGTAAAGGATTCCTCCGTCTTATATTCCCTCAGCCAGGTGGCAGACCTACAGACTGAAGATCAAGAGGAACAGCGTCAGATTGTAGAAGCTATGTTAGTACAAGTCTCCTCCCGTGTACTTTTGTTACTAACAGCACGCTTTCAGCTACTTGCCGTTAATATCGACGATCGTCTCGGTACATGCAGACCAGAATATTCTGTTCTACGACCTGAACACCCGAAATCTCCACCGGCAACTCATTGGTTTCAACGACGAGATCGTTGATGCGGTTTTCTTGTCTCCAAATGCTCCAAAATCTGTCGATTCTCACATCGCATTCGCTACAAATTCATCCCTCATCCGAGTTTATTCAACTACAGGGCTTGATGCGCGGCTTTTGACTGGTCACACAGAAATCGTGTTATCACTTGACCATGGCGCGGGAGGCAAACTCTTCGCGAGTGGAAGCAAAGATCGCTCTGTTCGATTATGGGCGCCTACATCTCTGAACAACGACCTGCTGACGGAGTGGGGCTGCGTTGCTATCTGTGAAGGTCATGCAGAAAGCATAGGCACTGTCGCAATGTCGCGAACTTCTGGCGAAGTTGGCACCACGAGTGTGCAATTTATGTTCAGCGGTAGTCAGGACCGCACGATTAAGATGTGGTATATTGGTGACGTGCCACTGGTTTTCGATGCCTCCCAGCATGGCCAAAGCCTCATGAAGTGCAAGAGTTTGACCACTCATAAAGCACACGAGAAAGACATTAACTCTCTCGACGTCGCACCCAACGACCGCCTCTTGGCATCTGGATCGCAAGACCGTACAACTAAAGTATATGAAATTAAATTTTCACGTGCAACTGGAGACCGCTCTGCACATGGAGAGATCAAGCTACTGGGAACCTGTAAAGGTCACAAGCGGGGCGTTTGGACAGTCAAGTTTGGTCGCTCGGAGCGCGTGCTCGCAACCGGAAGCGGCGATAAAACTGTAAAATTATGGAACTTGGAAGATTTCACTTGCGTGAAAACGTTCGAGGGACATACCAACTCGGTGTTGAGAGTTGATTTCATCAATCACGACATGCAGCTTGTTACATCTGCATCCGACGGCCTTGTCAAAATGTGGAATGTACGCGAAGAAGAGTGCACGGCTACCATGGACAATCACGAAGACAAGGTGAGACTGCTCGCTCTCTCATTTTAATTGAAGTTAATCCTTTTGCAGGTTTGGGCACTCGCCGTTAGTACGGATGAGCGTGTGATTGTGTCTGCAGCAGCGGACTCTGTGGTGACATTCTGGCAAGATTGCACCGAGGAACAGGCACAGGAGAACGAGGCTAAACGTTCTGAGCTAGTCTTGAGGTTTGAAAGTCATCAAGTATATCTTGTTCAAGCTCATGTTTTTTTGTCAGGGAGCAAGATTTCATGAACTATTTGTCCCTTCATGACTATCGCAAAGCTATACAACTTGCCCTCGCTATGCAGCAGCCCGGGAGATTGTTGTCCCTGTTTAAAGATATTCGTGCCACCTCATCGGAATTCGCAGCTGATGCATCATCGGTGACTGGCAATGATGCAGTTGATGAGGTGCTACGGACCCTCGGCGGATCTGATCTTGCCCGCCTCTTACGCTATGTTCGTGACTGGAATCCCAATGCTAAGACAAGTGGAGTGGCGCAAGGGGTGTTGTATGCAATCATGAAGCTGAGATCGGCGGACGATGTCATAGCGGCATTTACGGACGAAGCTCAGGAAGGTATATTGCAATCCTCTGGTCAAGAGAGCGTGAAAAGTACCGCGAGCGGCGACACTGCACTGAAGGAACTCATCGATGGTATGATTCCATACACCGAACGGCATCTCTCAAGAATGGACCGCCTTGTTCAGGATAGTTTCGTGGTGGACTATATCTTGAACGAGATGGATGACGGAATGTTTGATGGTCAGGACATAGATACTAGTACTATGGACGTAGATACAGAGGTCAGTTCATAGATTGCATTTCCGGCAAACCAGTAAAAGTAGTCTAGAGTTTGGCATAATCACCCGTATTGGTTGAAGTATGCAATTTAATCCGTCCTAACCGGCAACCAATGACACCGTTAGAAACAAGCACCCACTCATCATCCTTGATGCTGTCAAGTGTAAGCTCATCCTCTACTGCTTCAAAAATGCGATGTTGTTCAATAAGCCACCGTCGCAAAATGCCAGATATGCAACCAACGGCCAAAGGGGGAGTGACCCAACGACAGTTGCGATAGAATGCAACATTACAAACAGACGACTCAGTGACAACATTCCGGGTATTGTACAGGATGACATCATCAGGTGCATCGCTAGCTGGTGGGTCTAACGAGCCCACAGGTTGGAGGCCAGCTCGGATACGTGCGTCGTCATAGGCCCGCCTATCTGTTGTCTTCAATGATATGGTGTCTGATGTTGGCTGGCTATCGATATGAATGATGAGGACGGGCGTGGGGGGAACGTCTGTTAAGGGATTGAAGAGAGATGGCAGGGTTGGATCGCTCGTGAACGCTTTAACCGGGGTTACAGTGGCAGAAAGCTCTCCAGAAGGATTTAAAACGACGCGAATCTAGTAAGACCATTAGTGTTTCATGTATCGTCTCGTGTTAAATGTTAATACCTTCAACGGTGTTTCCCCCCTAGAATCATTGTGCTCACGGACAACTTTGTCACATAATGCCTTGACGTTGGACAAAGTGGTTCCATGACGGAAAGTCTTCTCATCGAGCGCGGCAGACGCGATGAGACGGTCTGCTTGGTAATGAAGGAGAAGATAAGGTGATGGCCCGTCTATGTCATTGTTCCAAACACATGACATTAAAAGGGGGTCATATCGTGTGGACGCGAGAAGGGCGTATGACATCGTAGAAGCACTGCGGAGAGCTAATTCTCAGCTGGAAATCAACAAACGTTATGAATTTATAATTACAGTTATCATACGTAGTCGCCAGCTCATCGACATGATCCTGAGATATCCGACCGTCCGACGACTCCGACCTCATCCGCGCATAGTCATCGTTCACACGCATCACAAATATATACAATAGTCTTGTGACTATCATTGAATGAATGCATTAGTATGACAGGATGGCCTGCTCCTAAGTGGGCTGTCTGAGTGTAGCTGAGCCTGTTGCAGGTTTTGACTGGAGTACTGAACAGGTCAGATAATATCCTAGGATGACCAATCCTGATACCAAGCTTACCTAAGCAACTCAAGAGTCAACACACAGATCCAAACAGTGAATAACAACCTTATAATGTAGCAAAGCCGGTCCCTCAGGTGCAGACCTCTAAAGAGCATGCAGTGGTATTGTCGTAAGGTGATCGTGATCTATTGCATGGCAAGGAGTATACGGGTTGTACGGGGTAAATGGATAGCAATACGGATCACAAGGGAATGAATGTAAACTAACTGTATACTACCAGAAACGATCTGTCGAGCGTCCTCCTGCGTAATAAATTAGACGAGCGAATCAAGGAGGGGATGTGGGCACTGACTACCACATCCACTACAAATGCAGACAAGTAAGCGGTTTACTTGCCACCAGTGGTGCCGAGACCCATCGATGCCTTGAAGGAGTCGTAGATCCACCATTGGAAGCCTTAATTAACGTGTTAGTCAGCTATTTTCAAACAGAGTACGATGCACACGTACCGGTAAGAGTACCAATCATCAACACACGGGTGCCGAGACCCTTGGTTGCAAGTGCGGCGAAACCAGTTTCTGATGCGATCGTGCCAATGCTCTTGCCCTTGTTTGCAGGCTTACCCATGAGAGAGACGACGGAGTCAGCCGGGTGGGAGACAATAGCGCAGACAACACCAGCGAGGTAACCAGAAGCAAAAGTGACTCCGAGTTGAGTGGTCTTGGCATAAGACTCCTTGGGTTCGGTGAAAACGCGAGTGTAGAAGACCTGGACAATCTTCTCAAAGAAGAAGAACTTGGCCATGGTGTAAGGGATCTGTAAGAAAAAGTTGTGAGCAATTCAATCAGAAAAGAAAACGGCTATTCTAACCTGACGGGACCAGAGGGGAACAAGGGAGCCAAAGGGGTAGCGGGTCTCAACCTTGGTCTTGCTCATCTCCGCGAGGGCAGCACCAAAGGCCGTAGGGAACGTGCCGCTGGGGCTGGTTTGGATCTTGACTTTCGTCATCTCGAGAGGGCAAAGGGCGATGTCAGCGAAGACCTCTGCAGATGCAGAACCAGCGAGCCAGATGGCGGGCTTGTATTTGTTAGAAAGCTCTTCGCCAGCCAAGTTCATGTACTGGTCCTTGAACACTTCATAAAGACCGTACTTGAACATGCCTTGTAACGAGTAACCGACAAAGGTGGGACCAAAGCCTTTCCAGATACCGGTCTGACCCTCCTCACGAAGCAGAGTCGCAAGACCAGACGTGAGACCCTTGTATTTTGCAGGATTTACCTGTCCGAAAAAGTTATGAGATGCGACACGGGACCTGGAAGGACAGGATAGGCTGACCTGCATGTTACACTTGGCCACGTCAAGAGGAGTGATACCAGCATGAGTGATACCGCACGCAAGAACACCACCGAGCATGCACTTGGCATAGTATGAAGAGTCGTGAGGGACAGGGCCAAGGTATCTTCGGAAAGCATGAAATGAACATTGAAAACCAACTCCACACGATACAAGATAATAAATACCTTGCGTCCCACTTGCCAGTTGGTGCTAGATGCGACATCGCTAATATTTTATGAGACTCTAAACAAATATCTATAGAGGTCCTTGATTGAAGGAGCCTTGCCAGCAAGCGTGGGCTTCGAGGTCGAAGTAGGAGAAAGACTTCAAGAAGTGCTTGCCGTGTTACGGCGAACCAAAATTTAACACTCTTTCCGCAAACAGCCGATCGAACAGGGTGGGAAAGACTTGCAAGCGGACCCGGTGCTTACTTGAAATAGTATTATATTTGTCGCTCTCTCTCCCCTTGCTTATGAGCGTTGCAGTGATCAAGAGCTTCACACAAATCAGCATTTGCCGGTCATTAAGCATCTGCCGGACTCAACAGCGAACGCCAGACCACCCACTGGAAGTAAGTACAATGATCACAGCAGCGGTTCAAGGCAAGCACCATGCACTTGCCAAAGTGAATGGAGTTTGCAGACTCCATTAACCCTACTTGGCTTCCCACTCAAGTAAAGGATGTCGCAGCTGAGAACCAATTTCTCCTTTGATGCAATCGATAGAGGAGTCGCTTGACGCATTTGCGTGGGGTGAAGCCATCGTTGTCAGGCGAAGGGCGATATTAATACGTCAATGCTCCGTCGAAGCAATGGTATCGATGATCAAGCGCACAAGGTATGAGTCCTTTGCACTCATATATTCTGTCTTCACGTCCATTCTAGCGGTACGTCTGGATATCTCTTCCTGAGGAGCGTCTTAAAATTCCCATGATGGTCCCTGATAACCAGGAGCGACACAAAACCGCTTACACCATTACCGTAGACTATAAACACGGTCTGCCATGCCTTAATATACACCACAACAGGGATTTCCGCCCATGACCGTGCACAAGTTAGTGGAGTCTGGACTCCACGGTGCACCCCGAGGGCGTCTGATTTCAGCCACGCATGACATATGTTACCCTTGCGAGCACGGTAGGGCGGTGATTTGGAACGCAGAGGTTATACGGAAACTGGTGTCGATTTATGCGCCCTCACCAATCAACCTCTAGGTGTATTATACGAGCTAGTGAATGACAATGTGTCGGAACCATGGCGCAGCGTGATGATTGCAGGGCGTTTGCCCATCGATGAGGCCTCAAAATGACCAGTGTAGAAATGTTGGTGCAGTACAGAGACAACAGGGATGATATGTATATCATCGTAGCATGTAAAAATGATTTGGGTTTAGTCTACATAGCCACAACTCGCTTCCGAACTCCCGAGAGTATTCGTGTCACAATACGTCACGTTTCCTTGGTCACACTACTGTCACGGCGCGATTAATATAAATCACTGCGTCAGCTGCGGGAACCCCACCAGCTCCTCTTAGACGCTACCATGTTCACAGTAAAGGCAACTTATCGAAACGAGACTCGCAAGTTTTCTTTCTCAGGGACTGTCTTGTTCCCCACATACGAGGAGCTTTACCAGCAGGTATGCTTGCTCTTCGCTTATCTGTTCTCACTACTGAAGCGCTGACGTTTCGCATCTGTAGTTGTATCGCATATTTCCTATAAGCCATAATTATTATCTTTCTAAACTCATTTTCTCTCCTGACGTGTCCAAGACGTCTCGTATTCTAATTGGAAAAGAAGTCCATAACGCAGAGGAGTATAACACTCGTATTGCCCCTTTACGCAGGCGCTGGCCCAACCCACTGCTCAGGTTCTCTATCTTCGACGAGACACCCCACAAAGCACCCAGCGCAACGGTCGAAGATTCTCCGGAGGTTCTTAATCCTTTGTCCTTCATGGCGATTCCTCCGCCTCCTACACTTTTGTCGACTCCTGCACCACCCAATTTGTCATCCGCGTCATCTTTCGATACACGTTTCCAGGAGTTTCTATCATTCAAGGCGGCTCATCCACCGCCGCCTTCTTCTAGACCACTTCCTACCCTTGAAGCTGTTAGTTTTATTGCGCCTCAAATCTCGCCTTCGTTCATTTCGCCGCCACCACCTATCATATTTTCAGAACCACCTGCTCCCTCGAGGCATCCCTCTCTTCCAAGTCTTCCTTCTCTCTCGTACCAAGCGGCCTCCCCTAAGTCATGTTGCTCAGTCGCCAAAGGGAAGTCGGAAATGGAAACTTTATTGACATCTTTCAGGAAAGATATTGATCGTATCATACTCGATACTTTTGGCGAGTGCAATGCTTCAGCACAAGTCGATACATCTCATCGGCAGACTCCTTTCGGAGCGGGAACATCCAACGAGGCTCCTCATGCTTCGTCAGAGGCGTCGTTCAACACAATGAATGTCTCAATGGAACCTCTTTCATCACATTGGTGTTTCGTCTGCAGGAACGAGTTTTCTGGAAGCTGGTATGGGTGTGTGAAATGCCCGTGGCACTATGTTGTAAGAAATTTCATTTGCTAGTGATATTTGTTTCGCTGAACCATCTGTTAGTGTCCAAGCTGTTTTTCCAAATCTGGTGCCATGCACACGTTCAGTTTTGGGCCAACTCACGTTGTCCAGCAGCATGAAACTGTACCGTCAATCGCCATCACACCGTCAGCCGCGGAAATATCTGCAGAGTCTCAGTCTACCGGAACTGAGCTTGTTGATGCCGAGCCTCGTCAAAACCCGCCTGTCATTCACCAAAACATTCTTTGTGACAACTGCAATGAAGTAATTGTTGGTGTCAGACGTAAATGCCTGGATTGTCCTGGTAAGATTATATGATTTAATGTCACAACGCAGTCCTCTTATATGTTTTCCGTCCTAGATTATGATCTATGCACGCCCTGTATCGAGTCAGGTGCTGCAGAGAGGCACAACCCGTTCCACGAATTCTTCGACATTGAAATACCCGGACGAGTGCTCGTTCATACGGTCTTTAGTGGCAGCGGGGAGCGTGGTGTTTCCCCAAATAGTGGTAGTGCCATAGCAGATAGTCCTCGCACCTCCGCGGCGACGCCAGTGAGCACCATAGAGACTATTCGTCATTGCGCGGCTTGCAACCTGTGTGACTCTCCCATTGTTGGTGATCGCTTCGTGAGTCAGCTTTCTGCATCCCACTTCCTTACCACTCATGGTTACCCAGAAATGTGTCAATTGTCCAGGTAAAAGCGCACTTCTGGATGATCTTAAGAGTGCTAATGGTGATTTGAAAGATTTTGATACTTGTGCCAACTGCTTCAAGTACGTGTTCTATTACAAAGCATGGTCAGCATTGACACTTTGATGGTCAGGATTACTGGAGAGCAACATCCTTATCACGGCTTTGTGCGGGTGAGCAAGCCGAGCGACCTCGTGGTAATAATGTTCTTTTTGCGAAGAAAAACCCATCTCACAAATATTCAAGATGCGCAATGCGGTGACCAACAGAACTACTCATTACGCGACGTGTGATGGTAAGTTCTGTTCTATTGATTGTGAGTACCAAATAATCAGCTGCGCTATTAGCTTGCCGCGAGACCATTCGTGGTGTCCGCTATAAGGTAATTGCTCGTCGGGCTTCATTGATGTTTATATTTCTGACGCTTGCATTTTGTGTAGTGCATGCACCCTAGTTGTCCGGATTTCGACCTGTGTCAGAATTGCGAAGCTCTCCCTATCCCGGTCCACCCTTCTATTCATCCGTTATTGAAGATGAAGACTCCAGACACTGTTATTCCTACCGTGTACAGAGTCGGGATGACCAATCTCATCCATTCTCGAAGGACATCTCAGGGGAGCACCCCTCCCGAGACTTTTAAACCTCGTCCTCCGAAATCTCCGTCCGTTTCTGTATCACGCACCTCCGAGATTTCTGTGAAAAAAGAAGAGGAGCCGTCTCTTGTTCCCGAGTCTCTGAGTCCTCTTGCTATCTTAGCACAGTGCCCCGACTGCGTCAGTGAAAACTCTGTCGCCTCTTGGGGTTATGGTCTCACTCCTGCTAAATTACCGCAACCCCCGCAGTCTGTCACTCCTAACTGCAAAGAACCTTCTTCGTCTCCCACCGAATTAAGTACCAGCCCCTGCTACCAGGTGATCAGACCTGTCGAGGTTAGTGTAACTCTTGTTGGCTTCTAGCGCCGTTTCTGATTGTTTCTAAATTGTCACAGTCCCAGAAGCCTTCCATTGTTGATCGCGAACAATCGACCTCACCTTACAGTAACTTGGTCCAGACGATTGATCGCTCTTCCGTTAAGGTGAACTCGCCACCCCTCGACCTGAACCCTTCACTCGATATCTTTCATGAAGTTTGGCCAAAAGTGAACCGAGAAATGAAACACCTCACTGAAGCAAGACAAATCGAAGTAAATTCACTTAGTTCTGTGGCCGACCTCGGCAAAGCCATTGAAACCGATCTGGGAAAGCTGGCGGAATCTACGACCTCTCCTGTCAAAGGAATTTGCCCTACAGAATCTGTGGATTCACTCCTCAAAGAAGAGTCGCCTGTCATCCCGACGCTGTCTTTTGATGTTCCACCGATGGATTTTGCTGGACTTCTACGTGGTTTCCGTACACCGTCCCCTGTCGCTTCTAAAGCACCCGCTCCATCCAGTACAACTTTTTCTTCCCTCCCTGATAACGTCACAGATGTCATAGATGAACAAGCCACTACTACACCCAGCCTAGAACAGCAACAGGCGGGAATTACACCTTTCAGCTGTGCTTTTGTATCCGACACGACAGTTCCTAGCGGCCAGATTTTTCCACCTGGTGCTGAGTTCGTTAAGTCCTGGCGGATGTTAAACGATGGGGACAAGGCTTGGCCAGAGACGACTCAGATTCACTTCGTTGCGGGGGAGTCTTTTTCACCTGGAGCTGACTCTTCATTGATTGTCAAAGTAGGACGTGTTGATCCCGGTGAAGCTCTTGATGTGTGGACCGGTGACCTGAAGGTTCGTTCGTCGGGCCTGGTATAATTTGTAATCGCTAAAGCACATTGCCCATCAGGCACCTGATGCTCCTGGCAGATATGTCAGTTACTGGAAGTTGACGGACGGTACTGGCGAAATGTTTGGTCCTAGCGTCTGGATTGAGTACGTTCGGTTCTCTGTCTAGCTGCATTTGAATTAATGCCCTTCACAGCGTTACTGTCACCGAGCCCCGTCAGTCAGCTGATGAAGCTGACGATGATTCTTTGGCATCATCTTCTATGGTCATGCCAAAGTCATCTGATAATAGGTCTGCTCATTCTGTCGGAGCCCTTGGTCACTTATTTGAACCGTCATATCCTCCAACGTCCAAACCTACGACGGACGGGACGGATGATGGGGCCTCTGATGGATCGTCAGTATCATTGGTCAGCGTCCCTTCGTCTGATGACTATGGATCCGACTGGCAGGATACGCATTCCCAGCCTGAGAATCTTGAGTACGTTGTGCTATACGACAGCAATGGCTCAGAGGATGAATAAATATTCTCGATAACTTCTGTTTGTCTTCTATTTACGATGTCTTTATATGCAGCGGCAGATCGATCCGCACCCGTCTTGTTATCGTGTACTATTACAAGCTATCTGATTAGAATCCATATCGAAGAGAATCCGTACAGCGTGACCAAGACGTATATGCGAGAAGCGGTACTATTCCATTTACCGAATTCGACTATTCTGTACCGCAATACTAGAAGCTAGGTGATCCGGATAACGCAGTCAACCGGAAATCTGGCAGCTTCAGAGCCCGAACCAGCCCAAACCGTCGTAGTACCCTGCAAGTAGATCGGCTCCTTGTCCCTGAAAACATATTTACATCAGTGGCAAAGACCTTCTCGGTAAGCTCATTTCCTCGCTCTCGCGTGTACCTATTCTGTACTGTTCTGCCATGTTCGCGTCACCAAGCCGAATTGTGCGTCTACATCATACATCATTGCGCCTTACCTCGGATTCTTACCACGACTCGGGACGGGTTTTCAATGAATAGTGTAGCCATCTCCTTGACAATAAGGTGAACCAACTTAAAACTCTCGTGTCTTTGATTTTCTGGGTGAGATGATGAATATTATGACCAAGTAACATGTATGCAGACACTGACGGGTAGGATGCAAAGAGATGTCGACATTTACGGACACTAGGGTTGGCAGAGTACCGACACAGTTTGCGGGGTCCGAACTGTAATTACTAATTAACGTCGTTGACGTTAAATTGCAACATTGTTTTTGAAAGATAGACAGCCGATCTATTTCGGTTAATGCTATCAGGTCACAGGCATCACTCCAAACCGTCGTACATATGCCGAGGTCCCCATTGTGACGAAAAAGGCCCTTCCTGCTATGACCTTGACGTGGAAGGGCAACAGCCTAAGAGTCGAGGATATCGAGAGGAGTCTCCTCAGGCTGCTAGTAGTAGTTTAAAGATTCGGAGGTGTCGAAACCCGTTCATCCGCCTTCCCCGCATCTGGCTCCAGTGAGAGTCGAGGCTTGGATCTATTTAAATCCCGACGGGTGGACTCAACTGTGTACGGGGAACCGAACCACTCTCAAGCTTCAAGGGTAGCTCCTGTCATCGTTCACTACCCTCGGCACTCATGCAGCATGCCAGACGAGAAGAAATCTGGTCGAAACTGCTATCTCCTTTCCGAAAGACTATCCCTCACGAAACCCCTATAAAACACTCCGAGCCTGACTCTCCTGGTGACGGCAAAATCCCTAGTTCCCTCATTGTCCCTGTGTTCGAAGCTGAGCTGCGTAAAACATCCGGACATATCCCCCGTACCAACGGCGTGCGGCCCTTTCCAACGGAAGAGTCGGGGGTGTCAGTGGCAAACCATGGAGACAGCCGTGACTCCGGCAGGAGTGCTCAGACAGGTTGTACTATTCCAGGCGCTAATTTCCACTCTTTTTCTACTCAACCAGTTCCTGCCGCTTGCCCTGGAACATGTCACGACTCTCCCAGAATAAGTGGAGATTTTGAGGGAAGGCTAGGCAATGCATATCACCACATTCAAAACATGCCCCCCTCGCCGATATCACCCTCTATTAGCCAATTGATTGGCGATCCTCGCACGTATCATAAGCAATTGGGACTGCCTCAACATTCCGTCATCAACCAGCCAACGCTGAAGATGCCGAGCCTTCCGAATCCTCACGCCACGCATGCAAGATCACAGTCACAATCCCCTCCGTCATCGTTTCGCTTTGAATCTCTACCTACGCCGCGGACTTGGGACAATGTACCTGGACCGAGTAGTGCTCCACAATCTCGTCATCCTCACGAGTTCCAAAAATATCACCAACCATCATCGCATATTGATATCGATGTTCATCCTAATGATCGCCGTCCGGCAACAGCTTCAGTCCATTCCTCCCAAACTTCGCCCGTCATGATCCCCGACCCTATAAAGCCTTATTTCGCCGGTGCCGGTGCGTCGTCGTTACCGCAGCCAGAGGATGGCCATATTATTAGATCAGAGCTTCCCCTTCAAAGAAAGGCAGAGTTGATCAAGCGACGGTCAGCAGCAATGTCGCGTCTATCCCAACCATCATGCCGCATTACCTCGGAGGAGACTCATACCACAGACGAGTCAAAGTTGATCAAGCAATGCTCACCATCGGTTTCTCGTGTCTCAAGCTCATCCCCATCATCATCATCATGCCACTTTGCGTCAGAGGAGGCCAGTACTCCTTCGTCATCCAACCAAGAATCAAACTCCAGTAAGGACGTCCGCAACCAAAGTTTTCTACCACTCGTTATACCCCCCTCACCACTACGGCTAGACATAGTAAGTCCCAGCACCAAGTGCACCTGGTCCAGCGTTGACTCATTACCTTTTAGCCATTACATCAGCCATGGCACGATCGGCGAACGAACTTTGAGTTGTCACCCACGCGGAGAAGCTACCATAGTGGTGCATCCATTACCTTACCAGCATCAAGCACTCAAAAGGCCAGTCCCAGCACTGAAGCACTTGCGTCTTTGGCATGGATTGGTGCATCTCCAATGAGCACTTCCGTCTCGACATTTTCTGGCAGTTCGCATTATACCCAGTTTAGCGCTGTTCCGACCGACGAGGAGATCAGTATATCCATGGCAATGGACGAAAATCTATCAGATGAAGCCGTGGTGGAACATCTCGAGATCATACGGAAACGGAGTTGCAAGGACAAATATCAGCCACCTCCTGTCCCGAGGGCCACTAGCCATGGCATACCACTTGGATCTAGCCATTTGTTTCAACTCGGAGATCACCTTACCAGCCATTCAAGCTCGCCATGGCGATCGGAGGAGCCCGAATCTGTGACACCCTTACCTGTGATTTTGGATGATGCTGAGTTGGACATCGACGACGCTGCGCTCTGGAGTACTGCCAGAAAGGCTTTGCTTTGCATCCGAGAAATCGTCGGGACGGAGAAAAAATACCAAGGAGCCCTCAAGATGCTCCAGACGGGGCAGGTTCGTCGCCAATATGACGTCTCAAGGGAATGTCGTGACTGAGTTGATATATTTAGACAGCGAATCGACCACCTTCGCTGTTGTTGACATACCTTCCTGACCTCATACGAGCATCAGAGGCGTTGTTGAAGGCCTTCCTTGATGACCCCTCTGCTTGGGGTGTATCCACCGCCTTCATGGCTTGCGAAGATGATATTGAAGTTGCTATGGTTTCGTGGTGCAGCGTGGTAGGCACCTTCTTTACTAATAGTCCCAGCCACGGAAGCGAGTCTGCCATCACGGGAGGGAAATGGCGTCCGCGCAAGTCTCTGCTCTCCGCCACAAACAATCCTCTCGCTACTGTGGTGGAGAAGTCGAGTGGAAGACCTTCTCCCGCTAGTTCCTCTCCTCCCCCTCTTCTCACTTTAATGAGTGAGGCAGGGAGTAGAATCAGAGATAGACAACGGATTGTTGAACACTATTGGAAGGTGTTTGATTGCAGTGGCGCCGAATCTCACAGTCGATCAAAGGGAGAGCATCCGACTCGAAGGCAAAGTGTACGGGATCTTGCAATTCAACCAATACAGCGAGTCACGAGATATGTTCTGCTGTATCGAGGTATGTTCTATTCTCATTCCACAATTTATCGCTTTCAATCCTGCGGGGATAGATCTCTTGGAGAGTACTCCTGTCACCTCTCCTTCCCGCGCTCTTGTTGAGAGAGCGCTCGAAGCTGCGACCCGCATTGCTAATAAGTGCGACCACGCACAAGACAATACTGCCTTTTTCCATGCATAGAATGGTTTCCATCACATACGTATTATTCTGTTCAAAGGATCAATATCGAATAACTGCGCCGGTCTGTATCACATTGCCACTGTTATACCCAGCAACTATCTCATTGTATATACGTAACATACAAGTCATTCTGCCTTGCTTTGTTGTTCTTGCAATTTCTTGTTATCCTGTGGGAGCTAACGCTCACTCGAACAATATTCACTTTAATGCACTGACAATGACAACATCTCGCCCCATGACCTCAGTTTGGATATGCTTCAAGGAGGGGATCTAATGTAACCTCAGGTGAAAACTCATGATTCTGCATGAACGTGTCCTTTCTCATACCTGCGTAGCCAATAATTTCTCGCCGTAACCGACACCATCGTCACCAATCAGCATCGGAGCAATTGTGATGATGAGTGTGTCAATAATGGTATTAGGCTTGGTGCGTGCACATTCCGCCAAGAAAGAGCCGATAACAGTTGCACCTCCTTCGACCATGAGACTCTTGATTCCAAAGTTGTAAAGGACCTTCAAGAGGTCCGGGATAACAATGAAACCTGAAGATATTCATATGACTCGCGCAAGACAACAAAGAACATGACCCACCGTCCACCGAGGGCACACCTATCACTCTTGCTCCAGCGTCCTCGAGGATGGATTTTCTTCCGTCATCGGGGGTCAAATTAGCATCGCAAATTACCCATGGACGACGACCTTTTCTTTCCCGATAATTTTTGAGCAGCTTGCAGTCCGGTCTAAGGCGTAGGTTTGTGTCGAGTATCACAGGACGGGGGAGATGGCTTGGCCGTTCATCCTCAGGTATATGGCGACCTTGTTATACCTACATGAGTCACATGCGCAGATGAGACTTGGGACATACTATTTAGCTGGGGATCGTCATTTAGTGCAGTACCGATCCCAACTAGGATGGCATCATGCTTAGTGCGCATCCTTCCTTAGGAATAGTAAGGGATGGATGTATATGTGAGTTCTAGATCGGTATCATACCAATGAGTCATGAGCATGCTTTCTCTGCCGCTGAGAATAAGCTGTTTGCCCCCCTTGCCTGCTATCTTCGCGTCGAGAGATTGAGCGAATGTGAGGGTCACTAGAGGTCGCTGAGACTCATCCTCCAAACGACTATTCCCAGGTACTGGTAATACAGACGAGAGGAACTCCGTTACACTTTGACCACCTACCAACATCATGTTCAGCAGTCAATTGATAAGTGACTTTGAATCTGATCGACTCGGAGATGAAATTTAGAATTAAAATGCCGGCACCTCTGTGTCACGTGATACGTGGAGGGCCATTAAACAAACGCGAAACGCGTGCACAGAGACAAACAACCCTTTCTTCTTCACTACCACAATCAATCTTCGCAAACGTCGAAGTGCAGCTCAAGCTCTTCATTTTCTTCAATCAACTCTTACAACACTCGTGAAGCATGTCTGGTCGCGGAAAAGGTGGCAAGGTGTGTAACTTTGAGTCAGGTTCTGATCCGCGGAGCTCACCATGTTTTGGAACAATCTGTAGGGTCTCGGCAAGGGCGGTGCTAAGCGTCACCGGAAGATCTTGCGTGACAACATTCAGGGTATCACCAAGCCCGTGCGTCCTCCCACTATGTTCATCGTGTCAATGGTACTCACACTTTATCCGCAGGCTATCCGACGCCTGGCACGTCGTGGAGGTGTCAAGCGTATCTCTGGTCTTATCTACGAAGAGACTCGCGGTGTACTCAAGATATTCCTTGAGAATGTCATTCGTGACTCTGTTACCTACACAGAGCATGCTAAACGGTGAGCCTTCCCTTGCCCTGTAACTGTATAACTTCTCGCTAAGCTGTTGACATGCACACAGGAAAACTGTCACCGCTCTCGATGTTGTCTACGCATTGAAGCGCTCAGGGCGCACACTTTACGGTTTCGGAGCATAATTATCCGCATTTGTATGGGAGCATATTTCTTTATTGGAGCAGAACTCCATGTTGGTATCGACATTTTTGTATACTACATAGTCTTATTATTGGCTTATCATTCCACAATTCCACTAACTCATGAGCAACCTTTCCACCGGGTTCCGAATATGCAATGATCCATATGTTTGTCCTTGTGAGATAACTTGGGGTGCGAAAATGCACGATTACCTAATGTAAATGCTGCGCTTGCAAAGCGGATTCCGCGCAAGCTTTTATTAGTTGTCCATAGAAATCGATATCGTTCTGGACTATTGAACACTTCAATGATATCCAAGGACGATAAACAAGTTGAGCCAAAAAGCATCGTGCCACAGGATCACGAAGAGGACGATGTGGAAGAGGATGACGTCGTAGACGAAACTCCAGCCGCCGGAGGTGAGCCAATCAAAGGTGATCTCGGAACTATCATCATATGTTATTCAGAAGAGACCAAGAAAAAGAAGAAGAAGAAGAAATCTAAAAAGAAAAAGGTGCAACAGTCAGATCCCCCACGAGTCGGTCTGTCGAAGATATTCACGAATGGTATCTACCCAGAGGGGGAGATACAGCCCTACAAAGACGAGTAAGTATTGCAACCCCAATAAGTTATACCTTAATGAGATTGACAACGTCTTGTTTACAGCAATACGTGGAGGACGACGTCCGAAGAGAAGCGCTATGACGAAAGAATGGCAATGGAAGACCCAGAGATCACGTACCAGACCATTCGTCGTGCTGCAGAAGTTCATCGGCAGGTTCGACAAAGTGCACGGAAACACATACGTCCCGGGATGACCATGACCGAAATCGCAAACTTTATCGAAGATGGCAGCCGTGCCCTGGTCGAGGAAACCGGACTGGAGTCGGGCATTGGTTTTCCGACTGGACTCAGCTTGAATCATTGTGCTGCTCATTACACACCCAACGCTGGGGATACTAATGGTGTGTGTATGTTAAATGGATAGAATTCGCTGCTTACGCATGGTAAGTTCTTCAAAGTGGTGATGTTTTAAAGATCGATATAGGAGTGCATGTAAAAGGACGAATTGTCGATTCTGCTTTCACGCTCAATTTTGAGCCTACTTATGACAGGCTCATTGAAGCAGTAAAGGCTGCTACTGATACCGGTATTAGGGTAAGCCAAGTCCAGCTTTAGCATGTTCGACTGTAGTTTACAGGAGTATGCGTAGGAATCCGGTATCGACGTGCGCTTGGGCGAAATTGGAGGTGCTATCCAAGAGACTATGGAGTCATACGAGGTTGAGGTCAACGGAAAAATATATCCAGGTAATCATTCTCGTCCGGTGTTTTGGACTCCTCTGACATGTTTTCAGTCAAGTCGATAGAAAACCTTAGCGGGCATTCTATAGGACTTTACCAGATACACGGCGGAAAATCGGTCCAACTCGTGAATAACGATGATCAGACGAAAATGGAGGAGGGCGAATATTTTGCTATTGAAACCTTCGGCTCGACAGGTCGTGGACGTGTAGTTGAAAGCGTAGGCTTGGGTTGCGGATGCATTTGTTAGAGGCTGATTTCGTTGACAGGGCGAGTGCTCGCATTACGCAAAAATCATCGACGCTCCCCGCGTCCCCCTAAGGTTAGTCATCCCTATTGCTGTAATTTGACAACCATTGACGGCTATAAATTGCAAGACTGACTTCCGCCAAGTCGCTACTCAAGTCAATCAGCAGTAACTTCGGAACTCTTCCATTTTGCCGACGGTACTTGGATCGCGTGGGTGAAAGCAAATATCTACTGGCGGTTGGTCACACGACTTGCTAGGCATTCCATCGTTAATTAATTCGGCCCAACATTAGCTTAACCATCTAGTGCAACAAGGAATAGTTCAAGACTACCCACCGCTTTGCGATGCCAAGGGTTCCATGACCGCGCAATTTGTAAGCCTTTTTCAATTCGCCTTGAACTTGGTCTCTCAACGTGGCAAATAGGAGCATACAATCCTTCTTCGGCCCACCGTTAAGGAGGTTATCAGTCGAGGCGATGACTATTGAATATGTAAGATACTACTCATGCACACCAATTTTATTTTCGCGGTCGTCATCTATTAAGGTTTCCCTAGCCGGTTTTCAGTCCACAGGTAAAAACTCTAGATTGTTTGGTATGACACTCTTTGAACCGCTTGCGTGGGCGTTACCAGATATGTCAAATTTTCGTAGCGCTAAGTACAGATCGGCGGCCTCTGGTGCTGATGCGGCAATGGGCGCTTTCAACGGTCATCGACTGGTCATCGACATCGTCAGCATCATTGTGTGATGGATTACTCAGTCACGTGATTTCCGATTCGGACATTTGTCATGGAGCTGCAACTTAATGTTGGAGCACAAGAGCAGCACCATAAAGTTGCGTCGTCCTTATATATTCTAACCAGCACACCTCCAACACACCTCCAGTACACGTCTACTCTCCCATTATCACATTAGCGGAATTTGACACCCCCTATTGACCTCCATTTATTTAACCACCTGCAGTGTTGCACACCGAAGATGTTTCGGGATTCATTGCGACTTCTATATCATGGATCCAATGCTAGTTCCCCCGTAGTAACAAAAAAATCATCGGCAGTAGCTCTTCTACAGGAATTTGATTCCCCCGGCGTCTTCCCGGCGTCTGCACGCCTTGACCGGAGTCTCAGAACAACGAATGGCTTCACTATGAAAGTTTGGGACGCATGGAAATATCCCGCCTTCGCAGTCAATAAAGGTAAGCATCCGCAGCGCTCTACCAATGATGTAATGCATTCTGGAGCCTGACATCATGCATCCAGCATCATCCCTTGCTCTTGATGTGATATCTCATCATGTTTGGGGCCCGCGCAGGAAATCATGGGGCATTGAGATGACCATACTCTCTAGTCTCATGCGGGATGTTTCGAGGCATTCTGCACTGGCTGATATCGTGGGTGTCGTTTGCGTCGTTCGCAACCCTAGCAATGACAATAACCCTAGGCTATGGTTCGCAAGGCAATGAGTATCGGAGGGCTAGTTCCCTTACCCTCAGATGCTTTAGTCACTCCAGTGACTTTCCGTGTGCGTAAACGCAACCTTCGTGGTATGCTGGAGGCTTGCGATGCTATGGAAGACGGAAAACGTGAACTTTCTGGGGAGTGGATAATCGGGAAGAGACTCTGGCAATCTTTGCAATCAGATTACAAGTCCACTCGCAGAACAGGGGAATGGGTCAGCTTTGTCGACCAAACGAAAATTGATTACGATTCTCGAAAGGGGCAATCTCGAATCATCCTCTACATTCACGGCGGTGAGTTCGTGGCGCTCTCTGTACAAAGCAGCGTTTGATCTTGTTTTCAGGAGCATATTATTCATCCAGCGCTGCAGCACAAAGGACGCTGACCATACCACTGTCCAAATATACCAACGCACGCGTATTTGGTGAGTTTCTTGATCACAGCTCGCACTGCCATTCTTGCCTCACCTCAATCCAAGCCATCGATTACCGGCTTGCTCCGGAAACGATTTTTCCTGGTCAGCTGCACGACGTGGTTAGCACCTACTTCCGCCTGACGGATGACTTGCGGGTGCCGCCAGAAAATTTAGTTGTAGCGGGTGATAGTGCGGGTGGTGCACTAGGCCTTGCACTCCTGCTCTATCTACGAGACAATGGATACACTCTTCCGGGAGGTGCCATGTTATTCTCTCCCTGGGTTGGTATGCAGCGATTGATGCACTTTTTTGTGGGTAGTCTGACACATAATCACAGACTTGACCTTGAGCTGCGAATCGTGGGATACTAATGCTGCCTACGACATCATTCCTACTCCCGGTCCAACCGCTCACTTGCACCCCGTTATAATGTATCTAGGAGACACGCTCGAGCAGTCCATTACCCACCCATACGCCAGCCCATTGTTTGGCAAGTTTGATGGACTACCACCCATGCTTATTCAATGTGGCGAAGCGGAGGTTCTGCATGACGAAATCGTGCTTCTCTCACACAAAGCTTCACTGGCCGGTGTCCAGGTTCAGTTGGAGACCTACGAGGATGCTGTAAGTTCATTGATTTTCTCGTTTGTTGCACTGATCATCGTTTTTTTCAAGATTCATGTTTTTCAAGCATTTCCTTTCTTGAATGTTGCAACAACTGCCTTTGTCTCTTGTCGCGAATTTGTGCGACACAGGTTGCCTTGTATTCAAAGTCACTCGCCTCAGGTTTTGAATAGTGACACCGAAATTTGCCTCGAGAACGATACAGATAACGATAACGTCCGCGTCGTCCGCGGCGACGGTGTGGAGACTAACTCGGGATGGCAAAAGGTTCAGGAACAGATGGCTCGAGAAAATATCGACCGGAGTTACGAAGCGCAATTGAGCTCAGCAGTGCCTCCGAGCTGGGGTCGCACTTGGCTGGATTTGGAGACTCCTAATTCCAGCGGTAGTGAGGCAGAACCAACTACGCCTTGCGTGACCGTCACCGATCCATCCCGGGTTCTTCGGCGTGCGGCGTCCACCCCAGCTCTGCGCCGGATGCAGTCTGCTCTCTCCGTTTTCTCCGAGAGATCAGTCGCATCCCAATATCTGGAGGACTGGCCCGCTCGTCGCAAAAAATTCACATTATCACCTACACCAACTCGTCCTTCGTCTCCCTCCGAATCCTCGCATCCTCGCATCAATATTCCTGCTCTTGCAACATCTTGGGCCGCTATGACGTCAGTTGCCTCCACTACCTACCTTGTATAGTACTACCTTAAACACATCAGTGTTGCCATGTCATTCGCATAATCCACGCCCAGAGATATATATAACAAGTAACACATAGTAAATAGTCCACTCCATGGGATGTCCGATAATATCTACCAGTCGTGCGGTGCTTGTGATACCAGGATCTGCTTGTAAAGCTCAAGCTCTTCTATAACATTCTGTAAAGCTTTCCTCTCCCAGTTTCCGAAGATGAAGCCTTCGTAAAGGTTTGTCGTAGCCACCCACGATAAGTAAATGACAAGAAGCACAAAGACTGGATTGAGCCAGGGAACAACAACCCATGCGGATCCAATAATGAGGCCAATCAGCGCCAAGATGCTCGTTGCAAAGATAGTCAATTCCTTGCGAGAACGATCTTGCGACATCCTGTAGGATGTGTTGAAAGTGCTCATCACCTCGGTTACGACATTTGAGGAGAGTTCAGAGGGGGAGTTGAACCACACTGCTGAGGTATCCTTCAATGACGCCATATCATCTTGTTTACCCTCCGCCTGCATGTCAATGGCTAGGGTCGCCTCGACACCAAAGTGATCAGAATAGGAGCATGAGTTTCCGAGAATGGAATCGGTGAAGACAACCTGACTATCTCGGCAGGTTAATCGGGGAAGGTGGTCATTGGACCCGTTGGGACTGGGGTGACGGAATAAGATATAATCAAGGCGTTTCCCTTGGTATTTGCGAACAATTGGGTCGCCAGAGGGCTCTGAGTCACGATAAGAATTAAGAGGCGAGTCAGCAGTGACACCATAGTTGACGACACCCTCTATAGGAGATAACATCCCAGAGGGCGGGGGTATGTGTGCATGTGAAGTCGCCCACGAGTCAACCAGTCCGGCATAGTTCAGGATGATATTCACCGGGAGACTTGTTGGAATGCTATTGAAATCACCCATCTATTTATGTATCAGCAACGTGCGAGGAACAGATATCATCTAACTCACGGCGATCACATACCGCCCCAATTCAGCGGCTTGCCGTGTGACTTTCGCAAACTCCCAAGCATTCACCAGGCGGTATGTTCTGTTGTACTCAGGACCCGATTCCCCGCCCTTTGCACAGAACTTGGATGCATTGTCAATACCAAAAAAAAAAGGATGTGTGTTGGCGGGCTTACATGCGTGACCAAAAGTTGAACCTGTCCAAGAACCGGATGCATGATCGTTACGCTCCCAACGCCCTTTCCTACAAACCAGTCTCCTCCGAAGGCGTCTGTGGGTTCGCCAACAAGAGAGTATGGAGTCATGCTGGTAGCAATGATGGGCCATTTTGTAAGGATAGCAAGTCCGGCACCAAGAGCACCGCTATAATAGCATAAGCTCGTGCACCCACCACACAAGAAACGGACTACCTATGAAAAAGCTTCGTGTAGGGCAAGCGAGAGACGACACTTTGCCGGATTTCATTGTAGTCTGCCTCGACCCAGATTTCTTGGAGTGCAATGATATCGTAATCCGAGCGAGCGAGCGCACTAGCTATTGCGGTAACTCGTTCGTGCCGGTCTTTGGAGATATATTTCAAGCCCCTGCGTCACTCTTAGAATCAACCTGACCATGTGCTTGGAGACTCGGAGATGACATACCAGCAATTGAGAGTAACAACTCGAATTTGTTCTGCCATGGTGGTGGTAGAAGGCAATTGCAACGAGTGGGTTGGTATCTCGGACTGGTGTAAATTTATAGAATGGCTATTGGATGACATTAATGGATGCGGTACTACTTCCTACACGCCATGTTGGGCTTTACTCTTGATCCCAAAGGTCCGACGGTAAAGCCGCCCTGGTTATTACGTGATGTTTCACAGGAGTATATATCACGTGCCACTACTTTATTACCTAGTTCATCGTGTCAGCAACCAGCTCAACAACTTGAACCGGCTGTGAATGCTTTTATTCCATTAATTTAATATTCTCTCTAATCCTCGTACAAAATTACCAGTACAACTTGTCCCCATGAATGGTCTGAATGATGCAATGACCGTCATCACCAACGACCGTGATCATCTGCTTTTCGCCTACAATCTCGCGGAACTCATAATCATGACATTCACGGATGCATATTGTTGATCAGGCAAGCAAGCTGGGATCTGTTCAACATACAGTGCTCAGCTGGCGTAAGTAACTGTCCTGTTTTGTTACATATTAATATGGTCTCTACCTGAGCTCCACGGCTGTGCTCGCACAATCACCATGAATATCTGACTTAATTCAGAAACGTGTTCGACACAATGCATCTACCATACTCCTTTCACCAGCTCACAAGTGCCTTCAACCCCCCAGGCCACCCTCCTGAGTCACCTTCTCAAGCTCGAACACCATATGCATCTCAGGCGTCTAGCACTACTCTGTACCATCGCTGCCGTTAATCATGACAATTTGGTTCTTTGTAGGTTGATTAGATTAATTCAGTTTCACTAGGAGGTCTAGATTTCCATGTAGCTGTTATCATATCAATGAGCCATTTTTGCTATTCTGTTTGTGCCTCTTCTACTATCTTATCAATTTGGCGTAAGCATCGCTTATAATCCTTTGTCTTGAACCATGACCACCACTACAACTTTCACTCGAAATGAGTAGGTGTTGTAATCGCACTTTGTATTACCAAATTTCTGATATCAACTGTGAAGTATCGAGATCGCGACAAGGGCAGCAGATGCGTTTACGCGTTTGTACTACACCACATATGACTCCCCTACAAGGGTGGATGATCTCCCTAAACTTTATCGGTCCTCATCGACCGTGACTTGGAACGGAAATCCATGTCAGGGTGCCGAGGGTGTGAAAAAACTTATTCAAGATATGCCAAGTACCAGGCATGAAGTTCAGTCCTACGATTGCCATCCTATACCAGGTCTGTTTCTTGTGATGCCCCGCAGTGACATAAACGCTCACGCATGCTTCATGTCATCACAGGCTCTCAACCCCCATCACTTCTTGTTACGGTGTCTGGCAATGTCACCCATGGACGTGGTCCTGCTGGCAATCCAGTATCGACACCGGTCAAATCAGTCGATGGACAACCTAGAGTCTTCTTCCAATCATTCATGTTGGTACCCGATCCAACAGCACCAGTAGTGAAAGCGGGAGAGGTTGCAAAGTACTATGTGGATGCTGATTCTATGCGATTTGTGGGCTAATGCTCGTCGACGCAGATATACTAGTATGTGTTCCCATCACTGAGCTACTCTCAGTAATCCTAATCGTTGTTCTTAGGTTTCATTATCTGTCGGATATCGTGGATCATCTGACCGAGTTATTGCGCGAGGTCTGATGCCTTAGCAAGCAATACCAGTATCAGAACCATGTCGCCACCGTCATCAGTCATCTTTAAGTGATCTACTATGGACACCGAGCAGCAGATTGCAGCAGGCTGATCAACGGCGGCATTATACTTTACAGCTACAGATAAATAATAAAATAGTCCAACAATTATGCGAGGTTTTAACCAAATGTTTGACTCTATTGCCAGGATTAGCACATAATTGAGGCAGCATTTGGGTGACTACATACCGAGCGTGCACTTCGTTTGACCTTCGATAGTCGCCATTCGTCGGGTTTCTCGTACTAGGAAATGCGTGAGCCTCAGATGCATGTCTCGTACGGATGCGGTGCATACCTTGTTGTACAATGGTTCGATCTTTTCCTGCCTCTTCCGCTTACTGATCTTGTTGGCGTCGGCGACTTTGAAAAATTGAGGTGCAACCTCCACGAGCCATTTTGGCTCTATAGTAGTGACGTTGTGACAGTATTCGCGAGTGGTCAACACCAACTCGTTATAGATTAGCCATTCGGGCGCGCGGTTGAAGAGAGCGGAAGAGGGATGGATATATACGGGTGTTCCTTCAACAAGTGTCTTGTAGCCTTCTTGAGGATCTTTCTTAGCTGCGTTCCGGAAGAAACCAGAACATATCGCCTTCCGCACACGGTTGTAATCATTTCCTGCCGATAGAATATCATGCTTGTATCTGAAAAGATGATTAAAATTACGAAATTGACTTTTCAAGAATTTACACGCACCTGTCCATGATGCCCACTAGCTGCTTGCGGATATCCTGTGCACGCCGCATGCTTCTTGCCTGGATGAAGTTCTCGTAGCACCAAGGATTTGAGAAGTTTGCACCTTTCCAGCCATTGTACACCGTCAGAAGGGTAAGGTGATCACCCTCCGGCTGATGGAACTTTGCTTTCTTAGAGTCGGCTTGACCTTGTTTCTCCTTTGGACGGTAGAAGACAGATTGGACAGACAACATAGCCACAATTGAAAGGATCTCTTCAGAACAACCAAGCTCGACAGAGGCGATGAGCATCTTCGCAAGCGGCGGCTCCATGGGGAAGTCAGCCATCTTGCGGCCCAAGCGAGTCAAAAGACCTTCGTCATCCAACGCTGAAAGCGCATACAATGACTCCAATGCAGTTAGCATGGTCTGCGCTGGCGGCGGGTCCATAAAATCAAAACTAAGAAGGTCATTGACACCCATTGCCTTGAGCATCAGAATAGTATGGGAAAGATTCGTACGCTGAATATCGGGGATAGACGTGGGTAACATTTCGTTCCGGTAGGCAGCCTCTGTGTATAGACGGTAGCACTTCCCTGGACCTGTGCGACCAGCACGCCCAGAGCGCTGCCGTGCTTGTGCCTGGGATATGGGCATGACCACCAATGAATCCATTCCTAGTCTCGGGTCGTATGCGTTTTGCTTCGAGAACCCGGGATCAATGACATAGTAAATACCAGGAATAGTCAAACTAGTTTCCGCAACGTTGGTAGCAATAACGACTTTGCGGGCACCAGGAGGAGTGGGTTCGAAGACACGCGACTGTACTTCGGATGGAAGGGCGGAATAAATGGGGAGGATAATGAGGTCTGGCACTTTTGGACCCAGCGCTTTCATACGCTCAAACAGGATTTCGCATGATGTGTCAATCTCCTCCTGGCCCGTCAAGAAGAGGAGAATGTCGCCCGGGGGCTCCGACAAGTGGATTTGCATGACAGTGATTAATGACGCGTCCAGGTAGTCGGATTCCGGCTCTTTGGTGTAAAGAATCTCTACGGGGTATGTGCGACCGGGAATGGTGAAAATTGGGCACCCGAAGAAGTACTTCGAGAATTTCTCAGCGTCCAAAGTTGCTGAGGTGACGATTAGCTTTAGATCGGGTCGCTTCTTGACGGCCTCTGCAAGGGTGTCAGGAAATGTCGACCAAATGAATGTGCAGAAACTTACTTTTAAGAAGACCGAACAAAACGTCGGTTGAAATGGTCCGTTCATGAGCTTCGTCAAGCATGACCACAGAGTACTGGCTGCAGAGCGGGTCAATCACCGACTCACGCTGCAACATACCATCCGTCATATATTTGATCTTTGTTTCCGGACTCGTACAATCTTCAAAACGGATAGTATAGCCAACTTCTTGGCCGAGGCGACATCCTACCTCTTCCGAAACACGCTTTGCGACTGACATAGCAGCCACACGACGCGGTTGTGTACAGCCAATGCGTCCTCTATCAGCATAGCCAGCCTCGGCTAGATATTGAACCATTTGCGTTGTCTTGCCAGAGCCAGTGTCTCCAACGACAATGAGGACTTGATGCTATAAAGTGAGTCAGAAACTAATTGATTTACAGGGGAAAAATCGATTTACCTCGTCAATGGCCTTCAACAGAGCGTCTCTAAGCTTATAAATAGGTAGACTCTTCCGCTGTTCCTGTATACTGAGGCTTGTAATTTCACCATACGTTGTGGCCTTGTTGAATGTCGATTCCCTCCATTTGGGTACTTCGCCAGCTCTTCGATCCTTGAGATGACCTCTCATGTCTTGAGCAAACATTCTCTCTGACTCCTTCGCCATAGGATCGAGCCATGGCGCACTGAAGTCTCGAGCTTCAGAGTCAGCTTGCTCATTAGATTCTTGCTGACGAAGCTCGCGTCGCTCTTTAGCCAAAGCTGCACCACCTAGAGCGGCTCTATTGAGGGAGCCATCAGGAGCTTTGATGATTTTCACAGGACTGAGATCGAGAGTGCGTTTCGTCTGACCAGCCAAAAATGCCGGTTCCTCTTCCCTGATTTCGACGTCAAGCTCCTCTTCAACCTCTGCTCGAGCTACAGGATTCACGAAGTCTTCATCAAGGTCAGGATACTCGGAGGCATCGATGACACCAGATGAGATAAGCTGCTTAATCTCCCATCGTTCAGGTGAGGTCAGACGTTTGGCGGACCGAGTCGCTAATGGTTCGTCTTTCGAGCGTAATGGCACAGCATTGGCCCCAGAGGACGCGTGAGCCGCTCGTTGGCGCTCTTCCTCCATCTCGGCTTCAGATTTGATGCGCAAGTGAGGGGTGAGATCACGACCCGTAGCTTGGTCTACATCCTTCATAGATAGACCAATACGGCTGCCTGCAATGCTCATCACCTTAACCTTGACCTGTTGTCCACGGCTAAGAAGATCCGACGCAGAGTTTGCACGTGCACCCTGCTGAATATTTGAAACATGCACCATGCCTGGAAGTATGTTAACAAAACGATGCTGAGGACCACAACGCTTTACGCACCTTCTACACGTCCCGCAACACCCTCCAGTTGCACAAAAGCGCCGAAATCTTTGAGACTTGATATTCGGCCACTGTAGATTTTAAACAATACTGGCCGCTCGTCTCCGTTTCTCCCCCTCCAATCATCCCTTCTTGAGTTGTAATTGCGACCCCTGTCAGGGCTTGGACTACGACGGCGTGGTGACCGTGACCGGGATCGGTCTCTTCGCTCCCGCTTTGCAGGCCTCTCTGAGTCATCCTCGTCTGTTGTTTTTGCCCTCTTCGCAACACCTTCAAACTGAGCCATCATATCATCCACCTCTTTCATGAGCACATCCTTCTTTATCTCCTTGTCTGGCACAGCAAGCCCAGGGAAAAGTCGCCTCTGCTTGTCCTTTTCACGATCGAGTGCCTCCCCGGCGTTTAAAGCGTCATGAGTAACTAAACTGGATTTCTTCTTGTGTTTCGGATGCAAGCTCAGAATTAGACGGTCCACGTTCTCAACGAATGAGTCTGGGAATTCAGCACCAGCACTACTGAGCTGCGATTTGAAGTTGGGAAGTGATTTCGACTGGTCGTGAAGAGAAATGACAAATTCAGCAAGTGTTTTATCGTTAATGCCAGTATAATTGTCAATCTCCTGAGTAATTTTGGCGACTAGCGAGAGTACTTCAAGGTTGTAAAGGTCATTCTCTGCCATAGCAAGGTCGTGGTGAGAACTAGAGTCGTTGAGAGTAAAGTAGATCAGGCTGCGAGCACCAAATAGTTAGAGCTTACATAATTGAAAATTCTATTTGATTGGTATTTGTTGAGGTTTAACCATCCTATCCTCAGGCTTTAACTTAGTTAACCATCCTGGGCGCTCACTTGGCATTTGAAGAAGCCAAAGAAGCCGATGCCTCCTCGCAAGGGCATCGTAAAAACTGGGAACGCAGGAAATTCATCAAAGACTAACAAAAACTCTGTCGCAGGTGTACCTTCGCAGTCAGCTGATGCAGAACGAGAAAAACCACTATTCCCACCGGGATCCAAGTATCCTCTGAGTCTACTTCAAGAAAGGTATGGCTTATGCGTGCTTTTTCGCATTTGTTGTAGGAGTTTCGTTGCACTCGAAAACGACGCCTGCCAGTCATTCGAGAGCATTAACGTACCCTGCAATATCACGAGCTGCAGGTTTCGAGGCTCATTTCCCTATTCATAGGTGCCAGAAGAGTGGCTGGGACAAACCGACCGTCGAGACGGTGAGTGAATTTTTTATCAAGCCTTCTATTATAGCTCAAGATCCGCAAGCGTAAACATGGTAACGACTGGTCTTTCGTCGTTCACATCGCCCGGTTCGATAAGAAAATATCGCAGACAGAAAGTGTCCGACTCGAACCTCACCCGCCTTATTTGAGGCCTACTGCGCTAGAAGCGCGTCATTGGGGTGCCACATACGCTCTGTACCGTGTCAGTGCTTTTTTGTCATACTTCACATGACCAGTAGGATTGAGCAGAGTAATGCGGCAGTTTTGTAATGGACTTCAGCTTAATCGCGTATTGCCACCCGGACCTCGTGATTACTGGACTGAACTAGCGACAGAACATAAAAATGTTCCAGAACACATGAAATGGATGTATGATGCTGATCCTTTTGCTGCACGTAAAGCAGTAGATGAGAGACAAGCGAAGGCAGCGCAAAATCGACAAGAAGGAGATTCAAAGACCTCCACAATGCTGGGGTCAAAGGAGTTCGCCAATTCCCCTGAGGTGAGAATGTCCACTGAATTGCGGGATTTGGTGGAAGATGTTGTTAAGAAGGTAATTAAACTTCAATGACGGATGCTGTTGTTGTTAACGAAAAGTTCAAGGCAAATGCGCTGCACTTTGGTGACGACCCTGTGACTTTTGTATTGCCTGCAGAGGTCATACCAGCTGTTACCCAGCAGCTTGGTAACTTAGGTTTCAAGTCTGATCAAATACGCAATACGTTGGCCTTCCTATCCAAACATTCGGCTCTCGGGGGTAATTTGTTGAATTCAATGAGCCCGCTGCAGGCGTGTATAGAACATCTAGTTCTTCATCTCCCAGAATGCGACCTTCCCGAGCGCTTCTTTCCTGGAAATAACTCCTCTGATCCATTTATTGTCTCTGGTCACTCTGGCTCTGATGACTTGGCAAAGCGATGGGTGGAGGAGAAAATTATCAAAGAGACTGGATTTCCTGCACACACTGTCAAAGAGTGTACTGCTGACAGACACTCGGTAACGAATGTGGATCTGCTAGTAGCCTCTTTAGACCATCGCCTCCTAGGTGAGAGTGCGGGTGCCCAAGCCAATCCAGATGACATTATTCTGGCTAATGTCGTGGACGGTCTACGAAGTAATACGGATGAAGTAGAGGCTCTTGGGGCCCATTTTGTCGACGCGAATCATATATCGATGCCTCTGTTCAGCGCTCCCGTGGAGCTACATGTCTTGCTGCCGTCCTGTTCTGACCACTCCTTTCACAGCTACCCTCCTGTGTATATCACATCAAAGTCTGTCCCGCCGTACATGCGACTTCATCTTCTTTCACAACTGTTGCAAGAAATGAAACAGGATGGGTTTATGGAGTCAGGAGAAGGCTTTCTTATGGCAGCAATGCGGGTCCTCGAGGAGCAATGGGCACACGTTCAGTCCAAAGGTTCGCCGGATGTATCGGAAGTGCTGAAATTCTTGATACCTTCGCCCACTTCATCGCCCACTGTCAATGCAACTACTACCTTACCGACCGGTCTTAACGAAACAGCGCGTCACAAAATCCGGCGTCGTGGTGATAGTCGATCGAATTCACAGGTTAAGCTAGATTTTGACAAATTGTGCCAATCTCAGGCATATGCAACGATGTTATCAGCTCGTAGACGCCTTCCTGCATTTGCTGCCAAGGACAAGTTTTTGTCCTTGCTCGAGCGCAACCGGGTAGTTGTCGTGGTTGGAGAAACAGGTAAGCCTTGTTATCTGTCTCCAAGTCCTTAAGTTGAAGAAGTACATCTACAGGGTGTGGCAAAACCACTCAGCGTAAGTCATAGTCAACCTCTGTCCATGCAATGTTTCCTGAGAGGCGTCAATTTGAAGTTCCACAATTCATCCTGGATTCTTTGATACTTTCGGGACATGGAGCTGAAGCTTCGATCATTATCACCCAGCCTCGCAGAATTTCTGCTATATCTGTTGCTGGGCGGGTTTCTGCAGAACGAGTGGATGACGGCTCTGTTGGATATGTCATTCGTGGAGAGACCAAGCATAGCCAAGCCACTAAGTTGCTCTTCTGTACGACTGGAGTTGTTTTACGAAGGCTAGGCTCCGGCGACGGGCTAAAGGATGTCACACACATTGTTGTTGATGAGGTACATGACAACTCTTCCTAAAATCCAAACCATGACTGACGGACTGACTGACTGCGTATAGGTTCACGAACGTTCTGTCGATGGTGATTTTCTTCTTCTAGAACTCAAGGAATTATTAGCACACCACCCTACGCTCAAGGTGGTGCTCATGTCAGCAACAATCAATCATGAGACATTCGTGAAATATTTCAACAACGCCCCGATGTTGACTATCCCAGGATTTACACACCCAATCACAGATATGTATGTAGTCTCTTTGTCTCGACTACTCGACTACTCGACTATGACGGTCCTGACTCAAAAATGAATCATCACAGGTATCTAGAAGACTACATTTCGTCAGTTTCCTATAAACCAGCATCAGTCAAACCAAACAGAAAAGAATCAGAAGAAGAAAAACATGCGTTCCGGGATTATTGCAGTTCCAAGGGTCTCAACGAAGAGTCGACATCTGCAATCCAAAATATTATGCAGGCGGAAAGGATTGACTATCAGGTTGTGTTGATGTTGCAACACTGGAACCATAGACTCATCATTCTTGTCCTAGCTGATCGCTGCTGTTGTTCAGCACATCGTTGCAACGTCACAACGAGGCGGAATTTTGATTTTCCTTCCTGGAGTTCAAGAAATTCGTTCTTGTATCGATGTAATCCGTGGCGTGCTCGGTGAGAAGGCTGAGATATTACCTTTGCATGCAAACTTGTCAAATGACGAACAACTGGCTGTTTTTGCGAATACACAACGTTGGAAAATCATTGCTGCAACAAACGTTGCCGAGGTCAGTTCGTTGTATCAGTTATTTCCTGCAGCTAAACGTTTCAAAGACGTCTATCACCATTGAAGATGTTGTCTATGTTGTGGAGTCGGGAAGAGTCAAAGAAACAAGCTATGATCCAGAAAGCGGGCTATCTCTCTTGAAAGAACAATGGGTTACACGTGCTGCAGCCCGTCAGCGCAGGGGTAGGGCTGGCAGAACGCAACCAGGGGTTTGCTACAGGCTTTATACTCGCAAACAGGAAGAGAAAATGGGTCATTTCCCAATACCAGAAATACTACGAACACCGTTGGAGAGTATTTCGTTAACCGTGAAGGTGATGCGTGAGAGTGAGGATGTGAAGGTTAGTGATTCCATGTGATAACTTTAAGTGCAGTGCATTGACCTAGCTTTTTTCAGCATTTCCTGAATAGGGCTATTGATCCTCCCGAAGTGTCTGCAATGGATAAGGCCTGGGATGTCCTTCAGGAGCTCGGAGCCATTGATGCAGATGGCTGCTTGACTGCTCTTGGGCGTCATATTGTGCGTGATTGCAGTTGTGTATCATGCGTTCATTGTTTGACTAGCAGACACGCTCTTTGTATAGTCGATGCTACCCGTGGATTTACGACTTGGGAAGGTTAGTGGTACATTAAATATGGGGTGGAGTGACTTATTGACAATATCTTTCAGATGCTGGTTCTCGGCACGGTTTTCCAGTGCCTAGACCCAATTCTTACGGTCGTAGCTTGCCTCTCGTCGAAACCTTTATTCCTCAATCCTATGAATAATAGGGATGAAGCCACTAAGTAAAATTTTCGTCCCAATGTCCCCGACCAAGACTCATTTGCATACGTAGGGCGAAATTACGTTTTGGCGAAGACAAAAGCGACCTACTCACAGATGTCAATGCGTACAGTGAATGCATGCGCCTTCAGTCTGGGGGTAAGAGTCACAAAGCATTGAGACATTTCTGTGAAGAGGTATGCTTTTTTTGCTGTAATGGAACCCCAGAAATGATCAGTCTTGCGCAGAACTTTATCTCAGCGACCACTATCAGGGAGATCACCTCATTACGCCACGACTTCCTCTCCTCTCTTTCAGATCTCGGTTTCATCCCGCGTTCCGCAAGAGCGAGTTCGGAGGAACTGAATACAAACAGTGCAAATACAAACATCGTCAAAGCCGTCATTCTCGGCGGCCTGTGGCCTCGCGTTGCTCAAGTGCATCTTCCACGTTCAGCAATCAAATTCGATAAAGTGCAAGCGGGCACCGTCCAACGCGAAAATACTGCAAAAGAGTACAAGGTCCACGATCTGACAGGTGTGCGCGTCTTTTTGCATCCTTCGTCTACCCTCTTTGGAGAGTCGACGTGGAAGTCGCCGTTCCTGGCGTACTTCCAGAAACAGATGACTAGCAAGGTTTTCATCCGTGGTGCGACTCAGGTGTGTAATTTTTTTTTGACGTGATCGTGCTCGGTGCGCTAAGTTGCGATCAGGTTCCGATGTACGCGTTACTTCTATTTGGTGGACCTGTGTCCGTCAATCACATTGGGGGCGGTCTCACTGTTGGAAAGGGTGGCAACATTGTCAAATTGAAGGCATGGCCCCGCATCGGAATTTTGGTGAACCAGCTTAGGTAAGTTGGTTGTTGCTGTCATCCGTTGATCTCAAACACACTGATATTCGAACATCACATATAGGCGTCTCCTTGATGCGCAATTGCAGCAATGTATCGCAGACGGATCAATATTAAGCGCCAGTCAACATAGTGCAGTGGCCAATGCCATGAGCGCGCTGCTCGCCAACGATGGTCTGTCCGGATAATGCCTGCTAAAAATACGGCTCCCGAATTCAGTGGTCTCTGAATATAGAGTAAGTAAGATTGCATTGAGATGTGTAGAGAAGTTCCATAGAGGCTGCTGCGAAATATGACTAGACAATGATTATGTGCTGCGATAATTGTCGTGACTCAAGTGTATGCTATGTGCCAATATTTGATAGGGAATATATGCTAAGAACGTTAACGTGGTATACAATTGCGATGACGTATAAAAATTTGGACTAGGAAATCTCCATCAATCAAGTAGTATATTAAAACCACCATGACTAACTGACAGGAGAAATTTAGTTATGTTCATCCGATGGGACCCCAACAGCTTGTTCAAGGCCTGTGATTGTCCACAAGGCACTGGACCCACGCCCCGCATGCTCGATGGAAGCCAAAGCCCTCAGAGGTGTTCTCTGAGCTACTTCGGCAGTAGCACCTGTAATGGCGTCCTGAGAGTGCGTCGACCCCGATGGAAGCTGACCTAGCTCGTCCACAAGGTTGTCAGGTGGGTATTCGCTCTCAGATGCCTCTATCGGCGTCAAAGTACGAGAGTGTAACTTGAACCCCCGACGACCCTCTGCCTCTTTGTATCCGCGATGTGGTCTCTTGATAAGAACGTCATCTAGGCTACCATTTACCAGATCGTGACCTTGTCCTGGCATCACAGCATTCCAAGGAGGGCCGTATGGTTGCGTGCGAGGCACAGACCGCAATGAATACTTGCCCGTCGACTTCGACACGTTCACCTGTAGCTGCGGTGAGGGCATGGGAGACGGGCACTCTAAGCTCGAAGGAGAACTGATAGTAGGGGACTTGAGAAACGGAGTGAAGTGGCTCGTGAATGTCCTACGAAGTGCAGATGGCGAGTTCGAAAAAATGGCTGCACAGGAAACCATCATTACATTGTCATTTGTAAACCTAGAAATCTGGTGCTTACAAGTTGGCGATGTCGCGGAAGATGCTAAGTCAGGCGATAAACCCGCAGGTTTGGGACTTGACCATGGGCGAGATAATGAGAAGCTCGACCTACGACTGAATTTCGAAGCCTCAAGTTCTGCAAGTGTAGATTGTTGACAATTAGTTCGGTATCATATCATTTTGATAAGGTGGCACACGTACTGGAGGTAATCTTTGATTTCTTTGTCCGGAAAGGATTCACGTATTCTGCACGATACATTTCACCGGACGTGAGAGTAGGCGAAAGCGACGTCCTCACGGGGTACTCTGGTGTAGGGTTTTGCTGTTGAGACTGCTCCTTCGCACTAATGTTGATCACAAGAGGTGTACGCGGTGGAACGCTTGCCGGACGACGTTTTCTGGTGAAGACCTTCCGAACAGATGGTAACCGTAAAGACATGGCTCTCGACGAGCGCGTAGAAGTTGTCCCTTCGGAAAAAGAGTCCACTCGAAGTAGGTTCATCGTGCCATGTTCATCACAACCCAAGCTATTTCTACGACCACGACGGCATTCACAACGCCCTTCGGAACAATTGAGTGGAAGGCCATGTACACAGGTACTCTTTGACGTGGGTGACGATCTGTAGTTGCACGCGGTGGTATTACCTTCGTCTCGTACGGTGGGTGAGGATGGATCAGATTCCTCTTGTGTTGATCGACGCCTGGAGAATGGAGACATTACAGGTGGCCAGCGACGCTGAATTGTCGATGGTGTCGGGGAGGGGTTCATGCTGGCGGACCTCGCCAAACTTGGGTTGTAGGATTCTGGAGCTTCGATATTGAAAGAAACATGCCTCGAGGCCACGAGGAGCTGTCCCTCGGAAGGTGTTTTATGCAGGTCAGGAAACGATACTGCTCGCCGAAGGGAAGGAGTCTTGGACCCAGGAGGTATCGGCGGTAGTATCTGAAGTATAGGTTCTGGGGAGGAAACCAATACAAGACCACGGAAATTCTTTGGACTGCGATGGATCGGTTCTTGGTAGGGAGGTGCCTGTATCCTCATCGCAGGCACGATCCAAACTACTCCGAGGGTAAATATGCTCTATTTCACGGTTCTATATTTAAAACATCACTCTCAATCAAACTATAAACTCACAATAACAAATCCAAGGAGACCGAGTAGCAAGGCGAGGATGCCTGCGAGCACAGTTTTGACACCAAGTTCATATGCGTAATTATCAAATATGATGAAGATCATGGGAACGAAAATATTCTTTAGGCTCCTGAAGTGAGGATAGCCCCGAGGTGGAGAAAGTCGTAGAAAGAAATCAAAGCGGCGTCTGAGAGGCGTAGAGGGTGAAACGAAATTACAAGGCATCCATGTGGGGTACCTCAGATGAACCAAGGCACTTGAGGGATATTTGACGTGTGGGGGACGACTATGCCACGGAGGCATGCAAAGCGATGGAATAAACAATGATATCAACGCAGCGCGGTGACAATGAGCCACAAAGACTGTTCGTAAATTCGTGAAAAAAAGAGAGAGATAAGGTAGTATGACCTTGATCGTTTGGTTGAGAACGATAGTTCGACGTGAAGACAGCTCAAGCGCTCAACGGCGAGCGTCGAAGTGGTTCTACGCGAACAGCGCAAATCGGCATACGAGCCATACTAAGACTTAAAAAGTGGAACGACGTCCGTTTTAAGACCTAATACTACTACCCTTCCCCCGAGCCCGAGCTGCTTCATTTCAATCTCAGCGGCGCTCTGTACCTCCATTTGAATCATCTTTCTCACAACATCACATCATCACAACATCACAACAATACAAATTAATTATATACATTCATTCCATGTACATATGAGAGATATGCACCTAGGCCTCCTCTTACTTACATCTCTCAAAATCACGAATGAAATTCAATATTCAATGACAAAATCGTGTAATACCAAGCGGAGAATTAAAATTAGCTTATTTGAAATTTGTGAACCTAAATTTTATCTGCCATTTTATTTCGCACTCGATGAGTTCGGCCATGCTGCCCATGTACAATGGGACCTTCCCATGATTTCAGAATGGCCGCCATTCATTAATCATTCTCCAGCTCCAGAGACTGGAACAGAACGATCAACGCATCTTGCATGCTAGTACGAATGTAAATGAACAAACATATCGTTGAGGAAATGAATGTGGCAACCAGCGGAACAAATATGACCAAACACCACATACAAATTACCTATGGTACCGTGGTCCGACGTCCAGCTTCGGCTAGTTCTATAAAGTCGGTGACGCGTGTTGGGCTGGTTCAAGCGTCATCTCGGGGTGGGGACGCAGCCGGGAAACCTGCGTACGAATTTGATCGCGCACTGACTCTTAAGCAATGGAGTCAAAACCGTGACTAGATTAAATATTTTACGCTAATGATGACAACGGAAAATTTCCGCATAACTTGATAAGGGAGGGGTGGGTGGATGCAAGGAATGAGCGAGGTCAGTGCTTTGAATTCGAAATCAGTGGTAGGTCGAAAAAACGGATACGGCGCTAACGCTCAGCTGACAGCGTGGTGCCGGGCAACTCCGACGAGCTAACGTCGTTACTCGGCACCTAAACGTTAAGGCTCTCGATTGATACTCCACACCAAGGATAGGGATAACCCCATTGATAAAAAAACTAGAAGGAGCAAAATAAAAAGGCACCTCGCGCCTCGAGTCTGCACACTTGATATGGGTGCATGCGTAATCAGCGGAACGGAAGACTCCGAGCCACTAGTACCAACACAGAATGGCCAAGTGACAGAACATGGTCTGGTCAACAACATCCCTAGCCCAGGTCCCCACAGCCCGGTGTCACCAGGTAGAACAGACTCCCACACTACTCTGCTTAGTGTGTCCGTTTTCCCTGGACCGGTACTCTGTAGACACCGATAGCTATGTAGGGTTAGACAGCAGTTCCTTGGCCCTCGGTCTGTCCTAAAATAAGTTCCCGGGCATTTGTGGCAGGCCGTAACACTGAACAAGCTAATCAAAACACCGGGCATTCGTGGCAATCCGTAACACTAAACAAGCTAGGAATCAAAACAAAGCTCGTAAACTATATCGCAAAAGTCCGAATAACTATCGAATCACGAATGTATAACTGGGGAGGAAGGAGTAGTACTGGAACACAGGACACGTCGTTACAATCGTAAACACGTGGGGGACATAAGATCAGAAAGTATATAGCACCACAACGTCAATGGTCCAGGAATAGAAAATGCCAAGCAATTGAAGTCCTGTCAGGAGGAAAAGGGATAAACTCCCTAAATTCAGATGATAGCATAGAAAGAACGAAAATTCCATGAGAAATGTCCAATAATTCTGCAGGCCTACTCGCTTGGCGAACATGCGTGGCCATCGCTTTCTAGCGAATAACCCAATTGGCAAGATGAGATTTGGCATTCACCAGCAACGCAAGCGACGCCTTCAACATGTGGGATATTCATGCAGTCATGCCTTGATAAAAATATGGTGTTCAGCCAAGGAGAATCAAGTAGTCCATCAGATACTTACTCAATAGGGTCAAGACTGGAACAACCCCCGCAGGAGCGGAGATCTGCCGCAAAATCGACACACTCAAACCCAATCGCTTCCCATTCGACAAATGTACGAGGGAACTGCCCAGGTGTGCTCAAGACGGGGCAGGCTACGAGCCCGTTGAGACAGAATTCATGAGATTCCGCTGCACTCCCTATCACGTGCTGTTGGTCTACGCTGCGCTTTTGTAGGGCTGCGGAGTCCTCAGCAGTGCGTTTAGACGGGGCTGGCGCAGCAACCGGTTGTCGACCTGACAACACCTTTGAAGGAGAGGCTTGACGAGCAGCGAGACGCTCATCACGACCAACATGAATTGCGGAAGGCCCGGGAGCGGGGGCCCGTTTGACCAAGGATCGCTTATCGGGGACTTTGGAAGGTCCCGGCTGCCGCTGGACAATGGGGAGTGCATATCTCTTTGAGGGCATTGGGTTACGAGCCTGGACAATGGGGAGTGCATATCTCTTTGAGGGCGTTGGGTTACGAGCCTGGACACCGAGTGAAGATGCCACAGCAACTGATGAAAAGAGAAGAACGATGAGGAAGCAGTTCTTCATGACGTTGAGAGATGTAAGGAAAAGATCTGAAGAATGGTCTCCGACGAACGAGGAGCTAAAGGACAGGTGAATGTAAGGGAAGCTACGTAGTGAAAATTAATCTATGACGAAGACTCGGAGGGTAAAGAGGTTGTAAGGCAGAGCGGCTCTCACAACGCAGATATATGATGGTGGTACAGGAAAGAGTCAATGAAGTTGAAAGAGACGCGGGTAGACAATTTGATTCTCACATTGGCTGTGTGGCTAGATTCAAATCATCTACTCCACACCTTCCGCAACGCCCCTAGCAGTGCCGATCGGCAATGATTAATGAGCGCTTGAGCGAGGATTGATAAGAAGGGTATAAAGACTTGTAGATAACCCACACGGGGGCCATTTGGTTGATAGAAGGCCTCATGTACATGCGTTCCTACAATCATTGATCGATAAAGGAGAAGACACCGAGTAAAGGTAGTCGACAACGTTCCGGTGATTTTACATAAATTAAGTATAATCTAAATTCAGTTATTGTTATTATGTCATATCAGGATCACGTGATCGTCGCATTTGCCAAGTCGCGTTTGTCGAACTCACCTTCTTCCAATCCACAAGTATCATGTCTCATGACGAATTTGATCATTACGACCTTTCAGAATTCACCGAGGAGGAGCTCGCCCGTTTTGATATGGATGCTACGAAAACTCCGTCGCCAAAGGTGCTCAATGACAGTCCAACTTTGAACTCACAGCATGATATCTCGGCGGGACCCGGTAACGCCAGCTTTAGTGGTGGACCTGCACTTGATATTGCTATTGAGTCCCCTATTGACACAAATACTGTTGCTAAACCTATTGTCAGCACGAGAGTATCTCATCTCTCGGCTAGCACAAAGCCTCTGCAGCTATTTAGTACGCCTGTTCCTGGAGTGCGCCCGCCAAATCAGGCGATAAATCTATACAAGAAGTTTTTATCTTGGAAGAAAGCATTTTCCGTGACAGATCTTGTCTCTCCTGTTTGGTTTGTTCAGGAAGTCATTCATTCACCCTCTTCTTACATCGAATTACAGGTGTGAAGTACAATATGAGTATGGGTTGTATGGAGAACGCCACAGACCGCTCGAAAGTCGACCACCCTCTTTCAAGTCAAGAGACGGTCAACAAATTCAGGTCAAACAAAGTGTCGCACAACAACACGACAGGACACTCAAGAGAGGGGCCGTATGTTATATTATTTGCTCTTTCTTGCAGAAGAAACGACCTTTTATTCTAGTCTATTCACAAAAATCTGGAGCTGGAAGTGCGGCCGAAAAAACTTTTCGTCCGTACATCAACTGATGAAGAGCGTTGGGCTTTACGGTATGAATGTTGCATCACCATTGCTCAAACCGTTTCCTAAGCTGTTCAACAGTCTTTTCAATCTGACTGCAGGCCTAGAACAACTCATCTTTGAGGGGATAACGGTAAATTGACAATGAGGCGATCACAATTAGTGCTAACATTATTTTGCAGAGGGAACTCCCAGTTTTCGGGATTACGCATGGGCAAGTCGTTTTCGGAATTATCGTAAGTATCTTGGCACCCAGAGAATGAACGTTTGAACGATTGACACATGTCCGATCTGACAGGACGAAGTGACTCGGCGTGTTCCATCAGAAGTCAATAAACTTCACAATCCTGCCAAACGTGGCCCGGTCTCCCCCGAATCATCTCCCGTTAAGAAAAAGCAGCGTCGGTCGCTGTCCCCATTCCAAACCGATATATCTGTTAGTCTAAATCAGTCTATTCCTGAGAAGACTTGTGCAGCGGATCAGTTCCCAACCGAGGGGGATATTTGTGACAATTCTATGGCAGAAATTTCGATCCCAAGGCCCGTCCATCTCGAACCCACGTTCTACGATTTGACGCTTGTAGACTACAAGACTCGTCGCGTGTCATCACTACCCCCAGATGAGGATACGATATCATCACAGATGCAACTTATGCTTTACCATCGCCTGCTCTCGCCACTCCTCTCACCGGAAACTTTTGATTTCAATGCACTATGGTCAAAGCAATCCGTCAATCCGCATCAATCATTTTCCAGGAATTTTGTAGAAGACATCGGTTTGCTAACAAAAGATCAACAAGACCCTTTTCATGTAGATCTGAACTCCATGGTCGCCGCATGGGTTTCTGTCGTCCACTCGGCTCGGAGCAGCGGTGAACGACTGAGAGGCATCCATTCCGAGCTGCAAATTATCTACCGGAAAGCTGGAGTCAACAAGGACTCGGTTCATTATCGGAAACAGAAGGCAAAAACCGATGAAAAGGCAGTCGATAATCCCCCGGGAAGGCTTGCGTCCCAAGAGGAATTGGATATGGCTCGTGCCATTGCAGAGAGCTTGCGCCCACCTGATCAGGACGCCCGAGAGGCCAGCACTTCTCAAGCTGTGGACGACAGCATTAAGATTGTACATACTGCATCAAGCGAAGAACTTCTAACTGATGGGGTTATTGATATCACTAGCACTGTTGGTGAAAACCCTGAGCCGACATTGGTAGTGCCATGTTCGTTACTTGCAGGCCCCAGCAACAATCCCGACTCCAATTCACAGTCGATCGATACGAAATATCTTGGTATGAAACCTCGTCGAGGATTCTACTATACTCACGCTATGCACAGCTCCAGCGGCTGATAAGTTAACTAACTTGGAAGAAAATGGGACTCTTCCTGATCAAAATGATGACTCTCCAGTTGAGGAGGATACCTCTGGCCTTTCGACGATATTGGGTACCAGGAAGTTTTTCATGGACGAGGACCGGCTCGATGCACATCTTAGAGATATCCTCCAATGGTGGTTCGGCTTTCGTCTTCCCAGGGGCGTTGAACTCGCACAGTCCAGTCGGTGTGGGTGAGTTTACCTCAGTAGGCAGTATCGTGAAAGCTGCTCACACCCCGACAGCACTTGCGAATATCAAGACAGTTGCGAATGGAGAAAGCGGAAGGCTTTCGAAGGTAGTAACGTCGCTCTCGGAAAGCGTAGGGCGACTTAGTCTTCAAGCGGTTAAACTCCTCTTTGGTTATGACCCCCAAAAAGGGAAACAAGCGAACATCAATTGTGGGCGGAACAATGCAACTACAGATGTATTTAGTTTGCTGCATACAAAGCTACTTGGTTGAACAGCCGAACACCTCACAGACCTATAGAGAATCAGACTTTTAGAGGCAATGGGCTCAGTGCCTATTCTCACCTTATGTCGGTATCTTGTTACACACGTCGCCTCCCATCATGATGCTGTCTCTTCTCACTTTCTCTCGTTGTCGTCTTAGTGTGGCGAAGGTTTATAGTCTTGTATGGACAAACTCTTGCTTTGAGCCCAACGTTCTTGACAACATACCCCCCTCGACCGATCTTCTTGCCGTACACTTCTATGTCTGTGACGTAGTCAGCCAATCAACGTTAACAGCGATCCCGGTTCCTGATCAACGTGCCAACTTCGAACTGGCGAAGGCGCTTATGACATGTAGTACCTGAGTTGCATTGGTAACGCAGCCAACCAATCAACTCCGTTCTTTCTTTCTGGGTATGGCGAGAAGGCTTAATCCAGGGTGTCGATGACCAGTAGCGCGGTCAGCTAATTAACGCAAGCCGTATCCACCATGCACCATGACTGGTTGGATCAACCGGGGTGATGATGACGAGGTTACAAGATGTCCATCACCATTATTCGCTTAGATATATGACGTCGTCCAAGCGCTTATTGAAAGCTGAGTGTAACTTGAACGCCTCGGTAGGGTGAACTTCAAGTTGAAGGGGATCATGGAAGTTTCCATCATTGTCATCGCAATGGTTTACTGAACGGTGTCACGGTAAGGCCGTGTTGTGGGCCATGCAACGCCTAGTACTAGTCACTAGCCTAAGGGTACTGACGGCGACCCGACTCTTCCAATATTTGAACGGTTGTGATGGAAATGGCAATCCAGCCCCGATGATTGGACCAAGTGAAGTCGCGGCAAGCTAATACCTTTCGGACTATAAGTTACGGTTCCGCATTGATGCGTAATGCACAATGGGCGAACCGCGTTATCTCCAACCACATTTTTGCTGTACACTGTCAGCAGTCACGACATCATGATGGATGGCTGGGTTGATTACGTTCATTTCTCATTCCTCGGCGAACATATCCTCTTCAGTTCTCTGCGCCTAAACACCGTCTGGGAATTTTTCCTCGGCGTCCTTCTGACTTCTGTCATATGTCTGTCTGAGAGGTTCGTGTCACAAACTCTTCCTTTTACCCACTTCAAGTCACCGGAACCACAAGATTCTTGTCATTTGCTATCAGCAAGCATTGGGGTCCTCATTTCATTGGTCGTTCGCGATTAGCAAAAGCAGTATGGAGAACGGTGTTATACGGTGTTGCAACAACACTTAGACTGTGAGTTGCGTTTTCATCAATCCACAGAAAAGCAATGTCGAACCGTGAAATATCACTAGAACTTACATGCTTATTGCCATGTCATACCAAGTAGGGTGAGTTACGTTTTTCAATGGAAGTCATCATGTTGGTCTGACCGGCTTTGAGCCAGTCTCATCCTTGCCGTTGTGAGTGCCAATAATCATATGAGATCATCGCAAAAAATTTACCCTCCAAAAGGTCGTCATGTTGTCAGTCGGACAATTCTTCCTCGAGTACGTTGATGGTGCCCCAGGAAAGTCAGCCAAGTAAGTGTCTTGTTTATCGCAAGCTAGCTTATAGAGGCTGACCCCCCTTCTCAGCTACGACAAGCTTAGAGACCCTCCCCTGGACTCTGAGAGTGAGGATGACTCATACAATATGTCTACACGATCGTGGCAGCCCAGAACACGCCGAATGAAGTCAAAACCAGAGGCTATTCTCATTCACCCCGGTGACTCTAACCTCGCCCGCGCCGATGCTGCGGCGCAGGAGCTTGGCATAGCTGGTGACACCGAGCGAGTGAAAGCCAATCGCTATTCTGTTGACCAGGATGCTTGGGAGTATGGGAAGGGTAGAGACGTAGCCCGACAATTACTTGGAAGCACAGCACGACGTCCCCGGTCACCACAAGATCATCCCATGTCTCATATTTCGGATGGGTGTTGAGCCTCAAGGGTTCAGAACTTGTAGCACGTCAGATTGTTGTATAAATTATCTTACAAGCTTTGCAAGCCGTACGTGAACGAACGCGAGCGAATATATTATAGGTCAAGTGAATGCACGTGTTTAGCTGTCCTTGCTAACTTCCCCAGAGACAAGACCAGCTCGCTTTGGGGTATAACCACCTCTACGAGGGATAGGAACTCGAGGCGAATCAACCTCCGTTTTACGCTGCCATTGGTCAATGAGCTTCCCTACTCCTTGATAAGGTTTATCAGGCGATGGCGAGCGCGGCTCTTCTAGAGGTGCGGAAGGTTTTTTCTGAGAGAATGGTAGCGATGCTGGGAGGCCGTCGAGGGGACTGCTCCGTCCTACTGATGATCC